AAAATGAGGATTTTTTCTCAAATATTTTTTAATCACCGAAGAATTTTCATTACTTACAGGGAAAAATCAAATGGCCACCTAGATCCCCAGATCTATTTACCGGCACACACATGATCGTGCATATTATTTAGAGGAACTTGCTTGCTGTTACTGCTGAAACACTGGTCAAAGTTCGACAAAAAGAAAAAGAAGAAAACTTACCCCTGACTGAAATGGAATCGAAGAACTGCCTGCAGTAGGAGGAGCCTAATATTATTGAAACTGAGGAGATGTTTGGCAATAAAGCAAAATATTTGCATCTCAGTTGAATGCTTTTAAAATCTCACCTTCACCTTCAGGATGCAAAGCACGATTCACAAAAGATGCAGGTAAATATATTCAAATGAGAAAAGATGTGCAGAAGAAACCCCCAAGAGGCGTAGAGAGTGGTTCCTTTTTTTTTATTTTAAGAAGAGATGTGTGGGGAACACGTATCAGAGGAATTTCCAAAAAATCCAAGAAATCCAAAGCCTAGATTACCGAACCACAGTCAATACTTTCAAAAACTATCGCCAAAATGTTCATTTTCGGCATGACGCAGCAGATGTCAAAGAGTGGCTCGATCACAAATTTGGAAATAGATGGTAGGCCCACAATGGTCCAATTTTATGGCCGTCTATGAGCCTCGATTTGACAAATTGCAATATACGCATATTGAATGGACCTTCTCAATTTTGTCTGGTAGCTATATATATATGACAGTTTTTTTTTTAATTTGTGGAAACTGTAAATTGCAAATTGCAATATTTACACACTTACCGGTTTGTTATCGGCGATCCAACATTTGCAAAAGTCGCAGTATTTCCGTTCTTGAGATTTCCAATAATCGGCCCTAGAAAACAAACTAAAATAACGAACAACGCCAGAAGACTATCAACAAGTCCAAAAGTTAACGCGGTTATTGCTACATAAAACCTTTTAATGGCAAATAATTTTTTTAAGCTTTTTTCGTATATGGGACTTCCCACGGTAGTACGTTCAAAGTTTTTCATATAAGAAAAAGCTTAGAATTCTCCGAGATTATACAAAAACATTTCCTAGGTCTTACTCACTTCCGGTTTAATTAGCTTCTCGATTTTTACTGGAACACCCGGTATATTATTTCAATTTTTGATTCCTGGGAAAATTACATACTTAATTTTAATAGTGCCACAGTTATAATAATAATAGCAATCAACTATACTCATAATAATAATAATATAAATTAAATTTACAAAATAAATATGTACTCAGTAAGGCAACGAGGTAAAAAATTAAGTAAATCGGCCAAGTAGTGCTGAAAATTATTTTAAATTTCGTGAGACGACCACCAAGGGGCGTATTTGTTACCTTGAACCGTAAAATTTGATTTCAACAAAAATTTCTTATATTAATCATGGTTAAAGTACTGTTATAAAGCTGAGACGATTTCAAATGATATTTGTTTAATGTTGAATGTTCTATCTTTGCAACGAAAGTTAGTACCCGTTTTTTTAAATAAATGTCCATATCTCCAAAAAGGTTTAATGCATTTTAATGAACTTTTTGAACCGTTAAAATAGGCTTTACCTAGACTATAAATCATGCTAAAAGTGAAGCAATTATGATTGCTTCCCTTGTTACCGAGTGGAGTTTTCTGACATAATCCGAAAAAAAAATCTACTCCATTTTGGAAAATACCTAATTATTCACCGATCTAGTGTGCAGGAAGCGTTACTTTACCACGTGAGTTTCTTGTTCCACGGATCCGAGCCACTTCGGACATTTTCGGAGATATTACCGCATGGCTTCAATTTTGACGTTTGTCAATTCTAATTGTTATGTCAGTGAACTTATTCGTTTTGTTTGGCAAAAATGTATTCAAAAACTTACGGTCGTAAAAAAGTATAGTACGCAACACGTTTGGTAAACTTTTTTAGTCACTCGTTTACCGCACTTGTTGCATAATATACTATTCTCTACTCCCTTCTGTAAAATATCTAATTATACACCGATCAAACATGTGGAAAGTGCAGGTTCGTTTCCCACGAATGCGAGCCACTTGGGACATTTTCGTTATATTACCGCACGGGTTAGTGAGCAATCGAATGTTTTCCGATATTTTACCGCACGGCTTAAATTTTGACATTTGATATTACCGCATGGCTTCAATTTTGACGTTTGTCAATTCTAATTGTTATGTCAGTGAACTTATTCGTTTTGTTTGGCAAAAATGTATTCAAAAACTTACGGTCGTAGAAAAAGTATAGTACGCAACACGTTTGGTAAACTTTTTTAGTCACTCGTTTACCGCACTTGTTGCATAATATACTATTCTCTACTCCCTTCTGTAAAATATCTAATTATACACCGATCAAACATGTGGAAAGTGCAGGTTCGTTTCCCACGAATGCGAGCCACTTGGGACATTTTCGTTATATTACCGCACGGGTTAGTGAGCAATCGAATGTTTTCCGATATTTTACCGCACGGCTTAAATTTTGACATTTGTCCATTTTGACAGTCATGTCAGTAAATGTATTCGTGTTATTTTGCAAAAATGTACCCAAAAACTAACGGTCGTGCAAAAAGTATAGTGCAATAAACGCCTTTAATCCGATAAAAACAAAATGTTTGTTCATGGCAACCTTGATCATTATAAATAAATAATTTCTACCAAACGAGATGTGAAAAACTAAGCGTGTCTAAACATAACATCTACTGCGGGGTAATTTAATGCTTTTCGAAGGAATCGTAAAAAAAAGTAATAAACAGAAATAATAAAATTAGAGTTTTAGTTGGTAAATTCGAGATAAAAACAGTAATAACACTTTGCGAAGTGGAATTTTTTTATTTTAACTTTTTTTACCGTAAAATTTATTTAGAAGAAAAATTCACCTTTTGGCAAAATAGGCAATCACAATCGCGTCACTCACCGCTATTGATAGCCTAGGAAACGCCCTTTTTAACACCTCCAAGCATATTAAAATGCGTAAAGAACTTTTGGAGATATGGACATTTATTTAAGAAAATATTCTAACATCCCCACCACTTTTCATGCAGAGATAAAGCAAGAAGCAAAAAGTTGTGTTAATTAAAATATAACTGTAATTTATTCGTCGTCATGAAAATATGTCTGAGAACTTACCGGACAATATGGTTTTATTTATCTTTAAAATAGCCTGCTAGTCAGTCATCAAATGGTAATTCACAATTAACAAACCTATTAATCCGGTTTCAAGGCCTACTTTTCAATTTTTTATGAATAAATAAGAAGGGCATGCTAAAGAGTGAATTTTTGAAATCCATTTTCCTCGAAAACAATCCATTTTAGCGATATTAATCAATTGCACCTTTTTCTTGCAGCAGAACACACCTTTTCGGATTTTATAAGACAAAAGTCTAAAAGCCAACCTACAAAAAGGTACCTATACCCCTCAAAAGTGACGATCCTGACCAAATTTAAACATTAATAATTTTCATTTGAAAACTTTCTCCTAGTCTTTTTCGGAAATATAAATCAAAAATCATTGTCAGGTCCATTCCTTTTACGGTCTGTGGCTCTATTAGGGGAGGTTTCTCGACATATGTTTATATAGACAACTAGAGCTTATTTTGAACGTGTTAAGAGTTTGTTCCACTAACTTCGGAATACCCTGTGTAAGCTTCCAAGAACGTTTGACGTACACAGTTAAATATACAATGACTACGACTACGACTAGTTGAAGATCACAGACTTCAATTTAGACTTAAAAGGACTTAAAAGTTTTAGTGAACCAAGCTACCTCTGGACACTTATTGACCAGTGGTAATATGAATCAAGCAATAAATCAAAAAAGCAAAATGATAAGTAAGTAAGGTAGTTTCCGTAAGAGATATTTTTTTAAAAGAAATTTAAAAGCGCAACGAGGTATATTCTGTGATTGGCTAATCTGAGAATTTTTATTAAATATTCTACTTCATAGTGACAATTGAAGCTGGTTCCACGGAAATGAATGGGATTTCCAGTCAGTTTTTCCAACAAATATGAGGGGCATCCAGTTTTAAGTAGTTTGTGAAGAAATCGAGCAAAATGTAATTATTCTCGGCTCGACATATTTAATCATTTTAAATAGTGAAGTTTATGACTTACACTTCGTTTAAGGTTATAAATAACCCGAATACAAGAATTCTGTACTGTCTGTCATTTATATTTTATATTTTGTCAAAACATCCAAGCACAGTCCATAGACAAACTTGCAGTAATTTAGATGACTCAAAACCAGTGCTTCAAAGAGATTTTTTAAATCTAGAGTTTAGAATATCTTTACTTTTATAGATCTAGCGGAGATTAATATAAGCCTTTTGGCAAATTTTGTAAAGCTGTGTACGAAATCTGAGTTCATTATCAAAGATGATACCCAAGGTTTTACCTTCGTCAACAGCTGGAATTTTGACCCCATTTATAAATATATTCAAGTTTTGGGCGGCCCAATACTTAGCGGGCCCAAAATATATTAATTCAGACCTATTTGGGTGTAATTTAACAGACCCAAATCCTAATCTAAGTTATTCCCTATATCATTTACAAGCAGCAAAAATAACTTTGGGAGCACCAGACGCTGCAGTAAACAAAAGTACAAACGAGACAATGTAATCCAACTAGCAATAGGAGAATCAAGAACAAGGAACAAGTAACCCCAAACTGTACAAATTTCTCCAATCAAATGCCGCGCAGAAATCGATACACACCGGAGTGAACCTCATAACCCTTGTTCATAGTTTCTCTTGTGTAATTATTGTAGACATACAGATTAATCACAGTGTATCTCTCTTCTACAAACCCACTCTGTCGTACATACTTAATGAGTACGTAATGAGATGAAATGCAGGAGATCTTTTTGATGTTGCTGTTGTTAGGTAGTGGTTTTAGGTTCAAATATTGTACATTATTATTTCAAAATTAAACTTTATTCCACTCCATTATGGACCAAAAGCTAAATAAAAAATATTTTGTACTGGGATTGAACATTTATTTAAATTGTAGCAACATACTCACTATAATTTAGATAAAAAACACTTTTTTTTGTTATCTTTCAGCGAGTATAATAGATACATTGCTACGGGTGTATACAACTAAGGGGTTTTCTAATTTGATAAGGGAAAATTGGTATTGAGTATCACAGATAAGGTTATTCAGACTAGACGTGCATAAGGGTTCGAACTTAAAACTAATTCACAAAACGACTTGCTCTAAAAAAAGCCAAATTATGTATCAAGAGCTATATCATGGTATTCTTAAAAATGACGATCGCGTTTTATAAAAACAGCTCAATATAAACATTTGATTGGGAAACTATAAGTCACAATTATAATAAAATTAAAAAAAATACTATAAAAATACCTTTGGCCATAGATAACTTGCTCGGCAATTGTTAGTATTAACTAATTTTCTAGTTTGACGAGGGAAACAACTTTTCCCAATCGTATAGCATTTGTTTCCTGTTCTCGCCTTTAAGCGAGTAAATTTCAAATTAGCCATCGCCAACTGTATTCTGCACATATTTCAATAATTTATTCAGCAAGTTTGATTTTTTCAAATCTGACAAAAGCCATAAATAAATTTCATTAAGAAACTATTACAACAATTTGATTTGCTTAAATAAATTTTTTTATAAACTTGTGGCAAATTAAGAAACTGGCAACACTGCAAATGCGCAATAGAACATCTATAAGCTAAGTCAGAAAAGTATAGAGTAATAATATGGGAAATTCAGTCCTGTTCTGCTTAACTGTTAGCTATACGTGAGATTCAATTTTGATTACTTGATCGATCCTCAAGAGGAAATGATAGTTCCTGAGACGACGAAGAAAGAATATTATGATTTCTATTTCGTGTATTTTTTGTATAATATTTAATAAAAAATATAACGCCTATTACCATGTACTGGCTGGTCAATTAAGGACACGATCGAGATTATTCGGTTATAACTAAATCGAACAAGAGAAAATGCTGTATCTAGAATGACCGACAGGCGGCATATTCGCATTCTTGAATTTTAAATCCCGCTTTTTTAGAAATAATCTTACATTTCAACTAAAAAAAATACAATAGACACCGTTGTAAAGCTGGGATAAATTCGATTCTTTTTTAAATAGTTTTTGCTCCATCACTTAAGGGAAAGTGGTAGGAGTATTGAACCGTTTTCGGAAATCAATGTGAATAACTTTTGAAGAGTTGAATGCATTTTATCAAAATTGAAAATGTTGAAAGAGCCTCTTTTTAGGTAATCAATTACTCTATACCTGTCTGAAATATACTGAAATTATTCTTTCCGTTAATGGAAAAACCGGCTTGAAACTTGTATTTCATAAATTATCGACTCTAACTCTGCATATCATTTTTGCAATGAATATTCGACAACAGTCCCACTGAAGACGTGTAGTCAAATTGTCAAGTTTTTGGGAAAAGCCAAAATCAGCTGGTTTTTTGCTTTTAGTACTTACATTTTATAAATATAAGTAAAATACGCGGACAAAAATTATTTAACAGAGTTATACAGCTGAACTATGCATTTCTACCTGCTCTGCATAAAAATATAAAATAATTCACAATTTCTGTTCATCTATTTCGAGTGAATTTATTAATAATTTAGGAATGGTAGGACATTTATAGTTTTAACGATTAAAACCGCAAATATTTAAAATATGTATTGTTGCCTTTTTCAGGAAAATATCAGTTACTGACGTTTGTCTTCGCTTTTAAACGCAAAATCTACCCTTCTCATTTTTATATACCAAATATCGGTAATTAACATTCAGTCTTTACGTATTTTTGTATCGAATTGGCTAAAATTGTACAAAGTATTAAGCAAACAATATGTCGGGGTACTTATAGCACTGTACACACTGATCAAGTACAATCTTTCAAATTAACTTGAAAATACAAAAAACGCCGGAAATAATAAAGAACAATCGATACCCGACTAACGTATTCTTCCTATTATGAAAACCATCAACCCCCAAAAATGCTAATTTATTTGTCAACCATTCCAGTGAATTTACATAAATCGGTTCGCAACCAAAAAACTGACCTGCGCATTGAAAATCGTTGATAACATTTTGAACCACTGTGTATATCGCATTAATTTTAACAGCTTCAAAACCAAAAACATTAATGATACCTGTAAATTATTGTAACCACTTTTCAAAAAACGAGCAATAAGCGTCACTCGTTCTAGGTTAGAATGATCATAACAATTTGACACACTAAATAATATCAAACTTTTACCGCGACTGTCCTATTCAAAATCCATTCCGTATCAACGAAAGGTTGAAATTTTAACGTAGGGGAAAACCGGGTAAGATGACGAAGCGACTTTCGTTATAAATTCTAAAATGTAAATAATTCTTCATGAAACTTATACGGACATCTAGGAATAAGTTTCAGAACTAAATTTTATACTTGCCTTGGCACTGCAGTCTGCAGATCGAGTTGTTTGACATTTTCCGTTTGAACAGTTCAGGTTATAATTTTTGTGCCCTTAAAAATAGTGTTTTATGATATCACAATGTAAGTATTTGAATATTAATTAATCTGTATAGCGAACATAAGGTTTAAGGCAAAATATTGTCTTGTTGTTTGCCAAAAATAATAGATTTTGAATTAGTTTTGACCTTTTTGATTCTATGTGATGGTGGCGGGTAAGATGGCGCAACGAATTCGTCATCTTACCTACAACGTATTTTTATGAACGAATTTTGTACAGTAATTGGTTCTGTCTGTTAATATAGAGGCAGTCATCAATGAGGTCTTAGAAGGCAAATCTGTCAACAGTGTAGCGGAACGGTTTTCAATTTCAATAAGAAATAAGATTTACCTGTTCATGGTGGAAGATTCAGAGACAGCTTTTCGGAAGAACAATCTAGAGAACTTTATAATTACATAAAAATTGTAAATGAACGTTCCTTTGGACTTATATTTCTTCAACTGAGAGAAATATCGTTTTAAGACTGAAAAAGGGATGGCCGGAAAAGATTGGACTGCTGGATTTACCAAAAAATGGAAATTAAGCTTGCGAAAACCAGAATCTACGTTGTTGGCAAGATTAATGGGATTTAATCAGTCGGCATCTTCTTCGATATCGTTAGTGAACTATATACAAAATACCACTTCAAACCCGAAAGCATTTATAATGCAGATGAAACTAGTGCTTCTACGGTGCCCACCAAAATTCCCAAAGTCTTCAGTCCACATGGACATAGAAGAGTGGCAAAAGCGGTCTGCGCCACCTTTTTTTTGTTTTCGGCAGAGTCCGCATGAAAAACGAACTTCTTCATGGAGCACCTGCAGGGTCATCAGGACGCGCGCAGAAAAACAGATGGATGGATTCGGAGATATTTCTAAAATACCTGAAACACTTCAAGCAACACGCGAAATGCTCTCCGGAGGCATCCATTTTACTTTTTGTGGACAATCATCATAGCCACGTTACTCTTCAATCCATCGATTTTGCAAGGGAATCTGGCATTATAATGGTCGGATTTCCCCCACATACAACCCGTCAACTACAACCTATCGATGTGTCATTTTTTGGTCCCTTAAAAACTTGTTTTAGTCAGGAGTGCGACTGTTTCATGATAAACCATCCAGGGCAAACAATTACTGACAAAGATATTGCTGACTTATTTCGCCGCTCATACGAAAAGGCATGGTAATGCCATCAATGGATTCAGACGTAGTGGCCAATTTTGATGGAATAAATTGCTTTGTCTGTGACTTCTGTTAATTCGTCATCTTATCCTCATTCATTCGCCAACTTATCCGACATATTGGGAAAGACGAATTTGCATTTTTCTTTTAAACTATACATTTTAAATATTTTGAGCTTACTGGATGTTACGATACTGTTAATTTTTGATAAGGGAGTTCCTAAGATTTTGTTATGAGAAAGTTTTGTGAGAATTTATAATAAACAACCAATAATATATACGTTTTTTCTTAACCTCGTCATCTTACCCGGTTTTCCCCTATCGAAAAAAAAAGGACATTCGACAGTTTGAGATTATGCCTATTAATAAAAATTTTAAAAAACCTTCCATCCGAATTGTATGTGGTTTATCGAACAAAGTGGTTTTGACATTATCCACCAAATGAAAATTTTGAAAATTTTAATAATAATATGTTTATTTTCATATGCTATTTTCTGCGTAATTCATATCTATTGGTGCTGGACTCTGTAAGTAGGTAGGCATTTTTTCAATAATGGGCAAAAAATATCTAATCATTATTCATTTTTTCCAAACATCCTTCAAATTGTATGATTCCCCGTAATAAAAAAAAACAAAACTGACACCTTATCACGCGTAAAAATATCAAAAAAAAAAACATTGACTAAAATTGTTTGGATTCACTTATACTTTTTTAACGTCAAAAGTGTTCTTAGGTGATGCACCAGTCTATCTAAAACCAACATGTCCACAGGAAGTGTTTACAGTAATAAAGTGCTTAAAAAGTAAAAAAATCTGAGCCTTTTTAATGATTTGCACCTGGCATTTTTCAAGATTTTTTAAAGAATGCTTTAATAAAAGTAGTATACAAGAATTTTTGATTTTTGATGACGATCGGTGCTTACGAATAATTAGAATGGGTTGGGAAAGGATAAATCTAAAATTGAAGCCAACAAGCTTTTGTCCGCATACGACAGTCAGTTAATGACAAAAAGTAAACTCTTTCCATGTGTCTCGAGAAAAGTTTTTGACAGTCTAAATCGTAAGATATTTCAGTGTTCTATTCCGGGCCTTCTGTTGTATATTATGTGCACAAATGAAGTGTAGCATAACTGGTGAACGTAGTGTAATGTATGCAGATGATATAGTGAAGAGGACGCAGATAAAATATAGGTAAATGCAAAACAGGCTTTTGATATTCTCGATCGGTACCTTTCCAGTCATGGGCTTTTTTAAATATGCCAACACCACAATGCGTTGTGTTTGGAAGCTGCACAGTATAGACTAACATTTCCACATAATCGCATAAAATTAATACAACAGAGTATATTTCCTTTCTTAGACTTAAAATATATGAAAGCCCCGTATCCAAGTGTGGTAGCAAGCTTAGCAAAATACTGCTATGCACTAATTGTTAAAAATGTGAGCAGTAACTACACTGATGTCTTACCATGCATTCATTCAATCTAGATCTAGAGATGAACATTTATCTTAGGGTAATTCGTCTGATTTTGCTTCTACAAAAAGTTATATACGCAGTATCTTTGGAATGGGTTATCGCGATAGTTGAAAACCTGGTTTTGTCAAAAATAGTTTTCTGACAGTTATTGGCATATATAGATACATAAACATGATTAAGCAACTAGATGCAAATCAAATCTTTTATCTGAGGGATGTAAGTTCAACCTATACTCACTCAACTATTTCAATAAATCAAATTTAAAATAATACATTTTAGATGTGCGACTTCCAATTCGTATATAGAAATATGATGTTTTTTTCGATTTTTAATACTTATTTTTATTATTTCTTTAGACTACTTTAGACTAGGTTCCAGACCATTTTCTATGTTTTTTTTACTGTCAACTGTTTTAAACTTTCGCATCCGTTCTCTTTTCAAACTGCACGTAGTGTGGAGAAAGAAGATGGGATAATCAACCATTTATCCAATTTTAACTGAGCGAGAACAGATTACATATATAATATATATAACGATGTGATACTTTAAAAGTATAAGTGAATATAAACAATAAATATTCTTGATATTTTTACCGACTCTGAGGTAAAGGTCATTCTACAATAAACGGACTACCCACTACAAAATAAATATGTACAGTCCCACGCGAATCACCCCAAGACGACTCCGGGGGCCATCGGTCGCATACACTCCAAAAATCTCGCGACACCGTCCAAATTACCGTTCGAAATACTCTAAGGCAGCTTCAAGCTTTGGTCACTTGTATCAAGATCGGGTAATGGACGTCGTCTACATAGTCTCGGTTTTCCATCAGTGCCGCGCGCTTGTCCCAAATCGCCTGGTTATAATTAACGATCTTGTCGCATAGCAAACCGGTTGCCTCCGATTGCCGGATAAAGTTATTCAACGTCGAGCCCCTCTGGGGGGCCATCACTAGAGCCAACCCGTCCCTGGCCAAGTACGCGTTCAGACAATTCACGAAATCTGCTCTGGCCTCGTCGAAAAACAGACAATCGGCCGATATGATGATGTCGTATTGTTCGTGCGCGTGAGACGGCGGCTCGCCCCATTTTAAAACGGCGCAGTCGGTTGGACAGACGAACTCGTTATGCTGGAGAATGACCCGCACGTTTTCTATCGACGTTTTGTTACCGTCGGTGACGAGGACGCCCTTCGGGTTGCCATATTTGGCGATGTACAAACCGGCGAGACATGAAAGACCGCCGCCTAACTCTAACACGCGTCTACTGTCGAACAGGTTCAGGTTGGAGCAAGCGTAGTAGCTGAGCGCCTCCTCCGAAGGCCAGATGCACACGTTACCTGTGTTGTTGAAGCCCATGAGGTCTTCGGCGGAGAAAGCGCGGTCGCGATGAGCTACGTGAAGTGAGTAAGCGCGTCCGTTAACTTTCAACGAGTATTCGAACCAGGTGCGTTTGGAGACCTGCGCTTTGTCGTACTGAGGCGCCGTGAGCTGTCGAGTGCTTAAAAGCGCGAAAGAAGATATGCGTCTGACCGACGTCTCGTCCGTGGACTTCTATGGAGAATAGAGAGAGAAAAAAAAACGATTTGTGAGGGGAAGCATCAAGGCGAAATTAAATCAGCGACTTCATCTTAACCACATACTACAAAAATAAATGGGACACACTACAGTTCGTTTAAAGCGCTAGCGCCTTACAACGGATGCTGTCGCAACTTAAGACCTATTTAGAAAGTGTTAGACGAAGAGAATAAGAATGCCCAAACAAAATTTTCTTTAACTATTTTATGATAATATGATACATGATAGATGCTATAAAAAATGGTACTTACGAAATTAAATTTATTTAATACATATATTATAGGTGCGTTTTTATACACTATTTACTTCCACATAAATATATACCGCACACTGAATGGCCGTTTAGATCAACGGACAAACAAGTTTGTTTTAAATTATACAGGGTGATCTAAGAGAAAGTGCTCTCCTGGCTCTAAAATACTTTTAAGTATGCAGTGTTGCCGTTTCTATATAAACATTGCAACATCCTGCTTAGTTCCCCATTATTTAGTATCTTTCCAACTATTTTGCCCTTTTTCGGCATCCGCTTTAATTATAATACTTAAGGGTTGCGGAATTGAATTTTAAAAATACTATGAAATTTATATTTATTTATTTATATTTTGCGTTACGTCGCCGTTGCGTCGTTCTGGGAACCAAATATAGTCGCTATTTTTAATGGGATTCCCCGAACCGCTAGCGGATATTTCTTGAAGAGGATTATAGGTAAATTGGACATCAGAAAATGTATTGTAAAATATATAAAAGTATACATATGGCTTTGCTTGTCTTGATTGATTGATTGATTATTAAATTTGAAAAGAAACAAAAATAACATAAAAATGTCGTTAAGAGATAGTTAGAGGGAAACTAGATGTCGAAAGTCGGAGAACATATAGGGTGTGCTATTTAAAAAAAAACTCAATCAACCATGTTTCTAAAACTATCGGACAAAACATATTATGACGCCCTGTATGAAATACTACGCCAGGAAAGGATACCTGCGCTCATCCAAAAACTGCCAGGAAAATTTGTTTTTTCTGTATAATTAAAATTTAATTAATTATTTAATTAATATACGAAATTATCTTTTAAGCAAGTAATAAGCAAGATGTTGCCACCTTTATATAGACGCGGCAACACTGCATACTTGAAAATATTTTACAGTACCTCCTTCTTACATCACCCTGTATACTTCTAATAGGCCGGTAGTTTGAAAAATTTGGTATATTTATATATTCGTTCTTCGTTTTTGTTATCGGATTTTGATTTTGATTATTGAACAGAGAAACATCATTTATTCAAGCTATGTTTTTAATGAATATATATAGAAAAAACGAAAAATAAGAAACAAATTTTCACAAAATATATATCACAAACATAATTTGATAAACACAGACAAAACATAGGTGATAAAATGACGCAAATCGTGCAAAAGTGTCACCTCGCGGTTTGTGTCCGAACAAAATCTGATCTGATTATATGGTTGCTTAAAAACGTATTTACATGAATCAAAGACATTATGTTTTCGGCCCGAGTAAAGATTGAAATTCCTCATATATATAAGAAAGTCGAATAGGCAAACTGGAAACAGTTCTAATAATCTAATACAAAATCGTCTAAAAAAATATGTGTAATTTTATTTACTTCCTTATTTGTTATGCAATATGTAATCAAGCATAATTTTGAAAATTCGAAATAGAAATTATGTTTAAATTAAAGTTAAAAATATTATTAAAATTATTAATATAATAAATTCTGTATGATTACTAACACCCTCTACCGGGTAATTTTGTCAACCAACTTTTTGAGATACGCCATATTGATTTGACCACGACGATTTGTCATTTTATATGTTCGTTTTGGCTTTTTACTAAGACCGTGAATGTTTCATTCAATTTAAACTAAGCGTTGAAGACATGGGTGTGACGTCGGTAACACTGACCACGTCAAAGAAGCATTCGGTGATTTAAAATAACTTTTACTTCCGGTTAAAATTTCTATTTTGAAAACGGCATCGAAACGGTGGACAAAAATAGACATTTTTCCGGAAAAAAAACCTGCCAGTGTATTTTTCGTTGTCTTAGTTTTTTTTTATGATTTTTGATAATGTCAATGTTCATTGACATTAAAATATAATTATTTTAATGTAATCAATTATGACATTTTTAAAATGTTCGTACAAGAAAAATTAAAAATAAAAAGAATTTGAGTGCACAGCTAAATAAAGAGTGTTTCAAAATGCGATACAAAAACAAGTTTGACTTTTTATATACACAAGCGGTCAAATTTGTTTAATTTTGGAGATACAGAGTGTCAAAGTTTAAACAAAAGAACAAGAACTTTTTTTTATATGCATAAAATAAAGAGCCTTTTATTAAAATCAGCGAAATGATTTTGAGTAATTGATTAGAAACCGATTTTTTCCATAAACTTTGAGAGCCATTTCGGAAAAGTATAGAGTAATAAACTTGGAAATCCCGTCCAGCATACAAAAGCAAAATCCTAAGGATTCTAAGCTCTCCATAAACCCATCTAAAATATGCAAACATTGTAACATGTAAATTTTTCAAAGAAACTTCCATAGGCTACTGTAATACTTTTTACAAAACTTCTGGATTCCTCCTGCGTCGGTTTTTGCTAGTCGAAATTGCTGACGTTTCGCCAATCATCCTGTTGACTTCTTCAGAGCTTGACTGAAACTGGCTCGTATTTTACTCTGTACCTGCTTATTTATTTCTTGAGGGGGGTGGGGGCTAATGAGGGGTATAAAAAATCTCGGATGACTGATTCCCAAATTGGTGACAGGTAAAAACCTGAGTCGCGATTAAGATTGTTAGGTTGTTTATAGATTTCTATAGACTCCCGGATTTTTCGTTGGTAGAAGAACTGATTACATGCAAGAATTTTAGTTTTATCAAATAAAATTTTATGCCCGGTTTCATGAGTGTGTTCGGCAACAGCTGATGAGTTTATTTGTCTTAGTTGTAAGGCTCTTTAGTGTTCTTTGAGTCTAGTTGATATTTTTCGTCCGGTCTCTCCAATGTATTCTTTGCCGCATATGCATAGAATGCTGTAAACTCCTGGCGTCTCAAATGGAATTTTGTCTTTGACATAGATGTTGAGAGATTTTTGGACAAGTGGTAAATCTGGTTTTTGGACCGGATGGTGATGTGACCATGCATTAAGGTATTGGTCTGTGTGCGTAGGTTTTCTGTAAACACAATCACACAATGTTAGGTCTGATTTTCTAACGTATGTTATGTATGTTAGGGTGTATCGAGTTTAAATGTCTAAGAAAATCTACTAGAGTTTCTGTATCAAACTCCGTGAAAAAAATCTGTTACCCCTCATGACTCTAAAATTCCTCGTCTCTACGGACTTCCAAAGATTCACAAACCAGGATTACCCCTTCGACCTATTGTCAGCACCGTTCTCCAACATATTCTAAAGCTAAATATCAAGCTTCCTTATTAAAACCTCTTACAGGGAAAACTGACAGTTTCGTACTTAATTCCTTTCACTTCATTGAACAATTAAAAAGCATTACATTAGATAAGCAAGATATTCTAACTAGTTTCCCTCTCTACCAAAGTTCCTATTCCTGAAACTCTCGACATCATTTCAGATATATTAAAATCCGAGATTCTGGAACCAAACCTTTTCACCTTAACTGAAAAATGCTTACCGGGAACATATTTTTCTTATAGCGGTCAAATTTTTGAACAAACGTCGGGAAGAGCTATGGGTTCTTCACTTTCACCAGTCATCGCGAATATATATATGGAAGCCTTTGAGAAGAAAGCTCTCGACACCTTTCATCTAAAACCAAAATTATGGAGACGCTACGTCGATGATATGTTATTTGGCTTCATGGTCAAGTAGATTTTCTTTGACATTTAAACTCGATACAAAGTAACATACGTTTTACCATTGAGTTGGAAGCTAATAATAACCTGCCTTTCTTAGATATTCTTATCAATAGAAAATCAGACCTAACATTGTGTCATTGTGTTTACAGAAAACCTACGCACACAGACCGATACCTTAATGCATGGTCACATCATCATCCGGTCAAAAAATCATCGGTTATCAACTCTGTTTACAGAGCCGTAAAACTATCTCAGCCCGAGTCACTGAAAACAGAATTTAAACACCTTACCTCTGCTCTTCTCTCTAATAATTTCCACATTAAAGATATTAAACGTTCCATCAAAAAATACACTTCACCACAACATTCCAATAGCAATGAGGCCGAAAGCAATCCTACACTTGCCACTGTGATTCTTCCTTACATGCAAAAAATCACTGACCATATATCAAAAGTTCTGAAGCAGTATAACGTCAAAACCAGATTTACCACTTGTCCAAAAATCTCTCCACATCTGCGGTCCGTCAAAGACAAAATTCCATTTGAGACGCCAGGAGTTTACAGCATTCCATGCATATGTGGCAAAGAATACATTGGAGAGACCGGGCGAAAAATATCAACAAGGCTCAAAGAACACGAAAGAGCCTTACGACTAAGACAAATAAACTCATCAGCTGTTGCCGAACACACTCATGAAACCGAACATAAAATTTTATTTTTTTTATTTATTATTTTATTTAACAATCTTAATCGCGACCCAGGTCTTTACCTGTCACCAATTCGGGAATCAGTCATCCGAGACGGTGTTTCTACCCCTCATTAGCGCCCTCCCCCCCTCAAGCAATATATAAGTAGGTACAGAGTAAAATACGAGCCAGTTTCAGTCAAGCTCTGAAGAAGCCAACAGGATGATTGGCGGAACGTCAGCAATTTCCACTAAGCAAAATCCGACGCAGGACGAATCCAGAAGTTTTGTAAAAAGCATTGTAACATGTAACATAACATCTTTTATCATCAAAATGAAAATAAATTTTATCTTTATCTGAATACCGTTTTAATTAGTTTAATTAGCTGAAATTTTTGTTGCACTAAAAACACCTTATTCAAACTCATTGTCATTCAGTGGGTAGAAGAAATCGACGCGTTACGAACCTAAAAAACTTTTGGTTAGTTGGCAAATCCAATTAAGCATGTCAAAACGTAGAAATATAATGTTCACAATTTTTTTTTTGCGATTACGTCAAAAAACTACCTGGTTGCAAGGTCAATCAGAATCGTGTTACCCATAACACGATTGGAGATATGGATATTTTTTTAAATATTCGAATACCAGCCCTTATCACTTGCCTTGCAGAGCAAAAAACAGCCAGTAACTTTCAGCATTTTGTCTGGCCGATTTACTTCATAATTTTATTTCAAATTTTTAATATCGTCTTTTGTTGCCTTTAATGGGAGACCCATAAAAAGATTAGAAAACATTTTAAGTAAAAAAAAAGTTTAGCCCAAAATTCATTAACAAAGAACGAATTAGATTAAAAAAGTAAAAGTAAAAAACTACCGTAGCTTGGGCCATAAAAAAACTGAAATTTTCTTAATATTTGTAACACAGTTTTATCGTATTTAAAATAGTTAATTTTAAACCTTTGTAAAAACGACATAATACATTTTGCTTTTCTAAAAATCAGACCTGATAAAAAATATTTGGTCCCCTCTCCAACATTAAAACATGGACGCCTTCGCGTCGACCTGTTAATTATGAGGTTAAGAGGAGTACCTCAGATGACGAAGAATTAGGATTTTTTATGATTTAATTTTTGCAGAATGTACTTTTTGCCCGATGTTTAATAAAAAATAAGGGTACTTCTAATTCTACCAATGGAATGCTTAATTTTTATTCTATTAAAATAATATTCTCTCCTTCTTGTGAGTATCCTACCGGGACGCCGTTCGCACACTATTTTGCAATGAAACCAATACCAAACAACAATACTCGGGTCACTCTGCGGCCCCTTTGGATACCTAATGACTTTTTATTACTCTACACCTTGCTAAAATAGCAAAAAAAAGTCCAGTCACTCCAGTGTTTTAAGTTTCCGTACAAAAATAACTTTTTTGGTAAATTGTAGACGTAACAGACATTTCCAAATATCTAGAAAGCCAAACTAACAATAAACATGCAAAGCAAAATACACCCCATCCCCATCATCCCAATAATAATATCATAAAACAAACGTTAGGTAAAATATTTAAAATAAAATTAAAAACCAGAACAGTGAAGAGCGAGTGGGAGCAAAACATAACGATGCATTCCAAAGTACAGAGGAAAACGACCCTAATCTAGGAAACTAAGACACGAACTGTTAAGGGATACCTTCAACGCGTTCGCTAAGATCGCCCAACGTCTTCTGGCAACATTTTTTTTATCACGCGTCGCGGAACTGTCGAACAGTCGGATTCCGCCAAACTCAATTCCATAACTCAAATCTAATTCTAATTGGTCCATAGAAAAGGTAGTACGCATTATTTTGCGTCAATGCCTGCAAGTCGAAGTAACATTGGGTTAACGTACTTTACGCGTTCTTGTTTTCTGCGTTTAAAATAAACACGACAACGTAAAAGTGGGGCTGCACTAAATCAATAACAAATTAATTATTGACACAGACACAGATGTACGGGGTGGCGCGTTTATTATGAGATGATAATGTATAAAAAATATCAAAAAAGTATATCGCACCTTCGGAAAGACAAAAATTCGAAGTCACTTGCCGTGTCGCGCGCGAGTAAAGTGGTTGTCTGCAGGGACATTAAAATCGTAAGTAAGATAAATATGCAGTTTCTTTACTTTTGCTTTTGGAGAGACAAAGTCATATTTATGCCTATTTTATGAGCACACATTTGGAGAAATAAGGACGTCCAAACACTTGAGACTGTGTATTTTCAATTCTGTAGCCTTAAATACACTTATGGCTTTGTTATTATAATACCTGTTTCATATAATTTCCATAAAAAAAAAATTGTCGTACCCATTTTTATTACATTTTAGTAGCCTCAAAAACAATTACGGATTTTTGTTTTTTATAACGTAATTTTGTTATTTATTTGAAGATTATTCTTCTAAAACCATACTCGAGATATAGCTAAACAATGATGAAAGGGAAAATCAAGAGTCCAAGAGCAACATTTTGCATTTTGCTAGGATCCTAAGTTAGTGGAATGAGTGGAAGGCAACCTTCCAGAAGCAATGGATATTATATCCACGATGAACACAAGTTCAGGTATGGAGCCAAAATAAACAAAATGTTTGACTAATAGTACACCATTGTGGATATTTATTTCTTTATAATTAGATTAGTGATAATAATTATTCTTCCAGATTTTGAAAACCTGGATACTAAATTAGCGAAACGCAATACTTCTGGTTCCTCAAATAATGAAGACTTTTCGCCGTTAAAAGTATCAGAAAAGAAAAAGCCTCCATATAAAACTAAACCTTCTATTCGTGCCTCAAGTACTTCGAGCTCCCACAGCAGCTTCGATACATGGATTTCGAAAATACATTGTTAAGCATCTTATTTACTCATGAGAAATTGAAAAATAAACCTTGAAACAGTTTTTTTTTTCATTTTATTTACGTAGGTAGCGCTAAATAGAATTGAAGAAAATCCTTACTACATCCTTACCATTATCTAAAAGTACAGAATATAAGACCCGAAGATTTTTCGAATTGTTTTTTGTTTGTTTTTGCCAGTGGATTCTCAACCACCAAGATGTTTTAGATAAAATTTTATGGCCTGGCGAGGCAAGAAATTCAAGAGATAAAGCTCTTAACACTCAGAACGCGTACTTATGGAGTAATGAGAATCCGAGGGTTGTTCAACATAGGTTTTCTATCAATGTTTGCGCAGTTATCATAGGTAATACGTAAATAGGACCTTTTATTTCCTTTATTTACAAATGATTTGGCCGAATTTTAGGATAATGTGGACAAGTGAACAAGTCGAGGTGGCCTAGTAAATTGGCCAGCTCGGTCGCCTGATTAAAACTCACTAGATTATTATCTGTGAAGAAAGCTGTATAATTCTCTTTAAGCCACAGAAGTAGATATTCCAGAAGACTAAGGCGAATAAATGTTCGAAAACTTCATGTAAATTAGTGATTTTTCATTGTTAGCGGTTCAAAACGGAATTATGCATTAAACTTACTAGTTATTCTTATTTTATTCTTCATAATAATAATCTGCTATTGAGCCTTCAAATAAAAATTAACAAATAATGTAGAGTAAAAAAGTCTAAAAGTAAACCCACAAAAAAGTTATTGCAGTTTTTGTTACCTGTGCTCCTCAAAAGTTACACCTTCAACAAAAATTTGACATTTATAATTATAGAATCAGATTCAGCATGCCATGACTAAAACGCTAATATTTCAGAGTTGTCTCAACCTATTTCGGAAATAATAATAAAAACGATTTTCTGGCCCATTACTTTTAGGCACAGTGACTCCCTTAGGGGGCGTTTCTCGAGATATCTTTATATAGAAAAGTAGGGCTTATTTTTGACCTAAAATATGTTGTTATAGTTTGGTCCATTAATTTCGGGCCACCCTGTATATGGGAGGAAACAAAAAAGTCTTGAAGCACCATGTCTTAACGATAGTTAGAAAGGGTAGCGTTATATTGTGAATTTTGGGAAGACCATAGAGTCAAGGAACGTGGGAGTCTTTGATGACAGATTTAATGTTATGTTGTATCGAACAAGTTAAATAAGACGGAGTCCACTGAAAAATCCAGCATTACGTTTGCGAAAACGTCAGTAAGCTTCTTAGCCTGGTATTCAGTTCTTTGAAAAACAGATACAGATCATTTTTATTGAACAAAAATTATCAATTAACCTTAGCATTCATCCATGTTTATGAAATATCTGGGACAAAAAATGTTTTTCTTTTTGAAGATTTTCTTGCCAAACATTACAGCGCACAAATCCCTACCATTGACCACTGAGCCACAGCCTTCCAATAAGGGCAGAGATAATACGGTATACGTCTCGAAAAATCAAGAGTTAGGAGCCAGAATTCATAAACCGAGGTTGGAAACCATTATCGGAAGAATTGTTTTTTATTACATGGGATAAGCTAGCAAGCGTCTGAGTGGTTCAATTTTAGTAATAGCCTGCAATAAATAAATGATAGTGTTGCAAGGATCGAATACCCAATATTCAAATTATAGATCATATAGAATGCAACAAAAAACCAATATAGAACTATCACTACAATTATCATACCATACAAATTGATAAAATGCTTAGAAACCAGCAATACATGGTCAGGATATAAAAACTTCAAGCCAGTTACTAGGGTATAGCACATATTGTTCCATATACTTGCACAAAATAAAAATAATGAATGAAAATTGCATAATATATTGTCTACTTGTATAACCAATTGGAAAACCTACAATTTGTAAAATTGTCAGCACCAAAATAAACTTCGACCTATCAGTTTAAGTAAATGTTAAGTATTATTTTTAAGGATTTACTATAATCCGCATTAACGGAAGTTAACGATGGGATGCTCTTATCATTAGTACAAAGCAATGTTTTGAAAAGAAAAACTGTAACTGCAACTCTATATATCAGTACATTTTACTTACATTTTACGAGCTTATGATTCGTATCCACTAGAGAACTTATAACTGCACAAAATCTAAAATTTTACTAAGAAATAATAACTTATCTTAAAAATCAACAGTACAATATCAACAATACTTCATACTTAGCCATAGAAACGTTACCAGAAGTGTCTGGTCAAAGAATGACATGAGAAAAAATTATCCAATCGTGGCCAAATTTGTTAAGATCAAATGCCCTAACCACAGTTGAGCATTGCACGCGGCGGTGTAACCTCCGTTCGCTCCCGACAGAATCCTTTGTAATCGTTCCCAAAAATTATGGAAGCGGTTTCCACTGGGTGGATTTAGTGTTTTTAGTGTCTAGTGAGTGTTTTAAGGTTTAATCGTCGTCGGCCACTCGGTTTTTCCTGTTCACGCCTGTGTGGTGGCCGGATGGGTCCGGATGGTCCGCGGAGGAGGCCGTTTTTTTTTGTTATCGGCCAAAGTCCTATATTGGAAGCTGAGAATAAATGTTGGAAGTAGCTTTTATATTAACTTTTTAAGAAGAAATTCTTCGACGGATGTCGGTAATGGGTGAATGGCCATAGTAGACTTGCTTAACTGTTTGTAAAGAGGAAAGAAGAAGATTTGCCCTAACCACAGAATAGCGAGGTAAACTGAGAATTATTTTTTTTTTCACACTTTTAAATGAAACTCTTTTGTGTCTAAAACACAATTTTGAGTTTAATGCCAATCTGATCAATTATACAAAAAAAAAATAATCAATCACATTGTAATTATTCATATATTCTAAATGTGAATATGCTATGGTTTCCTTAACCTAAGAAAATGACATGAGATTTTAACAAGTTTTAGTAATTTAAATAATATTTCGTGATGGTAGATTTAATACTAACGGAGCAATATGGTTCAACCCAAGATATAATATCTTTTACTCAACGTGAGATATTTTTTCTACGGGGTTCTATATAATACATTTTAAAATCTTTTCAGATGGAAATGAAATTGTTGAGGTAAAGCCTCAAAAGAACTTCTTTAAGTGCATTTTCTCTTTTACTACATTTTTTCGAGAAATTCTTCTCCCATATGGATATCCTCAATCAGTGAGTGATGACTATTTAGAATATCAAACCTGGGACACATTACAAGCATTATGTAGTACAATAACGGGGTCGTTTACCATGAGGGCTGTGTTAAGGGGTGTTGGTGTTGGTGATAGTAAAGCTACTGCCTTATCAGCGGCCTTAACGTGGATCATGAAAGAAGGTGCAGGAATGATAGGAAGAATTGTTTTTGCATGGTGGAAAGGGTAACCTCCAAGCTAAAATTTACATTCTTCAAACAATTTTAGATGACCTATATAAAACTGAATACATTTTTGTCCATAATTTTGAAACAATTAAGAGAAGTGTAATGTGAAAGTCGAAGTTTTATAGAAGGCGAAGAGTTATTAAAAGCAAAACATATAATTTTAATTGGGTTTGCTGTAGGAACCAATAAGTTATAAGACAAATTTTTGTACAAAAAAAAGAATAATTGTCATTTGCTATTTCTTGAATTATATCCATCAACGGACAAATTTATTTTATATTGGAACTGGAATCGTTAAGCTTTTTCTTGAATGTCGAACTTTCAGATGAGTCCATAAAGGCACTTAATCCCGAACTTTTTTGTAAACAATATCAACAATAAAATTGCAACTCAAACATGGATCTCATATGAAAACGATGCAATGAATCCCAATCCCAGAGGTCTCATTAAATTTTAAAATCACTAATACTCTCCAACGTTCTGAAAAAAGGTTTTAATTCTATTTTTTATATATTATATTTTGTTAGTTTTTTAATTACAATGTAAATTCAAATTTTACGCGTAACCTAAAAAATATTTTTCTATCTTTGGCATAGAAAGTATCTCACAAAAAATAAACATTGCTGCTTTCATTTTTCTGCAATGTAAATAATTCATTTTTTTGCAAGTCGTAGTATTAATCTCATGGTATAAACTCATCTCTTGTAAATCCATCATATTAAAAGAAATTTTCAGTTAGGAATCAGATAGGGAGCAGTTTTCTCTTACACATTTGCTAAGAGTTTAGATAAATTACATTAAAGATAAGATAAATTACATTAAAAAACTTAGTACTTCACATTAAACATTAGACAAGCGTACATCTCAATGACAGGTATAATCAAGAAATATATAATATTGTACTATTACTGATTTAAACATTTTTTTTTTAATAATTAATTTTAAATGATAAAAAACACCTTATAATTCAAGTAGCTCGTGATAATCATTTTGCTATTTAAGAATTCCAAGAAAATTCACAAATTTCATTGCAACATTCAAAAATACACACACTTTATTATCAGCATACTGAATTACCATCATTTTAAATAAAGTAGGTTTCAAATTTATCTATGTTCATAAATTATTTTTTTTATTATCTCAATAAATTATGATGGGGTCTTACATCATACTGAACACACATAAAACACATTCGGTCATCAAAAGAGTGATTCGGCAGCTGGCTTTTTGGCTGCGGATTTCTTATATTCTCGCAATTTCCCGCACAAATCTTACAAAAAAAGCTTTACACGTTAATTTGTTACTTTTACAATAGACTTCTTTTTTGTTGCTATATTATTTTCATTCATTTCAACCATTTCAGAAGCGAGCTCGACCATAATTGCAAAAAATGGAGATTTTTCGCGGACATCTTGAATGATGCCGCTATGCTAATCGAACTATGCTTGCCACAGTTTCAACAGTATTCTACTGAAGTGCTTTGCGTAACTTCAGTTATGAAATCTATAGTAAGTTAGTTTGTATTCAATAATATTTACCTATAATTTTTCAATTTTTATACCAAATTTATTTGAATTATGAACATTTAAGTACAAGAGTGGTTACTATATGGACTGGCTCAAAGTCAGTGGCATATTAAAAGTCTCTGATATGATATCTATCCCTCTAACATTGCTAGTGCTATATCTCATTATTGTAGAAATAAACATTAACACCCTCAAGGATCCCATTCAGGTCGGTTTATATGTATTTAATATCTTTTTCTACTCACTACTACTACTTGCCCCAGGGATCCGAGCCACTTCGAACATTTCCGACATATTACCGGGTTTGGGATGAATCGGATGTTTTCGGAGATTTTACCGCACGGCACGAATTTTGATGTTTGACGTCTTGCCATTGAATGGATTTGTGTTGTTTTGCAAAAATGTACTCAAAAACCAACGGTCAGTAACCAACACCAACACGTTTGGTAAACTTTTTAAGTCGGTCGTTTATTCAACACCCGCTCCGCTCGTGCTAAATAAACTCCTTACTCAAATGCCTTTTACCACACTTGTTGCATAATATACTATTTGCCGCTAACTTCTGTAAAATACCTAATTATTTACCGATCTAGCATGCCGAAAGTGACATTTTTCCATATTAGTTTCGTTTCCTACGGCTTGGATATTACCGCACGGGCTCGGGAGCAATCGGGTGTTTTAGGAGATAATTTTACACGGCTTGAATTTTGACGTTTGTCAATTCCGATGTCACTTAATGTATTTGTGTTGTAACCAACGGCCGTAGAAAAATTGCAACAGGTTTGGTAATAGTATATTCTGCAACAAGTGTGGTAAACGGCACTTGAGTCACAAGTTTATTTGGCATGAGCGGAGCGAATAACTTAAAAAGTTTACCAAACGTGTTGCATACTATATTTTTTCTACAACCCTTAGTTTTTGGGTACATTTTTGCAAAACAACTCGAATACATTCACTGACATGACCGTCAAAATTCAAACCGTGCGGTAATATCCCGGAAATGTCCGAAGTGGTTCAGGCCGTGGGACAAGACTCTCACGTGGTAAAGTGACGCTTCCCGCACTCTAGTTCGGTGTAAAATTAGGTATTTTACAGGAGGGAGTAGAAAACTTTTTTTTGTCGCTCGTTTATTAAGCACTCGCTCCGCTCGTGCCAAATAAACTCATGACTCAAATGCCCACATTTATTGCATAATATACATAAATTAGATACTTTTTCGATAAATGGTTTTTGCTCTGTCATTAAGCGTATGTGGTGGTAGGTTTCAGAATGGCTGAAAGCATTTTGTCAAACTCGGAGTTGTTGAAAAGGGGTCTTTTTAAGCTTCTGTCTGAGCACATTGATCCACATAGCGCGTATTTGGCATCTAGAAAGCGTTTGGAGACATCACTATAAATAACATTTATTTTCCAATAAATGATAGCCCAAAAAGAGTCTAAAACGGTAGTGAAAACCGCATTTCGATATATCTTATATCTCTTATACCTATACTATCAGTAAAAGAAATAGAAACTCGCAATAATATCGCATTTTTAGGAATATTTTCGGTATACCTTGTTAAATCCTAATTTTCCTTCTTCTAGCAAAATGTATCTATAAATTTACAGTTAAAATAAAAGAATTTTATAATTATATTATATTAAAATATCAATATTAATTAATATGATTGAATATTGCCTATCTGTTTTTACGAAATTCGAATTTTTGAAAATGGTGATCATATTAAGATTACAGATATTTTTAATATGTATTGGTGGTCTTATTTGTATAAAAAAGGCTTTTCCATATGTAGAAGTTCTTATAATATGTTTTGTGTTTCTTTCAAAAACATTGAAAATGCAACTGTTTTGCAAAGATCTTGCTGTTTTATCTGTATTGTTGTTGACATTTTAAATATAATGTTTTCATTTAAACAATAAATTGTAGTATTTAATAATCGTTGGTACCCTGAATCCCAAAGATCTCGATATTATTTTGTTTTTATTTCTTTTACTGATATTATAAATTTGAAAAGAGATATAGCAATGAGATTTCACTAGCGTGATAGACCCTTAGTTGGCTATCTTTTGTGGCAAACAAAAGTGACATCGTCGCAATTATTTTTTTTGAGAAAATAAATGCCAACCTCCGGAGCTGTGTTGATGGCCTAAGAAAAGCCCTTTTCAAGTTCGACAAAATGCGTCCAGCCACTCTGAACATTTATTTTCGAAAATGTTCGTCCTGTCTCTCCAATGTTATTGTTTGTCTCATTTGTATGAAATGCTGTAAACTCCTGGTGTCTCAAACGGAATTTTGTCTTTGATGGATCGAAAATATTGACAGATTTTTGTAGAAGTGGTTTTAACATTATGTTTCTTAAAAACCCTTGATATATCGTTTGTGATGTTTTGAATGTAAGGCAGGAACACAGTGGAAGGTTGTGGTTCAATGTATTTTGTAAAGGAAAGCAACTTCATGTGGACCACATATCAAAAGTTCTTAGGAAATATAATGTTAAAACCAAACATCTCTCAATATGTTCGATTCATCAATAACAAAATTCAGTTTGATACACTAGGAGTTTACAGCACTCCGTGTATATGTGGCAAGGAAAACATTGAAGAGACAGGACGAACAATATCAACTAGGCTAAAAGAATATGAAAGAGCCTTAAGACTACGACAAATAAACTAATCAGCATTTGCCGATGACAATCATGAAACCGGACATCAAATCTTATTCTACTAAACCAAAATTATTACATGCAGACAATTCTTTTACTAAAGAAAATCCATAGAATTCAATAAAATCAAACAATCTTAACCGCCACTCTCTTCACCTTTTATCAATATGGGAACCTTTCATCGGAGACAATGTTGATGTCGCTCTTTTAGCTCCGCCTCGCTTAAACAGTATAATATAAGCAGGTACAGGGTAGAATTCATACCAGTTTCAGTTAAGCTCTGAAGAAGCGTCAGAAAGTTTTATTGATTGACAACCGATGCAGGAGGCATCCAGAAAATTTGTGAATATGTGTTGCTAATGTGGGACCTTCTTTTTTACCGATTCTTTAAAATAATAATAATAATAATTTTCTTTTTTATGTGGGGATTGCCGGCGGAGCCACCAGAGCTTCAATAACATATCACCAGGCGATCAAAGACAATGTGGCCGATATATCGGCTAAAGACGGCAGTCAAGAAACGGTTGTGAATTTAATCGGCAGTTTCGCCAGTATATTTCTGCTAAACTATTTCACGGATTCCACGTGAGTGAATAAGTAAAATTTGACACACCCTTTTTACTTATATATAGTGTTTCAAAAAGTAGGTCAACAGAAATTCATATTAATAAAGCTAAACACGCTTTGTAGTTTGGTTATGAGCTAGCTTTTCGAAAAGGTGAAAACTGGTGTACATAGAGTTTTTGACGTAGTATCCAGTAGCGTAGTTTTTTCTAAAACTAACAAATGTTGATATATAAACTAAACTTTTTCAATAGAATATATTATATTATATATATATATATATATATATATATATATATATATATATATATATATATATATATATATATATATATATATATATATATATATATATATATATATATATATATATATATATATATATATATATATATATATATATATATATGATGACACTATATTCCGGGATATCATCCGTTCGCTCGTTGAACTCCGACTGGAATCCTGCATCCGACTGGAATCCTGCAAATCTTGCATCCGACTGGAATCCTGCAGACGTTTCGCCAAAATCTCACTTGGCATCTTCAATGCTCGCGTTCCGAAAACACTTCGAACACTCAGTGTTCGAAGTGTTTTCGGAACGCGAGCATTGAAGATGCCAAGTGAGATTTTGGCGAAACGTCTGCAGGATTCCAGTCGGATGCAAGATTTGCAGGATTCCAGTCGGATGCAGGATTCCAGTCGGAGTTCAACGAGCGAACGGATGATATCCCGGAATATAGTGTCATCACATTTTTCCATCCGTGAATCAATACGTGAGAATATATATATATATATATATATATATATATATATATATATATATATATATATATATATATATATATATATATATATATATATATATATATATATATATATATATATATATATTAAATTGTATACTACCGGTGAAAATTTGTTAAAGAAAGGATATTTAAAGCGTTATCAAAATGCTCTTTTATAGTTCACCGAGTGACCCTCAAGTTCAAGAGACAAATGGCAAAAATGTTGAACCTTTTTAAATGCATATTTATCAATATCTCCGATATATTTTGATATCTTTTGGAAATTTGGTAATATCACATCTAAACACAATCCAAAAAACTCAAAGAAGTAATCAAAAAAAGATTATTCCTTTGGCCCCCATTTTCTGTAAAGAACATGAAGTTTGTAGTTAGATTGTAGCTTAATTAAAGGAAGAAACACAAATTTTGTCATTTAAATTAAAGTATTATTAGAGATATTAATGAGTATGAGTGCTATTGATACTTCAGTCAAAAAGAATATATGGTGCCCAAATTGACCTACTGTAGCTGCCTGTTAGTAACGCTTAGACAGAGGCACAAAGACGGTTAAATTGTTTTGTGTTTCGTCTATTTTAAGAAAAAATTTCAGTGCGTAATCCAAAACAAAACCTTTTAATTACTAAGCTAAGAGATTATCTATTATAAATGTTACCACAATCTAACTTTTTTATTTTACATTTTAGAAAAAATAGTTTATTGCAAAATGCATGATGTGAAGATTTAATATTACATACCTATTTATATGCAAGGTGTGCCAAACAAGCGTGGTATTCAAAGTTGTATTTTTACATTAATGCCAGAATTAACAAAAAATAAAATCTTCAAGTCAACGCCACGTCTTTTGTTTATTGTTTTTTATGACAGTTGCGACAAATTTTAAATATTTTCATAAAAGGATATTGTTTTCAATTGACAAAAAGTTCGAAATATCGTTGTATATATTACATCAAAAATATATAGATATTACAAATATATAATCAGTAATTCATTCATTAAATGTTGAAAAAATCAGCTTCCCACATTCTTTTTTCTATTTGATGATCTCTTTTGCTTCATTGCTTAAAGCATTTTTTACGATTTCTTCTGAGAAAGAGTGCCGGTTCTATCTTTTCTTGTTCTTTACTATGTCCCTCTATTTTTAACACTGCCCATAGTTCAATAATTATTTATAACTCTTTTGCATTCAGAAACAGAGCATAGTGCATTTTTTAGATTTCTTCTATTAACTAAACACAGGTTCAAGACAAAAAAAAGAATTAGAGTCCAGGGTGGTTCGAAATTCACTGATTTATCAATTACCGAATATAGGGTATATATTACATTAGTAAAAAAAAGAAAAAGGCACAAGATCTCTAAGAGCGAAACACCTTTTCAGGTCTGAATGGTTGTTGATATTGTCGCTAATTATATTGCATTTGTATACAAACTACATGGCGGTAAAGTCGCTTGTTTTCAAAAATTTCAACAACCAGAGGATAGCGATAGTTTTGAAAACTTTTCTGACAGTCGGAACTGTACCGAGTCCGAGTAAAGTGAACAGCAACGAAGCTATTTTGCACGGGTTCGACCAAACAGGTAAGGACTGGTTTTTAGTAATACACTCTGTAAACTGAGATTTGTTTATCTAGGTTTTAGAATGACATACATTTTATTTTTGCAAAGCTGCCAGATCCAATTTTACTTTTTTTTTTAATGAATTTCTACAGGCTACAGTAGCACTATTTACAAACCTTCTGGATTCTTTGTGTGCCGTGATTTCCATATTGGTGAAAGGTAAAGATGCGGTTAAGATTGCTTGGTTGTTAATGAGTTTATTTGTCGTAGTCTAAATATACTCTTTCATGTTCTTTTAGCTTAGTTGACTGTAAAATTCCTCGTTTCTAAGGACTCCCTAAGATTCACAATCTTAATACATTAATATTATAATATATAGATACTTAAGTAATTTAAAATTGCTAATAATTAAAATTTAAACGTAAATGCAGACATACATACATGCAGTTGACACAGTTGACGCAGAAACAGGTTGGGTAAAATAATAAATTAAAAAAGATTAAAAATCGAAATTAAAGCTATAAAAGCTATAAATTGGATATTCAACCTATTCTCTGGAAAAATAACTAGCTTTTAAAAATCCTTTAATTATTTCACTTTATTGAGCAATTAAAAACCATTATATTAGTTAGTCTCGACTTAGAATCTCTCATTTCTAAAATCCTTATTCCTGAAACTCTCAACATTATTTCAGGTATATTTAAATCCGAAATTCTGGAACAAAGTTTTCTCACCTTAACTGAAAAATAATGGTCAAATTTATGAACAAATATTCTGTATAGTTCTGTATTATTACTTGTAGCAAATATATGGAAGCTTTTGAGAAGAAATCAATCAACAACTATAATGATTCCTATGAAATTTTCTTAATCTTTTAAACTCTATACACTCTAACATACGTTTAACCATTGAATTAGAAACTAATAATAATCCCTCATTTTTAGATATTGTTATTGATTGAAAATCAGACCTCACATTGGGTCATTCAATTTACAGAGAACTACCCATTAATGCATCACCATCAGGGTCAAAAATCATTGCTTGTCTTGTTTGTTTACAGAGCAGTAAAACTATCTCAACCTGAATCACTGAACCCAGAATTAAAACACCTAACATCTGCTCTTCTTTTGCATCACTACACAATCCACTTCACCACAATTTCCCAAAGAACATGAAACCAAACTCAGGTCTTTGCAAACCAGTTTCAGTTAAGCTCTGAAGAAGCCAACAGGATGATTGGCAGGAAGATTCCAGAAGATTTGTATTACAGTAAAGAGCTTGTGGAAGTTGCTTTAAAAAAAAGAATTATTATAAAAAAAATAAAGAGAGTATAAAGCTTTGTGTGAAAGAAAAATAATCCGGTATTGCGATTTTAACGCCACCAAAGAACACTGAGTAAATGCCACACTCGCATATTTCACCCTAAAGAAAAATATTTCTGTTAAAATACATCGAAATGTGTTTTAGTTAAACGCATTTGTGGTTTCGAGATAATACTCGGTGAGTCTATAAGTAAACCACTGAAACTTTACACTGTCGCCGAGCTGAAACAAATATTATCAGTTTACGAACAAGAGAAATACCTTCTTCTGGTGCATTCCGAGAAGAGGAAAATTTACGTGTCGTTTGAACACGGAGAAAATGCCAGGGACGTAATTGCCGCTTATTTTCACGCAGTACTATTAGCGATAGCGACGAGTATTTACAATTCTACGAGTTTGGTAAGTGGAAACAATTGATAAGTGGTAGTTACATAGAATTAATAGTCCTAGAAGGCTAGTAGAGAGTGAAACCCCGGCGAAGAAAGAGAGAAAGGAATGGGGGTTAGGATATCTGCGGAATTGTATATGATTAGTCTGTATACCTCAAACCCTACCAGCACAGCGTTGCCGTTATTTACATATTTTCCTTAATTAAAATATATTTTCTCTTCCTTTCAATTTCCCTACGACGGTCGGAGCGCGCGACATCTAGCAGCGACGGGCGGAACCGGGGCAAAACAGGACGCTACACAAGCTGGGTGGGGGGCGGAGCGCACTCTGGTAGCCAGGGGGAACACTAAGACGCCACGCGCGGTGGGCCCCCGCTGCGGGGGGTTAGGAAATTGAGGTTATGTGCGGTTTTTGCTGCTTATATCGGCACTATATATCTACTTTTTATATTCCCTCATTCCGACTTTTCCTAGGTCTGCCTCTTTTATTTTTCCCTTCTGGTGCCCACATTAACATTTGTTTTGGGATTCGATTTTTGATTTTCTCTTTTTGATCTTCCAGCCGATCTCCTCCCAAATTCCTTGCTAGTTGCTATAAGCATGTTTTCAGTTTTGTTCTTTAGTTGCCATGGTATTTTTATTAGATTTTGAGATTTTTTGGTGCCACAGAATCCCATTCAGCATATATAATGCTCTTCTATTTTGTATTATTTGCTCCTTTATCCCCTCATCTAGTGTTCCGTTACGTGTTATTTTTAGTACTAGACATACTCTGCAGTTTTTAATGTGACATCCGTCTTACAATATACTTTCCTTTCTAGTAATGTTGACTTCCAAAAACCCATTTTCACACTCTTCCGCCAATTTCCTTGTCATATACTCTCATATACTCTAGGTCATCATGATTTTGAGGAGTACTTATTTGTTCATCGTTACTACCGTTACATAATGGGATTCCCATTCCTCTGTAATTTTGTGTAGATGTACAGTGAGATAGAGGTTAGCATAGAACTTTATGTCGATACTGCCGAGTTCTCTAATTATTCTTGATAACAATGATGAATAGTTCACTCAAGTTCTTCGACTGCGGATTTTCGAACCAACGAAGAAAATTATCCTGTTTGATTTCCTTATAATAGCTTTAAAATAACCACAGACTCTCTTTGAAGTGCGTCGTTTTTTAAAAGGCGATTTTAAAACTTGGTCAATGTTAACTGAATTTTAAAAAGCACCAACAGAGTGAAGTTAAAGCTTAAAAATAAGAGACAATAAAGTTAAATCAAAAATTCCTATTTGGTCACACGACATGCACGACTCACCTCCCTAACAGCATTTAAGGGGTATAAAGGTGAGTAGTAGGAGTATTAATTCTATGGTTATCTAAATGCAGACTAAAATAGACCAGAAAATTTGTACACTAGTTTAGTAGATAGCTACAGACTTTTAACTGTTTTAAAAATATAAAGATTGAAGTATATATTATTTTTATTTAATTATAGTAAAATGCTATTAGTACTAATAGAAAATACAAGGACACTAAGTACATACAAATAAAATCAATCTTCTTAAATGTGCTGTACTGTATTGTCCAGCTCTCAACAGATATATTTTTTAATTAAATTTATTACACAGGGACTTAAAGTAGGATTTTCGTTTCATAGTAACACTCAGAACAAAGACAACTTCAAACATTTACAAAGAAGCCGGTTTCGTTTTTTGCCCTTTTAATGAAAGTTTCAAGAATGAAATGACCAGGTCATTGTTAAAACTTAATAGTAAACATGAGGGATAATTTCATTAAACTCTTAACTCAGAACAAAGCCAACCTGAAAAATCTACAAAGAAAACTTATTTCGCTTTTTGCCTTTTTTATGAAAGTTTTCACAATGAAAAGGCATCTTAATTAAATTATCATGAAAAATTAATAATACCATTTTATAACTCAAAAAGTACAACAGCAAAAGATTTATTAAACACAATAAATTGTAATATCTTAGACGTACATCGAGAAATGTTGGGGGGAGTAATAGAGTAACTAGAAATTTATAAACAAAAATATTTTTTAAATAATGTGTAACGTCCTGTATTATAGGGTTGAGCACAAAGAACCTCATTGATGGGTTGATCTATCTTTTTGACTCACTCCATTTGGAAGATATTTTGTGAATATTTGTACCCTAAAAGTAAAAGTAAGTAAAAGATCATGCTTTCCTAATAATTTCACGGATTTACAAAAATCGACATTTTAACTTTTAAAGTTTTTTTCTACTTTTTTATTCCTACTTTTTAGCGTAAGTATTTAAATTAAAAAATCATAAAATCCCCATTATATTAAAAAAAATCATAAAAATATTAAATAGAATTTTACGAAAATGTTTTTAATTCAAATTCGTTAATTTTTCAAATAAACTTCTACAGGCTGCTACTGTAATACTATTTTTAAATTTGGATTCTTCCTACAAACAATTTGTAAGCAGACACAGATGGTTAAGCTCTGAAGAAGTCAACAGAATGTTTGGAGAAACGTCAGTAAGTTCAATTCCTCAACAACCGACCCAGGAGGAATCCAAAAGAGTTGTGAATAGTAATAAATTGGTTCTCTAACGCGTTTTAACGTTTTTTTTTTTATTTATTATTTTTCGCATCCATTCCAAAATGTTTAAGTTTTTACACGGTATATAGTGAACTAAAACAATGCGCACTTTTTAATTATTATAAAAGTTTAACTGTATTTTAGGATATTTATTCGAAGAGGCAACTGCACCACACTACTCCGATAGCAATAATTCACACGTTTATGAACGCATATGAAAAATATATCGACGATTACAGAAACATTCCATTTAATTACCTTATACCTTTCAATAAACTCGTGAAACAGGAGTTTAACATGTTTGTTACTGCATTGACTGTAAACGGTAATTATATCATATATTTTTTACAAATTAATTCTGTTCCATAGACTAATTTTTAAAAAAATTAAACTACTATAGACCATATTTTTGTAAAATTTCGATTCAACAATATATTATGAATCATTTTTAATCAAAAAAACAAAACGCAAATTTAAGGGATAGTTTTTAGGTTAGTGGGGCAAGCCTAAAACATTATTTCTTAATGAAATTGAGACGTTTTTTTAACGTTTACAACTGCAACTTCATTCTGGCCAGTAATGCTTAAAAACAATCAAAGTAACATAGGTTACTTTATAAAATTTGCATTCAAAAATTTCATATTATGATCAATTAATTTAATTAATTAATTTAAAAAAACAAAAGGCAAAAAGTTGATAGAAAATATAAGGAGGTGAAGTTGAGCCATATTTGTAACTTCCCTTGATAAATTTTTTTCGAAATTTTTTATACATCCAAACTGTCAAGCAAATGTCCATTTTTTTTTAATCTCGCGCACTTTGCTTCGAAATTATTATTTATTAAAATAATAGTAAGTAATATATTTTTACAATCGTTTACAACTACAAATTAATTTTGTAACCACCCTTAACAGGTTTTTTTTTCAAATTATTTTTTTAATTTAATATTGAACTATTGAAATTCTACTTTTTTGAACCGCAAGCTCTGGCGTACTTTGCTTACAAACTATTCGTTATTAAAATAATTGTAATACTTTTTTAGGGTGGAGCATGGGATCGCATTCAATGAAGGTCGGCGAGCATAGGATTGATTTCAAGACCCACAAAGCAAAACTTACATGAAACATATTTACCAATGTCAAGTAATTAATAAATATGTTTTTTACAGTGGCAAGCGTTGTCAAAATTCTATTTAAGATTAAAAAACTTTTAAGAATACTTAATGCGAGGTAAGTAACGAACGATCGCTTCTCACGTGTAGTTTTTTTTATCGACGCCATGTTGGCTTTTTCAGTTTTCCTCATCACGTTTTTAATGAGTTATTTCGTATTTGAAAAAAAAACTACTTAAATATTCGAGGAAATGTCCTTATCAGAGTCCGCCAAAACACCGCAATTATATTGTTTCCAAAAATTTCGGCTCTTCTCGCGCTATTGTAAAAAGCTAAAAAGTTATTTCGTACTGCTTAAATTATTTTAATAGGAACAATTTTCTACAATTTCAATATATTTATAGATAAATAATTTGCTATGTAAACTAACTTAAAACGTCCCTTTTAGTGACGGATAGATTTCGTTGTTGAGTTAGTTCAAGTTCGTACATGTAAGCTAGAAAGCAGCACCATACCAAACTGCATAAACTAACAAAAGGCACTCTGTTTTTCTCCTTAACGTACATAAAGTTAATCGTTTGAAGGACTGGCCATACACATATACCCACCTAAAAAAGTTGATAGAACTATTAAATAGGAAATATACCGGGTGGCTCGCAGAATCTGGAGAACGGACACATTATACACTGGAAGGCCTGTTGAAGTATTTGGCGAACGGATCAACACTCCTTGAGAAAATCTTAATACTAATAATAATAATCTTGATCTATCCGAACAGAAAGCCGAACTTTTCCGGACAGTTGCTGAAAGGGCTCGGACATTCTTGCCTTGCATATCATTTTAGATGGGACATAAAGGGTGTTTCAAAAATAAGATTTTATACGTTTATTGAGCAGTAAGGCAATAGAGCTCTATAAGAAAAAAATGCATGGCAAATTAAATTTGCAGCTTTTAAAATTTAATTCAGTTTTTAAAAAATTGTTTAATTGTTTTTTTTACTTATCTTAAATGTAAAATCTCAAAGCCCTTACTTTGCTCTCTAAGATCAGAAAATCCCAATTTAAAAGTCTATATATAACTACAACAGAGGAATATACTTTACAAATAATGGAACATGATACGAAAAAACTAAACGCACGTCGTCACTAATATTTCAAGTGTTTGCATAGCCAACTCGTTCAAAAATATAATTTCCTGGACTATTTTCTTTAGTATCACATGAAATAATTTATTTTGAACATGTATTCTTTCATTTATTAATACCTAAAAAATGACCTTTTTGCGACGTAAGGATTTTCGCAAAAGTCGTTTTTTTTTTAAATGTTTTACGCCTTGTATCTTGGAAACTAAACATTTGCGGACGCATGTTTGCTGAAACACTATAATATTCACATATTCATAACTTGGGGAAAAAATGTGTTTCTTAACGTCTTTTAAAAATTACGAAAAAACATTCCGATCCTTAGGTATAAAAAAAAAACAATTACTTAGCGATTACTAGATGTAAATGGAAAGCATCAAAATGTCAGAAAGTGCTGAACCAAAAAAAAAACTAAAACAATAGGTGTATTATGTTTGAATTCAGCAAAACCTTTTTCGCGAAAGCAAAATTGAAACGAAGAAAAAATGTATAACTTATTATAAACCCCTCGTAGATGTAAAACGTCTTCACTTGTCATTACAAGGTTATTTAAACACAATTGTGAGCCACCCGGTACATGTATTCCGGTTTGTTAAAATATGCTATGAGATGCAAAATGAATATTAGCAGAAAAACAAAGAGACAGCTCGAATTGCGGATTTTTAAAACTTCTTGGAAATCATAGAATGATAATGTAATGAAATTCGAAATGTATCGATGGAATACTTACTTTCCACGTGGGATATAATTTAGTTTTTACTTCGTTTTTTGATTCATCTATGGTTTTCCCCGACATAATGCTCATCCCGAAGAAGAAACATATTAAAGCGGCGGGACCATAAGTCATTTGTTCTACAATAGCCTGCGTAGACAACACCAATATAATTATTTTCCTTAGGAATTACAATCAGTTATATCGAAGGATTTGATTTGTCCTCAAAGTTATAAAAGTGCGTTTAAACGTTCTGATTTTATATTTGAATGGATGTTATGTTGTATTCGTTTTGTTTTGTTTACCGTTGAAAAGATTTGTCACGAGTACACACTAAACTCAATAATAAAGTGTGTAAAATTATTACTAAAATGGCTTATAAGTGTAACAAATTATTCAGGTTTTGCTTTTAATAATAGCTCTGTTATTAATAACTACGTGCGTTGTGCTAATATACTACTGACATAATTTTAAATTGCCACCGACTTAAATTTGAATTTTTGGCGATCCTCTCTAAGTTGAGTTCATTCATGAGAATTTGCAACACCATATCATACGTTATTGAGTCTTAACTGCCATTTTCCGCACCACAGTATTTTTTAATAATTTTCCAACTTCATAATGCAATAAGAAAATTAATAAATTTAATAATAATGAGATTTGTTAATTGCCAAATACACACTGTTTCCACAATTGCCTGAGAAAGTTTCCAAGAGAATAAAAATTCCAATGAGGTTAGTAAGTGTTAATGAATTATACTTTATAATTTTCACTATTAACCAACACGATTTCTTCAATAAGCCGACACACTGTAGAAATCGGTGAGTTATCACTAAAAGTTAAATAAATTCCCGTCTTTCTAAGACTATAAGTTTATTGAGGTATTTTATACTGAAAACGTGACAAATTAAAAGAAACAATATTCGCGAAAACGTGTGAATAGTTTAGCCATCGTTACCAATCTTAGAATTAGTATGTGAGATCAAAATATTTGTGTAACTCGTTTGTGCTTGAGATAATACCTAAATATTTTAATTAAAGAACGTGTGTTGAATAATTATAAAGCTTGGTGTTTCGTGAGTTATTATCTGTAATAGAAATTAAGTAAAAGTGGCAATTTTCTCATTTCCACAATTGAAAGCCTTGGGAAAAAATGGATTCAAGCAATAAAAATAGAAGAGTCGTTTGTTCCAGCCAAAAACACAAAATTTACTGAAAAATATAGTCTTCACCTATTCTACAAATTTGTACTATAGTTTAAATATTAAAATAATGTAATGCAATTAAAACGTTTTGTATCATCTTTCATCTATATATAGATATTATGAACTTTGTGCAACAGACATATCGCTTCTTTAATATAATGCCTTATACTTTAGCGTTGCATGGGCTTATGATACAGAAGGTGTCCCAAACCGCTTCACGTGTTTATATAGCTAACCATAACTAAGGCACTTTGTTTCAAGCCAAACAAAAAGTATTTTAGGTTTGACTTCGAAGTTTAAGCAGCCTGAAAACTCAATTAGGACTCTCAGGACTTTCTGCCCCACAACAACTTTTTTTTAAAAGAAAGAGTTTTTTTTTAAATTAATTAAATCAATAATTAAATTTTATTTGTTTTTAATAAATTTAAATTTTTAATTCCCGTAAATTGAATTAAATGTTAGGCTGATAGTATTGGAGACACTCGTCTTTTTTGCTTGGAATTTTGTTGCTAATTGCGACTAAAGATATTTTAGAATCAACTTTTATTACCTTTTACCGATTTTTTAATTTAATTTAATTAATAATGTAACAATTGAATCTAAATATTTGGGCTTTGGTCATTGATAAATAAATATACTAAGCCTTGAAGAAGCATGGCTGGAAAAGTATGAAAACTAGAACCCGAAGATTAAACTGAAATGGCGGCACCGAATATTAACGAACACAAGTAAAGCGGTACTATTGGCAAAACTTCAAAGAGTAGCCGGTATCAGCATCACAGGAACAATGACTACATTCCCTCTTGCTACAATGGAGGGTGTATTGGCCCTCCCTCACAAAACTTTTGGGTTTCATAATGCTGCGGGTTGGTCCCAAATCGGAAGCAAGAGGAAAAAATAATGGGCATAAATATCACTGGCAATTACAATGCAAGTTGGTTGACTAAACAAGTTCAAATTTTACCACCAAATAAATAAAAATAGCGGAACGTTACCCGCAATATTGCCTACTTACTTTCGTTATGGAAGTTTTTAAACTTGTAGTTGGCCAAAGTTTGGACGAAATTCTTATCCAGGCGTATAACGTGGGTGCAGTGAATAAGCCCCCATATAAACTGAATCTTAAAGCTTGCATCCAATCATAATTTTCGATACTTTTTCCTGATATGGTTTGTTGTATAATAGAAGAGGTCGGCCAAAGCGCTCCGTATGAAATCATACCCCTAATCACTGGATGTTTGCTAGTAAAAGCCACCATCCTCGACAAGACTGATGCCATTATAAGTAAATTCCATACGAATAAAAAAATAAGTGGCACCTAATTAACAAAAAAATAATTTTATTCTAAACTACCCTAATTAGATATTTTGGCTTAACTCCGAAATCCGTGGTTACTTAATTGCCATAGATGAGAGATACAATTGCGATTTGTATGACCTTGACGCCGAGATTACTTTTGGTAATGCTTGCAGAGTTTGAAATGTCGCTTATTTTTGAAGGTCGTTAAACATTTCTTTCTACTTTTCACCACACGTTTGGTCTGGCTACCAGTAACATCATATTAATGTCATTAACAACATTCGTATTAATACCACACTTTCGGGTAATTTAGTTTTTTAAAAGTAACTATCTGAACTCACCGTGTAACATTGCAGAAAATTCTTCTTCTTCAATTAGCAACAATAAGACTATAAGTGATTCTGTGAGTGGTATTATAAGTGGCATATCTTGCTTTTTCGGAAATTATTTTGAAGTCAGTTTAATTGAAGTGAAGTGTGTGTAGTGTATGTTTGATTAAACTGTTTTTTTTTTGTCAACATAATCAGCCTTTAGCTAAAATTGAACAGGTGTATAATTTTTTTGTGAATCTTTAACACAATTTATCATAGTCAGTGACTAAAATATTTTCTCGACGAAAATCAGAAATGGGCGAGTGTCCTTTGCTAAAGTGCCTAACTTGAAAAACCAAAGAAAGAAGAACACTTACTTGATTGGTATAACCACAGAAATGAAATCGGGAAAGGAATATTTGATGGTAAATTCGCAGTTTTCGATGTTTATTGAAGCTTATACTTTTGACTTTAGGGCTAACCAATAAATTGTGAGGGTATTTTATGATATATGTGAAACACGATCAATTTAACTTTGATCCGATATAAAAGCAACTAATTTCCCGGTGTGAAATTACTTGACATTGTTTTTCTGTGCCTCCATGTGTTTATTCTTAGTAAAAAACGTTGGATAGTATATCTCCCTCTTGGCACTATTAACAATGACGTTCATAGTTTATCCATTTATTCACAAAATTCAAGCGATTAGAATTTCATCCGTGGAGACAGTAATTGCCACAACCGCAAACCTTATATTGGTTTATACAAGTCCCTCTAACTTATACTCCTCAAATTTCTCAGGACAATTAGGACAATAGGATTGACTGTCATGTTCAGAATGCTTTTTCTTATTAGGACTTGTCGTAATAAAGCTACTACAAATACATTTATTAAAACAAACTAACATAAAACTTACTTTTTAATTTATAAAAATATTAGGTTCTAATTTCTGCTGAATTTTCCATGTCAATTTTCACTTTAGCTGACGCCTATTTCTCCAGGCGGTCATGTAGCTTGTAGGATGTATTGGAAACAATCCAGATAGCCCAAGTAACTGTTCTATAGGCCTAGATAATTCAGCTCCATTACCTATCCAATGTTTAATCCGCTCAAAGTTTAAGGAAACTAATTTTTCATTAAACTGATTCGGCAAAGGATCATACGTGCCTAGCTGTTCGATAACTGGTTGGGATACGTGTTTTTTGGGCTAAAATACATTCGAAAATCATAAGGTCACACACCACTTGGTATATGCAGTAATACCTCTGTAACAACAATATGATAAAACGGTCGGTTTGTACATCCTTGCCTTAAAAGTCGAATAACTTTAGGAGTATGTAACGAAAATACTCCCGTCCCACTTGCAGGATTTAACATTTCAGTAAATAACTTCCTGGCCAGCCCTTTGAACCATCAGACAGAAAAGAAAAAAAGCATAGACAGCAAATTGTCATTTTTGGTGAGTTTAGAATCACCAAACATGGAGCCATAGAATTAAAACGGTAACGTACTTCTCAACCCAATTTCAAGATTCGAAAAATCAGTAACTTGCAACAAGATCGATAAAAACTAAAATGGTTGGAATCAAGAGGACATTGCAAATGTGCAACTTTGTGAATCTTTCTCTATTTTTTCATTATTTTTATAATAAAATATTTATCTAAAGAATGTGCGTGAAGTTATTTGTGATGTATTTGTGCCTAGAGTGTTTGCCCAGAACTTTTAAACGAATAGCATGAAATGTTTTAGATACACGTTTTTTATACAATTAACAAATACCAAGTAATAATGCGTAATTTAGTTAAACCAGGTTTCTAAGTACTATGTACTGGTGTTTTCTATCTTAGTTTAATAGATTTGTGTTTACAATGTTTAACTGTGATGCGCCTTAACTAACGGACAACCTTAAAACCCTCATGAAAGAACGTGAAAATAAATACAAAAAGTTTAACCGAACAAAATCGATTAACGACTGGAATTGGCACAAAGAGCTTCGTAACCTTTGTAAGATCTGAAAAGAAAACTTGACTTAACTTTGTTTCAAGACATTTAGCATGCTTAAGGTGCGCAACTCTTCTGATCCAATCTGGCAGATTCAAATAGAATTAACAGATATTTTGCCAATTATTTTGGAAATATTTCAGTGAAGTGTAATGACCTCATTGCGCTATATGAAGGGAGTAGTTAGGATAACACTGTACAATTGAAGTTCTCCCTCCCTCCACAGTATTAAACCATTGCTTGTGGTACAAGTGGAGTAACTGCATCAATGCTGAAGTTTTGTAGCCCGTTTATTGATCCCTATATCACTAGTATAATATCCTGTATTCAACCAAACTACTTTCCTCAAAGCTGGAAGACTAGAATCAGAATTCCCATCCCCAAAATACCAATAGTTCTAAACGATTTGCGCATTATAGCCAAATCTTATATTCTCAAATATATACTTGTAGTTTAATTGGAACAAAATTATTTCAGTGGTCCAGAACGGCTTACGGGATGGATTTAGCCTATCTGCAGCCCTTGTTGAATTATGGTGGATAATGTTTTTTCGAAGTCCAGTAATATGCTTACTGGGCTATGCCAAGGCTCTTGGGGTCCTCTATTTTGTATAATCAACACTTCAGACGTTTAAATGTACTACTCTATGCAACGTGCAAGCTTTTGCTTTATTATCAATTTCCTTGCGCTGATTTTAATACTTATGCAGAGGCCTGGATCCCAATTTATTATTTTTTATTTAAATTATTATTCATTTTCTAAGTACCAAAATGAAAGTTACATTGTGGGAGAAATTATACTTTCTCACTTTAATTTCTGTAAACTTTATCTACGATAATATCGAGTAATAACGAACAATATCGCATTCAAACGGTGCAGAATAGTTGCTGTGTCTTGATATTTAATTTAAGAAAATTCAATCATATATCAGATAAAATTAACGAACTTCAGTGGTTAAACATGTTTTATACAACAACTTATGATTTGAGATGTTTTTTTTTTATTTTAGGAAACCTTAAAAATAAATTTAAGCTGAATTCTGATATGCATAATTGACATACCAGAAATAAATCAAAATTGTTAATATCTAATCACAGAACAGCTGCATTCAAATAAAAAGTTTTACCTATAACAGAGTCCAGCTTTATAATCCTTTAGTACATGATTTAATAAATCATAATGTTGAAAAATTCACAGCCAGTTTCAAAATTAATTTATTTAACTAGCAGATAGAGTCTTAACAATTTTATTATTATTTTTATTGCATTGTGTAGGGTAGATAATGTTTTTAGGTATATAATTTATCTTAATTGGTATTTGTATAAGTTTTGGCGGTATCTACATAAAATAGGTTGTAGGAAGGTAGAAGACTATTCGGTTTACCGCCTGGTAAGTTTGAATAGCCCTAAACCAGAATTCGCCGTATATATTTACTTATTTCTTTATTATCGTGAATAAAGTCGATTATGATCATTTTTACTACTGTAATACTTTTTACAAAACTCCTGGATTCCTACTGCGTCGGTTTTTGTTGAATCGAACTTTCTGGCGTTTCGCCAATCATTATGTTGGCTTCTTCAGAGCTTGACTGAAACTGTTTTTCAGTTTAAAAGGATTATTATCATTAATAATAATAATTAAACATTAAAATATTATATATATTAAAACGTTGTTTTATCCTCATTCACCTATATTTGTTATTATGAACGTCATGCAACCAGATGTATCGCGCCCTTAATGTGACGTTGGTGTTGATAAAATCCATATTATTAATATGTGCTGAGTTTAAGAGTCCATCAACAGATGACATATTAGCGGGAATATCATTTCCACACACAAACAACAAAATACATAATAGAAAGAACAATTTTATTGAAACAAAAAATACACTACACTATAGCCAGCGCTTCCAAAGCGATGTGCTTTTTGTTGCGGTCAACGTCCAAAACTTTAGTTTCCACTTTATCGCCGATATTTAAAACCAACCCGTTCATTTTAGTCACGTGTATCAATCCATTACTACCGACTCCGACATCTACGAAAGCGCCGAAATGAGTGACGTTAGTTATCCTCCCTGTAAGGACGAGTCCTAAGGATAAACTTTCGAAACACGTCACTTCTTGTTTAAACAGAGGCGTGGTTCCAATTTTCTGGCGCAGATCGTAATTTAGTCTCTGCGACAGTGAGTCGAGGATCAACTGAACAATATCTTTACTAGTCCCCAACTCCTGAGACAGAGTGTTCGCATCGACACAGCTATATTTTTGTTTGATGGTTTTAATGAAACTTTCGGATCCGATATCGGATTCTTGCAGGCCTATTCTCGAGATGATTCTTTTGGCGACTTCATACGATTCGGGGTGTATGATTGTTCGATCCAATGGGGTGGTTTCCTTGCTTTTGTAGAAATGCTTGTCCTCGCCGTCTGTTGGACCGACGTAGAGGAATCCTGCGCATTGTTGAAAAGTTTTCTCGCCTATGGTCGAAACGTCCCGAAGTTCCGAACGGCTAGTGAACGCCCCGTTTTGCTCGCGATGACGTATTATCAGTTTCGCCTTTTTCTCCGTGAGTCCAGCGACGTGTCTGTAAGACCATTTGGGAAATGAATAGGTATATTATACAGGGTAGCCTTTTATATTTCCACAATCGCTTAGTTAATCAATGAATGCAAACTTAACTAATAAAATAAAAATTAAACAAATGATTCAATAATAAAGTTGTCGATTTTCAAATTTAAATTTACGAATTTCACTCGTAAATGTACTTATTGTATTTATCAGTCTTACTTTAAGACACAGTTTGGTTCAGGAATAATATTGGAGAAGTAAAGACATAACCCAACACTGACATGAACCTAGACCACAATCTATTCTGCGCTACGGAAAAAGTAAAACTTAAAAAGTTAAAAGTGTCGCCGAGCTCAACAAGATTACCCTTCGAATCATTAAAATAAAAAAAAATAAAAGAAATTACAAAAATAAGAAAAAGGAGGGATATCTGAAGATCCATAATAAAATTAAATAGTAAAATTAAAAATAGCACAGGAAGAATGGCTCAGAAAATCATGTAAAGGTTGAGTACTGAGGAAAACATTGATGAGGAGATTTTAACAAGAACGTAAAACATTCACATCCTGGAAACCACTCTTATGTAGTAAGAGTGCTTGTATGCTATATATAGTGGGTTTTGCTCTACGGGTGTGAGAGATGGACAGTGAAAGGTACTGTGATCAATAAGCTGGAGGCTTTTGAACTATGCTGCTACCATCGAATGCTGAAAATAACCTTGAAGTCGCACACTTTGAATGAGGATGTACTTAGAATGATGAACTCAGAAAGAGAACTGTTAAACATTGAAAAAGTAAGAAAACCAAAACACTTTGGCGCATCAGCGCCCATCTGCTCGAAACATACAAAAAAATACTGGTGCGTAAACGAACCACTAGGAAAAAACATTAAATAATGTTTAGGGGCACATCAGATGTAACCTATAATTTATACATAAATATACCAAAGAAAGTTCAAATTCGTCAGAAAACAACTAAAATTAGATTGCTTTCCAAATAGAACCTCATTTGATACAAAATAATACAAAAAATAATAACTAATATTTATTTAAGATTAATTTATCTACTACCAAAATTTTACAACCAATTATATATCCGTAAGTCTGTAAGTGTAAGTGATGTAAAATTTAATTCAACATCTCGTTATTACATATTTTCTACCAAACCCCATTGTTCTTGCTACTGCGCATTGATTTTAAATATTTTTATTTTTGTTTTAATCGAAGGAGAATCTGGAGGTAGTCCCCATTTTTAGCGGTTGATAAACGCTTGTGCCATATATGAAAGTAATAAGAATAGCAATTAACAATTTAGCAATTACGTTGTTTACATTGTCTTCAAAGTTTTTTTTCCTTTTTTTCAGACATCCTGTATATTACATGTGCTCAGATTCAGAATAATTCTGCATTCAATGGCAGAGACTGAAAGATAATTTTGTTTCAAAAGACAAAGACAAGACATTAAAAATACAAAATGAAGGTAAACGAAATCATTACAATAATTCAATAATTGTTTCCTATGACATTTTTGTTCAAAACGTTTAAACTCTGGGATTATTCGTTTAATGAACTTTCCAGGAACGTTTTGATTTAAAGTAGTAAAGTAATCGGTAAACACAATACAAATAGTAGTTATTTTACGTACCTACGTAGTGGAAAATCCAAGGGCTATAAATCGAGTGATCTAGATGTCCATCTCTAGGGTTAAGTAACCCCTTTGACGTAAATAAAACCAAAATCATATCAAACTTTATCAAAATTAATGCTAGCTAGAAATACCTTCCTAGAAACACCTTGGGTATATGAAATAAGAAGATAACTGTTGGAAATAGGTATAGGGAAAGGCAGAGCCAATTTATGTAGAATTAAGTTTTGCATCAAATTTTGGAAAGCTTGTAATAGATAAATGTGAATTTCAAAAGTAAGATTCTTGTGTTTCCGTTTCTCATAAATTTGATAACAGCAATTATTTTAATTGTATACCGCACATCGATACCATGTTTTGCATTTAAAATTTTTCGATAAAACAAATTTAAGGAGATAGCCTGTATAACATATAGGATGTCCAACGAACTTCGCCGATCTGTTATGGGAAAACTATAACTATGAAAAACTTGAAAATTTTGAATTGAACTACTTGGTTTTTTAGATTCCCCGGAAAAATCCAGACATATTTCATGTGCAACACCCGATACCAAAATTTCGCTCTTTCTGAAAGATTTCACATTTTATGACAAAAATGACATTTGCTGACTGAAAAATATCTATACATTTTTCCTATATGGAAGCTTTTAAAAATTTTTCCATTCCCTTACCTTGGAAAATAGTCCGTTAACCAAACTTGGTTAGTAATTTTGTTTACTAATAATACAAAATGTTTAAAAAACTATCAATTAAACCAGATTTGAAAAAAATAGCGAAAATCACTTTTTTCAAATACAAACCATTTATTTTTATAATCCTATCATATTTAATTTTAAAAATTAGGACTACTGCTATACTTATAGTGTTCGAAATATGGCCGTTTAATTTATTTTGCTTGGTCCACTCTTAATGCACAATGTTAATCATAACGACCTGTGGGACTGGGGCGGAATATTAATAACCATTAAAACTGTTGTAACCAGAACATGTACCTTTGCTTAAGATTACCCTGCAAAGGCAGAAACAAACCATCGCCATATGCAGTTAAGAAGATTACAAAAAACACTCAAAAAAGTGAAACTCCAAAATCTACAGCACATGTAGAACATTGTTTGAAATTATTTACGTTATTCACTTTTAAATTTTGAATAAACAATAAATTTAATTCTACTTCAGTGAATGCAATCAATGGACTGTCAAACTTTTATTTCTCCGAATGTCCGTTGAGCAATAATTTACTGCTATAAAAAAATAAATTTTACTTTTCTGAAAAATGATGATATACGCCATCATCCGATACGTCATTTAAATTAAAAAAAAATAAAAAAAATATGGTGCATTTCAAAAAGAAATGAAAATACTGTTAAAAAAAAGTAATTTTAATAATGGACTAATCCTAAGATCATGTTTGGCGTATTTTGGGTTTTATGGACAAAAATAGAAAATCGACATTTTCAGATTATTTTGAATTCTCAGAAATGATTCACGCTGAAATCATTTTGCAGGCAGATTTAAGTTTCACATAAAATTCTTTAAAAATTTCCTTATTTAGCCGAGTCTGTATCTATGTACCCCTATAGTGGACTGACTGTACTTTATATGATACGGTTATTATATTGGAAAAAAAATAGAAAATATATTTTAAAAAAATGTTCTCTTATGTACCCTGTAAGGAGAATCCTAGAAATTTAAAAAAAAAAGTAAATCGGTAAAGAGAAAACAGTGCAAATTATTTTCGAGTTTCTAAAAGTTTAAAACAGTTTCTACAAAAATTTCTATCACTAACAGTTATTTTAATTGCTGCATCCGTGAAGATTAATTCTTACCTTAAGAGGGATACAGAGGTGGTGTTCAAATCGACACCGACGAAGCTTACGCATTCTGAGACCACTTCGCCGAGAGCGGTGGCGAGTTCCTTTTTCTTTAAGTCATGCTGATACATGCCGATTCCCAAATGGGCGGGATCGACTTTCACCAGTTCCGCCATTGGATCTTGCACTCGTCTAGCCAAAGAAACTGAAATAGTAAATGCGATTTATAGGCTACCAGCAAGTCTTTCAAATGAGCAGCCCAATATTGAAGTGTAACCAAATTCGTAGAAGTATGATTTGAGAACACTAAAAAAAAGACATAACTAATATTTTCCGCAGCTTAAGGTTATAGGGCAAGTGCTATTTATAAGGAGTTTATAGAAAACTTTAACTTTTACAACAGTTTTATAGTTTTATAAAAAGTTGCATGTTTTGTAAAACAACCAATAAATATTACTTTTAGGTTTTATAATATTGCATTCAGTATATATCAAACCTGTAGTGTTAGTTACTTGATGCTTTTTAAAAAGATTTTACAGCATTTTTAACAAGCTTATTATAAACATTTTACTCTTGGGGTTTTATAGCTTCCACAAAACCCTTATAAATCTTAAAGCACCTAATAAATATTCTACAGAAGCCTATAGAATGTTATCAGACTTATAGCCTAGTAATAAACCTTTTCATTTATAAGGTTACGATGTTTAATAATTGTTATCTTAACCCATATTATCCCAAACATAAAAAAATAAAAAAAAAACACTTTTTTGCTATGAAATTATTTATTTAGTTGTACTTAACAATACATTACAAGTGTCAAAAAAATAAATAAAAACTGAAATATACAAAAAAATACTGGTGCGTAAATGAATCACTAGGAAAAAACATTAAATAATGTTTTGGGGCACATAAGATGTAACATATAATTTATACATAAATATACAAAAGAAAGTTCAAATTCGTCAGAAAACAACTAAAAGTAGATTGCTTTCCAAGTAGAACCTGATTAGATATAAAAAAACGCATAATATTTTATGGTGCGTGAACGCACCATTACACTTATTACAAACGTAAATTGTGTGGCTGTGGCAGATTCTACAACTCCTTAGGGCTTTATTAACATGAACAATCATGAGGTGCCCTTGACTATCATAACGCACTTCATCTATGGCAGGTGCAAGATTTCTTTGAGTAATTGTTTTATCAGTTTTTAAAAGTCGCAAAGCAATTAAGATTTAAAATCCAATCACTTCGTCATCAAAAAACATAAAAAATATTTCAAGCGGAGTTTTTCCAGAAAACCTATTTTTTAGTTCCTCGCGATCTAAATTCATTGGATATAGGTGTGTGAGTGTACTCAATCTGACCTTTATTCCATTTGAGAGTAGAAGCAAGCCTGTCGTTTGCAGAAAGCATACGTCTTCTTTGGAATTCCAGGGTTTTATCAACTGATGAGTCCCATTCTGGTTCAGTAGTTGATGAATTGCAGGACTGTTGAAGGACAGCTGTATCATTTGGTGTATGTAACTCGAAAGTTCCAACTACATCATATTTTTTCACGTTATTTTTAGCATAAATTTACAAGGAATGGAATGTTACAATATATAAGAATACATAAATCCAAGCAATACTTACGACTTTCATTCTCATCCATCACGATCTCCTCCATAGCCGCCTCTAATTCCTTTTGAGGCAAATACCTCGGAAATGCCATATTTTACGAACTGTAACATTCACTGCACACGGAACAAACTAATACTAAAGAATACGCTAATTGTTGGATGTTTATTCTACAGTGCTGACTTGTCTAGACTTGCAATAACAAAGTTTTGTTTCACAGATAAAACCAGTGATGCATTCACGCATCAGTAAATATTTTCGAAAAATAAAGCATAATCAATATAGTATTTCCAATGTGTGTTTTCTACAAGCTATAGACTTAACAAAAATGGCAATACAAATCCAAAATATTTTTTACTATTTTTTATTTACTTGAAAATGTGATACAAATTTATTTACTGCTTTTGTTAACTTTTGAAGTCATATATAAGATCTTTCCTTTACACATAAATTAGCGATTTCTACGGTTTTATGTCCTTTAGTAGTGATAATAATAAAATTTCGAAATGGATGTGAAAAAATATTTCCTGGATGTGATAAAAAAAATAATAGAATAGGTGGTGCTTTAACACACCACTGGGACAATATGGGTTAAGGACGCTACAAGCTAAAAAAAATTGGCAAAAAATTAACGATAATAGCATCTTTTATACAAAGTGTATCGGCAGTGGATCAATTTGTTCCGTTTTTTAACTCTTTTCGAGGAATAAAACAGTACCCTGGCACTCCGCTTGGTTGCCGTCAAGGGTTGAATAGTTTTAAAAGTCATTTTTAGTATAATTCTAAAGTTTATCTAGATATATATAAAAAAGTAAGCACAATTCGTTCACTAACAAATAAGTAAACTAAAAAGTAAGGTTATGACTGCATAATTGACATTCAACATTTTGGCATAAACTTTTCTGTTGGATTTGCGGGTGCTTCCTTTTTTGTAAATATAAATATTCCAAAATCATCTTAGATTTTATGGTAAGAGTAGTAGACCTATAAAACACCTAGGGAAGTATTATAAAAGTTATTTGAAAGCCCATATAAAAGTATAGTGTTAATAATGTTGAAATGAAAATGTTGAAAAACTGTTTTGAGGAATAATTTTTAGTAGTAACTGCTTGATGTGATCTTACTCTATTTTAGTTATGGATTCTTTTAATTCAATTCTTAATTCCATCTTCCCTCTTGTATTGTATAATAAACTATTTATTTATTATTTCGTTGGATTATACAATATACAGTTTATATATCATTTCAATTGATACTCGAAAACGATAAAAGCTAGAAGGTAGGTCCAATTAGTTGTCTTTTTCGGTGTTTGATCGATTCTGCCTTTTCGATTCATAGTTTAAATTCAAAGGTTTTACAATTTTCTAAACTAAAAAGAATATGGCAACACGGTTAACTAGTGTTGCATCAGGAAAGACAAAAACAAGACTTCTAGAATTTATATTCTTCACTTACTTCGTTTAGGGGTTATTGCATTTATTTCAATTTGTATATTCAGATGTTAATCCTACATGTTTGAGAATTTTCAGCTTGCTATACTTTGGATTTTTTTTAAATGAAAGGTAGGATATTTACAATAATATAAAAAACATAACAGTACTTGCGCTAATAATGTTCGGGTCCATATTTGGAAATTCTTTTGCTGCTTCCGTACTGCAACTATATATCGAAGCACCGTCTTCGCAGATAATAGTGTACCTCACGTTCAAATTACCGAAACTATGTGTTTTTATCAGATCCGAAATGAATATTTCCGCATCTCGACAACCGTGACCGTTTCCTAATGCGATTAATTCACACCTAAAATTATATATAAAATAAAAATAAATAATTTGAAAACTTAACAAGGGTAGGACTAACCAAAACTAACGAAAAGTAAAACAATATAAAACAAGGGCAACGAGATACGGTGTTAAGGAGATGAACGATCCTAGAAATTTGAAACAAAAATTAAGTAAGTGATTGTGCAAAAGAGAAAGTGGTGGAAATTATCTTCGAAGTGTCTGAAATGTCCACCAGGGAGCTTAATTGTCATCTTGAATTTCAAAATTGGGTTTTTAAAATAATTTCTAATGTTAACCATGGCTAAAATGCGTAGTATTTTAAAGCTGAGACAAATTTAAATCTCTGAAAATGGTGGGCGGTGTTCGAATATTTGCTTAAATAAATGTCCATATCGTCCTAAAGGCATTTTAATAAACTCGGAGTGGTTAAAAAGGGCATTTCCCAGGTTATCATTAGTGTTACTTGGCCACCCAGTGGATTTTCCTGAGATAATAGTAAAAAATTAATTTTCAGAAAAAAAGAATAAATGTAAAGATATGAGTTTTTTTATATACTTAAATAGTCATATAAGGCCTAAAAACTGAAAACCGCATCTAAAAATATGAATAAAAGGGTTCAACTCTTTTATTCATATTAAATATTTATGATGATGATAATGATATTTAAAACCAAAATAAAATGTTATTTTTCATATTTATTAGTTTTCTTTTAATTTCTTCGCACACCAAATTACCCCGTAATTTTTTAATATTTTCCCTTAAAAATTAAGCATTATCAATAATTGGGTCCATAATTAATTGTTAGAGACTAACTAATTTTATTAACTATTGATGTACTTAAGTGGAATATGGAGAACCATTCAAAAAATGAGTAAAACATCTCGCTTGATAGGAATAATCCAGTTATAATGTTATCAAGATTCAAATGAAAACAAATTTTGGTGTAATTAACTAAATGTTTGTGAAAGTCTCTGGACTGCCTACCGTTTTAATTAATTTCAATTTGTTAAAAAGAAAAATACTGATGATTTCAATGCACATTTGAGTAATAATTCAATAATTAATAAAATTGGTTTGTCTTTCGCCTGTGGTATGCGGTGGGTGAACCGAGTAACCCAACCATTGCCGGTCCCAAGCCCGGATAAAGGAGCGATCTGGATCTGGCGGAGCTGGTACTTTGCAAAATGAGATTGGGGATCTCCAAGGCCCCAAAACCTAAACGCCTCATAATTAGTAAATTCGACGTCGAATCGATGGAGGACAAGTATACAAAACCTATATGAAAACAGATTAAACCAAAAAATAATACACAAATCGATCAATGTTCAAGATTGTATAGACCAACGATGGACAACAATAAAAAGACGGGTAAATGTCAACACAATCAATAAAACACCCTGGTTTACTCCGGAAGTAAAGGAACTAGCACAACAAAATAAAAAAGAGTACATTAAATATATATGAAACAAAACAGCAGAACACTGGAACAACTATCGAAGAAAACGAAACGAGGTAAATGCAAGAATAAAAGAACTAAAAGAAAATCACTGGGAAAAATTCACAAAAGAAATGGAGGCCAAAGAAAAATATGGGGAAAAAATATATTTTAAAAATCTATATAAGGAAGAGGAAGAGCTAGAACAAACTCAAGTCCCTAAAAAATAGGAAAAGCCCTGGACCAGACGAGATCACCAATAAAATGCTTAAATACGGAGGGAAAAAAACCACAAAATGAAATACTAATCTTATTTAAAAACATCATAGATGAACTGAAGATACCGAACGATTGGAAGAACAGCACAACAATACCCATCTTCAAAAAATTTTCGAAGAATAAGAAATCGAATCCGGAAAACTATCAAAGAATAACACTTCTTAAGAGCATCTTCAAAGCATTCACAAAAATTATACTGGGAGAAGTCACCAAAGCCACAAGTATACGAGAAGAACAACAATGTTTTCGAAGGAACAGATCCACCATTGACGCAATATTTATTGTCAAACAAATATGCGAAAAATCCTTAGAATTCAATAAACCTGGGTATATGTGTTTTGTCGATATGACCAAGGCTTTCGATAGAGTGCGTTTGAAGGATGTCCTAGAAATCATGAGAACGGAAGGTTTAAACTGATTAACCTAATACACGATATAAACACCCATTGCAGAACAACTGCATATACAACTGCATATGACAACTGAAGATATACAAACACAGGAATTAGAAAAGGCGATTTACTCAGCGCATATATATATATATATATATATATATATATATATATATATATATATATACACTGGGTTCGAAGTGTTTTCGGAGCGCGAGCATTGAAGATGCCAAGTGAGATTTTGGCGAAACGTCTGCAGGATTCCAGTCGGATGCAAGATTTGCAGGATTCCAGTCGGATGCAGGATTCCAGTCGGAGTTCAACGAGCGAACGGATGATATCCCGGAATATAGTGTCATCACATTTTTCCATCCGTGAATCAATACGTGAGAATATCATACACCTTTACGGGAAGGAGATCTTTACAGCCACCAGTGTTCGAAGTGTTTTCGGAGCGCGAGCATTGAAGATGCCAAGTGAGATTTTGGCGAAACGTCTGCAGGATTCCAGTCGGATGCAAGATTTGCAGGATTCCAGTCGGATGCAGGATTCCAGTCGGAGTTCAACGAGCGAACGGATGATATCCCGGAATATAGTGTCATCACATTTTTCCATCCGTGAATCAATACGTGAGAATATATATATATATATATATATATATATATATATATATATATATATAAATTTATATTTATATATATATATATATATATATATATATATATATATATATATATATATATATATATATATACAATTTACTGATGGATAAAATAATAGAAAACCTTCCCAGAACAGCTGGATTTAAAATGGGAAACACATTCTTCCATGTTGTCTGCTACGCAGACGATGCTGTTCTTATTACATATTCTGAAGATAATCTCCAAAGACTACTACACTCTTTTAACACTAAAGCAAAAGAATTAAACTGGTGCCTTTCAAATGTATTGTATCATATCATTTGGAACCCTATACAATAAATCAGCGTTTTATTTTATACATTCGGAATATTTACATATTAATAATAATACGTAAAGTGGAACATTTTCCCGTAGTCCAACTTCTTTTTGAGCATGAAGTTCTCCTATTCGTTTTTTAGGTTAGGATAAAGATATTGAGATGTGGCTTTCACTGGATTGTTGGACCCTTATTTGATATTTTGATTCAGAATATTTTTTCACGATTATGGCCGAAAATCCATCTGGTGGCAAGGGAAGCGCGTCAAGTATAGCATGATTTACAGCCTAGGAAAGCCCCTTTTAACGAGTCCAAGTTTATTATTAAGCCTTTTTCGAGACATTTATTTAAGAAAATTCACTTTGCTTGTGGAGATAGAGCATAAAGCACTAAAATTGATTTTTTCTCAGCTTTAATATAGTATCAACTGGAACTATAGTAAAAATTAGATATTTTTGCAGAAACTGAGATACAATTACGTCCCTGATGGCTATTACAGAGAAAATTATTTCGATTATTTTGTCATGGCCGATTTATTTAATTTTTGAACCCGAATTGGGCCTACACGAGAACAGCCATCTAGCGACGAAGAAAGCATTCGACTCAGCATACGATAAAAAAACCGCAAAATATTGGTTAAATACTCGTTCATACGAATGCTTCAAGCCGGATCTTCGAAAATTTCAAAATTCGAATTTTTCTTGGCAGGCAGTATTGAAAACTTTATAGCTCTTGTTGCTCAAAAATTTTCTTTAAACTATAATTTGTTCGACAAAAACGTAGCTATGCATACAAACATCATGAAAATTAAACATTCTCGTATCAATTCGACAGATTTTTAACTCAAAATTAATAAAATGAGTAACAATAGACTTGGAGGACTAATTATAAAATTAGATTAGTTTTTTACAAAGAATTTAAAAATATATAAAAATATAGGTTATTCTCTTTTAGAATTTCAATGTTTGTAGTAGTAGTTCAAAATTGAGACGCCCTGTACAAAACAACTAAATTTTAAACACCTTAACCACCATTATTACAATAGGAAAAAATTGACAATTTAATATTTTCCCATTGCAATAATGGTATACTACGTCTGTTAAGTTGTTCAAAAATCAGCTGTTTTGTACAGGGTGTCTCAATTTTAAACTATTACTAAAAGAAAAACAAACAAAACCAAAACTATAAATCACCGGAATAGACAACTTTATACAAAGTCATCTTAATTTATAAGGCCCATTCGGATAAAACTGTTCATACGTTTTATATAATTTAATTTTTGTCCTATTGTATATCCCCCCCCCTTCTTTAAGGCATCAATCCAAAAATAGAAAACGGTTTAACTTAAATAATAGGACATTATACACAAAAATGAAGTAACACACAAGAAGAAAGCTGGTATTTTCTATTTGACTCCTTTTTCTATTGTTTGTAGCTTCTGAGTTAGGGGCCTAGGGAACCCAATTTCTGACATTCTGTACAGTTAAATTTCTATGTTATTAAACTACTTACTCATATTTTAGGAGCATTTGTTTCAAAATTGTTTCCGCCTCCGACTTATTGCGATGAACGTAGATTACGTTATACTCCAACAGAGTGCCGGTGGCAGATATCAAGGCGAGTTTGCATCCGTTGCGAAAACCGGGATCTACGCCTAAGATAATTTTCCCTTTTAGGGGCGGCGTCAATAGCAACTGTTTTAAGTTAACGCTGAAAACGTCGTAGGACGCTCTATGGGCCTGTCTCGTCAGTTCGGATCGAATGTGCCTCGTAACGTGCGGTTTAACTGAAAATTAAATATAAACAATTTTTGCGCAAATTTTGTTAAAACAATTTAATCAGATTAAAACTCGATCGTATTTATTATTCCTAGTGGCGTTTTTGCACTTCAAGGAGCCTCCCGAAAAGTAACTGTCGTATAAAAAAACTTACAGCCACTCATAGAAAATTGATTATTAAGTTTCTAGGAGGTTAATCCCATCCTTGAATTTTAAATTCCTTTTTTTGAAATATTATTTTATATTACAGATAGATAACAGATAGATTTGCCCTGCTGTAAAACTGGGATAAATTCGATTCTTTTTCGTTAAACGGTTTTTGCTCTATCGTTTAAGAGAAAATAGTTGGCTGAATGCACTTTGTCAAACTTGAGCAGACTGTTAAATTGCTTATATAGCCGCAAGAGGGCGCATTGCAGCATCACTATAAATAAAATTTATTTTCTCAAAATATTAAAAGCAACGATATAACTTTTATTGCAATATAAAATAGCCAATTAACATACACTACACTAAATGCAAATGATCCTTTTTTTAGCAAAAAATATAAAAAAAATTCTGTTAAAATACAAAAAATATGACTGAATATTATATATAAATTAAAAAAAATTATAATCCGCGTGTGCGTGCGAGCGTGAACCTGCAGGAGGTATGTTTCGGGTTTATTTTCAAAACGTTGAAGACATAACTGCTTTTCTAAGATTCTACGCGATGGAGTATTCTGCATTAAAATGCAAAAGTCTTAGTATTTTATCTGTGTTGTATTTCATTATTCTAATATATCAGTAATGTATCAATAATTACGAATATTTCATTCATATAGGGGTGAGTATTAATTATTATTGACACATCAGCTCTATAAATCGATTGAACTGTTAAATGACATTTTGAGAATTGCCTGGGTAAAAGCAAAATATTTCGTCAAGAACTTTATGAAGAAATGCAGCAATTGATTCATAAAATTATTGTCAGTTTAAAAGTATTATAACAAACGTTAAAGTATACACGGCACCTCAAGCTATCATGCTAAACCGATGACTGGTAAAAAATAAAATACGCTATACAATATGACTAGAAAACTGGTTGGAAGTCCCTAGTAATATTTCTTGTTTTTAAAATATTTAATATTTTCTGTACAAATAGACAATCAATTTTTTAAGTTTTGATCCGGTTTTGGTTACCTAAACGCGCTAAATACTTAAGGTAAAGTGGAGTGTCACGTAAACTTACAAAATTTGTTATATGCCTGGTCAATTGCTTTATTGATAATGTTCTGTCGCAAATAATCTGACGAGGACGAATGAAACCATTTTTTTAGACATAAATTTTTGAACTGCTTCGCGAAAAACTCTGGGAACTTCACTTTAACGCTGAGGCACTTTTGCAATTCGCCTCTATTTATAGCCAGAATCTAAAAGAAGTAAGTATTTTAAGATCTAAAGGTGGACCTCAAACTACTCCACAGTTCAAAAACCACATAATCGTTAATAACAATTCCATTATCCACTAACTACTAACTTTTTTTTTACGACGCTTTTATTGGAATTAATGTCAATTAACTCAACCTAACTTCGAAGAGATGTATATTAATGAAAAAGGAATTAACGAATCAGTAGTTAATGTTCTTACATACTTGGTGTGGTTTTAAAAGATCCATCCGAAACTCTTTGCCAATATACAAGTCGTATTTCTTTTCCCCTTTTCCCGCTGCCACTTTTTGAGATTTTTCATTTTTCGTTTCTCTTTTTTGCCTCTCAGATACTTTTAAATAAAAAATTTGCTTTGATCTCCTAAAACCAAGATAAAGCCATAAAAGAAACTTAGGCTAAATGCTCGACAGCAAAACTTTTATTTTAACCACTGAAAAATACCTTAAAGATCTGATTCTCATCGTAGTTGGGTACCTACTTACATTTCCCTAATAAACTTCAAGACATCAGGATCCAACACAATGTCCGTAGAAATAATGTCTACAACTCCCATTTCAATTTCTTCTACTGACTTTAAACCATCTATGGCGCAGTTTACGTAAGAAGTAATGTCGACTGCATTGGAGTTATTAAGTAATTGATGAGCCAGTCCTTCTAAACCCAATTTTCTAGCTTTGTTCGCTTTTGTATCTCTACATTCGGATTTAAATGGAGCACACTAAAACAGTGGAATAAAAAGACGAACTATTTTGTTTTATTATTTTTTTAGAGAAACTTTTATAGGCAACTGTAATACTATTTATTTACAAATCTTCTAGATTTCGCCTGTGTCGGTTGTCGATAAATCAAACTTGCTAACGTTTCGTCAATCATCCTGTTGGCGTCTTCAGAGATAACTGAAACAGGTTTGTATTTTACTCTGTACCTGCTTAGATAGAGAGGGGCGGAGCTAAAGGAGAGACATGAACATTGTCTCTGATGTTGGATTAGTATTGTTTCTCTAATGTGTGCTATAAACTTTTGGTGTTTCAAACGAAATTTTGTCCTTTGGTGAATTGAAGATGAGACATTTGGGTAAATGGTGTTAAAATTATATTTCTTAAAAACTAGAATAAGTGCAGTGTTAAGGGTTGTGGTGAAGTGTATTTTGTGATGGAACACTTAATATCGCTAATGTGGAAATTATTAGAGAGAAGAGTAGATGTTAGATGTTTTAATTTTGGGTTTAGTGATTCAGGGTGGTATATTTTTACGACTCTGTAAACAACATAATTGAAAATCAATAACGCTGGCGACTTTTCGCCAACCGTCCTGTTGACTTCTTCAGTGCTTAACTGAAACTGGTTTGTAAAAACCTGAGTCAGGTCCATGTTACGCCGCTCCATTAGCACCACTTCCCTTCAAACAATATATAAGCAGGTACAGATTAGAATGCAAAGCAGTTTTAGTTAAGCTCAAAACAAGTCAACCGGATGATTGGAGAAGCAAGTTCGACACAGGAGGAATCCAGAAGATTTGTAAATAGCATTTTGCTTTATAAAAAACATATAGACAAAATCAGTCAGAATGAAGAAACAAAAAATATATCGAGAAAGTTTAAGACGTTAATATAAATGGGAGGAGGACTATCATTTTTCTTTTCCTGTTTTTGGTCTGACCTTATTATTGTGTCAAAGCAGCAAAGTATTTATCTAAATACATTTTTGCAGGAATTCTCTGTTAAAAATCTCGGATAGAAAATTTTCATCAGACAAGTCATTTCCAAGAAATCAAGGAAAGCAAAAAGAAAAGAAATAGATAAGAATTAGTCGATATTAACAATATAAGAAACATAAGAAAAAAGAAATAATTTCCATTCGTAAAACACCATAATTGTTATTCTTAAAATTATTTTTACTTATTCTATTGATGATATAATAATTTTCGATGATGCTGAATACCAGCTTGATCCATTGAGGGGAAAAAACTGGATGAGACACGAAATAAACAAGATTGCTTTCGAAAAATCGTCGCTGGGAGATCAGATTCTTATTTTAAAAAGAAGCCAATTGCAGGACTTTGAGGGGCATAATGTTTTTCTATCGTGCTCCTGCGGACCACTATGGAACTTTCACAAAATCGATGTAATTTAATTGTGCACGAACCCTGTATAAAGTGTTTTTCACATCTCGTCGAACTTTGTACTGGTAATTGCGATTTAAAATAATATTTCTTTCAAATATGTCACGCACCCTGTGTTATAGACGAACACTGGATCTTTATTTCGACACAGTTTACGATACTGTTCAAATCAAATTATCCCATCTCTAACAGTTATTCATTAATCGCTAATAATTTAACCGCAAAAACGGAAATTTTTAGGATATTTTAGATTTTTTGTCTACAAACGACATACCCTGTATATAATTCAAACAATGCTCGAATTGGAGGTTATAGCCCTGGATTTCCTACGTTTCCCGGTATATGAATTTTTTCAATAGAGTAAATAGTTTTAGAGAAAATAGTTGTTTTTTAAAACTATGAAGTCGTCGTAACAGTAAATGACGTCATCGCGTCTAAATTGAAGGCGAGAAATGGTGATTTCCGTGTGGATTTTTTCAATTATCTCGAACAGAGGATGTAATAGACAAAAACCGTGCATACAAAAATTGTTGATCTCGATGTGACCTATAGTAGTTCTTAAACCAATTTTTAGAATTTTGATTTACGGCTGCTAATTTACTCTGGAAACGGAAAATTTTCTGGGTCTTTTGAATTTTTGTCCATAACTGAAAAACCCTGAATGCTTAAAATAAAAGTTATAGATCTTCCGCGTCTGTTGGTTAAAGAATTTTAAAGATCGGAATAATGGTTTTGGAGAAAATATTTTTTTTCTGGAAACCAAAATAACTAAAAACAACTTTAAGGTTTAAATGTGGATCTGAACTTCTGCTTCTCTGCTAATCTGAAGTCGATAGCTGTAAATTTAGGGCACCTATTACGTTTTATAATATTGCACGGTATATCGCGAACATCCTGTACAATAGATAAAAACCTCAAATGCAAAAGTCTTAGCTGGCTACACGAGCTATATTTTGGTGTAAAACAAAATTGACTTCTGAATCGCATTCTTTTAGTTATGGTAAATTTTCATCAAAGGAGAAACCCCATTTTTAGTTTTGTCACACCCTGTAAATTTTTAAAAATTGTCAAGAATAAAAGTTTATAGCATTGGATCTTGCGGATCTCTTGATATACAATGATTTTTTTTTAGATTCATGCACACGCGGTTTTAATTGTTTAAAAATACCTCCCGATCCCCCAGTCCCCAATTTCAACGCAAAAATTTCTGATTGCAGTCATTTCCTATGGGCTTATATCTCTCATGGAAAGTTTAAAAGGAGCAAAACTTCACCTCACTCAAATCTGTCGGAAGTTATTCGCGTTTTTATGGAACGTCGACAGAGAACAGAGAACGGAGAACAGACAAAAAATTAAAACGTTTATTTTTTGACGCCGTTTCCGAGATATGAGTTTCATTGCCAAGCGCGTATACGTATACTTTCGAAAAATTGGATTTTATCAATTTTTCGAAAGTAACAAGGATTTTATTTTTTCTTCAAGTTCAATAGTAAATAACTTTTTTTAAAATAACTTTATAAAAAAAATACTAAGAGATCTGTTTTGTAGAGCATTAAATTTTCTTTAAAAATGATTATTGTTTTTTTTTGTATGTTGAATTGTTTGTTAGCTACAAAATTCCAAACTGAAAAAGTGAAATCAAAAAATCTTAATTAAAATTAATGTTTAAGGCTTGATTTCTTGGAAACTGCTTGTCTGATGAAAATTTTCAATCTGACCTATTTTATAGAGAATTCAACTTTCTACAAAAATTTTTAATTCATTAATGAGATCAGAATAAAAAAAAAGAAAATTATAGATCTCTTTCCATTAATATATATATATATATATATATATATATATATATATATATATATATATATATATATATATATATATATATATATATATATATATATATACCTCTGTTCTTCTCTCTAATAATTTCCACATTAAAGATATTAAGCGTTCCATCAAAAAATACACTTCACCACAACCTTCCGATAGCAATGATGCCGAAAACAATCCTACACTTGCCACGGTGGTCCTTCCTTACATTCAAAATATTACTGACCACATATCAAAACTAATCAAAACCAGATTTACCACTTGTCCAAAAATCTCTCAACATCTTCGGTCCGTCAAAGATAAAATTCCATTTGAGATGCCAGGAATTTACAACATTCCATGCATTGGACATTGGAGAAACCGGACGAAAAATATCATCTAGGCTCAAAGAACACAAAAGAGCCTTACGACTAAGACAAATAAATTCATCAGCTGTTGCCGAACACAATCAGGAAACCGGACATAAAATTTTATTCGAATCAAATCAATTCTTCTACCAACGGAAAATCCAAGAGTCTAGTCTATAAACACCTTAACAATCTTAACCGCGACTCAGGTATCTACCTGTCACCAATCATTCAGGAATCAGCCATCAGAGACGGTGTTTATGCCCCTCATTTAGCTCCGTCCCACTCAAACAATATATAAGCAGGTACAGAGTAAACTGCGAACTAGTTTCAGTTAAGCTCTGAAGAAGCTAACAGGATGATTGGCGAAACGTCAGCAACTTCGACTCAGCAAAAACCGACGAAAGAGGAATGCAAAAGTTTTGTAAAAAGTACTTTACAATATCATTGTTTGTAGCAAGTCATACAGAAAAAAGCAAGTAAATGAAAATTAATATTAACACATAATAATTACATAGCATATGAGTATAACATGATAAAAAATTGGCTATGTAGGAAAATAAATGTAGACACACAAATGAATAGAACATCACATTACTTAGTAATCCAAAAGAAAAAAATTGAATCATATGTGCAGTGCGTCTATTTTTGGATAGTTTTACGGGGTATCTCGCAGCGGACAGATCGTCAATAAATTTGGATGCGGCATTTATACGGCAGTATTTTCTCAAAATTTGCCTGGATCTCGTTAAATGTTTTGGATGAACGAGTTGAGTGTATGGAAATCGTTGTTTAGCAATAAAATCTGCACCATTTAGTGGGTTAATCTAGAGACATGCGCGGAAAATCATTACATTATGTACGCCTGCGGCGCATCAATTTTTACCGTAGTAGGGTCACTATATTGTCTAATAGCATTATGGGTTTTCCCAACACCGTGCTTCTTTTTCGAGAAACAACAGATGCCTGAAACGGAATTTTCGTAGCCCTTTTGATTTTTCATATTTGATATTTCTCAAAGCTTTGCATTTAAAAACCAGTCGCAATCTCGTCGCTATGCGACTTTGTATTTCAAAGAAACATCTTCGTAGCTTCTTGTCTTACACATACATCCTAACGAATTGTCGAAGGGCTAAAAAAGCAAAATCAGTATTTTTTTTAAATCCATAACACTGCAATAACGTTTAAAAGTATTTTTTTCCTAAAACTTGAACATCTTGTAGCTCAAAAATTAAATGATTTAGGACATTATATATTGACATTACCTTTACTCCACGGCTTTAGTTATTTGCCCTCAATTAATAAACACCTTGTATTTTGGGAAATCAGCTAGCTAAGGGTTGAATATCAGGGCATCTAAACTAAGCTCAAAATATCAACCAATTTTGAATAGTTTCTAAAACTCCATGGAAAATTTTTTATAATTCAGTTGAATATAAATTTTGCTTTTTCAAAAAAGTTATTTTTTCTTGGCTTGATAACTTTTGTTTTTTCTTTTAGAGCTCCGAATTTTCTTAACTTTTAAAGATAAAAATAATAATAACATAATAACGAATCACAGAGTTGAAGTACTTATGAAGAACTCCGTCTTGGAACCCCTACTTTTTATTATATACATAAATGATATTTGTCTGTATATAATACTGAAATTGTGCTGTGTGCTGAGTAAAAGTGAAAAGGCGCTTTATCTAAAGCTAACGAAGGTTTATTTATTTATTATAGCAACGATGCTTTGAGATGGCGGGCTAAGAAAAAATATTTCAAATACTCTATTTCTCTTGCGACAACCTGGTAGAATGGTGAATTTAGAAGTATAAAAATCTACTTAGTTTGGTTTATTTCATTAGCATACAAGTTACGCTACTATCTTATGGGGTAACTCTCATTATGCCATTAAAATATTTATAATGTAATAAAAGGGAGTACAGATAATCACAAATACGAATTTTAATGAACATTGTAAGTCATTGTTTCTTAAACACATAATGACGGATCCTTGTATATTTCTTTTTCAAACACTTGTTGCGATACATTCCAAGACAACGGGTAAACTGTGTTATGTGCATTATATTTACCAAAATTTGACATGGCTTTGGGGATTAGCGAGCACTTATTTAAAAGATTCCTTATACAGGGTGCAAGCACAATACGATTCAATTTATTTTGCGAATATCAGTAGTGGTCCGCAGGAGCACAATATAAAAAAGTGGGACTTCCAAAGACAAGAAGCTACGAAGATGTTTCTTTGAAATACAAAGTCGCATAGCGACTAGATTGCGACTGGTTTTTAAATGCAAAGCTTTGAGAAATATCAAATATGAAAAATCAAAAGGGCTACGAAAATTCCGTTTCAGGCATCTGTTGTTTCTCGAAAAAGAAGCACGGTGTTGGGAAAACCCATAATGCTATTAGACAATATAGTGACCCTACTACGGTAAAAATTGATGCGCCGCAGGCGTACATAATGTAATGATTTTCCGCGCATGTCTCTAGATTAACCCACTAAATGGTGCAGATTTTATTGCCAAACAACGATTTCCATACACTCAACTCGTTCATCCAAAACATTTAACGAGATCCAGGCAAATTTTGAGAAAATACTGCCGTATAAATGCCGCATCCAAATTTATTGACGATCTGTCCGCTGCGAGATACCCCGTAAAACTATCCAAAAATAGACGCACTGCACATATGATTCAATTTTTTTCTTTTGGATTACTAAGTAATGTGATGTTCTATTCATTTGTGTGTCTACATTTATTTTCCTACATAGCCAATTTTTTATCATGTTATACTCATATGCTATGTAATTATTATGTGTTAATATTAATTTTCATTTACTTACTTTTTTCTGTATGACTTGCTACAAACAATGATATTGTAAAGTACTTTTTACAAAACTTTTGCATTCCTCTTTCGTCGGTTTTTGCTGAGTCGAAGTTGCTGACGTTTCGCCAATCATCCTGTTGGCTTCTTCAGAGCTTAACTGAAACTAGCTCGCATTTTACTCAGTACCTGCTTATATATTGTTTGAGTGGGACGGAGCTAAATGAGGGGCATAAACACCGTCTCTGATGGCTGATTCCTGAATGATTGGTGACAGGTAGATACCTGAGTCGCGGTTAAGATTGTTAAGGTGTTTATAGACTAGACTCTTGGATTTTCCGTTGGTAGAAGAATTGATTTGATGCAAGAATTTTAGTTTTATCGAATAAAATTTTATGTCCGGTTTCCTGATTGTGTTCGGCAACAGCTGATGAATTTATTTGTCTTAGTCGTAAGGCTCTTTTGTGTTCTTTGAGCCTAGATGATATTTTTCGTCCGGTTTCTCCAATGTCCAATGCATGGAATGTTGTAAATTCCTGGCATCTCTGGTTTTGATTAGTTTTGATATGTGGTCAGTAATATTTTGAATGTAAGGAAGGACCACCGTGGCAAGTGTAGGATTGTTTTCGGCATCATTGCTATCGGAAGGTTGTGGTGAAGTGTATTTTTTGATGGAACGCTTAATATCTTTAATGTGGAAATTATTAGAGAGAAGAACAGAGGTAAGGTTTTTAATTCTGGGTTGGGTGACTCGCGCTGAGATAATTTTACGGCTCTGTAAACAAGAGAGTTGATAACCGATTTTTTTTGAGCATCTTCCAATAGCAATGAGGCCGAAAGCAACCTTACAGTTGCCACTGTAGTCCTTCCTTACATTCAAAATATCACTGATCACATATCAAAAGTTCTAAAGAAGTATGACGTAAAACCAGATGCCAAAAATCTCTCAACATCTTCAGTCCGCCAAAGATAAAATTCCATTTGAGATGCTATCAACTAGGTTTAAAGAACACGAAAGAGCCTTACGACTAAGACAAATAAACTCATCAGCTGTTGCCGAACAAAATCACGAAACCGGACATAAAATTTTATTCAATAAAACTAAAATTCTTACATTTTTCTACCAACGAAAACTCCAAGAGTCTATGGAAATCTATAAACAAATTTGACTCATCAACAACCAACGCCGGAGGAATCCAGAAGTGTTGTACAAAGTAATACAGTAGCCTGTGGAAGGTTCTTTGAAAAAAAAGATATTGTAAAATAGTCAATAAACTACCCATGCAATACTACTAAATCTTTCAAGGAGTCATGCGTTCATTATTTCGTAACTTCTAAACAACAAAGATGAAATTAATAATGCAAACATGTAACTCACTATAAACTCCAACTCTTCAAAGTTCTTCACGCGACTGATTTGTTGTCGTATCTGGTCAGTGAACTTTCCTGCTCGTTGAATAGTCTTTGCCGCCGCAGATATCTTGTCCCTCAAATTACTTATATCATCATATGATTTCTTAACCTCCCTCAACGCATCGGGCGACATGTTTTGTGTAACGCTTTTCCTGTATCTCGCAATAAACGGTATGCTGACGCCCTCATCGAACAGTTTAATTAAATTCTTGGCCGTTTGGGGAGATATATCGTTCCGATCGGTCAAAATTTCATAATCTTCCCAAACCGGATTAATTTTCTTGCTTTCGTCAACGTTTTCGTCTACAACTCGTTTTGATGTTTTAGCAGTCAATGGCTTCGATGTCTCAACTCTCTTCCTTGACAAGCACTTCTGCTGCTTGGTTATATTTTTACCAGATTCTGTGATTTTGGATTTCTTTGGTGGTGTTGAGGGTGGGTCGGCATGGCCAAGAGCTCTTTTCTAGAAGTAGAACATATATAACAATAAACAATAAAGAACAATAAATTTAAACTAAAGAGGTTGGCGAAGACAAAATATGCAGATTTATTTTTCTAGATTTTTATTTTTTCTCCGGTGACAGTCCATTAAAAGTTTTAGGAAAAAAAAAATATTCTTGTGAAACTTGGTACATAGTCATAATTGCCACTAACGTACAATTTAAAAATATTTTCCCTCTTGCAATGTTGCCGGTTCTACCAGAAATAGATGTTGTTTTATTGCATTTTCGAATAGGAGATAAAACAATTTCCACTAATTGTACCTATACTTATCTGCCATCTTGTTTGAAAAAAAAAATGTTTTTTTTAACATTTCTTGCATAAATTGTGATATTTTTGGCGTAACACTTGCATAGGTGATAGCTAAATATTTAAACGCACTTTTGAAAGAAATATAGTAATAATGAAGTCTTTTTTTTAATGCATACCTACGTGCATATGCATATGCAGACGACCTTGTGATAATGACACAGGGGAAGGATGCAGGCCCTCCTGAACGGGGCATTAGCAAGATTCTCACAATGGTGCCGGGACAGCAAGTTAGCTGTCAATCCTGGCAAGGTGGAGATGGTCATCTTCACCAGGAAAAGGAAGGTGCAGCGTAACCTTAACCGTACCCTTGGGAGTATGGTTGGACTCCAAGTTGACCTTATAAGATCAAGGATCAGCTCGGCATTGTGGGCGTGCCGGAGAGCGGTAGGGGGCACTTGGGGCCTGGGACTGAAGATCATGCAGTGGACCTACGCAATTATGGTGGTGCCTATGCTCACGCATGGGGCAGTGACATGGTGGCCGGGCAGGCGGCCAGGACGGCTGTCGCGCTAGCGAGCTGCGGTCTCTGGAGAGAGGGAACCTTCAATCGGGGCCCGTACGACATTTTAGAGGGCTGGCCCTGGGATCGCGGTGTCATGGGCATGGCGGGTGACGTCATGATCCCCGAGATGACAAATGGACCTTTCTCTTCCCATCAAGGGAAGAGTGAAGAGAGGGCAGAGTTGGCTCCTGGGATGGACTTGTCTGGTACACGGCCGGTCCCGAATGGGAGATTTGGCCGGAGCTGGAGCGTACTGCAAGACAACAGGATCTAGCTTGTCGGTCCCTCTGGGTCGGTACTGCACGGTGTTTTAGGCGGAAATTTTCGCTATATTGATGGCAGTCAGAGAGGTGCTTCGGCTCAACCACGGAAGCAGGAGAGTATTCTTCTGCTCTGATAGTAGGGCTGCACTTATGGCGCTTTGCGCTCCTTGTTGATAAAGGAGTGCAAAGGGGTACTGAGGAAAGTGACCGAGGCGAGGAATGTCACGTTGGTCTAAGGCCCGGGTCACACCGGGATCCGGGGCAATGAGGCAGCGGACACCTTAGCCAGGGAGGGCTCCTCGCACAGGCCTATGGGACCAGAGCCCCGCTTGGGTGAGAGAACGGGCCGCGATGGGCTGGACGGTTGATTCGGGAATGAGGCAGGCGAGGCTTATGATGGATAGGGCCGTCCTCCCTCGGACCAGGGAACTGCTTAGACTGATCACAACGGAGTGTAGAGCACTGACAGGGGCCTACACAGGACATTGTAGGCTTAGGAGGTATCTTTGCTTGCTACGCATTGGAGATGACCCGGAATGCAGGTGGTGCGTGGAAGGGGAGGAGACCCTGTATCATCTGCTCACCGAGTGCCCTGCTTTGATATGGGCAAGATTTGGAATCTTCGGAACGGCCCTGATCGATCCGAACTCACACGACGGTATGGGGCTAAAGGAGTTGCTGACCTTCTATAGGAATGGACGCCTTCTAGCGCGGTCTAGGGACACAACGGGCCCATCTGGTGACCTAAGTGCTTGAACGCCGGCAGGGGCGCCCCCCGTTAATACCAATATCTACGTGTTTTTCAATTCCATTGACTAGGCCAATAAATTATACGTGTCTCTATACCGTTTTTTTTAAGAAATGAAAAACATTTTTATTGTGTCTTTTAAGGCGCCTACAGATAGTCGCACATGTATTAAGACATGAACGCGCGTCGATGTACGTGCGGTGATGTTCGCCAGTGTGAAGACAAATTTTTGAAGAAAACACCAATGCACATGTTTTCTGTTCTTGCTTGAATTCAAACCTGATCAGGCTTGTACGCGCGTACATGCATGCCTGTGTGTAGACAAACTTTTCTATATTGAAAGACTTTTGCCACTGTCGCGACTATAATTTTTTTTTCTCTTTATTCAAGTATTTTTTGTGAACATTTAAGATTCAAGAAGTTTAACAACAGTTTTTCTCACAGAGTTGAATTGTACAAATCCCATCCCTGTTTATGAAAAATAAAATCCAAGGAATATATAGATAGAAACAAGAAAAATGAATTCTACAATGTGTTAATGGTGAAACTTCAAGAAGTAGAGAAAAAGGCGACTAAAGAAATGGTTAGAACCAAAATTAACAGCCTTCGATCTAGTTTCTGAAGAGAAACAAAAAAAAAGATGGAGTCGAGAAGATCAGGTGCTGAAGCAGAAGAAAAATATGTATCACATTTATGGTATTATGACCTACTTCTATTTGTAAAAGATCAACTCTTAGACAGTCTGTCAGTAACATCAAAGACAATGGAAACAACGGTGAAAATGAGAGCCACAGGTCAATAAGACAAACTGAGGATTACCTAGAATTGGAAGAAAGGTTAAATCTATCTTTTATGTTTTAACGACATTACTAATCTTTATACACATTATAAGTTTGATTAAAAAGTATATTAAAATTATTAAAATATCGGAAAAGTTTCTTTAGCCCATCAACTTTACAAGTGTGATAGAATATTTTTAACAAGACAAAAAGTATGTCACTGACTTCTTAATTAAATTTTAATAATTTTTTTAATTAAGCAACTAAAAATACAAGTTTTCTATCTCCCGAATTATTGTATCTAGCTTTAATAAGTTATTATTATTTTTTAAATTATTTTTACCCAATGTTTAATTTTTTTTCTATATAATAAAATTTTGTTTTTTTTTCTCATAAAACTAAGTATGATACGAAAATCAGTGGCGTTCATGTTTTATGAACAATATAAATTGTAATACCCTGGATCTTGGAAATGATAGATATGCGGACTATGTTTTTTTTAAGTTGACCTAAGGAATCGCCCTGTATAATAATATAAACAACCTTTTTACAGGAAACTAGAAGTGATATATATGAAAGTGACGGCAGTGAGCTTAGTTCAATACAAAGTCCATCAACATCTAGCCGATGTAGCAGTCATGAAGTGCGAGCAAATAAAATACAGTTCATCAAATTCTCGCCCACCTTCCAGTGAAGGAAATAATGCACTGCAGCCTGCAGTTAAAAAACAAAAAAAAAAAGAAACGCAAAACAAATCCGAGGAACAAACAGACGAAGTGTTTGCTCTACTAGGAGAAGGGTTACGTTTCAGTTCCAATAAGGACGATCATTTCACTATTTTTGGAAAAAACATCGCAGCAAAATTGAAAGTACTTCTTAAAGAAACCAGATTATACCCTGAGAAACTCATAAATGACCTACTGTTTGAAGCTGGAATGGGTAACATTACAAAAGATACTAGTATTATTTCATTAGCAGATGATTCATGGAAGCCGAACAATTTCCAGAATCATGACGTTGCCTGTGCTTACTATACTAGCCATCATAACTACAATTTAGGTCATCACCAGCAGCAACGTCAAGAGCAGAATAATTATTTATTAAATTCAAATATATCAGGCAAGAAAATAATGGGGGAAAAAAAGATTATATTTTACTATGTTAATATAGATAATGTAGTACCTTTATATAATCATCCCTTAGCACTTCATAAATAGCACTGCATGTCTGTGGAATTATGTTACACAATGACTGTGGAGAAATGATGATAGAAAATTTCAAATCCTCGTAATTTCTTCCAGAAGCTAAATATCGCAATTGGCCGTACCGTCCTGCTTTTTGATGATTAGTGTAACCAACTCAAGGAATGTTACATAACTATCTTCATCCATGCGGAGATAGTTGCGCCAATCGTCAGGTTGTAACTGTAGCTCTTCAAGTAAATTAATATGAAAATATTGATTTCATTTCAATAGCCAATCTTTAACCCATTTCCTTCGTAGACAGCGTTTTATTTTTTCAGTTGATTTTCCTTTCTCTTTCTAACGCAAACGCATGCCAATGTTACTAAATCACTCATAGAGATAAAAATAGTCAACCTACATCAATGTACGGAACATCGACGCGCGTTCATGTCTTAATACATGTGCGACTCTCTGTAGGTCCCTTTTGACGCGCTTATGAAGATTATAGGAGGTTGGTCATGGCTGGCTTTTATTCCAACCTGACATGCAGAAACGTTTTGTCCGGTGGTAAGGTGAAACAGTTGAAGGTGCTTGATGTGTATTTGTTAGTAACAAAAGTGTAAAACAAACACCTCATTGAAAGTAACAATTAATACAAATGTTTAATATGTGGCAGACATAGACCTTGTAGCCACTCTAATTTAGCTGGATTTAATGAGTCGAAAGTTCTGACAATTCGTCAACATTATTTATGGGAGTTGAAATGGGGCCAATCCCACGGCCCTAGTCGCCTGATCCACTAGTCCTCAAACGTGGCATAAAGATGCTGATCAATTTATAAGTGCAGTGAGGTGAGGCTCCATCTAGCTGGTACCAACAATCTCTAACAATTAGAGGTGAATCATTTAGAAAATTTGCTAACACAGTACACAAAATGTTCCGATACTCCTGTGAATCAAGAGAGTGAGACGTGATATCGAACATGATTGGTCATCATTAAACAAAAACATTTACATAAAAAGTGGTCTGAAAATTTCATTTCTAATTGCTTGAGGATTTTCTGTTGTCCAGAGATGTTGATTGTATCTATTAAAAATACCTTCTTCCGTAAATTTGGACTTATCAGCCCAAATTATTTTACGCAAGAAATCTGGGTCCTCTGCGGTATGAAATATCAAGTTTCACAACAATATCTATTTTGTTTCCTATTAAACTTCTAATGGACGGTAACCTTGGAAAGCTGGCATTTCCAGTAGAGCTGCCATTATTAGAATAAAAATTTTCGTTCTTTTAGCAAAAAATATATAAAATTACTGTTAATTATTTTTCCAAACAACAACTATTATTAAGGGCGTTTGGCCGCCCATACAACCAAACGAACAGATTCCTTCTGGTCTCAGAGTATTGAAAGACGAGTTTTGCTAAACTAAGGATATTTGACTTACTGTGCCTAATTTTGCATTTTTGATATTATCTTCCTCATCGCTGGTTATTATTTCAACTAAATTCTCACATCCTCGATTTTTCCCTTGCTTAGTTAAGTGATCCCTGCTTGTATCTTCATCACTGGAAACTAACGAAATTTCACCCAACCATTTTGATCGTTTAGCCTAAAAAATAAAATTAAACAAAACCAATCTGACTGGATAAATTGACGAACTTTGCGCTTCAGTATTTTTCCAGAGTTTTTGAGGACATTTGTATTCATATCCATTTCGCCAATTGATCGATTGGACTATTTGTAAACAATTGGCGCCATGGCACAGACTATTACAACGTCTATGTACTCTGTGACCATAATATTTATATATATATATATATATATATATATATATATATATATATATATATATATATATATATATATATATATTTTTAATATTTATATAAATTGTTGAGTAGTAAATTATTGAGGTCATTCGCTCATTATATTATATTATGCAACAAGTGTGGTAAACAGCATTTGAGTCACGAGTTTATTTGACACGAGCGGAGCGCAGCGCAGCGAGTTTTTAATAAACGAGTGAGTTAGTGAGTTAAAAAGTTTACCGAACGTTACCGAATGAGTACAGAAGGGGATTGGGATCTTTAATTTGCGATCCTTCATCCATGATTAAAATAGTTGTCTGCAACAACAATGAATCTTTTACGAAGGAATATATTACTTAAGAGGTTTCCTTTTTAAATTTACTGGTTAATTTGGCCCTGCACAGGCAATTTGGCCAGTTTAGAAAAATTGGCAAAGAAAGGGTCTCGACTGTTCCATCATTCGCCAGTTTTATTAACATATTATTAGAGAGAAATAAACTTCTAGATAATTAGTCACAATTCAGATTCATCCTATTTAGTCTGGATACCAGCGTGAATATAAGACATCCGGAAACAAAGCAATACCCCATATAAATCCATAGACACCCACACGAAACAAGAACTAATTCCCAAAACTATAGACACTACGCCTTTAACAATTCAATTAAGAGATGTACTAAACAATTTTTTTTCAAACGACGCCATATTCCAACTGATTTCTAACTTTTTTGGAACCGGACTGGAACAAACGTCCATCATGTGCAATGGTTCCCTTCTGTTCGAACTCAAAAGGTTTTCTTTTTACGCTCATTATGAATCGGATAACAAATACTTGATAAATGTGAACTGTGATTTTAGGAATTTCTATATTCCATCCAAAACGTGTGGGAGATGTCAACTTTAATTTAATCTGTGACTTTTCCATTCTATGGTGGTAATGGGGTAATGTCAGTGTCAGTGCGTCAGTATCTCAAAAAAGAACGAAGAAAAGTTGATACAAATGTTGTGTTTTACACAATTAACAGTTTAATTATTTATTTACTGTGCTGTGAGTTATTTTAATTTAGGAAAAATGTCCGCTGAACGAGAGATACCAGCCGAAGACAGTATTAAAGTAGTGTGTAGATTTCGACCCCTAAACGATTCGGAAGAAAAAGCTGGATCGAAATTTGTTGTGAAATTTCCATCCGGAGGGGAAGATAATTGTATTTCGATAGGGGTGAGCGCGTACTATTCTCGTCTGATTTCATCTTATTGAGTGTACTGTAAAATTCCGTGGGATGTCATATATATTAATTCCCGTTTACGTCACAAAGCCAGGGAGTTGAAGGCGGTCTCGCACCACCGAACTTCCTCCTTGAGCGCTATTTTATGTAGTTTACTTTCATTATTTCGTTCGTTTCTTTCACAATCTTCCGAATAACAATTAAAGGTGTTGCTCGACGGAATTTTAATTGGGTCATTGCCAATAATGCCTCGAATTTGTTATTATTTTTGTAAATTGTGCTACCATTTTTTTGTAAGCGAGTTACAAACCTTTTGCTTGATTCCTGCGGCATTCTTTTAAAATGGTCTCACCCAATCACCCACTCAAAAATATTTAATTTCTATTAATTACTTTTAAGTAGAACTGAGTGATCCATTTTAATGTTCTTCAGAAAAAAAAACAATTTTCCCCTTATGACAACATTGTACTTTGTACTTTCAAATGGAACACCATATATTTTATTGCAGATTACTATGTAAATAAAGTTGAGTTATTTAGGTATAAAAAAATTGGTGAAAATATTATATTTTAAATCCATCATGGTGCTTCTGATATACAAATAGTTAATTCTTTCTTTTAAGAATACCAACTAAAATCTAGATATTTCCCTATATTTCCTCGTATTACCCAAATGTATGTTTCCTAAATATTTCCCTATTTCCTTTGCTATATTTTTGTATGAAGAAACTCACCTATAACATATTTAAACGTTTGATCTAAAATTCTGTTGTTTTTCTTTTCTCAATAATATCTGAATGATTTGCAGAAAAACTTATATATGGCGTAATAATAATACGATAATACCCACACCATTCACAAAACATAAAAATAAAAAAAAAAAAATGAAATTATGGTACACATATTCACGTCTCTATATCTCAATTGGTAAAGACTAGTAGAGTTTTTTGCCGATGGAGGCTTCGTCGTTTATTTGTACAGTTCTATTTTCCGTTTTTTTATAACACCTTTTAAAAATAAATGTATTTAGCTAATCAGTAATATAAATTGAAAAAAATTTTTTTCACTGTATTTTCCATATATTAATACACATTTCCTAATTTTCCCCATATTTCCTTAGTATTTCCCCATTTTTTCTTCGTATTTCTATATAGATATAGATATATAGAAAGCTAAATATTTGTAAATATTCCAACATTACTTGCCATAGTGCCCTATATGTCTTAAGGAGGTGCGTTATGGTGGTAGCGGTGGTAGTTTAATTTTATAGAAATTGTTATTTAGCTTTGAGAAAAGACTAAAATACCAAGTACTTAAGAAAAATTCTGTATTGATTTTGAGGACATTGATAAGATTTTTAACAAAATCAAACCAATTTTTTATTTTTTATCCATACATGTCTTGCGGATTTTGCATTAAAAAAATTAAGCATGTATTTAATTTAACTATAATTTAATTTTTAAAATTCAACTGAAGGAAAAATCTTTTTCACTAAGCAACAACGTACAAAATTCGGGACTTTTCATTGATATGAGGCTGCAATGACACTGGAAAACTCTAATTGCTCACACATGAGCATGTGTTCTGTTCTTCAGCTAATGATTTTTTTTTTAAATTTGTCATATGACTTTTTTGCTAAGATTACCTAAGCAAACATGTAGAGGATTGAGTTAATCTTCCTTATTGCTGAAACATTTTTGCAGGGTAAAGTTTACCTTTTTGACAAAGTATTTAAGCCCAATGCAACTCAAGAAAAGGTCTACAATGAAGCAGCTAAGAGTATTGTGTCTGACGTGCTGGCTGGTTACAATGGTACCATTTTTGCTTATGGTCAAACTTCCTCCGGTAAAACGCATACTATGGAAGGGGTAATAGGTATGTAGAGGTCTGGAGAGGCATGTTAATAGTTAGCTGATAATGATGGTAATTTTTAGGGGATCCACACAAGCAGGGCATCATCCCACGTATAGTGAACGATATTTTTAATCATATTTATGCAATGGAAGAGAACTTAGAATTTCATATCAAAGTCTCATACTTTGAAATTTACATGGACAAAATCAGAGATTTGCTTGATGGTAAGTTTTAGACTCGAAACCCCACTTGTCATTACTTTTAATCTGAGTAACAGACTATACTGATTGGACGTTGCACATAGTTGAAGGGGGTTTACAACATTTTTTTCTCAGAACATGCTATTGTCAAACTTTAATTGAAAAATTAATTCTATCAAGTTCTTCCTAACATGTTAAAACCATGCCACGAGAGGTGTACCTCCCTTGAGTTTGATCTCAATATGTAAACCAAAACACCTCAGTTTCACTCGTCCTATTCCACCATTTTTGAGGTTTGTGAGTGACTTAAGTGATGTCACAAGTTGATCTTTTTAAAAATATACCGGTTGATTAATTGGTAACATTAGTATTTTAAATACCATACCTTATATTTTATTTATTTATTTATCAGTACGTTAAAAATAAAACTAGGTCATATATAAACTAGATTGAATTAAAGAACTAAAACAAAATAAAATTCAGGTCAATAACCCAATTGTAAAAATAAAAATAATAAAAATGAGTTCATTAGACAGGTGATCTGGAAATAAAAGTATTCAACGCATAGTTAGTATGTTGGATTGGGTGGTGAAAACTGCCATTGCTCTAGTACTTCTAGGCGGAACTTGAATGCAGGTTTTTTTGAAAAATGTCTGGAGTTGAAACTCTCCTCTGCAAAATATACAGGAAGAAAATACAGAAGAAATATAAGAAGTAGTTCCGCGTGATTATAATTATCAAGAATATTCGGTTTATAATCTATTAGTATGAAAAACTTGTGTTCAACCCGCTGCAAAGGAACAGTTGTAGTCTGGAGTACTCCTCCTAATGAACCCAAGCATCTGGAATACTTTTTTAACAGCAGTATTTATATGCTTTTTATAAAACTTCTGGATTCCTCCTGCGTCAGTTTTTGGTGAGTCTAAATGAGGTATATAAACGAAAATAGCATAATAAATACGGATCGGAAAGAATACGAAAAGCTGAAAATTACAGCCTTAAACTTCAACTGTAAACTAAAATTTCTCCTAAAAAGAAATTTTGATAATATTGATAATGTAATAAAAAAACATTTATGAAATTCTTAAAACCGATATAACACGAGTTATACAATTTAAAAATCACAACAGATAATTTGAGATTCGACAAATGTATAGAAATCCATAGAATTCGCGACAACAGCACGTAAAGGAGAATCAACAAATCTGTCGTGACAGGTGTTCAAAAATGACAAATTCTAAATTGCTGCAAAGAGAATTAAATAAATCCACTGTAAATATGACTGTCAAGGAAAATCCAATAAAGAAGAAAGAAGTAGATTTAAAGCATTCAGCTGATTCCAGAGGTTGATAAGAATCAAATATACAATTTAAATGAGTAAAACAAAACTAATGAATTGAGCAGAGTAACATATCGAAAAGAAACAATATCAGAACTTGTAAGTAGATGGTGTTAAGTCACTTTAATTTTTAATGCCAAATCAGATAAAATTATAAAAACGTGGAGTTTTTATTTGAAAAAAAAAAAGACTTTATGTTTTCTATAATTTAATTTTGACCTCTTATGATTATATGACCATATGCTTCCTTTCACAACGAATGCAACTAAAATTAAATAATAAATGTTTTTTTTAACATAAAATTCAGGATCTGTGGAAAACAAGTTAGACTTAGGTATAAGATATCCCTAGGAACCCAGAAATGCAATATTATATAGAGCGTTCTATTTAAAATAAGAAGGAACACCGTATATATATATGAAAAAATCTAGATGAAATTATGCAACTTTTATATTTACATTTTTTTCAGTAAATTTAAAATCACAAGTTTCACTCATTGATAGTGGATAATTGTTGCAACTTCTATTATATCTTATATCCTCATACTACTGTTGATGTGTTAAACTAAAAAAATATATTCATTAATGCACTACTGTAAGTACTTTTAATGACTGTGTCATTAAAGTGTCGTCGTTAATTTCTCTTTATTCCATTATAAAGGAATAATCAGGTGACATGGCAAGTGGTAAAAAATGACAACCATGTCCATTTATTTGAAATGGGGCGGAAAAAACCTATAGTTTTAAGTAAATTTTAATATAACATCATTAAAATTGAAACTTTAAATAATAATTCTATTTTTAACCATATGTTATTGCGATTATTTTTAAAATCTCATTTTCAAGCAAATTGTATTTACCTTTAAGAATTTTGCCAAATTTGCAGATTTAAAAAACTGAAAAACATATTTTTTATAATTTTAGACGATCCTGTTTAATAGCCGTTAAAAGGAAATTTTAATAGTCACTTCGTGGAAACAAAAATTATTAAATTTTAAATCATCACTGATCATCAGTGTCCTGTGTATAGGCGGGCTTGCTGATTCTTTAGTGTTGCAATTCACTAAATTTACTTGGAACAATATTATTTATTTTTCTTCAGTTTCGAAGGTGAACTTGAGCGTACACGAAGATAAAAATAGGGTGCCTTACGTGAAAGGAGCAACGGAGAGATTCGTGTCGAGTCCCGAAGAAGTGTTCGAATCCATTGAGGAAGGGAAATCGAATAGGCACATAGCGGTAACAAGTAAGGCGCTTTAATATTTTCGGTACTAGTATAACTATAACTGACGCTCCAATCTAACTCTATTTAGACATGAACGAGCACTCGTCGAGGTCGCATTCAGTGTTCCTCATCAATGTTAAACAAGAAAATTTGGAAAACCAAAAGAAACTGTCGGGAAAACTCTACCTCGTCGATTTGGCCGGCTCAGAAAAAGTTTCTAAAACCGGTGCCGAAGGTAGGTGTCGTTTTACAGTGTTAACGAAACATATCACTGTCTTCCAGTGGGAGAATGAGGTATGGTATAAGGGCAAGACACTAGAGAATCCTAAAAATTTGAAGTAAATCGGCAAGAGAAAATGCTGAAAATTATTTTCGAGTTTATGATAAACCATTAAGTAATGACCAAGTGTAAGAAGCTCAATCCTTTGGATATCAGATATAGCTTGAACCGCCGGTTGTTAAATTGTCCATTGCCAGACATAAAAAATATGTTTTATATTTTTGTGTGGTCCTTTCAGCGGGATCATATTCATTTCTTGCAAGTCCCATGTAATATTTTTTTAAATATTCGCGTAAAGTCACACTATACGTCACTTCATTAGTTTGCTGTTTCGCACATTTACAGGATGATGATGTTTTTTTTTTCTTCATATGATTTGAGATGTAAAAAGAAAGTAAAAGGGTGAATTTATGTTGTACATCAATAAAAACATTTGACTTCAACTAGTTCTTTATTTGGAAAATAAGTTTGTATATTCTCAACACTTCAACTGCGCGCTGTATGATTGAATGATTTTTCTGAAAAGGTACCGTGCTAGACGAGGCGAAAAACATTAACAAGTCCCTGTCGGCTCTCGGCAACGTGATCAGTGCCCTGGCCGACGGAAACAAGACCCACATCCCCTACAGGGATTCGAAATTAACGCGGATCCTTCAGGAGTCCCTTGGAGGAAACGCCCGCACGACCATCGTGATTTGTTGCTCTCCCGCCAGTTTTAATGAATCCGAGACCAAATCCACTTTGGAATTCGGCAAAAGGGCCAAGACGGTGAAGAACGTTGTCACCGTCAATGAGGAATTGACCGCAGAAGAATGGAAGAGGAGGTAAATTATTGATTGGAACGTGATATAGTGCTTTCGCAGATAAACGGTTTTGGCTTATTAAGGGCGACAAAACTTCCTGGGGTAGCGTAATTCACTATGAATAATTTGCTCTGAAAATTGGTTACTTAGGTTTTTGGACTTGTTCAATCGATCTATACATATTTAAAAACCGATATTTTCATTGATTGAGTGACTTTTGAGTTTAAACAGTTAAACCTACCAGCCGATGGAATTTTGCTGGGTCAACTTTTCATAATCTTTTCCTTTGGTTTAACCAGAAGTTAATAAAGCGACAACCCTGAAATTATTTTAGGTCCATAGAGCATGTCAGGAAACAGACCACTTAATTTTCAGAACAATTCTCTGTCCAGCAAAATTTTTATTTTTTTAAAGAAACTTCCACAGGCTACTATAATACTATTTAGAAATCTTCTTGCCATCTTAAGCCAAAACTATAGATATGCTACGTTTGTGATGCTTTTGTTATTTGGTCTCATGGTTCAGAATACATTCTAACATCTGTTTTATCATTAAATTAGAAGCTAATAATAATTCTAGATATTCTTAGATATTCTTATTTATAGAAAATCAGATCTAACATTGGGTCTCATTTAGTTGACAGAAAATCACTGTAAACAACTCTCTTGTTTACAGAGCCGGAAAATTATTCCAACCCGAATCACTGAACCCAGAATTAAAATAAATAACTTCTGCTTTTCTCTCAAATTATTTCCACATTAGAGATATCAAGCGTTCCATCACAAAATACACTTGACCGCAACTCAAAAACAACCCCACACTTGCTAATGTGGTCCTTCCCTTATTCGATTAAACAAAAATTCTTGTAATGATTTCTTCTATCGAGAATCCATACAAATATCTAAACAACTAAAGAATCTCAGGTTTTTACCTTTCACCATTATGGGAATCAGTCATTCGAGACAATGTTATTGGCTCTGGCCAATCAATCTGTATCTGTATATAACAGAGTAGAATGATGATCGACGAAACGTCAGCAATTTCGATTTATCGACGACGATTTATTAACGACGCAAGATGAATCCAGACGATTGGTAAATAGCATATATTTTATTTTATATTTATTAAAAATTATGCAAAGAGCCTTAAAAATGTTATATGTTGTTAACATTCAATTTTTGAAATAAAAATAAAATTTTGATTCCGTTTTCTTCAGAGACATGTTTGTCTTCAAATTAACTTTAAAAAGTAAAACTTTCATATTTTCAAGACTACAAAATGAAAAAAAAACAACAAGGTCGTAAACTTTAACATATGACAAAACTGTTCGTTACTCTGTCAAGTAGACGCAACATACGCGAGAACAAAATCTTGAATTTTGGCAGCTGATTCTGTATTAATCCATTAGATAGATTTATTTATTTAGGCGCTCTCTGGACCAGTGTTCTCATCTCAACTTGATATAGATATAAAGGTAATAAGATACCAATATTCAGTCTAGAAAATTTAAAAATCTCGAGAAATAAATAGCTTGTACACTTTACACTGTTACACTTTCAATACGACAAAAATTGGTTTCATCAATTGGTAAGTTGAAACACACCACAAAGAATGTTATTATGATATAATAATGCCTTATCGTCGCTTTGCAAGTCAAATCGAAGATTAAATTTGCGAATAAACACGCTGTATAAAGCATAGGTTTATTTTCACTCACGCGCTATTTAGGTACTTTCTTTACATATTTGGAGATCTTATGATTGTGTTCGTTTAGTTCGATTATTTTTTATTAATAAACATTAATACATCCCTTACTTTGTCCTCTGTCGAGCAACGTTTTCCCAGTTGTCGTGCGAAGTACCATTTCTGTTTGTAGGAAATTTCAGTTTTTATAAATCAGGCGAGTCATTTCCACGAAATCAAACATTAATACGTTTTTTCTTAAGCTTTTTCATTTTGGATTTTTGTGGCTAACCAAAAACTGCGTATACAAAAAAGAACAATATTTAATATGTTTTTACAAAAAAGGGTTCTCAATATTTTTTTTGAAAAGTTATGCACTTTAACTGTAAGAAATTCTTGTGTTTACATTTTTCGACCCCATTTTTACACTCAATCTGTCAAATCCGTATTTTATTCTATTCTATATTCATTTTACAATATTTTACATCTAGACAGAAATTCGTCTGTTTATAACTTTCCTCATTGGGCGAAAACAATTTATCTATGAAGGCACTATACATTAATATTTCATATTCTGCTTTTGTTTAGAATTAGAATTAGAAGTTACAGAGCTGTTATTCTTAGGATTAAATTATATCTGCGTATAACTGTATGTTAGAATTAGAAGTAATTTATAATGGGGAAAACCTCATGTAAATTACTGCGCTGAAAGGATACACCCGCTGTATATGGGATGCAACAGTGTAATTTTTAATTTCTCAGGTACGAGAAGGAAAAAGAAAAGGTCGCTCGTCTCAAGGGCAAAGTCGAAAAGTTGGAAGAAGAATTGAACAGGTGGAGGGCCGGAGAGACGGTCAAGGCCGAAGAACAAGTCAACCTGAACGATATCAACGAGGTGGTTACTCCGGTGTCGGGCTTGGAGGAAAGTGTGGTGGAACCGACTGGACCCATGCCCGCCACCCCCGCTTTGATGATCGGCTCGACTTTAGGAATTGAAGAAAGACAGAAACTGGAACTTGAAAGGTAGGACTCTATCTTGTTACTCGAAACAAGGTGTTTAAAGTTATTTTTTAGGGAGCGACTTTACCAGCAGTTGGACGAAAAAGACGAAGAAATTAACCAGCAGAGCCAATATGTCGAGAAGCTCAAGGAGCAGATGTTGGAACAGGACGAGCTTATCGCGAGCACTCGTAGAGATTATGAGGCGCTGCAGAGTGAGATGAATAGAATACAGCAAGAAAACGAGAGCGCCAAGGAGGAGGTTAAAGAGGTACGAGCGAATATTTCATGTTAATTTAAAAGAGAGTACCTTAATGCTGACACTTGATGCTTTCATTTAGGTACTTCAAGCTCTGGAAGAGTTGGCGGTTAATTACGATCAGAAATCTCAAGAGGTTGACGCGAAAAACAAAGAAATGGAATCTTTGTCTGAGGAGGTGATGGTAAAACAGACGTTGCTGAACAACACCACGGCGGAATTGCAGCAGACGCGAGATTTGAGTAACCACCAAAAGAAGAGGATTGCCGAAATGTTGACCAACCTGCTGAAGGAATTGGGAGAAATAGGTTTGTAGTTTTCATTCGTCCTTTTTATTACACCATGTACTTTAACCAGAGTTGGAGTTGCTCTCTCTGAGTAGCAAAGCAAAGCAATTTTGTTTCGTGAACGGGTTTTTTCGATCGTTAGTTCAAGTTAATAAAATTTATTTTTGCTCTTGCCATTTAGGTGAAAAGTGACCCACATTTTTGGTGTTGCGTGCTGACGTGAAAATTTGCAGCTTACCAGTATATTGAGCATAGTTCAGTTATTATTTATATGTAGAGATTACTATGAAAGGAGATCGATTGAGCTTGGAGAAAACATGTTCTTAAATCTTTATAATTTTTTGAAATTGATAAAATATTTACTCTCGTAGTTTATTTCTGAAATTCAAATTAGCCTGATGCCTCCCCTATTTTGCTCGACAAGTGCACGAGTATTTAAACACGTCATTTCTCGGACACTGAATTTGTGGAGTGGGGATTATTAGGATGGCGTGCAAGATTTTCAGATATTACTCCATTGGATTTTAAAAATCAAAAGTGTATAAGTAGAAATCGTGGGGGCAAATGTAATCCCATTCTTTTTATTCCAGGTACTATTTTGGGCAGCGAAGGAAGCGAACTAAAAATATCCAATGACTCGGGTAAACTGGAGGAAGAATTCACCGTCGCCCGTCTTTACATTTCTCGTATGAAAAGCGAGGTGACCAACCTGACGCAGCGATTGCAGGACATCGAATGCAAAGAGCAGGACAGCAACAAAAAGGTGACAGAGTACGAGAAAGAGTTGGCGGAATGCAAGTTGCTGATCTCGCAGCACGAAGCGAGAATGAAGAGTCTGCAGGAGTCAATGCGCGAGGCCGAAAACAAGAAGCGGATGTTGGAGGAGAGCATCGACGCTTTAAGGGAGGAGTGCGCGAAACTCAAGGCTGCCGAACAGGTACATAAAGCGGTTTGTGGACAAAATACAAGGTTTTCAAAAAGTTTTACTATTTTGGAAGTGTAAAGCTTTATTGTGGTCTTCTTCTTCTTTTTTAGCGTTTTCTAAGTCCATTTTTGAATGTCAAGGTCCTTCATCTATTTTCTTCTGTTATAGGCTGTTTGTTTCCAATTTTGGCCGGGGATTAGTTTTAAATCATCCATCCATCTCATTCGTGGTCTTCCCCTGGATCTTCAAAATTCATATGGTCTCCAAATCAGGACTGATTTTTGCCATTTGTTAGTTTCTTCACTAGCAACATGTCCTCGTATTCCCATTTTAGTCTTAGGGCTTTGTGCACTATGTTGGTTACCCTTGTTCTTTGTCTTATCCATGGATTTTTAAGAGATATTCCCAGGATTGGTAAGATGCATTCGTCAAAAACTTTAGTTCTTAGATGTAGGTGAATTTGTTGGTTTTTCAGTATATAGCTTAGTTTTCCAAACGCTGAACAAGCTAGTGTTCGGTTTCTTTTTACTTTTGCCATTCGGATATCTCTATTACAAACAATTTTTTGGTCCAGGTTTATACATTCAGTGACCCTATATCCCTGTTGTCTACCTTTGTGACATTTTCTTCCATGTACCTTGGTTAGTTTTGATTAGTTTGTCGGAGTTGGTGTGCAACTCTGTTAGCATTTCTTTCAATTCACTTACATTATTAGCTATTACAATTATTTCTATTGTGGTATCTTTTGAAAATTATTATGCAGGTTGCTAGTTGAGTGTTGAAAGTATGAAAGTTGTATTTTTTGAAGGGAACTTACTGTATACTAAAGCATTCGTTTATTCTGAAAATAAGTGAAAGTTTCAATAACGTTTATGGTTCTTAAATCTTAAATCTCAAATTAATGTCAAACATCAAAATTAATTTGTTATATTAAATAATTGGAATTTTGTCTAAACAAACAAATTAATGTTAAAATGAATTTCTCTAATATATAGAAAGTATTTGAGTTATGCACGCAAAATATACAGTAGAGTGTAACCATAGACTCCATATTTTATAACCATTGACCATATGTTATACATGAATTGTAAAGGCTTCCCATCTTATTTGACTAATTGAAGTAGACACTTATCAGGAAATGTAACTTTTTACTTTAGCATCAATTGGTGTGATAGTATTCTATGGCTAATTCTTCGCATTTTTGTAGAATTTGATAGATAATTGGAAAGTGCATGCCTTAATAAGATAAAAAATATGGTGTTCCATTTAAATTAACCCACTTAAGATACTGAAAGTTGTCATTAGGTTATAAAGGTTTGAACTGGAATATAAAACATGTTTATTTGAGAAAATAAAAGTACATTACATTTTCAGCAAACTCAAGTTATTTGAAAAATCTCCAAATTATTTCAAAAATCACACGTTGAATTTTGATAGTAGAATTCAAAAATACTACAATGTGAATTTTAAAAAATACAACTTTGATACTTGTAACATTTTTGAGAAAATCTATAACCAGTACGAAAGGTATTTTACCATAATATGACATATCCCAAAAGTAATATCTTTTGAAAACCTTTTGGTGACAACATTCCATGCCCCATAGCGTGAATAGCCTTGATAGTAAAACCTGGAGGGCTTGTGGTGTAATTTGTTTAATTTGTTGTTTTTTTTTTTTCAAAGGGTAAGTGAGTAAGAATGATATTCAGATTGCGAGGGTTAGCAATTAATTGGTTTGTCGGTCAATGCGACCCAAAAGCCCCCTCCATGGTTTTGGTTAGTGTCATTCAGTGTTTTCCTCCACTCACATTGTATATCTATTGGTCTTCATTTTATAGCTTAGCGGGTCTGCTACAAAGAGCCCAACAAGGAATATATGGGAATTTAATAAAATTTTAATATGTTATGAATTATAAATTGCTGTATATAAAACTGCTTTATTGTCTCTGTTGCGACAATTGTAGACCATATATTTTTATAAACATCTGACAAAACAAGCAGTTTTCAACATTATTATTATTTTGACATAATTTAAAATACAGGCATAGAATATGTTGATATTTACGTAAATAATAGATCATTTTTATAGAATTCTATTGGTCACATATAATAAAAATTAACTTAGTTATTTTTTATAAATTATAAAAAAAAACGAAACTTTTTTTAATAGCGTGTTTTTTTCAATGCACTTCGTAGTAAAAATAAAATTAACACAAAACAATTACTAGGTTTTATAATTTTTTATTTGAAAAATGAAACAAAACAATCAAAAATGTTTGTAGAAATCATGTAGGTGAGAAAAAATACAAAAGTTAAAAATTCGTACTTGAAAAAGTAGAAACAAAAAACGAACACATTTCGCTTACATCATCTAGAATGGATGAAAACCCACTAAAAACTCGAAAAATTAAAATTATAATTATAACACAAAGTGAAATATACATTATTAAATATTGACAATTCCTTTAACACAGACTCACTTATTTATTTCGCGGTCTGTGCTAAAGTCCTTATTCCCGAAACTCTCAAAATTATTTCAGATATATTAAAATCCTAGAATTGAACAGAGGTGGCTTTTACTTGATTAAATTCTATTTAACAATATAAATAAGAACTAAAAGTTCAGATTTTCATGAAATTATATATTTTCACATGACAATTATTTCGACAACATAGACATTTGATAAAGGCACGGTGTTGTCACTATAATTATCATGTGAAAATATATAATTTCGTGAAAATCTAAAATCCGAGAATCTGGAATAAAATCATATCATCTTAATTGAAAAATGTTTGTCCAGAACATATTTAGATTGTAACAGCCAAATTTCTGAACAAATATCGGGAACACCTATGGGTTCTACATTATCATAATCCCTAATATGTTTGTCAAAAGTATGATTTACCAAAAGTATGGAAATACAGACACAAATCTACTGTTATCAGCTCTGAATTCAGAATTATAACATCTAATATCTGCTCTTCGCTCAAATAATTTCCATATCACAGATCTTAAGCGTTCCATGACAAAATACACTTCAACGCAACCTTCAAGTCCGATCACATATCAAAAGTTCTTATGAAATAAAATGTTAAAACCAGATTTATCACTTGTCCAAAAATCTCTCAACATCGGAGAGACAGACGGACTAATATCATTAATCATCAAAATTGCAGAATCCATAAAAGTATCTAAAGGACTAAACAATTTTAGCTCTGACTCAGTCCTTTACTTGTCACCAATGTGGGAATCAGTCATCCGGGACAATTAACGAGTCCCTCCTTTAACTCCGCCCTTATAAACAGTATATAAACAGGTACCATTTAGCTGCTTGAGATGCCTATGCTGATCATACAGAAACCTTTGAAGCAACCATGTTATTATGTTACCATGTTACTAGAATAACATTGGATATTGCTTTTTTATAAATTCTATAAAAACATAAACATCTGATTCGAAAGTCGATGATACTTCTGACGTCTATGACTCAGAAGATGTTCTTCTTTTATTGATAAAGTCCAAATAGAGTATAAAAGGGAAGTTGAATGCAGTCTAAATCCATAATCGCTGATATGATATGATATCAAATATCTCGCTGCATCAACAAATGTAGAAACTGAAACGTTTTCATATGAAATCATAAAGATGACTGTCGAAATATTCTCTCTACATTTATGTTATCTGCCCGCAGTGGTGGCATTTGCCACGAGTTCCTTGTTTCTTTAAGTGAGTACCAAATTGAAAAAAAATTGTATAAAGCTATCTCGGATACTAATAAACAATATACAATATGTAATTTTTTGGTTTAATCCTCAATTTTTTTTATATCTATAATAATAAAAATTACAAGGTCCATATCCTTTATCATTGCTAAAATTTTCTGCAGGTGTCGGGTGCGAGTGAGAGCGAGAAAAAAGAAGCGAACGACCTGCGTATGGCGCTCGAACAGCAAATGGACCAGCTCAGAGTTGCCCATCAAAAACAAGTCGCCGCGTTGCGCGACGAAATTGCCGAGAAACAACAGCTGATCAACGACATTAAGGAGTGAGTATATTTATGAGTTTTATTAGTCGTACCTAGAGATTGATAAAATTAAGAAGATAAATCCTAATCATAGTGGGCCTGGAATGTATGAGTTCTAAGCTAGATGTAAAATGGAATTGGATTTCGGTATATGAAGGCGCATTTTAGTCACTATAGCTGCGTTTTTGATTTATTATATTTTTTATAAGTGGGGTGATAAACCCGACGCTACACACAACAATTTCAACCTCATAATTGAAACTCTTTTGCCAAAGTCGATAGTTTATCATATTAATTTATTACAACTTATGGTATATTGTATGTTCCATTTAAAATAACCAAGTTTAATACCTTGAGATATCCCCTACAATAACTATTTTCATCGCATGCAGAACATTGAAACAAACAACTTTTGTATTTGAAATTGCTCAATAAAAGAAACTGTTTTGGATATATAAAACTTTCTAGCAATAGTAAGCTATCCTGCAAGTTTAATACCTTGAGATATCCCCTACGATAACTATTTTCATCGCATGCAAAACATTGAAACAAACAAGTTTTTTATTTGAAATTGCTCAATAAAAGAAACTGCTATGGGTATATAAAACCATCTAGCAAAATCCATTAAATTGATTTAAAAATGTTAAACAAACATCTTGTCATAAAACATACGAATGACGTTCTTAAGTCACTAAAAATCTAGCGTCAGATTCTTTGTGGCAATATATTTCCTTATAGTCATTTGGCAACTTCTAATGACGTTTGTCGTTTTGTTCTTGGTTACTAATGTTTTCTATGTTACAATTATCATACTTTTAACTGGCCGAAATATTAATACTTTGATTTTAGTTAATTAATATTGTGATATTTTGATCATCCCTAAGTTTATATTTTAATATATCCAGGATTTGGAATAATTTCTCACAGTGGTTCACGAGAAAGTAAGAATGCGGAAACTATATAGATGATACTCTACCATACTTTACATCTGAAACTGTAATTAGTGCCATTTCTAAAGCAATTAAATTTTTTAGATCATTAGCCCTATTATATGGAACTGAGCGACATATATTTATTCTTTTCAGCACAAATCAGAAATTGACCCTGGCTCAACAGCAACTTCAGAGCGACTACGAGAAGATCAAGTCAGAGGAAACAGACAAGTCTCACAAGCTGCAGGAATTAATGTCAGTATCAGTTGATAATAAGGCTCATTATCGCAAGTCAACCGATCAACATGCCAATATAAACTTGCCTAATAAGAAAAAGTTGTATTTAAATGATTCCCGTTCGAGTTTGTGGGAGGATTTTTTACCGTACAAAGAAAAAACGCGTAACAAACCCAATATTACCAAGGGCGAAAAAAACCTCGTCAACGTAGAAACCAAATTGGGCGCGCACAAAACGCTTTGCAATAAAATCTCGATTTTCCACATTCACACGTTGCATTTGCACCTGATTGTTTCCCTGACGTTGTTGCTCGTCACCCATAGATGTCCTCAGCTATTGTTCGTGTAAAAAGGGTTTGGTTATGTTGTTAATAATGCGAGCACTCGACGCAGTAGGCGATTTTAAATCAGTGAATACTTTTGTCTCAGATTCACACATCAGGATGACCCCCTCGACCTATTGTTAGTACCATTGGTTCTTCAACCAATTATCCGGCAAAATATCTAACTCTAGCTTCTACGTTGATACTCTTTACAACTAAAACCGATAATTTCTTACTGAAAACTATCGACACTATTTCAAATGCATTAAAATCCGAGAGTCTAGAATCAAATCTTCTCATCTTAATTGAAAAATGCTTATCTGAGCATATTTTTCTTATTACTCTCAAATTGATGAACAAATATTAACAGCAGAACAGCTATAGATTCTACATTATCCCCAGTCATTGCAAACCCTACTTTGATAATACTTTTGGCCTCATGATCAAGAAGCTTTCGTAAGATTTTTGTAACCATACATTGCACCATTGAATTAGAAACTAATAATCAGAAAAATCAGACCTAACATTTGGTCATTTAATTTACAGGAAACTTCCCCACATAGGTCGATGTCTTATTGCATTGTCACATCACCATAAAGTATAAAAATCATCGGTTATTGACTCTCTTGTTTACAGATCCATAAAGCTATCTCAACCTGAATCACTGGACTCAAGATTAAAACACCTAACATCTGTTCTCTCAAATAATTTCCACAATAGAGATATTAAGCGTTTTATTACAATTACATTTCACAACAACTTTCTGAAGAAAATAAACCAGAATACAACCCCACACTTGCCATTGTGGTCCTTCCATATATTCAAAACATAGCTGGCCACCACATATCAAAAGATGTTAAGAAATATATTAAAACAATATTTACCACTTGTCCAAAAATATCTCAACTTTGGTCCATCAAAAACAAAATTCCATTTGAGACACTAAAAGTTTATAGCATTCCATGCATATGTGGCCAAAATATCAACTAGGCTAAAACAATATGAAAGAGCTTTAAGACTGCGACAAATAAACTTATCAGTAGTTGCTGAACGTAATCATCTTATTTGACCAAACTAAAATTCTTGCATGTAATCAATTCTTCTACTAAAGAAAAATCTCAGGTCTTTACTTTCCACCAATATAGGATTCAGTCATCCCAGACAATGTTCACGTCCCTGCTTTAACTCCGCCCCCTCTAACAAGTACAGAGTAGAATGCAAACCATTTTCAGTTAAGCTCTGAAAAAGTCAACAAGAGGATTGGTGAAACGTCAGCAAGTTTCGTTTATCAGCAACCAACGCAGGACAACGAAAGACTCATAAAACTGGTATGGGAGGAGTCCCAACGGGCAAAAGACCATTTACAAATTTTTTGGATTCTGCCTACGTCGGTTGTTGATGAATCGAACTTGCTTACATTTCATCAATCATCCTGTTGGCTTCTTCAGAACTTAACTGAAACAGTTTCAGTTTAAGCTCTGAAGAAGCCAACAGGATGATTGGCGAAACGTCAGCAAGTTCAATTGATCAGCAACCGCCGCAGGAGCAATCCAGAAGATTTGTGGAAGCACTATAACTCCAATAATCTCAGATTAATTTGACATTTCTTTACCTTGCCCATACCGAAATGCTTAATCATGAATGGCATGTCTTGTTCAAGACTACGTCTTCTCTGACGTCATTCTTCCTCATTTGGATAGTATTCAGATGTATTCAAGACGAAGTCACTGACTTAAATTCGAATATTATTTGTTTCATTTGATTCAGAGACTCTATTTTTGCACGTATGTTTGTATGTGTGTGAGTATGTTCGTTAGAGTTTTTGTAGAGCAGTGGTTTTGATGGGAACTCAGTTGCTGAGGTTTTTTTTTTGTTGTTTGAACGTTAACTAAAGAGGTGTTGTCGAAACAATTGTCATGTCATAATATATAATTTCGTGAAAATCTGAACTTTTAATTCTTATTTATTTTAAATAGATTTTGTCATGTGGTATTTCAAATAGGAGCGGAACTAATTAAATTAGATGTCAGAGATCAATAATTAGTAATTAAAATGTTAATTCTAATAATAATATTTTTTTTCAATATCGTGGGTGTATTGGGGTAGCCAATTTTTCAATATGATTCTATGGGTAAAGCCATTAAAAGTACAGCCTCCGGTAAAGAGCATAAAAGTTGTATATTTAGATAAAAATGTTCTGAAGCAACCAAAATTAGAAATATTTCAGGGAAAACCCAAAATTTTAGTATTTCCTCCGTAGCATTTCAAACTTTATAAACAAACAAGTTCTACAAAAGTTGTAATGTGGGTTTCTTCAGAATTCACTTATAAACGATTTTGAACAATTTTGAACTATTAGTACCAACATTGAAATTTTAAATAGAATGTATTTTTGTGCGAATTTTTAGATTTTTATAAAACGAAAACTAACGAAATTTTATTAATAGTATTTCATGTCTAATTGATGTAATAACTAAATGGTCCGAAGGAAATGCAGCTATGAAGTACAGGCTGCCCAGCGCCTTTAATTAAGAAACTATTAGGAATAAAAAAAAGTAAATAGAAAAGTTGCATGGTTTCATCTAGGGTAGATAAATAGCTTTCTTATTTTAATTAAAACCCCCTGTATGTTATCGTCCCTGTTAAATTCTTGTGTCCTATACCCGAGTCTAATCGTTTTCGACAAATCTCGAATTTTATGTCAAAAATGACGTTTGCAGACCCTAAAATAATTAACGATTTTTCCTATAAATTGGAAATATTTAAATTTAAGAATTTAGTTTTTATAAAATATTTGTTAGTTTGATGATTTATTTTTGGTAGCTTCAGGACATTATGCATCTAAATTTATACCTTTTAACCCGCTTAACCGACCCCGTATTTTTAAGGGTTAAAATGTTACCCATACGACCATTAAAAAAATGGTCACTCAGTATATTTATCCGTTTATTCTGCGAATTCGATTTACATTTACAATAGTATTATCGAAAAGAATATAACTATTTTTTTATAAAAATATAAGATGATACAAATGATTCACCAGGTAGACAATACTCTTATTATGTAAGTAAGTGATAGAGACACTGGGCAATTAGATATTTTAATGTTTTGGTTGGTCGTAGTACATGTGTCTTGGTTGCCCTATTCCATAGGCGTGATAAGCACTGTGATTGTGTTGTGTTATTTATATTTGAATTTAATTTTTAGAAGATGTAAGATACCATTAAATCGTAGTAAGTTAAAATTATATAGCACTTTAACTAATAATACAAGGCTTTTCACAATTCAATACAAATATTTTAAGTTCATATTTATCAGCAAAAAATAAGTTTTTTTTTAGAAAAAAATCGTTTTCTTTAATTAATTACAAAAACGTTTCAGCTAATTTTAAAAGCTTCCTACGCTTATTTGTCGTCATTTGTCATGTGTAATTAAAATTAAATTATTAATTTTAGTGTCGTCGTATAGGGCGATCTAACTGATATTTAAAGTAAAATCTAGGTAAGCTCCTTGTTCTTTCCTTTTTTTTCGTATCTATCTTTTTCAAGGTAAATTGGACTTTCGGAAAAAGTCTATTTTTTTTTCATGACTCAAAAAAAACTCCCAAAACTGGACGTGCTTATCAATTTTGACACCCTGTATCTTGGAAAACTAAGCAACCTATGTCGAATATGAAAAAACAAACGTGTTCTTGACTGATAAATATACCCTTAAAATTGTCTTATGGAATTCTGCCGTTGAAAAATTCTCCCACAATAGTATGTGTAAAGATTAAATACGACCAAAGTTATCGTTATGATTTTGCTGTGATTTTTTTTTGGATTTTGAGTTTTTATTTATTTATTAATTTATTTATTTGTGTTCTTGACGCGTCGTCACATCACACGCACCGCATCGTTATAATTATTGACCGCGAGCAAGCTATTAAAACGTTTGATTACTGGCAAGCAGTTTCACTTTATGAAGTACGTCACTTATACAAAAGTCCGATCTTCGATAGAACTGCAGTGCACGTTCATGTTTAGTGAACATTTTTTTGAACTGTTATTTGTCCAATGTAAAAGGGCACTTAAAAGTAACATACACTCTGAATGTGGTCAATAAAATTCAGATCCGGGTTCTTGGATATATTCGAAAAAATGTTTTTGCTATTTTTATTTTTTTTATTATTCCAACCTTTTTTAGCTCTAAAACCAATTTTCAATTCCGCGACTGCATTTTTAAGGCATATTGTTAGTCAGTTTTTATAAAGAAGTTAACAATATAGCTCATATACATTTATAGTTTCATTTTTGTTAAGATACTATGTTAGTTTGAAAAAGTTAGGTGGTATCAAAACATTTCAGATATTTTCATTAGGGGACATAAATGAAATAAAAAACGAATTCAATACAAGTATTTATTTAATGCTTTGAGATTGAGTTATAACTACTTAAATATTAGTTACACTGTGGCTTAGTATTATAGTGTGGGGAATTATTCTATATCTGAATAATATAGAGTTAGTTATGTGCAGGGTGACAAAAGAAAGTGGAAAGCTATTAAACAGTTCAAGATGGCGATTTGCAGTTCCAAATTTTAACCGATTATTAAACTTTTCAATCATAAATTGCTACCTGAAACCGAGAAGGACAAGTTCAGCACCCGTCACCGGTATTTGTATGATACAATTTTACAAATTGTAAAATATATAAAACACTCCATATAAATCAAAACTTTTCAAAATATTTGCCACCGTATATTTTACAAGTTGATTACATTAATTCATTCATTTATAATGAAAATTTTCATTTATTAATGAGTGTATACAACCTTGGAGTAGAGCGAAAAAAGTGACAATGGAAAAAAAGTGCCTGTTTTACTTCCCTTTAAATGACTTAAAAAAATATGATACTTTTTCTAGTTTGACCATAATTGACTGCATGTCTGAACACCTCGCATTTTTTTTTTCGTTCCTATTTGTTGAAAAACTGATTGATTCTCATGTTTATAGCTAGCAGTTTAATGAAAGATCGGACTTTTTTTTCATGTACGGCCATTATGAGATTAGAGCACATTCGTTTAGTATTTAAATTCATATCAGGACGGATTCTATATAATTGGTAGATATTTTGCAAATGTTCCTACTGTCAGTATATTTTTCTTGGTGTTTATGAAATTGATGTAACCTTTAATATTTTTATATAATGTTTCGTTGTGGATACGGTATGAAAATTGTAATTGTTTTCCCTTTATTTTGGTCGCTTACCACCCTCGTCTGAAATCAATTTTGGAAAATTCTCACACGTCGTCAACCAAACTTTTGCTTTCCGTGTTTTATTCCAGCAGCACTTTCATTGTTAATGATGTCATTTGGAACAATGAGACAAATAAGATGTGATGTAAATATGGGTGTAAATAATAATAAGCGCATCCGGTTTATTATTTTTTCTATTCGGTTTTCAGTTTTCAGTCTGTTTTAAAATTCAAACCGTGTTGTATTAAAATCGAAAAATATAGTTTAATATAACTAGAAGTCCACAAAAAAGTTAACAAAAAAAAGGTACCTATCAAAAAATACTCTAATTAAGTATTTTTCTCTTTAAACATTTCCTATCAATGCAAAACTAAGCATATTGTATATATGATATTTCGCAAAGTGATGTTATAATACTAGCACAGTTCCCTTAAAGATTTGAATAACATTTTAATACATCTAAGTGGTTAGCGTACTGGGTGACCAATTAAGGACACTCTCGAAAAGTAATTGTCGCAAAGACTGGAAATAATTTTTGTGGTTCTATTTTGTGATTACGCCAGGGGTCGTAATCATATTCATGAATTTAAATTCTCGTTTTTTGAGAAATAATTTTATATTACAGATAGTTAAAATGGACACCGTTTTAAAGATGGGATAAATTGGATTGTTTTTCGTTAAATAGTTTTTGCTCTAAAATAATGTCAATAATGTCAGAATGGCTGAATGGATTTTGGCAAACTTGCTCGCTACCACGAGCGGATTAATTTCGATTGCTTGCATCGCAGCTAAATGGCGTTTTGCGGCATCATTACAATTAGCATTTATTTTCTGAAAAAAAAAGTTCTTTATTTATTGCAACAAAGTATAGTTAAATAATGCCCTAACATTCTATATATATATATATATATATATATATATATATATATATATATATATATATATATATATATATATATATATATATATATATATATATATATATATATATATATATATATATATATATATATATATATATCTTATGAATATTTTCATGATGGCTTACCATTATTAAAACAGTGTTCATTTTAGTAATATATTTTCCAAAAAAACGGGATTTAAAATTCAAGAATGCAGTTACGACCCCCTAGCCCCCATTGGAGAAATTTAAAAATAAATTCTAGCCACTTTAGTCTTAAATTTTTTCACCGCAAGTCTTTACGTCTCTTTTTAATTGATCATCTAGTACATGTTGACGAGTCTCTGCTGGTATTTCCCCTTTGGTTGATGTTAATATGAGTTAAGTAATGGAATAAGCTCGTAAAATGGCAGTAATATTTTTGGTATTGATCTAATCCATACAATTTCGACGAATGAAAGGCTAAATTTCAAAAACCTAACGGATTATTTTGTCTTGCTCGCTTGTGTGGTGTGGCTTCGCAAGTTCATTCTGCCCTTCTGGCCTAAATCAACTGACGAAGATGTTAAATTGTGCAGAGCTACGAACGAAAGAAGAGAGCAAGCTCGAAAAGACCTCAAAGGATTGGAGGATACTGTCGCCAAGGAATTGCAAACCCTGCATAACCTCAGAAAGCTGTTCGTCCAGGATTTACAGGTCAGCATTCGTTTGCTTTTTAGTATTTATTAAGTTTTCGGGTCGTATTATATAAAAAGGGTTTTTTTATTTCGGTATGTTACAGGAAAACACGTTAGGGCTTCATTTGTGAAATACAAGGTGTTGTGAATTCATTTTTACTTCTGTTGTTTCTAAATATATAAGCATTACCTGCAAGTGAATAAAAATGAGTTCATAATATCCAGTAAGTACATTATTTATTTTTATTTTTCTCTCTAAAAATACTTAACGAATTGCCGTGGGAAATATTGGACACTTATTTAAAAAACCCTTTATATTATACGGGGTGACCCAACGAGGTACAGTTTTGAGGAAACGGACGATTCTATAAATTGAGAAAAAAATTACTAAGTGAATCGACCAAAAGTACTGGGAATTATTTTCCAGTTTCTTAAATGGCCATCGGGGGGCGTAATTGTTATCTTGAAATTTTAAACCCTGTTTCTACAAAAATTTTTCGTATTAAGCATAGATAAAGTGAGTAGAATAATGTTTTATAGCAAAGACACATTCAAATGATGTTTGTTTAATGGTGTTTGCTCTATCTCTGAGGGGTGTTCGAACATTTACTTAAATCAATGTCGATATCTCCAAAAAGGCTTTACGCATTTTAACAAATTTGGGCACACGAAAAAGGCTAGATCCTTATATAAGTTACGCGATTGTGATTGTTTACTTTGCCACCGAGTGGCGTTTACTAACAATAAAAAAAATAATAGTGAATACATGTAAAGATATGTGTTATTAAATGGTCAAATAATTGAAAACAGGATTATTACGTCCCCTGGTGGTTATTTCAGAAATTCGAAAATAGTTTCCAGCATTTCATGGTCAATTTACTTTAAAATAATAAGAATAATAATAATACTGAAAACTTGAACAAACAAATGTTACTTTTTTTCATAATTTTTTGTTTTCGTATTTCACTCAATATCTTTATTATCTTATATTTATAGCAAGTCTCGTTAAATTAATTGGAAGTGGTTTATATTAACAACAATAATAATGATAGAATCAATTAATTAATTAGTGTAATGATAAAGTATTATAATTAATTGTAGGAGTCCTCGGCGGATCGATGAAATAATGGACGACTTTTCTCAATTAATGGACAGACATAATACTTAAGAAAACATAACGTATTCTCCATCTCTTCTACTCCAGACGATAGTAATAGCGAGACATAACCATAACATAATCGAAACTTCATAAACAAAGAATAAAGACAGTCTTAACCCTCCCACCAACATAATATTTTTTTAAATCCAACATATTAAATAAATTAATTAATTAATATAATTTAATTGAATTTAGTTATTAATTAATTATTATTGTTATTAATATAGACCACTTTCTTCGGCAATGTGACCCATTGCTCTGATTTTTGAGTCTAGTTTTTCTCTAAATGGTTACCCTGCGTCAATTACTTGGCATTAGTTGATTGCCTTATCTCTAATTAAATTTTTGCAACCAACCCTTGCTTGTTTTGAAATTGCCACGCAAATTAAGCACTTTCTCACATATAGGGGAAGGAATGAAAAAATAAATGAATTTGGAACAAAACAAACGTACAAGGCTTTTTTCATTGCCGCATGTGTACACTGTATTTCGATCTTTTAAAACTACACTTACAAATGAATTATGTTGTACTATTTACAAAATTTCTGGATTCCTCCTACGTCAGTTGTTGTTGAGTCGAACTTGCTAACGTTGGAACAACAACCAACACAGGAGGAATCCAGAAGTTTTGTAAATAGTATTGCAGTAGCCTGTGGGAGTTTCTTTAAAAAATGCATTACGTTGTAAAACGTGCATTTTTCATCTCAAACTCTTTTTTATCATTATTATATTTAATTTTCATTTGTAAGACAAAGTTTTCGTGTATTTTTGTAGGATCTTCCAGGCCATAATTTCCAAATTGAATTATTGTCATTTTGTTGTAGATCAGTGAAGAAGGAATAATATATTTAGAAGCGTCGCCAAATTGTAATCTGGATTTTGTTGCCTGCAAGATCTAATCAAAACTAAAATTTAAAAAAAAAAAAGAAATTGATGAAAGTTTTTCATTAACAGCCTTGTGATGTACGTCGTTTTTTCTTCTAGGCCCGCATGAAAAAAAATATGTTGTCCGAGGACAACGAAGAAGATGGCGGTTCTCTCGCCCAGAAACAAAAGATATCGTTCCTCGAGAATAACTTGGATCAGTTGACTAAAGTGCACAAACAGCTCGTTAGAGATAACGCAGATTTGCGTTGCGAACTTCCGAAATTAGAGAAGAGACTCCGCGTGACGATGGAGAGGGTGAAAGCCCTGGAGACCGCGTTGAGGGAGGCCAAGGAGGGGGCCATGCGGGACCGAAAGAGGTAAAAATGTTGTTAGGAACTTCGTCGATCTATTCAAGGAAAACTATAAGTAGCAAAAATTAAAAAATTTGGAATTAAACCAATGTCATTTCTTCTGGACTATTTAATTCTGGGGAATAAATAGAATTACCTATATTACCTTACAGATAGTAATCTACTCAATCAATATTAAGTTACCTGTGGGACACATTGTATATATAAGTACCCTTTTATTTTCTAATTTTTTGTCTTTTACTGTCCCGTCCATAGATTTGGTATAAAATGCTTGTCGCGCCACTGGACCTTTCGGATCGGTGAAATAATGACGGCGATAAAGCCAGGCAATAAGGTTTACCATGATGCTCGGTTGCCAACTTGTGCAACTCCGTGTTTAATAAGCTCAGATATTAAAAAAAAAACTGTTTTAACGCACATTTTCTTGTGTATTAATACTACAATTTTGTTAATCTCATAAATTTAAACCCCAACAATAATTGGTGTACGCTTTGTTTCTTAATGCGAGAAAATTATGTTATTATTGAACTGTGAAAGGTTATCTTAGCCCTAATCCATAATCCATAGGCGTAGTATTGCACTTGCCGACAAGAAGTTGATCTACCTGTGTCTTAGTGTTTAAATTTAGAATTATAATTACTTTCCCACAAGTTGCTGGAAAAGTTCTTTCTTGAAAATGGGTAGAATTTCTGAGAAATAATTTCTAAAAATAATATACAAAATAATGTTTGAAATGCAAAAGAATGATTTTATTTCACCCATGGGTAAGAAGAAATTCGAAACGAAAATCTCAAAACAGAAAATCACTTTTATTAGAGGAGTAAATGCGTCGAACATTGGAATCGAAGAAATAATGTGGGAAGCTGATAACATTTTTATTATTTCTGGAACACATAATAAAGAATAAGAATTAGCATATCTTGTTTATCGTCCAACCTGATAACCATCCAAGATACCTGATGCTTGTTACTAATAATTTGAAATCGGTACAGTGCGATAAACGGCAAGTTTACCATCGAAGTGAACATGAAATATTTGACGCGAACATCATTGGACCACATTGGGTTGCTTGATAGGTATCGCAATTTGGATTTAACAAAATATCGATTCAGTATCATGGTGGGGTTTGATTTCATAGATTAGATAATTTCATTTCAATAACACCCTGTGTAGCATCTTCTATCCTCTTTTCCTCTCATGTTTACTTCAAATTATAATCACTTTTCAAGTTTCAATTGACATACAATTATATACTATATATTTTCCGAAGGTACCAATATGAGGTGGATCGAATTAAGGAAGCAGTGAGACAGAAAAATCTGGCAAGGCGTGGACCCGCAGCGACCATCGCCAAGCCAATCAGATCCGGACAACATCACGCTATCATTGGCGGGGTCATAAAACCTGGCGGCCTGACGTCCATTCCGATCGACGATGCTCAGAAACGCAAGTCCATCATCGTTGGGGGTAAAGGTGAGAACGAGTGATCTATTATGAATGTCACTCCCCCTCTATCTTTTTTATTTTACATTTTGGAAAAAAAAATTAATACAAAAGTCGTATAATGTTTAGATTTAATATTATATACTTATGTCCACAGATGAAGTAGACAAGAAGACAAATAGACTAAAAAGTCAAAATTTATAAAAGTTTTTGTTTACTCACAGATTTTCAAGCAAAAGTTCTATTTGTCCTCTTTTTTATTCCATCCGTGGACATACTGTATCGGTTTGGAAAATAAAATTAAAGTTACATTTTTTTAATTATTTTTTTTATTCCATAAAAAAGGCTTTTTCTTCGCTGATTTCCAGAGTACATATATAACATGTTTTAGTTATTTTTTACATAAAGGTCAGAATTAGCCGGAAGTAAAATCGTAATTGGCCATGCCACCCCAAACTTACTTATTTTGTTTAATTATGACAATTATTAATTAATTAATTATATCATGAATATTGTTATTGTTAAAAAATGGATAAAAGAATAATGTTTTCAATTTACAAAAAATCTGAATTGTCGTAAATAAAAAAATGACAAAAATGGAAATATATAGAGAATATTTTAGAAAACCCCAAATTTAATGAGTTAGCGGAAGTTATATGGTTATATTCCTTTGAGGGTTCAAAAGTCACTAAATATATGAATCAAATCAGAAAACACAGAGGCTACCAAAATGTTGTGGTATTAGTAACAATATTAAATATTAAAGATTTTGAACCTCATCTATTGGAAAATATCCACTTTTCGTCTAAAAATACCACCTTTGTAAATTCTGATTTTGGTATATCCACTATATTTCTTTTAAAACTAAATACGCTGACATGGCTGTTCACATAAAAAATCAATTCAAGTTCCAAAATACTAGGGTTTTTAAATTTTTTTTCAAAATTGGAAGAGTTGCATTGGTTTTTGAGCTATCAAATCATAAAACCACGATCTTCCATTTTCCCATCTTATCTCAAATCTTCAGTCTTTGGCTTTCTTCGTTCATACTTTTTAGCCTTCTTTGATATTGTACTGTTTTTCTTTCATGCACAATTTTCTGCACAGTCAATCAACTGATTCCCAGTGCTTTCGCTGCTATTTCCTGGACATTCGTTGGCGATTTTCCACTTTTCACAAGTTTGTTACATTAAAATTATCAAATTAAAAACCTGTTTTTGCTTGGGGAAGTAAAAAACTAGGAAATTATTTTGCCACTTAAAATTGTTCTAGTCTCAAAACTGACAGTTGTAAATCGCCACTGTTTAAAACCGTTTAACATTTTTGTTTTTCATGTGAAGGTTGTGAACGTCTGCTTTGTTTGCGAATTTTATTTGGAGAGTACAATTAAACAAGGTAGACGAAAAGCAAACGTGAAAATTTGTTGTTGATATATCGTAAAACCCGCACGATAAGACCAAGACCGGTTTTTGCTATATTCGTAATGTTTTCGGTATGGCAACTGACACCTTCCAAGTATCGATGACACTTTTTTGTTTTTTTAAGCTCGTCCCGTCGGTCGTCATGATTAATTGAAGACCAGAACAAATAAAAAAGAAACTAAACAGCTATATCTCGAAAACCTAATTTTTAATTCTTTATAGAATAGGATTATAAAAATATGTGATTCCATTAAAAAAAATCTACAGTTTTTTCAATTTCATTTCAACTGACATTTTTCATTATTATTATTAATTATTTAATGATTATTAAGTTTGTTGTCTTTTCCATTTACATTTTCTCAGTTTCTATAGAGTAAGTTAATAGAGTAAAATTTGAAAGGATTCCCTATGGAAAAAATGTGCAGATATTGCATTGTTTGGTCTGCAAACGCCATTTTTGACATACATAAATTTAGGTATAGGGTACACGAAATATGTCGATAATTTTCCGGGGAATCGAAAACATGAAATAACATACTCGGTGGCCTACTCGCTGGATGTCAAGGTGAATATTCAGAATTTTGGGATTTGTATACTATATGAGTAGCTGTTAGTGACACCTTTTAAAAATATTTTCAAATATGTCATGTAGCCGTGGTGAATATCAGCTTTGCTGTTCCATTTTTGGATTCCAAATAAAATTCTGAACAACTTTTATTGAAGGTACCCCATATTTAAAACAACAGTTTCTGAGATATTTGATATTTTCTGTAAAAAATGTTTGTTTAAAATGAAATTTTTCAATATGTACAAACAACTTAGAAGCAAGATTTATTGATGAATAACTTCGACCACGGAGCTGTCCAAAAAGCACCAAAAAAAGGTAACTTTTTGATAAGTTTGTTTTAGTAAGTTCGAAATGTAATTCTGAGTAACAAATATTAACTTATCCTATACGCATTTTTAGCCATTTTTTAGATATATGTGCAGAGAATAATCACCGTTTTGATTTAAATTAGTCCAGTAGCCTGGGACGAAACAATGCCAGGCTATTGACGAGTATGCCATAGTAATTCTCTTTGTCAGTCGTGCGACAAAATGGCTGGAATTGAAAATAATTACACTTTTTCGCCAAGTTGTAATTTAATTAAGGCCTGTGCCATAAAATTTGTCGCGAATTTAACAAAAAATATACACGGAAAAAACTGTTAATATTATTATTAATGTTTGAAGTTAGTGTTTTTTTAATTTCTTTACATTAAGAAAAGCCGCTGATATACTTTTGTATTATTTTGAACAGATGTAAAGGAAGTTAAGGTTTGTAACGCTTTTTTTGCGATAAAGGATTTGTGGTTGGAAATAAGTATCGAAACTTTTCATAATTATTCAGTCTTAATTCTAAAGTGTTAATGTTGTGTAAAAACAGTTATTTATCATACTCAGTCGTCATTACTTTTCACCTGATTTTAGACAAAAAAATGATGGTGTATTTAAAATGAGGAAAAAGTTGGTAATTGCACATTTTTTAGATATTTCTAAAAGTGCTGTAACAAAAACATAAAATGATGAAATAAAAAAAAATGAGAATATGAAAACGTGGTTGTTAGGGCTCCTTTAAGTTTTCTGTTTACTCCCTTCTAGGTGTTATTTTTTTTCAATCAGTCACAGGTCATCGACATTTCGATAGCTCGTGAATCGGGTCGCGGACAGGGCCGGACGCAGGCCTTAAAACTTTCGTTTTATTTTTGCAGATTGAACGCGATACGTCACACCGCAATAGGTCAACGCCAGGGGGTGCTGTAATCCTTATATAGAATACAATACGCAAATACAATACCAAAAATATTGCTGTAAACATCCATATCCCAGTACGTGGTGATGTCAAAAAAATATCACCACAAACCAGTTCTATGCTTACCGCTTATTTAATTTTAGACTTAAGATGCACATATTTGAGATTAATGCCCAAAACATTTCCTGCGGCTTTTTATACTGGAAATCTCGTCGCCCGGACCTCTAAATATAATTTAACGCAGGTCGTACTTATAACTTGTGAAATTATATATAGAGTTTTTTCTGACTACGGCTAGTAATAAAATTATTTTTATCGGTGTATGTTTAGCAATTTTAAGACACCTAGAGTTGTGTATTAAAAACTAGTTGCTTTAACTGTTGACTAAACCACGTAATTTATTGCTTCGATATATCTCTAATTTAAAAAAAAAAAACTAGAAAACGTTCCCTTCCCGTTTGGAGTGTACAGAAAAGAGTAAGTTCAGTGCGATAAATTAAATTATTTCCTATTGTTCTGTATAGTTGTATTTTTTGTATTATTGTTTTTTTTTTGGTGTTTTTTTTTTCATTGTTTCCGCATATTCGATTTTTATACACGTAGTTTTATCGTTTGGAGTGCTGGCTTGTCTGGATGCAAGTTCGAAGCTACTCTAGGAAACGAATTGAGAGATCAAGCAAAACGACTATTTAGTTTAAATTGCAGATTTTATAAAATTAATAATATGAGATCAATTTTTTGTATGTACAGGGTAACAGCAAAATATATGAATTAGATAACTAAATGAAATTGTATGTATATCCGCACTGTCGTGAAATATCTTGCTAAATTTATAGCTTCGTCTATTGGGTTTTAACGTTCGTACGATACAATTGCCCTATCCTTACAATAGTTTTTCATGATGTAACAGCAAATAATTAAATATTTTAAAATTAATCCAGGAGTTTCATTGCTTTTCATGTTTCGTATTCCCGTCAAAAAGATTGCAATTCTTAAAGTGTATTGCAAATAGAAATATCTATTTTTTAATTTTAGGCAACAATTATTATTTATTGGCGCCAAATATAGACCGTGTTTACACAAGTCAAAAATAAAATTATCTACGTAATGATTTCCTTTAGTTTTATTTTATTTTGAGCACTAATCCCACAGTATAACCTTATCAGATGTTAAAAAACCCTATTCACTGAAAAATAAGGAAAATAAGCTTTAGATCATTAACTTCATAGAAAACTGAAAAATAAAGTTTACTTGAAAGTGTGTGAATAACCTGACTGATAGTTATCTTGCCATCACTGCATGATTTAATCTCTTACAAATGTATAGTAAAGAATTACCCAAGACTTTTTCCTATTCAAATTCAAAGCCCTTTCAAGTTTGATTCATGACAGCTGAAAATCTACATTTATCTTCTATCCAAAAGCACACTTTGGCAAAAGGTTCCAACTTCGTCCATGCACCACATATCATTCAAAAACAAGAGGTTTTTTTCACCTCAAGCCTTTATGATAATTGGCTTTCGTGATAGGGCCCAAATGCCCCTAATTGCCTACTCGGTGTAAGCAAAGTATTAGTTATAACTATTGGCATTTTTAAAAACTAATAAGTATTAAAAAAGAGGGCTTATATTACTTATCACTTAATTTCAAATCAGCCCATCATACACTTTTGTGAAACAAAAACAATAATCATCAATTTGAATTTTATTTTATCAATTACTACAGAAACAGAATAAAGAGTCACCCAGTCCAACAACCAGGCAAATCTTTTAGAACACCCTTTTAGTACTTAATATTATGTGATACATCGTTTAGTTGTTACGAATTCCCAGTGCCTGTTCCAACTCGGCCCGTTTCTGCTGGACTTTAGTATAAAAGTAACGACACACGGCCTCTTGAGCCCAGGGTTGATAAAAGAAATCAGATCTGCGTTCCTCCTCTGGGTTGCCTACGACATCTGTCATTGTCTGAAATGAATAAAACAAATTCCAATCTAATGGAAATTCACATGTAAACAATTATTAATATGGAATGGGATCATGCTTGTCTCCTTTTTTGAGCGAGGTATATATGTGCCATTTTTTATGATAACCTTATTTCCGACAACATTTTAAGCTCTAAAATTGAATTCACCTGGGAACTAGAGAATAATAACTGTTTTCCTTTTTTTGGATCTGTAATTAATCAGTAATAAGATCAAAATTGAATTCGAAATTTATGGAAAATCTACAATACCCAATGAATTTGACACAAACACTCTTAAGCAATAAATTCGCTAGCTTCCGCCCTCTTCTTCACAGGCTTTTTAATATACCTTTGTCTAGAAAAGCTTATAATACACAATTATTTACCATCAATTTACTGTCGTTAATTTATGAATACTACACTATAACAAAGTGTATTACAGATATAAATTGTCCCATAATGTATTCCATATGAATAGCGTGTTCATTTAAGACAAGATTTGAAAGCTCTCGTTAAGACTAAGGCCAGCTGGTATTGTATTGTATTGCTGCCTTCTGGTAAATAATATAATAATAATAAAATGTGCAGAATGTCCAGCAGTAAAGCAGAAAAATTTAGCAAAGGAACAAAGAACACAAACATCAATTCTTAAAACACAACAGTAACACAGTCAACTTTTGCCAATCACTTACCTTCATACTATTTACAAATCTCATGGACTGCGTCCTGTTGGCTTCGTCAGAGCATTGGCATTCTACCCTGTACTTGCTTTATACTGTTTGAGAGGAGCAAAGATAAAGGAGGGACATGGATGTTGTCCCTGATGACTGATTCCCATATTGGTGAAATGTAAAGGCCTGAGTCGCAGTTAAAATTGTATGATTGTTGAGAAATTTATTACATGTATTAATTTTAGTTTGGTGAAATAAGATTTGATGTTTGGCAGATGAGTTTATTTGTCAAAGTCTTTAAGGGTCTTTGAGCCTAGTTGATATTTTTCGTCCGATCTCACCAATGCATTCTTTACCGCATATGCATGGAATGCTGTAAACTCCTGGAGTCTCAAATGGAATTTTGTCTTTGATGGACAGAAGATGATATGTGGTCAGCAATGTTTTGGAAGGCACACAGTGGCAAGACACGGAAAATTGGAAATTTGTGGTGAAGTGTATTTTGTGATGGAACACTTAATATAATTATTATCAGCTCTTATGTTAGGTGTTCTAATTCTGGGTTCAGTGATTCGGATTCAGATAGTCTTACGGCTCCAATGTTAGGTCTGATTTTCTATTAATAAGAATATCTGAGAATGGGAGATTAGTATTGGTTTCTAATTTAATGGTAAAACGTTTGTTAGGGTGAATAGAGTTTAAATGGTGAATAAAATCTCAGAGAAATTCTTAATCATGAGTTCAAGTATTATCAATGTAGAGCTTCTATAATTTTGGTTTTAGAGGGAGGATGTCGACGGCCTTATTCTCAAAAGCTTGCAGTCTCAGGAACTTGGTGTGATGATAAATTTACCAGTGTTTAGTAGTTGATAAAAAGTTTGATGGTTTTACTTGTTATGAGGTTAGTGTTTCGAACTTTTGAATGTTATTCTTGGTAGAAAATAAACATAGATTTTCCATGAATCATATTTGGAAGGGTGTTGAATACAAATGTGGACAAGATGGAACAAATTTCAAGATGCAGAGGTAGAAGAGTCTTACTGATTTGATCTAGTTTTTATATTATGGGGTATTTTATGAAAACTAGCAATAACGTAATAGAAAAGTCAGTAATTTTACTATTTTCAGTCAGTGATCTTGTAACTTTCTGCTTCGATTCATCAACAACCGACGCCAACCAATAGATTTGTAAATAGTATTACAGTGAAAAAAAAAGCAATCGCCAACCAATAGATTTGTAAATAGTATTACAGTGGAAAAAAAGCAATTACTATCAGAGAACCACTTGTTCCCATCAGATACCATAAGCGTTCTGCAAACATGTGACAAGCTCGATCTTTTACAAACGTTGGAAACCAGTAAAGTGCTGAAAAACCAAGATGCCATATGCTTTAATGACCTGCAACTCCTCAACTCCCATTTTACTTTTAACAATATGAGATAGTTTGCAACATATTTAAATAGATGACTGATCTTTTTTTAAAATTTATAAGTGATTTTTGCTAATTTTTCCCTTTTTCAATATATGTTTATTCCGATTAATTTTGAATAGTTGTTATACATGTGTGTGGTATGATATGGATTTATGGTTGATATTTCATACTTTCATAGATCTGATGATGCCAGGCGAAATGTCACCCTTTTTTTTAAATAAAATTTTTGTTTTGGTTAGTTCAGAATAATACTGTAAATTCTGTTTTTGTTTCTTGTTATATCAATATCTTAGTAATATATTTGGCTCTCTCAACATCGATCTCTAGCCATTTTAAATGCTACACTTTGAAAGATATTCCAAATAATAGGAACAAGATGGCCCTGAAACATTTCAAAGCTAAAAAAATGGTTATTTGGTATTTTAACTTACTGGTGCCACCCTCGGATTCGTTCATTATTGTTCTCGAAAAAATAAAAACGGTTAATTCTCACCTTCAAGTCGCGAGTTTGGGACACGATCCACTTGTGAATAAATTGTTGGGGATCCTTTGCGAAACTAAGGAAGAACTCGCGGTTCGTCTTCAGCTGATTAATGGTGTCCACCGTTTCGTGGATTTTCGAATCCAGACCTTGGATTTCCTGCTGGCTGGCCGTGCTCAACAGGAAATTGTTCATCTGCGTTTTTAGCGTATCATCGACCTAAAAGTGTACGTAATTTATCAAAGAATAATGTTAACTTGTCTTCAATACTGTATTTAAAAGTATCTGTCCTTTTCCTTCTATGATCTAGTTAATAACTGATATGGTATTGCATTACGATAACATCCATTTTTATAACATTTAAAGTGTAATGTCGCAGCCAGTGTTTTTTATTTATTTATTTACTTTTCTAGCAACATTAAAACCTAATTGTTATTTAATATTTCCCGGAATCGCGAACTATACCAAACGAACTATTTTTTTAAAACAATACCAACATAAAAAATACAATGCAATCTCATATAAAAATAACGCAACCATTCCCAATTTTACTTGCAAACTATAGTAATTTTTTTATGTGAAATCACCAATAAAGAATAAAGAAATACAAGGAAAACAGTATCTATGCTAGTATAAAAATAGGCTGTTTCTAAATTTTCTGCTTTTGGCTTTTATATTGAGCAATTTCAAACAGCGGCGTCCATCTTTTTTTCGGGAAAATTTCAAGCTATGGATTTGAAATTTGGGGGAGGGGGGTAAGGGCGCGTTTTTAAAAACGCAAAGCCACATTTATAAAAGTGCAAAGAAAACAATTTCAAAATTTTCCGAGAATGGTTGAACACCGTCACCACTTTCCCTTAAAAGATAAAACACAAAACGAGATTAAAATTCAAGCATGCGATTGCGCCACCTGGCGAACATTCTAGAAACTTAAAATTAGTTTCTAGCATTTTTCTCTTGACCGCTGTAGTAATACATATTTTCACCCCAAGTCTTCACTTTTTAATGACCATTAAAGGGGCGAGAAGATTTTTACACTATAAACTTACATAGCGCGCTAGAGAACATTACCCAACCAATCAATTTATTTGATAAAATTTTACCTGTGGATAGAACAGAAAACAGTGATAATGAAAATGACGATGGACAAGATTGTATTAAACAGGTTAGTAGGTAGTTTATAATTTGTTTATTTTCTAACTCCGTCGAAAGGAATTATTATTGAATTCTTTTATTGTAGAATACCGACGGAAATATTCAACTACATATTGAGCCAAATACTATAGACGATTATTATCTCACCGTAAGTATGTTAAAAATGTTTGTGATGCTAGTCTGTTTTTTTTTTCAATGATATTTAATTACAAGTTAATCTTATAGAATAAGAACTCTGGTGAACTCGGGAAGATTCTTCCAAGTGATATCAATACTAAAAAACTTAAAACTCGAAGTGATAAAACATGAAACGATACAGACAAAGATGCTGCAGATGAAAATGTTGTGGTTCATACCCAAAATGGTGACAATACATTCAATACATCAAACAGAAAGTCACCAGCAGGCAATGAAAAAAATGGACACAAACGCTTGCAAAAAGAAATAAACACAACAAATTATAAAAAAGTAAAGGTAAAAAACATACTTTAACGTTATAAAGAGAAAATTTTAATACAATTTAAAAAAAGTAGGGTCTTTCAGAGCCTAGTTTCATTTTTTATTTTAATTAGGTTTTATAATAAAATTTATTTATTAGGAATTTGATGTTTACTGTTCACCATGGTTGAACAAATATAAAAAAACAACATGCAAATTCTGTGATGCAAATATAGTATCAAAACACTTTGGGCGACACCTCGAGAGAATACATTCCACTGAACGGGAGGTAAAGGAGTTCCTAGAATTAGGTAAAGGAACCTCACAACGAAAACATTTACTTGTTCTGTTGAGAAATCAGTGAAATATTGAATCTTCATTGAGGGGGAATATAAATCCGAAAAAGTGAGTGATAACCAAAAGTAACGCTTTTTTAACAAAATCCTATTTAAGCCGGCATATTAGAAGATGTTTCGCAAATCCTAATCAAGACTCGAAAAAATTTACTCGACATTTGAGTGAATCAATTGCTTATGCTGCTTCCAAAAAAACGTATGGCAAATATTTAACCAAGATGTCAGTAACAAAGGAAATATTTAGCAAAATGATTTCAGACGATATAACAAACACAGCCATTAATGACATTCTGATAGCGCACTATTGAGAAGATCTTCTCAAAAAAAATAGGGGGCGGCGCAGTTTGTATCACATCTCTAATAAACTGCGAGAATGTGCAAGATTTTTGTTAGAAATTAAAAAGCTCGGTGATTATACCGATATGCTTTCAACATTAAAACCAGAAAGCTTCTATGATATAGTTGAAGCAGTCAAAGCCATATCTCGATACGATGCAGATACTAAAACGTTTGGGGCTGCTTCTTTAGCGTTGCATTTTGGAACTACTATTAAAAACATAACCGCTCTTGCTATGAAACTACTGATGCGGAAAAAAAATATGATCCCAACAAAATGCTGTGTTGAAAAAGTTCTGAAGAATTTAGAACGTTTTAAAACTTTGGTTGAGTCGCAATGGACCATCGAAGTTGGAAGTTTGGCAACCAAAAATTTAAACGCATCCACCGCCTTAAAACCAAAACTATTGCCACTAACAGAAAGCGTTATGATTTTGCGTAAGTTTGTAGAGGAAAAAGGTCATGAAGCAGTTGCAAAACTAGAGTTAATAAAAAACCAGGCAGACTACAAAATATTAGCTGAAACAGCGCTCATACAGACAATTCTTCATAATAGGAAGAGAGTAGGTGATATACAATACCTAGATCTAAATTCTAATAGAGAACAAATAGAAAACGAGGTTGATCTGTCAACTCAAAACGAAATGACAATGGCTCTCTCTGAAAATGGAAAATTGCTGACTAGACATTATAAAGGTATTACTGCTATAGGAAAGGGAAGAAGGCCTGTAACTATTATGTTACCGAAAACATTGCAACAGTTTTATCAAACTATTTACAAGATCAGAACAAATATTCCTGAATGGTTTGATTCTCAAAATACATATTTTTTTACATTTCCAAATTCATCAAGATGGATAGATGGGTGTACTGCTATACGAAAATACGGAAACTGAGTGGGGTACAAAACCCCCAACTACTAAAGTCTTCTAGACTAAGAAAACACATCACAAATGTCACACAAGTCCTTAATTTAAGAGGAAATGAAGTAGATCAATTAGCGAAATTTATGGGACACACCACCAAAACTCATGAACAGTTTTATAAGTAAGTTTTCAATCGTACGTTTTTCCAGAACATTAGAGTTTTGTAAAAATAAAACCAATAATGTTATTTTCAGGCTTCTACAAGATGTTTACCAAATTGCCAAAGTAACTAAAATTCTTCAACTAATGGAGCAAAAAAACATGGATAAGTTTAAGAATTACAACTTGGATGAAATTGAAATTGACATGATAGATGTCCCAGACGCCAATTTAGACGCAGACAAGGAGAATGTACCCTCAACATCGGGCACACAAAGTTGCTTTAATGATGAAGGTATGAATGGTTTTCATGTAGGTATTTTCAGTACCCAAAGTTCAACGCAATATTTTGTCCCTTTCTCCATAATAAAGAACATTGACCTCGAAAAAATTATCCTTGTAGTTATCAACTTTCGGATTTATCTGAGATCATTTATTTCTTCATTTCGTCTAAAAAGATTGCCAACATTTTTTTAGAGGAAGTACAAAACTCCGACAATTTCGATAGCACCTATAAGGTGTCGGATACAGAAATTGACTCAGATGAGGAAATAGCTACTGCAAAAATTATTTCTATGAGAAGAAACTTTAAGAAGAATTCTGGTTTGTCAAAAACAATTTGTTAGATGATTTCAGCCTTAAAATAATTTTTAGGAAATAATTGTGTTGTTGGCGATAGTAAAATATCGGATTCAGATACGGAATTGGTGGAGGAAGTGGAGCAAAATAAGAAAGCTGGGTGTAAGTCTAGAAAAGGATCAAAGCTATTCTACTTACTTTATTAAAAAAATCTCTTTTTAGCACAAAGACAAAAAAAATGAAAAAACATTTTAGGAATGCTATTGACAATAAAAAAGCTCCGAGAAAGCAGGAATGCGAAATATTTATTAAAAAACATAATTCTTTCGAAGGTGTTAATTGGGTTCGTGTTAAAACATTCGTATTTAATACTTACCGCTATGTTAAAAAATAGTGTTAGGTAATAGTAACTTTATTTTCATACTTATATGTTGTAATGAAATGCCTGTATTTAAGAGTTTTAAATACCTGTATCTAAAAAATAAGACCTAAATGGAGTGAATATTTACTTTCCCTTTTAGCTAAAACTAAGCCCGATTAAAAAAAGTTAACTGTAAAGAATTTTTATTTCAATCGCTTTGGTGTCAAAATATAACAATTAGGAAACCTAATAATTTATGTCGGTCTCTATCCTCTTAAAAAGTTTGTAAAATAATCACGGAAATGAATTCATTCATTTTCAAAGATACGCTCAGCGACAGAGCGCGAAATTGTGTAAGCTAATACAGAAATTAGCTTGAAATATGGCAATACTGTTGGGTGCTAGAGAAATGTAGTTTTACTGCAAATGTATATGTAAATATATGCCACATAGTCACCATTTGTACAAGTGCCAGAAGGGCAATATATATACACACTTACTTCAACATCGATATCGTAACAGGCGGTTTGCTTGCTCTCTGCCCCTCCTTCCACCGAAATCACGTGATTGATGACTATTGGATCTGGCGGGTGAAGCAACGGATTCAATCTTTGGGGAATTTCGGCGAATTTCATTTTCGAGCAGTTAAAAATTTGCTCCAAGTACTTATCGCACAGGATGTACTCCCTCTCGTGCGTATCTTGCAGTCTGAAAAGTCAAAGTCCGCGCGATATAATCTTTAGCTTAAGGAATGCGACTCACTTATGGGTCTTGATGTATTGCCACAATGCGGAAATTATAACGGGACGAGTTTGAGTGTGTACGCCTAATAAACGGGCCAGCCTGGGATCCAGCTTGAACTGGAGCGGCTGATAGTCGAGAAGAAGCAGTATTGTGCATCGAACGTTTTTATCTCCCGGTCTTTTAACCTGGAATGCACTTTAATTAAAAGTATATTATGCAAAAATTGCGGTAAACGGCATTTGAGTCAGGAGTGTTTAATAAATGGGTCACTGAAAAAGTCACGGAAAAAAAAATATGGATGTGTGTGAGCAGTTTTCTCGAAATTCAATACCTGATTTTTAAATGAATTTGTTTCATATGTTAGCGTTCACTGTGTAAATATAAAAATAGGATTAAACAACGAAGGGATACCCGGATCAGCACCCATACACATACTTCCTTCCATCTGTGAAAAATATAGAAATATATGAATATGATGATTCCATCCAATTAGGAAAATTCTTAATTTGTTTTCATTATTTGTATGACATGATATTCCTTAATTACTGATTTAGTTGTCAAAAAAAAAAATAAATGTACATATTTAAGTAAATATGTGTAATATAAAACTATTTTGAAATAATACTACGGAAAAAATACATACTGCTATTTTCTGATCAATAAATATTTTTAAAACATTAAAAAAAAGAAGATAATACTTAAAGGAAAATATTGTTTAATAATATAACCCTTAATCGCCTAACGGCCTGTCCATTAGCTGTAAATTCCATTGTGGGACGAAAATTACCAGTAGATCGCCCTTAGTCAACTTTGAACACTTAAACGTAAGAAATGTTTGACCCAAGTAAAGCAAGTACAAATCGACTATTTTGTTTTATGACAATTATATCTATAATATCTTTAATATTAATGACAAGAGGTAAATTGCATTTTCAATTTTTTTGTTATGATCTCATTATTGAGTCAAAACTGCCAAACGATTGAGGTAAAAATGTTTATCTGAATATATTTTTGTAGGAAATGGAATCCTCAATTCATAAGCTCTGATCAAAAACTTTCATCAGACGAGCCCTTTCCAAAAAATCATTAAACATTAATAAGCTTTTTGATACGACTTTTTAATTTAGGAATTTTGTAACTAACAACTCAATATACAAAAAAAAACAATATTGGTTTATAAAGAGAATTTAATGATATAGTTGAACTTTAAGAAGAAATAAACTCCATGTTGTTTAAGAGATTATTATATCATTAATACAATCATTAAAATTTTTAAAAATAAGTATTAGGCTGTTTCATTATGGAAAATTTTTTAATTAATTAATTATCTAATTAAAACTTTCCTCCTTTGTAATTTCTATTTTTAAAACAATGCAGAGTGAAAAATAACTAGAGTGGAGATTAACATAAGGACTTTGCTTTTGGCTTAGGTAACTGATTTGTGAAGACTATCAGAACTTTAATGCAATGATACACATAACTCAAGTAGACTGTTTTAGCAAAAACAATAAATTAGAGAATTTTTCCTACAACAAAACTTCTAAACTAAAATTTTGAGTAATTTTGCATTTAAAAAACTATCCAACCTTACCTGAAACCCGTCGGTTTCCTGAGTGGACAGGGTACGATGCCACTCCACAAGGTGATTATCGGGACCATATAATTCCTTATCAAGCTCGATCACTAGAGACTTGAAAAAAGAAGAAAACTTACGCTTCACTTTATTTGGATCATTTTTGGGATCGTCCAAAAGTCGCCCTTCAACTCGAAGTTCCCATGAAGCAACAGACCTAGACAAATTAAGCATTCTGTAACATTTAGTGAGCAAAAATTAATGATTCAGAAGTTATAAAGTGGCAAAATGCATATTTCTTATAATGCAACTAAATATTTACCCCTCTTGCCCTGGCCCATCAGGTCCATCCGCGCAGGGCTCTTTTGCAGGATAAAATGTGTTGGAAATAAAAATCCTTAATTTTCTTTTTTGTTTCATGGGCCTTTTTAAAGCTTCTTGAATGTCAAGACGTTTCCGCATTATAGTAGCGTCTAGCTTTCGTTCAAATGCCAATAGATCCATGTAAGCTTGACTCTCAGGCACTAGATCTCTTACTTTTTGCGGCAAAATTTTGTCGGCAAGCTTCTTCTTTTTCTTGCTTGTGTTATGACCATATTCACTAAAAACAAAATAAATATTGCATTTTGATACTATACCATATAGGTAGGACACCTTTTCTGTTGAACTGAATTTCTGTTGTCTGAAGATCGCTTTGCCGACTGTTGAGAACCAGGAATTTGGTTTCCTTGCATTGGAGAATACGGAGCTCTGGAGCTTCTTTGGATCATAGTTCCTCCGCTAGTGTTCATATTGGGTGGCGGCGTATTATATCCAGTTCGCTATAGTGTTCATTACGATATAAATTAATACGGAAACAACAAAAATCGAACATTACCGGAAAATTGGGCTGCGAATATTGTCGCATTCCAGGATTTTGAGGCTGTTGGTACCTTTGAGGTTGGGGTCCGCTTGGACCAGGGCTTGGACCCGGTCCGGGAAATCGCTGCGCCATATTAATAGCGTTTTTGAAATTTAATCGTTCTAATTTACGGTATACAATTTCAATTTGTCACTAATGTATAAATCAAAAATCACCGGCGTAAACATTTACTCGAATAAGTCCATAGAATACTGAAATTTAATTGTTCTACGGAAAATAAGGTCTTCTTCTTTTCTACTTTTACAGTCCGTTAAGAAAACTATCTGAGGACCCAAGCCCATGACCGACACGAGGAGAAATTGGAACTTTCGTCATACTGATAGGTGAATAATCAACCAAACAAGTCACAAAAAAGCACAAGCATCTAAAAAGCTGAATATCGCACTGGTTATAAGTTCTATATTTGCGAAGGGAAAAAAAGGAAATTGAATCTCAGATTCAGTCTGAGGAAAATCACATCTCTTGCCCACAGACTATGAATGCAATATTCGGTGACATTCATCAAAGTGTGCTTGGAGTGTAACAATTTGCCTTCATCAAATTGTGCTTGGAGTGCAACAATTTGATTTCATCAAAGTGTACTTGGAGTGTAACAATTTGTCAAGTATTGAATTACTTGATGTCACATATCCGGTCAATGATCTGCGAGTGTCCGGCGATTTCTTCTTTTAGAGATACCTACAAATGTGGGATCAAGTTCCGAAGAGTTATATGTTATTCGCGGCTAACGTTGCGAATGCAAGTAATAACTTATACTTTGATTAACTGTTCTTTGGTAAAGCATAATGGCACATATTGCATTTAATAATGATTTTCAATTCAAAATTAAAAGCAATTTACCTGAGGGACCATAGAATTATCTAACGAATTTAATGCGTAATATCGAATCAACGTCAAAGGGATAGGGAAAAATAACATACTCAAAATATTAGTACAATATACAAATATATTTAACAATTAAACGGTTAACGGTTAAATAATAACGGGTTAAAATACTGCGATAATTTGAAAATTTAGACGTTTGAGTAAGGAGCGGGGTATGTTAATTATGATTTGTCCAACTGAATTTGTCTATCCAATATTTTTTCGCTCTCATAATCTGGTTGAGACAGTTCCCTAAACGGTTCATCATCCACAAAGCAAATCTCGTGGTCGTTCGGATCGGCCAAAATAATAACTCGGACGGTGGCTTTGCCGGGAGTATCGAGAGAAATTAATGGCGTCAAAACCGTCTGTTTGTGTTCTTCGATATGTTTAGCCAATTTTTCCTGTTCTCCGTGTGGAATGGAGAACGCGATACGACCGTAGTCCTGTTTTCGCTCCACCGGACCATCTGTCATTAGAAACAAAGTTAATATAGTGATTTCATAATATGGCGAATTCATATATCAAAGTAGGTACAAATCATGACATAAGAAAGTATAACACCCAATGGCTGTTTACCTTGGTCCACCCAAAGTTCTAGAGAAGATATTACATAAATATTAAATGTTAACTTCATAATAGGGTTAATACACAGTCAAAGTAAGAGCAAATTATGAGATAAAAAACATAAAAGTATGATGCAAAACACCAGAAATATTGATATTTATATATTTTCTCCCCTGCAAAATCGCCTATTAGAGATGAATAAGGTCTATAACAGTATTATCAATTTTCATTGAAACATTAATTGCCATTATCAGTTAATGGAAGTGTATTGTATACCCATTTATCTGCTGAGATTTATCTTGCTATTTTAGATTTTTTTAAGATTAGTTTTTGAAATGTCACTAATTATAGAATATTTTTAACGATTACATTAACTTAGAAAAATTCCATAAGAAATTCAATTACACTTACCCGTCTCTTTTAACTCCAATTTTGCTTGATTTTGGTCAAATCCGACTAGTACAGATTTATCAGTCCTATCAAAAATCGTCAACCCCAAAATGCCATTCCAGTAGTTGATTGATTTGGACAGACTGGAAGAAGCGAGTGTAACTTTTTGGACAGGATCTAAACAATATTTGAATGATAAGTAACATTTTTTCTGTAAAAAGAGTGATGAAATTTACCTTCACCGGTGGGCTGAGGCGCGTCAATGATGAAAAACTTATAACCGCCGGGTGCCTCTAAAGTGTTTCCTTCCAAAATTGGCCATTTACGCTCAACAGCTCTCTTAAGAATTTCACTGCTTTTTATTGTGATGCCTAAGAACTCATTGCCTTTTTCATAGTGATGAACACCATAATTATAGGTAAGTTCTAACACAAAATGGTTATCTTCTGGTCCATAACCTACCATCGTTTTACTCCATCTGCCGTCATATTTGCTACAAGGATGGTTTCGAATTTGGAAAAATTTTAGACAAGTGCTTGCCAATATTTAAAAAGCAAACTTGAAGTGATTAAAAGTATGAAGTTGTGAATGATGGTGGAAAACTATATTACTGACACTTTACAACTGTTTATAGAAATGAGATACTTTACCCATTACATTGCGCCTCGCAACCTTCCTTAAATTCCTCGTGCCTTAATACTTTCATACCAAGAATATTTCTGTAAAAATCCATAGTTGCCTTTCTATCCGCAACTTTGAAAACATAGTGTAATGCTCTACCTTTAAGGAACGTCATTGTTTTATAACCTGAAACGATAAAGGATTGGATAGGGGCTAGAAAAGGTTAATCAGCAAAATCTATTAAAAAAGCTTCCAAATTTACCTATTAATTCGTGTTAAAAAAATGCGTTCGTTACTCGTCCTGTAGCACTCCACGCAGAGATTTAACATTCACTTTCATTAAGACCTGGATCACAGATTAGCAAATACAGGCCAGCGCTAATTTAAAATAATATGCGGTTTTAAACAAACCTTTTGCCACAGATAAATGTGTACGAATGATTGATGAGTACTTCAATACTTAGAGTTGAACCTTGTCAGGAGGATAAATTGCGGTGGGAGAACCGCGTATGTGCGCACAATTCATTAAAAAAGATAATTAAACACATTTCGTGACTTGCAAAAGCTTTTCGAATTTTTCGTGCGGATGCTGCGCCGATATAATCCCATTACCGTTATACAAACGAGACCCGACAAGCCGACAATAGCAGTGCAACCAACACCACGTTATAAATGCACATGAATATTTATCGCCATTATAAGTTCTAGTCAATGTTTCAAATTCGACGGGATCTGGGCACATTTTCACGAAGTACCGAAAAAATACTACATCTAAACTGAAATCTGTCGAATAGGCGTACTGTCAGCGGCCATATTGATTATTGGTTAAAAACGAGTTTTGAAATGCCGCGAGCATGTGCATATTAAAGGTTATTTTCTAACAACAATTTCATATTTATCTGTTATAGTATTAACGTATATGGCAAAGAAAAGAACCGCCGTTACTATAATGCCTACCTATCTTCCTCTAGAAAAAATTGCCTCACAAAATCAATATTGGGTGAATTAACGGAACCATTTCAGCCAGGAACGTAATTAAAACCGTGAATAGTTATTGTAGTGCATTTTATTACGTACCTGTTTACATATGGATGATATATACAACACAACTAACCAATAATCCAACTAACAAATAATCTAATGTGTTCTAACAAACCATTTCTTTATATTAGTTTTACATTGAGAATAAATTAATGAATTGATGAAGTTCTTGCCAAAACACACCGCCTATACACTGAGAAAAAAGTATCTAACCTGGTGGCGAACGTCGCTCCAGAATATTTACAAAGGTGCCTTCGTTGGCATGTAAATGTAAATCATTTTAAATTTATGCTCTCAACATGTTTTTGGTTAGTGTTGCTTAGATTTGGTTGCTTTTGGTTTTGATGTGTCTGCTAAAGACAAACGATGTCATTTCGGCTAGGCGTTCAGGGAACGTGCCTCGTCAATTTATTTGACGTCCCAAAAGTTCATTTAACCGTTAAACCATAGAGCCACTAGAGATATAGAGCTCATGCTTATGCTGAGAATGTCCATTCATGCGCGCCATGTAAAATCTCAATGACCTTGCTCCATTCAACAAGCACTATGGCCGCTGATAGTTCGTTATTATGTTTGGATGCGATATTTTTACGGCAGTATTTTCTCAAAATATGTCTAAATCTCGTTAAATGTGAGAAAACGAGTTAATTGTGTGGAAATCGCTGTTTAGAAAAAAATCTACGAAAATATTAATGCCGCACATCAATTTTTATCGTAGTTGGGCAACTATATTATCTAATAGCGGTATGGTTTTAACGGATCTTGAAATTGGGTCGGGAAGTACTACTTTACGATTTTAATTCTATTTTTCCATGATTAGTGTTTACTCCAAATATTCCAAAATTTGAGTAAATTCGTCGCGCATGAACTCCTCATAGGCGCGTACTATCTTCAATTGCAGTTCTCTGATGTTAAATATCACCTTCCTCTTGATGTTGTTTAGGGCTAGCGAGCGTTTGTTTTTATTTCGTAAAATTGCTCGTCGATTTTTAAAGAGCAAAATCTCGCTAGCCAGAATGATACCTAAAGTATAATTCCCGTTTGAATTTGAAAAATGTCAAATTGACAGCGGCGGGAGCTCCATATCTTTTATCCACAGTTCTATGGCTGTGGATAGAAGATCATAGTTGGAGTTGGTAGGTCATACTAGGAAAAACTAGGATTTTGATATAATTGATTATGGTTTGTGTTAGCTATTCCTATTGGGTTTGGTCTCCTATGGGAATCCTGTCTATAGATGGAATCCAACCTTTCTCAAGATCCCAACATGTCAAAGTTGGATTTTTATTAACAACTTGCCAAATTGCATTGGGCACTCCAAGAGTGTTATTTAGACATGACTTCAAGATATTAAGATGTATACCTCATCTTCGGAATATAATTGTCTAATTCTGAGTCTGAATGGTTTAGTGAGACTGAATATATACAAAGTTTCAGATACTAACTTTTATACAGATGAACTATAGCACGACTTTAGTGACTTAAAAAATTTACCAAACGTGTTGCATACTATACTTTTTCTACGACCGCTATTTTTTGGGTATATTTTCGCAAAACAACACGAATAGATTCACTGACATGACTGTCAGAATGTGTAAACGTTAAAATTCAAAGCGTGGAAAATATCTCCGAAAACGTCCGATTGCTCCCAAACCCATCCGGTAAAATCCCGGAAATGTCCGAAGTGGCTCGGATCCGTGGGAAACAAGACTGACGTGGTAAAGTGACGCTTCCAACATCTTAGATCGGTGTGTAATTAGTTATTTTATAGACGGGAGTAGAAAAATGTAATTATTTCTCCCGTGTTGACTAGGAACGATGAGTGGAGTTCAGTTGCTGATCAACTAGAAATTCACTCAGTATTATGAACAAATGATGAACGAAGCCCCAACAATTTTTGGCTTTGTGATCAGAAATGCAAAATACCTCAAAATTACAGAAGTAATTGTTAAGTGTTGTTATATGGGCTCGAGAGTATATATGGGTTAATTTTGGTTTTGACTGTGGAAAAAGTTACCTGCGCACACATTTCCTATAAAAAGTAGGTAAAACGTTCCTTGGAGCATTTTAAGACTGATCGGTTTGAGCTTCTCGTTGTCCTCCGTCGCTTTAGCGGCTCTCTTGGTTTCCGTTTTTGTATTAGGTAAATCGTTTTCCTGGGCTTCAACGTCGACGATATTCTTTTGTTTACCTAGTTTCTCGTACTCATTTTCGGTCATTTTCGTTATGATGCCTGCTTCGAAGATCGTCATAAGTCTGCGATTAGAAAAGTTGTCCAAGGTAGATTCAAAGAAGCAGCAGCCACTCATCAAAATAATAAGGATTTTAGCAAGCCCTCTTCTAGATATTAAGAATGCTTGCAAACCATTGCTGCAAAAATATAATCTCGGCCAGGCAGCATTAACTGAATTATAGTATAAGTTAGTTATTTTTGTAAAGAAACTTCCACAGTCTATTGTACTACTATTTTTAATCTTCTGAATTCCTCCTGCATCGGTTGTTGTTGCTGGCGTTTCTCCAATAATCCAGAGGGTCGCTGAAACTGGTTTGAATTCTACACTGTACAAGCTTATATACTGTCTGAGGGAGGAGGTTAGACTGATTCCTATTTGGTGGCAGGTAAAGTCGCCGTTAAGATTGTTTCGTTGTTTTTCTATCAAATCCAGAATTTTTCTTTGGTAGAAAAACTGATACGTAAAAGAATTTTAGTTTTGAATTAAGACTCTTAAAAGAAGAAAACCCTCGGAACTCTCTATCTAAAACTGAAACTATGAAGGGGATACGTTGATGATACTTTTGTTACGACCTCATGGTCAAGAATTCCTCTGAGATTTGTTAACCAAATCTATCTCAAAGGAATTAAGCGTGGCATTATAAAATACACTTCACCACAACCTCCCAACGAAAATGAGTCGGAAAGTAACCCTACACTTGCCACTGCAATCCTTCCTTAGGTACAAAAAATCAATCAGCACATGTCAGAAAATCCAAAGAAATATAGTGTTACAATCAGATTTATCACTTGTCCAAAAATCTTTCAAAATGTTCGATCCGTCAAAGACCAAATTCCGTTTGCCATATCAGACGTTTACAGTATTCCATGCAGACGCAGCAACGAATACATTGGAGACACAGGACCAAAAACTACTACTAACTAGCCAACAGACCGTGAAGGCACCTTAAGACTACAACAAATAAATTCATCAGCAGTTGCCTAACATAATCATAAAATCGGAAATAAAATCTGAATCGACCTACATTCTTTCTTCTTCTTCTACCAAAGAAATATCCCAGAGTCCATAGAAATCTTCTGCCACTCAGGCCTACCTTTCCCCAATATCGGAATGAGTCATTCGAGATAATGTTCATGTCCCTCTTTTAGCTCCGCCTTCTCAAACGATATATAAGCAGTTAGTTACAGTTAAGCTCCGAAGAACTCAACGGGATGATTGGCGAAATGTCGTGTCAGCAAGTCCGTTTCATCAGCAACCGCTGCAGGAGGAATCCAGAAAATTTGTAAATAATAATAATCTGGGATTGTCATGGAAATAATGTAACAAATAAATTAAATAGTACATTTTATAGTTTTAGTCTGTTGGTTAGGTACATTCCATCACAGACTTAAAAAATGTTTTATCACACAAAGTTTGAGATTAGTATAAGATATTGTGTTATTATGTATGGAATTTGCGTAGACATAGAAAGTATTTTTATTTGCCGAAAGTGAGCCTGCGAATCATACTGCAGTTAAACAAATTTTTTACCCTACCTGCAATCTTGGTATAGAGTATACTGTTTTTTTTAAAAAAAAAACCTTTTAAAATATTGCGAATTTCAAGATTTGTAGGTTAGACGAACCTATACTATACATATTTCAGACACAGCCCGACTCTAACTGAGTAAGGTGCTTGTTAATAACTTGTTAGGTTCTATAATTAGTTCACCGGACAACATAAATACAATTAACGAGTTAAAAACGTTAATTTTTACTAGTTGAACTACAGTTAGTGTAGTAGATTACTATAGATTTATTCAAAACATTTAGCATTACTTACGCAAATAATATTTCAGTCTAGTTATTGCACTTTGAAATAAAGATAATGTATTGTTATTATTTGATTAAGGGCATTAATTTCTTCTATTTTTGTATATCCTATTTTTAAAGTGCCAAAAAAAATCCATTGGCTTGAGATCAGAGCTCCTAGGGAGCTACGTATATGTCCCATTTTTACAGATAGTTTTGTTAGTTATATTGTAATAGTGAACATAGATAACTATGCGCGTTCTACTGATATAATACAATAATATATAGGGGTGATGAAACTTGTACTTTAAAAAATTAATTTTAGACTCGAAAATTATGCTACATTAATTGTTTCTCGGAAGTACAGGTTAAAAATTCACTAAATACTTCACTTTACAATAAAGTCAAGCCAGAAAAAAAACTATTCTTCATCAAATTTACAAATATTGTTAAGAAAACTCTGATAACTGATAACTGTTTCAACACAGCTGCAGAATCCAAGGAGAAATCTCTGTAGATCTGAGGGTATCGAATTAATTGTCATCTGTTCATTTTATATAAAATTTCGTGTTATACGCGTACGTGTGTGATATGCAACAAACTTCACTGTATCGTTGTTAAATAAAGATTATTATTATTAATGAGGTGTTACTCTACCCGGTTCCGAAATAGACTTAGACCATTTCGCGCGGAAACCCAGAGTTATGCGTACTTACAACTTATTTATTTCCTCGATAAAAGGGCAACCGATTTGGAGGGCGATGGCGGAATAGGCCGTGTTGAGTTTCTCGCTGAGATGGAAATTTTTGGGACCTTTAAAATTTTGAGTATAGTCACTCTGTAAAAATCGAGCGGCACGCTTACCAAACCGCTGGACATCGAAAAATAAAGTTTCCCTCCCCGCCATGACCGCGACGTTTCGACAATACTTGACCATCTTCACTCCCGCCTCTACCGACTCAACGACGTACTCTTTTTGTTGCGATTCCATGAGCGTCCACAACGTCTCGTAAATTCCCGTTCCGTTCTAACAATAACATCATCATAGGTTGGAACTGGGGCAAAATTACACGGTTTTCATTTATATTTTGGATGTTCACTTATAGAGGAATAAATGTTGTATGATTTCTTCTCTATTATCTTGCAAAGATATCAATAAAACAGGGTGTTCCACCGGGAAGCCGCAAAAATTTGAACATTTGGAATTAAGCTATAGGCGCGATTCGGTCAAACTATTTTCAAGATGGCGGCACACTCAGATATACCGAATGTGGATGTCAACTTTCTTAATTTAAATATATATTATTACTTTTTTGATTTCTCCGGAAAGTTCTAGGTATATTTCATGTATAATATCCTATACCTAAACTTCTCCGTCTGTGAGATCTTTACCATTTTATATCAAAAATGACGTTTACAGACCGAACAATATACCGTAGCCGTTCTTTAGAAGTTTAGGGTTAGGCTTAAGACATAGTTTCATTTAAAAATATTTGTGAAGGTTATACCACTTCCTGTTCCGGTGGAAGTCGTCATTATTTTAAATGGAACACCCTATATAATACTAGATTTTTGGATTTCTTAGAAACTTTTGTGATAAGTCTTATTAAGTTTCTGACTTCTTTTCAACAGTTTGCTCGATATATTTTTTTTAAAGACCTTAATGATAATAATAAACAACTCACTTCCAGCAAATCTAAATTGGGACTGTGTTTCTCTACGTACAACCTGTAGCCTTTGGAAGTCATGGCGCTTTTCAGTTGGTACAAGTTATTGATCGATTTTTCTGAAACAACGCGAGAATGAAACGCAATCTTTTTGATTTCCTTTTCCCCGAACCAACAAACCATACCTCTTCCAGGTTTCGCTAAAAGGGACGTCAAATTCGCCGAATACATATCCGTTATCACGTAAGTGGCGGAAATTGATAACAAAGCAATGCAAAATCTTGCCTTGTGCGTAGAGCTTAGTTCTCGGCCTGCTGAAATATAAAAGAATAGTATATTATGCAACAAGTGCGGTAAACGGCATTTGACTCACGAGTTTATTTGACACGAGCGGAGCGAGTGTTTAATAAACCAGTGACTTAATAATAATAATAATAATAGATTTTATTGTCCAACAGAAATTACCAATTACAGGACAATAACAAAAATACATAAAACAATTAATTTTATAAAGTTAAAACTGAACAAAAGAAGCAGTATAGAAAACAACAAACAAAAGAAAATAATATTAATACGAGAACAAGACAGCGTGAACTACTTAAACTGTAACTACCTACAGATGGACTTTAACTGTTAGTGATACGGTGCTGGTTGCAAATTCTAATGAGATTTGGTAAACTATCATTAAAAATATCACAATATTTACTAATTAAGTTGAAATGCGAGCACATCTGATACGGCGGGGACCTACGTAATAAATTTGTTCGGGGAATCCCTAAGCTAAACGTAAGAATGTGTCTTGCATTAGCCCGCGGAACACGAAAATCAATTTGCGCAAGTAAACTCATCGAGTCAATATTGCTATGCAATAACTTATGTAAAAATATTACACTGGCCGTAAACCATCCACTCTAAAAGCAAGAAACTTTATAAATCTCCTTTGAACATACTCAAGTGACCGAATATAAGTTGAGTAAATAGGTGCCCATACTACCGACGCACACTCGAGCTTGGACCTAATCAACGAATAATACACTATCTTTAGAGCAAGAACATTAGAAAACGCTGAGCAGTTACGAATAATAAAACCAAGAACCTTAAGGGCAGATCCTATAACTATGAAGTCGAGGTGTTCCGAAAATGAAAGCTGCGAATCGAATATAACGCCCAAATCTTTTATAGAATTACATCTGGACAAGGTAATGTTATTTAGTTTATAAAGAAATAACGATGTTTGAAGATTTCTTGTGTATGAACATACTTTACACTTAGAAAGGTTAAGAGTGAGCTTGTTTTGTACGCACCAATCGGAAATGTTTGATAGCTGATCCTGAATCAACACACAGTCTTCATAGGAAGAAATAGATCTATATATTTTCAAGTCATCTGCAAAGAGCAGAAAGTCACACGAAATTTTGTCCGATAGATCGTTTAGGAATATTGAAAACAATAATGGCCCAAGATTGGAACCCTGGGGTGCTCCGGAAGTTGCAACAAACTGCTTAGAATTGAATCCATTAAAACACTCAGAAAGCACTCTGTTGTGTAGATATGAAGTGAATAGATTCACAAGTGACTCACTAAAACCCAGCATACAAGTTTTCTTTATCAACGTAGAGTGATCAACACGATCGAAAGCCTTGGCTACGTCGGTATACACTACGTCGACTTGAAATCCTTTGTCCAGAGACTCAGCAATATGCTGTGTGAGCTCCACCAAGTTGGAAGTTGTGAATCGTCTTTCAATGAAGCCGTGTTGATTCGGTGAAATAAGGGATTTTATTAGAGGTGAAATACGAACGCCTTGGCAAAGTTAGATAAGATTGCAATGGGTCGGTAATTCCTAACATAATCAGGCTTGGTACCGGATACACCTTAGTCAACTTCCAACAGTCAGGGATAGTACTACATTTGAGAATCCGATTAAATATCTGCAATAAAGGAGAGACAAGTACCTGAGCACAATCTCTGACAATAAAACACGGAACACTGTCGTAACCAGCTGTAAGTTTATTGGGCATAGTTCGCAAAACATCCAGTACCTCCACCTCAGAAAAGCAATCAACATTTAAGTCACTTTTAGGGCTGTAAACGCTACTAAAATAGTTTGCAAAAGCGTCAACTAGTCCAGAATTTTTTTGGGTCATTAATGATGGAAATTTCAACTTGCGCTAAATAATTAACGTAAGCAGTCTTAGTACTAGTCTTAATATGTCTTCTAAGTCTACGAAATTCCTGATAATAATATTGATTATTGGTTTTTCTGAACTTCCTGCAATAAAAAGATTTTAGTTTCAAACCATAGATTATATTCGGCGTATACCAAATAGGATAATCACGCCTTTCATTAGGAAAAATAGGAACTGAACCATCGAACACTAAATGCAACTTATTATAAAAAGATTGACACATACTATTAACATCGGTTAACTCTCCCAAAAAGGCTCAGTCGATTTCTAGTTTACCGAACGTGTTGCATACTATACTTTTTCTACGACCGTTAGTTTTTGACATGACAGTCCAAATTGACAAACGTCAAAATTCAAGGCGTGGGAAATATCTCCGAAAACATTCGATTGCTCCCAAACCCGTGCGGTAAAATCCCGGAAATGTCCGAAGTGGCTCGGATCCGTGTAATTAGGTATTTTACAGACGGGAGTAGAAAAAAATATTTCCTCCATGTAATTGAAGTAAGAAGAAACAATTTCAGTTACAATTGTAGAAGCAAAAAAACGGTACTTCATACTTCAATCTTCAGTCTCACCACATATGCAACTCATTTATTAATGGGTTTTGGTAAATTTTGCGGACAGTAGATTTTAAAACATTAGGTAATTCTTGAAAATATCGAAAAATTTGATGGAAAACAATTGTTTCTTTTTGGGCACATTCAATGCTTTATCAATAATGAAAATGTCAATCTTAACTTGATTAGTTTAAGAAACTATACCTACTTTGTTTTAAAAGAATTGTGACGGTAAACCAGGTACAATCGCAGAACAGTCTGGCTTGCGATTGTACTATAAATTTCGGGTGCCAAGCATTAGGTAAAGCTATGACGGCGTACAGGAACGGTCCAAATACGAGAAAAGTAACTGCGATTGCTGGCCACACCTGAAAGATAGACGATAAAATAAAACCATTTGTTTGGACTTCCATTGCCTTTATTTTAAAATATATCTCAACTTTGTGTGCGTATCTGCCACAGTTATCAAGAGAATAATGTATTCTTTATTTTTATTTCATATTTATTTATTTTTATTTTTTTCTTGATAACGGTTAGAAATTCATGCCGACCGAAACGTAGAGATATAACTTAAACTATCCAAATCTCATGGTTTGGGCTTAAATAGTCGCAGGACAAAATTGTTGGTCTTTGCTATCCATAGACCTCAATAACACAAGTCTATAGTGATTTTGATGTTTGAAAGCTGTTTGCCTATTTGTATATTTTTGGGGGCCCTTTTTTTATTAATATACATACTTATGACATGAATACGTTTGTTCCATTTTCCAATTAAATGTGATTTGGCAACACTGGATAATATTAGATCTCTCTGTAAAGCAACCGAGCTGGCGCAGAAGCGTCAATACTGCGTTGCAATCTGCTAAAGCGCAGTTTCGTTTTATTGGTCGTCGTGCTACAGTGTTCGCGGTTGTTGTCTTCGTTGTTCCGTTTTCTAGTGTTCTAGAACGTATACATATGGAAAGAAGACATTGTGTGAACAATCCAAATAACTTTTGTCATATCTGTGTCAGTTATGTCATAGGAAAGCAAAGGCAAACTATAACTTCTTTTGTGAAAAATGTTTACCAGGCTTATTTTTCTATAAAAATTGGGCTCCTCATACTGTTCGTTCTGTTTGCGTTGAAGTATTTAGAAACTGACAAAAAGGCAGGAAAAAATGTTTAAGCTTTGGTGTTTCTATGGCATGGCGAGAGCCTAGGAATCACAGTGATGATTGTTATTTTCTTTCGTTTAATGTTCAAGGATTCAACAAAAAAAAAGAAACAAATTGTGTATCCCAATCTGGACTCTGCTATTCGACCAGATATACCGATATCTACCGTCAAAAGAACTAGAAAATGAATTAGAGGAATCTAATTCCAACCCAGACGACTCAGATTTCACATCAGATTGCAGAGAGCCCAAAATGATTTAATTAGAGATTTACACCCTCCAAAGGCTGCATCCGAATTGTTAGCGTCCAGACTCCGTGACAAGCATTTACTAGCACCTGGCGTCATAGCAAGCTTTTTCCATCATCGCGAAAAACAGTTAATGTCAATGTCAATATTTGATTCAGGAAGGACCGCAAGTGTATTGCAACAATATTCCTGACTTAGTTTTCAAATTAGGAATTGTGCCGTACAATGCCGCTGTTTAACAAATATATATATATATATATATATATATATATATATATATATATATATATATATATATATATATATATATATATATATATATATATATATATATTCTCACGTATTGATTCACGGATGGAAAAATGTGATGACACTATATTCCGGGATATCATCCGTTCGCTCGTTGAACTCCGACTGGAATCCTGCATCCGACTGGAATCCTGCAAATCTTGCATCCGACTGGAATCCTGCAGACGTTTCGCCAAAATCTCACTTGGCATCTTCAATGCTCGCGCTCCGAAAACACTTCGAACACTCGATTCCAGTCGGAGTTCAACGAGCGAACGGATGATATCCCGGAATATAGTGTCATCACATTTTTCCATCCGTGAATCAATACGTGAGAATATATATATATATATATATATATATATATATATATATATATATATATATATATATATATATATATATATATATATATATATATAGCAGATGTGACCTATTTTCGAGAATTCATTTTGGTTCATATTTGTAAAATTCAGGCGTATCTTTTGACAAAAGTTCGCATTTCAAGCACAGGTGCTGATGTATGATTTTTGCCAGTTGATTGTGCCTTCCTAAATAATCATTATCTGATGTGTTCTATTAATTCTCCAGTATTGGTACATTTTCTACATTTATGCTGTTGATTTTCAATATATATGTTTTTCATAATTTCTAGTTCTAATTACCTTGTCTTGTATTGCGAGCATAAAGCCCTCAGTTTAAAATAAAGATAGCACTTATGAAGCCACTGTAGTGATGATGTTTTGTTGATCAATGTGTCTTCCAGTGTTAGAGGGTATTTACCATGAAGTGCTTTTTCCTTCCAAGTTTGTATTTCCTGATGTAGTGTTGATGTTGTATCGGTTACTATTGGCATACCTAAGTTGAGTGGTGTGAACTTTTTATCAGCATTATAGACTGGATGATGCGGTCTGTGGATCCTAGTAATTTAGCACTAATTTTAGAGAACTGTTTTTTGTAAATTTTGCTTATATCTAGAAACCCCGTGCTTTTCTATAAGGTTGTTCGGAAAGTCATTTCGTTTTTTCCCGTCAGAGGACTTAATTACGTTTTTTCGAAACCAACTTCACACTTAAGCCGCATAACCGTTATATGTCTTGAGAGCTGATATTGCAAGGCTTGTGTGTGAAAAAGTTCTATTAATTCTACGCAGTAGTTTTTGGTTGGTGCCCTTTTAAATATGGAGAGCAATAAGCAGCATTTTCGTCATATTTTACTTTTTCACTTCAGAAAAGGTAAAAATGCTGTCCAAGCGAGAAAAAAATTGACGGATGTGTATGGAGAAGGCGTGTTAACAGTACGCCAGTGCCAGAACTGGTTTGCAAAATTTCGATCCGGCAATTTTGATGTCGAAGATGCACCACGGTCTGGAAGGCCGGTCGAAGCTGACAAAGATGCGATAAAGGCATTAGTTGATGCAAATCGGCGAATAACCACACGAGAGATCGGTGAGAGATTAAATTTGTCGAATTCGACTGTTTAGGGCCATTTGAAAGGCATGGGCTTAACCTCGAAGCTCGATGTGTGGGTGCCCCATGTCCTTACGGAGCGAAATTTGTGTCGTCGCGTTGACGTGTGTGATTCGCTCCTCAAACGTCAAGAAAATGATCCATTTTTGAAGCGGATTATTACTGGGGACGAAAAATGGGTTGTATACAACAATGTTAAACGCAAGAGGTCATGGAGCAGAAAAGATGAACCGGCTCAAAGCGTGTCAAAAGCCAACATTCACCAAAAAAAGGTGATGCTCTCCGTTTGGTGGGATGTCAAAGGAATCGTTTTTTTTGAGCTTTTGCCGGACAATACAACGATTAATTCAAAAGTCTATTGTCATCAACTGGACAAATTGAATGATTCACTTAAAGAGAAGAGGCCCGAATTAATCAACAGGAAGGGTGTAGTGTTCCACCAGGATAATGCGAGACCTCACCCAAGTTTGGTCACTCGCCAAAAACTTTTACAGCTTGAATGGGACGTACTGCAACATTCACCATATTCTCCAGATCTGGCGCCTTCCGACTACTATTTGTTCCGGTCCCTGCAAAATTTTTTGGATGGCAAAACCTTTACCTCAAATGAAGATGTCAAAAACCACCTGAACCAGTTTTTTGCCAGCAAGGACCAAAACTTTTATGAGAGGGGAATTATGTTACTGCCAGAAAGATGGCAAAAGGTGTTGGACCAGAATGGCCAATATATAATTTAATAAAATATTTATTCATTATACGAAAACTGTCTTTCATGTTCCCCAAAAAAAACGAAATGACTTTCCGAACAACCCAATACTGATATAAACCCGTAATGTTGATGAGTTGGGGTGTTGCGTTAACATCTGGCGAGTTGTTCTATCTCCGCCCTCCAAGTCAGTATTGGTTCATTTGACTATTTCAAAGTAATTATTATTATTAATATTGTTTTTGTTGTTGTTGTTGTTGCTGAGTGCTGTTGGAGCGAACCTGTTGAATCTTACCTCCCACTGAAATGGTCTAAGGAGTGCAAGCGCCTCATTCAGTCTACTCGGAGCATGCGTAACGAAGGCACCACTGTCGGCGAGCGTTATAAACGAAAATTCTACGACACTGGACCTTTCGTATGTCAATCCGACATCACCGATAAACAGGTCGGCCTCCTAAAAAAGAAAATTTAAGGAAATGAAATGGTCTTCGGTAGAGAGAAGTCACGTTGTGGTGTAAACTCGAATCACATAATAAAACAACCTTTCATGCTATTTACCAATAATAATAATAATAATTAAGTCCACACTTTTTTTGATTATACAGATCGAAGTTAGGAATAATCTTCTGAAATTCTGCTAAAGGTTTGGTATTATTATTATGTCGAAACACAGTGGATGGGTAAGTACCCGATCAAAATGTGACACAAGATCTAAAGATAATTTACTAGGGAAATGTTTACATTTAAGATATTGCGGTTTATTAGAGAGTAATAGAGTATACTAATTTTCATATCATAGAAAGACTAGGTTGATGGATGAAAGTAATGTGACAGCGGCGTTATTACAGGTACTGTATTAGAATAATAAATATAATAATTATACGTGACTATAATTACAGAGATGAACAGATAATTGAGATATTGATTATTCTAAGATCAAGTAAATAAAAACTTATATAGAAGTAAGAATAATAGAAAACTAGATAAACTGTAATAAATATTATTATTTAGGGTAATCAGATAAACTATAGTCGTTGGAGTAAACAGACATAATAAGGAGGTCTATATAGTTTTATAGCAGCGTTCCACGTTCTCTTAAACACATGTTCGATGTATTATTTATTATGCCTTATTACAAACCATTTTACTTGCGCCCATACTATTTCTATGATGTTTAATTCACACTGATATGGCGGAAGGCGAAGTACCGGTATATTTCGTTTTGAAGGGATTTCAGCGATAACAAGTTTCGTACAAAAAGCTTATTCAAATTTACAATCTCTAGTACCTTCTTTTTAAGCATATATTTCTGAAATTGCTGCAGTATTCATGTCTTCACGATGGTGTCCAGTTCGGTTGTTATTGAAATGTTAATAAGCCACCACCCAAAAAATCTATTTTTACTACCAATGTGAGTAATTATTATTCTTTTACTTTTTTCCGAGGGTGCTTTTATTCAAGTGGACCATCCTGGATCAAGATAATGGAATTCCTGTTTTCCCTTCAAAGCTCTAACCGCTCTCTAATATTGTCGTCGTCAGTAGATAATTTCGTCTTTATCTATTAAAAGTGATTATCAGTTTTGTCGTAATGAAAAATAATTTAATTCAAAGTTTTCCAAAATTTTTTCTTTCCCATGGTTAGAATGAAATCATCAATTTTGGCAAATTTTTCATCCTAATTTATTGCAGTTCCTTTTCTTCCTGTACTTCTCTTTGGTGACCTGCTAGGTCTATATATTGTGGACTGTCCAACTCTATTCCGAATGTTGTATTTGGTGCCAAAGAGCTTGGAAGACATTGAGAAAAATAATTTTCTTATTTTTAGAAAGCACAGTTTTCCTAATCCGTTTTTTAGCAACAAATTCAGAAATACTACCCATTTTCATGAACGAACTGTAACTAAAATTGTAATTTTAAATGCTAAGGTTAACTACATGTCCGTCTATCCGTCACTCTCGGAACTCTTGACAATCAATCAGGTAAAATACTTCGCCTATGGAATACTGCTAAGACCAAGTTTTACAGTTGCATAATGTTATTGTAGGTTGTTGGGTGGTATATGAAAAATGGTGCATTTGATTTTATATAATTTGAGCTACCAGATCTCTGTCCATAACTCTAAGCTTTATAGGTCGCCGACCAAGATCTCTTGTTGAGTAAGCAGGATTTTTCTATTATTAGCAAACTGGCTGGTACTGCAGGATAGAAATTCATTTAGGTTGCTAATGCAAATTGAGCTGCCAACCCTTAGTTTGCCACAGCTGTGCAACTATGCACGAGCACCATGACGATTTTGACTTATTTTATAACCTCTGGATAGACACTTTATCGAACACATTCTCGTAATCTACTTTAGTCATTGCTGCGTTTCTTGTATTTTAACCAAAACTGCTCTTACAAAATGAATTGACATACTTTTGTTTCATGGCTGAAACGTCATTCTTAAAATAAAACTTAGTTTATGCTTACCCTTCGTGATATTAAACCCATGACTCCATTAAAAGCACCATTATCAGACGTCGAGCCTTGAATTCTCTCCGGAGGGTCAAAATATTTATACCTAAAAAATGTAACGTAAAGTATATCTCGACAATCAGTCTTTGTGAACGAATGTGTGGAGTGATACTTAACAGAAAGGGAGCTCAGGGTAAAGGTTGAGAATTTTGTTCTGGTCCGTTTAATGTTGGACTCGGAACCAATATAGCTGACCTCCGAGAATATCTCGATGGCGAAAAGCTATATCAATATTGTGACGATATGACCATTGCAATTCCGTGGAAAACTAGTGACGAATTCAATAGAAAAATTTCATACGGACTTTTCAAAAAAACACCTTATATCAAATCATAAACTAGTTATTCACAAGGCCAATACATAGGTCCTTTAATAATTAAAAATTCGCATACAAAATTTCAGGTATATAACTTAACTGTCAATTATGGTGGTCCAATCAAATAGACTATGTCTCAAAAAACTTAATAGTTCATATTTTGCTATACTAAAATTGTATTTTTATATAAATACCTCTTGTCTCTTAAATGTATACTGACTTTGAAAATAATTTAATTGGTAATCAAATTTTAAACACCCTGTATGCGATAAATCAATTATCAATACGGATTTCAAAAGTATTACGCTATTTTATTTAAACGGTCCAATGTTAAAAATGGGGGTAAATCTGTACAAAAAAAAGATATCAGTTGAAAATCAGTCGGAAACCCAATGAAACGCATTATAAAATTCCAAAAACAAAGTTCAGATTTTCAAAGTTTTAAGTTTTGTCCTAAACCCAAAAACCTCTAACGAACGGCTGCGGCAAGAAATCTGGTACACATAAAAATAAACAAAACTTTTAAACATATGACATTAATTCCTACTCGCAAGAGACAAAAATAACTACTCTACTCTACTCCGGCAGTGAGTGCCAACTAGCTTGCTATATATTATTGATTTTATTGGAGTTCTAACACTTTGTGTTTGGTATTCTCGTTTGGTGGACGTAAAAATAAAAAAAAAACAAATTATTATTGTTAACTTAGAACATCATAAAATTATCTAACCTAAAATTAAGTTTCGCCGATAGAAGCGATAATATTCTATCATCTCTACCTCCTACCACCTCAAACGCCATGTTGCGACTTCCGTTGTAGTACCGAACGAAGTGCCATGGCGGTTTCTGAAACATTAAACATAGGAAGAATATAACAATAACAACTGATGAAAAGAAAGTGCATGTAAAGCATACCTTTTAGTCATCAGAAGAATCGTATACTAATCTATAATCTATATTTTCTTTAAATGATCTATAATTTACTTGTAAGCGTTAAAAAAGAAAAAAAAGACACATAATTATAATGTTTTTTAAAACGGTATTCGATCATTTTATAAATAAATATTTTCATTCAGACTCATATTTTTAATTTTTACGCTATGGAACCTTTCATTATTCTATAGAAATTGTTATCCAAAAATATGATTTTTTTGTGTGTATTTTGTAGCAGCATAGTCTTCTAGGCATAGAATCAACTAACGTATTGAGATTAAAAAAGCTAAAAACTCTAAATGAATAATAATAGTAAAGTTCTAGATCCGTGGGATTGGAGTCCTCAACCCCGACGTGGCGCCTCCCAATGGCTGGTAGGGTAAATATGCAGGACAGATGTGAATAAAGTTAGCCAAATAAATATCTGCGGATCAACTGAGGACATAACATTGCTGCCTTGCAGTTAGGTGGTGCACACCAAAGGCTAAAGGAAGACAATATTTAGCGAAAATCACCTGGTCCTCCGGGTTGGGGGTTGGAGCGTCAGGCTAGTTCCATAAAAATTGTATCATTACTAAACGAAAACGGAATACTCAAGGAATAAACGGAAAATACAACTAAATTGTCTGGGATATCGAAAAATAAACATATATGTTATGGAGTTCACAGAAATTAAACGAAAGTGTAATGGGGTTGAATCTCAGGGAAGCTACATTCAGTGGCGTTCCTATGCACGAAAAAGCGCAAAGAGGAGTATCGTTTATGATAAATAAAAAACAGGAAAACAATATAAAAGACTGGAAAACGGTAATATCATTAGGGTGAATATGACCATCATGCAGAAAAATATTACGGTACTGAGAATATACGCTTTGTTGGATGATGCGCCTTGAGCAAGATGCATTTTTTGAAAAGGAAAACGAGGAAATCGTAAATACGTGAAATAACGGGGAAATATTCCTACTTCGTGACTTTAACGGCAGAATTGGGAAAAGACCAGATTTTGGTACCTTTTGGGGAAGAATCTTATAATAACGGTAAGAGATTAATTGACATCTACCAAAATAACGACTTTAAAATAACGAACGGATTCATCAAACATAAATCAATATACCTGGGAACAAACAACCCGTAATCTTAAATCCATCATGGACTACCTCATAGTTATACAAAAAACAAAGGCAAAGGCAGGGCGTCAGGCTCTTTAGGGTAATTTTAGATGAATCAGTTGCACCATCTCCTTAATGCAAAAATAATTACAAGTACACACAGTAGATCCAGACAACGTCACACAAGACACAATAGAGCAAATAGAATATCGGAAATACAAAAATTAGAGAATGCAAAAGAGAAAACGACGGAGGAAATATGTAATCAGTTGAAAAAATGTGTCCACGAAGCAGCAGTACTGAACCGCAGAAAAAGAAGAGTACTAAACTATGGTGGAACAAAGCCGTAGGAAAGTTAGTAGAAAATAAAAAGAAGCTGTACAAGAAATGGTTTAACAACAAAGACCCAAGACGGCCGCGACAGGTATTTAGAACCACAAAAAACAGCCAGGAGAGTTACATCGGCGAAAAAAGGACATTCTGGGCAAAAAATATAAATAAATTGATTCCAATATAGAAGTCGAAAAGCTACCGAGAAAGTAAGTCCTCTAGTCGAAATTATACCAATGTAAGACTTGGTAGACCATTATAAAAACGTGTTAATAGAGGACAGGAAGGAATATACGGATCAATATACTCATTATAGAGGAGAAGGAATATTGGAAATTACTGAACTTTTTAGCATGTGTATTAGCGGGCATTACCCACAAAAAATATAAGAGACAAGACTGCGCCAACTATAGAGGCATATTTGTAACGAGCACGTTTAGTAGATTCTATGGAAGAGTTATTAGAGACCAGAAAGCAAGTAATTGAGAAATATCTCGGCACTAATAGGGAAATTCACCCAATGTTCATTGATCTTCAAAAGGAGCATGATAACGTACCAATTAACAGGTCAATATCTGTAGCACCAATCAACATCAAGGATTAAGAACGGGAAAAAAGTATCGAGAATCCCACGTTGTTTACAATATATGTAGCAGATGCTTTATGCTCTTAGAAAAGGAAATGTAAGGCTATGGAAATAGAACTAAGAATACACACTTCGCTTCGCGGATGGTCAAGTATTAATAGGCAACGATAAGGACGACATATCATATATGACTGGAAAACTGCAGTCCGAGTACCAGAAATTGAGACTAGTTCTAAACACAGATAAAACCAAATACCTACCGATAGGCGCGGAACCATCTGATTATAGAACTAGAAGATAACAGTGTTATAAGCTCTTGTCAAGAATATAAATACTTGTTTGTTAAGAATATCTCGATCAGAAAGGAAAACAAACAAAGAAGTAAGTGAAATAATGGGGATACACTAACCTCTGACAGATGAAAACTAAATCAAACAAATCATTTGGTATAGACACGTCAAACGTATGGACAACACAAGACTTCCAAAGACCGCTATGAAAAGACCCAAGAAGATCTGTACAGAAGGAGTCAGTAAGGCACTGAGCAATAGAGAGGCAATGGGAAGATGAGAGAAAAAAAGAGCGCATCGGGCAACGTCGCAGGACGTTATAAAATCGATTTTATATATAAAGCTCTAGCTTACCTCAAGCATTAGTAATATAAAAATCATTAAGAACTTCCATATATTTTCTACCAAGTACGATTAAAAAATTGTTACGTGTGTGTGAGACAAGTTTTGATGAAAATACCGTACATGTAGGACCGGAACTTTGAGCGTCTTTCCGTGAAAATCCTTATAGATCGATTTTCTTTGGGGTATTGTGGGGTGATGGAAGAGTCCCTTTTCTTTAGTCCACCAGTTAATCATATCCAAAGTGTGTTCTTTATGGGAGTTTGCTTGATTATAATATATTCTGTATCTGAAAGTAAATGAAAAAATAGTTCCAGATAATCGTATCCAACCACATTTACATAGCAAAAAAATCCGACAAGTTTTTGGTACAAGTTTCGGTTAACCTTTGAAGAAGCCAACGGGATAGGCAAAACGATTCATCAATAAGCGACGAAGGAGGAATCCAGAAGTTTCTTTAAAAAATGAATTCGAAGTAATTTTAATTTAAACAAGGTGCTTAGTAGATGTTGTTTGATAACAAAGTCAATTTGAACTGATTCGGTTTGTGGACTTGTCAGCTCTCCCTGAGATGTAACGTTATGCTGAAATACTCTTACGTGTGCGGCCGCGGATTTGTTATTACAAAAATCCTCATTGCGTAGTGAATATTATTTAAAAACTCTCTTTCGATAAGAGAATTATTTCCCCAATAAAACAAGTAGTTTAGGTTTCTCCGTATGAAGTTCCTTTCGTAAATCTGGAAGTAAAGCAGCCCCGTTCCAAACGTCGTGATGTTTAAAAAAAAGTTTAAAGTGACGTCATGTCTACGCGATTTAAATCCTTAACATAGTACAAAATGAAAGTAGCCATAATTATCATTTTAAACACTAAGACACAACTAAAGTTTCCAGGGTTAAAATATAAGTTGCCGTACTGGACAGCGTGCCGCCGATCGACCGTTGCACACTTTCCCGTTGTGACGTAATTCGTAGTGGAATGTCCTGGCAGTATATTAAACGAGGGACTGTTTTTTTGTTGTCGATTAGGTCAGGTAATACTATTTTAATTGCTTTTGTCTCTACCTTTCCAGGGAAGGCCCAGTATCCCACTTTCTAGAAAAACAGTATTTGGATTTATAGGCACTCATAGATATGCTAATGTAACGTTAGAACAAAGTCACAGTAGAATAAGAATCTGCAGTTTACATTTCAAATGAAAGACGAAATTGCCTTCAGAAATTTGCAATTGCTTCTCTGAAATTAAGTGCCAGGTTCACTTCCGATAGTGACATTCTCCTAGGAAATTAACAAACAGCCGTATTTATTTATCGAGTGGTACATTTATGTAATAAATATCTGTGTTTTTCAGAAGAAAATAAAAATATATTATATTATGCATTCAAACTGAAATTAACACTGCAATCGTTGGTTGCTAGTCAGAATCTTCAAATCAAATAGGTATTTAAATTTGAATAGCTATAGTTGTTCATTTGTGTATGGCTCCGTTCATTCACTTCCAAGATTAATATTGACAATGTCAAAATTATAGGCTAAAGATTGTCAAAAAAAAACTAAAATTTCATAATGTACTTGCGAACTGAAATGCGCTTTCTTTTAGGGACACCCATTATATCAATTACGATTTTAACTGGTACCTCATATGACGGAAGTTTGTCAATAAATTTATATAAAAATAATATAAAAGAAATATTATTATAAAAACAAAATATTAATTTAAATACGGCTAAATGTAATCATGCTCCACTACAAAGCTTAATAAATCCTTTGAAAAAGAACAGAAAAATGTTTGAAAGGTTTGAGAATAGAAATTTTCTATTCTTAACACTAAATCCCAGGGGGTCTTTAAAATTTTATAATCAATAGTGTTCCTATACAAAATAAAAAAATACTAATTTAATGGAATAAATATTTGAAACACTCTCTTATATACTTTATATAAAAGTTCTGGATTCCTCCTGCGTGGGTTTTTGTTGACTCGAACTTGCTAACGTTTCGCCAACAGGATGCTGTTGTTTGAGGGGGTGGAGCTAAATGAGGGGCATAAACACCGGATCGAAGATGTTGAGAGATTTTTGGACAAGTGGTAAATCTGGTATTGACGTAATATTTCTTTAGAACTTTTGATATGTGGTCAGTGATGTTTTGAATATAAGGAAAGGCAACATTGACAAGTGTGGGATTGCTGTCGGCTTCATTGCTATTGGAAGGTTGTGGTGAAGTGTATTTTGTGATGGAACGCTTAATATCTTTAATGTGGAAATTATTAGAGAGAAGAGCAGAGGTAAGGTTTTTGAATTCTGGGTTCAGTGACTTGGACTGAGATAGTTCTACGGCTCTGTAAACAAGAGAGTTGATAACCGATGATTTTTCCGTCCATCAAAGACAAAATTCCATTTGAGATGCCAGGAGTTTACAGTATTCCATGTATATGGGGCAAAGAATACATTGGAGAGATCTGACCTAAAATATCAATTAGGCTCAAAGAACATCAAACAGCCTTAAGACAAATAAACTCATCACCAGTTACGAAACACAATCACGAAAGCGAACATAAAATTTTAGTCGAGAAAACTAAAATTCTTCAATGTGATCAATTCTTCTACCAGCGAAAAATCCCAGAGTCTATAGAAATCTATAAGCAACCTAACAATCTTAAACGCGACTCTTTACCTGTCATCAATATGGGAATCAGTCATCCGAGGCGGTGTTTATGCCCCTCATTTAGCTCATAAGCAGGTACAGAGTAAAATGCGAGTCAGTTTCAGTCAAGCACTGGCGAAGCCAACGACATGATTGGCGAAACGTTAGCAAGTTCGAGTCAACAAAAACCGACGCAGGAGGAATGCAGAAGTTTTATAAAAAGTATTTCAGTAGTCTGTGGAAGTTTTTTTGTAAAATTGATAAGAATATAATTTTTTTGATTATCAGATACCTCAAGCCTTGTTCTTTTTTAATGGTTATTAAACTTTGCGGTAGAACATGATTACGTTAAGTCTTATGAAAATATATTTAGATATTCTATATTTTTGTCCAAGTAGCTATACTCGTATATTTGTTTAAAAATTTTCATTTTAAACTATGTGAAAATAAAAATAACTTTATTAAGTGCGTCATATTATTTATGACGCGTATATAGATATACTACACACGGAACAGATATACAATCAGAGATTCCTCGCAATAGCATAAAATAACGAACGACTGAACGTAGTCGGTAAGCGGCAGCGGCCCGCTAAAATCTTAACACATTAAAGACACATCAAGTCCAACAACAAGAGTGCGGCAACTTATATTTTAATTCTGTAAATTTTGACACCGCTAAGACCATTACGAGAACACTCACGCCTTAAGAAACAGAGCGTAGAAGTTTGGAACGCTCAAGTCAATATTCCCCATGCAATATCCAATCCGTTACATTGGTAATAAAAGGTGTTGTTGATGACGTCACTTTAAACTTATCGTAAATATGCTATAGTACCTCAATTAGTATATATTCGTAAAATGTATGCCGTCCGAGGAACAGGGTGTGGCCGTCCAAGTGATTTTCAATTTTGGAATACATGAATTCGTAGTACTAAAAATCAGATTTAAAGGATATGTGATTTACTAAATTACTTCTAACCTTCTCGTGGATATCGTATAACGTCATATTAAAAAATATGGTGGTAATTGAAGTCCCTTCTAATTTTTTTAAAAGGAGCTGTAGAAAATCTGCATCTATAATAATATTTAAAATACTTATTAATATAACAATAATAATTAAATTCATTGTCAAATTAACATCCAAAACAAAAAATCGTTTTTTGTGGTTACTGTTTTTCGTTTCTTAATGCGAAAGAATAATATAATATTAATTTGCTAGGACAGGATAAATAGCAAGTTCAGATTTTCACGAAATTATATATATTTACATGACAATTGTTTCGACAACACCGTGTCTTTACCAAATCAATCACATCTGATAAAGACACGGTGTTGTCGAAACAATTGTCACAACAAACAATCTGAACTTTTATTATAAATTATAAAATTATAAGATGAAGTAAATAAAAACCTACATAGAAGTGCGTATTCGCACAATACAACTTCATTTGTTAATTTTAGTCATCAACATAGTCATGAACTGTAGTCGTGGGCGTCCAGAGGTGACTCTAGCATGTTGTTAGTTTCTTCTATTTTAATCACATGTAAGATGCTTTTATTCCAGTTTTCATAATCCATTGTTTTATTCCCTTGGATGAACATTCCTCATTTTAAAAGTGCTACAAACCCTTTTACTTGCGTGCATATCAATTCTATGTGGTTTAGTTAATAGTGATATGACGGAAGGCGAATTGTCGTTATATTCCTTTCAAATTTTCAATCTTCAGCGGCTTATTTTTAAGCATATTTAAAGTCGGCCATTTTTTTCCACCCAATTCAGAAACGCTAGGTATTTTTTAGGAACGAATTTTGACAACGACTGCGTATGGAATACAGTTCACACCACTAAGTAGTACAGTTCAATGATGATTTATAACTCTATCGCATTACGAAACAGAGGACAGGACAGGACATCCAAAATTTAGTTGGGTCACCAACTCAGGGCAGTCAACTAACGAGCCTTATAGTTTATGTAAACACTGAAATGCAATTTGTCTCCTACATTTAATAGTGAGAGAACGTTAAACATTTCTAATAGATCACTCTGTGGCAACGTCCTAGCTGGATGGAAACCATTTACATAAAAGTGAAAAAATTTTTGAAACTTCCTTTATGTTTGCAATTTGAGTGATGTACTTGTGTTGAATATATTTTCTAGAATCAATTTTCTACAACCGTTCGTTTTCCTAATACCGTACCTCGATGCCACATTCACTATTTTATTCTTAGCTATATTGACTTGTCGGTTGATTTTCCCCATGAGGTGCTGCAAACGTTAAAATTTTTGTCTCAGATATAACCAGCAATTTTTAAAATTTCGTCAAGTAATAAACTTCTTTCATGAACTTGCTTGCTTGTTATCCAGTGTTGCCTTTGACATATAGTATATAATGATAAATAAATTAATTTGTTCCTTCAATCTTTTAATTGAGCTAACCAAATCCACCAAAACTAACTAAACCAAATTATGCAAGATTTGTGTGGTGCCCTGTGAATTTGTGTCATGCATTTTCATAAACGTTCGTACCTGTTCGATCGTCGTAACAAATGGTAAGCTCGGAAGTGAAAAATCCTTGCACTATGTCAACCACTGCGGATATGACTTCTTCTCCGAACTCTAAAAATTTAAAACTTATTACTCGAATTGAAAATTTGTCTTCTAAAATGTTATCCACTCTCGAATAGTTGTATTTTTGGTAGATATATTCAGTATCAATCCCTGCACAATGAATGCAATTCACAAAAGACATGTACACGGTGAAGATAATCTGCATTTAATTCTACCTTTAAGATGGTGAGTCCTATTTTCTTTTTCTACAAGAAGAATTACGTTGTTTGTTAGAAAATGTAGCCCTGCTTACTAGAAGGAACATCTACTACATGCATGATCGTGTCCCTTTGGATCATTCCATCTAAATTACACAAGCACATCGATGACCTAAGAAATCCAGGGAATAATTTTACGATTTTGTGGATTTTTCGGAGCAATCTATTGGATTATTGACAGTTAATGGACAGTTATTCATGATTTTTTAGGTAGTCTACTTGTTTTTGTGATTCAAATAATATATTGGCATTAAGCTTTAGGCTATGAGCTGAAGATATATCGAACAGAAAATTTAGAGGAATTGAAAAGAATCGCCAGCTTAATTATAAACAGATACGCGTTTCAAAACGGAATGAAAATCAACTCAATCTTAAACGTCGATATTATATAAAGATCTTCAAGTTAGGTTGGTCCTATTTACCTTGAGTGGTAACAATTCCATAAAACATAAAAAGTAACGCGATTCTTATCATACTGCAGGAATTCGCTACTAATAACTCCTGGCTACTGCCTAATGCAGGTTTATTTGTATATTATCGCGTGCCTCAAACACGTCAAGTTGTCTTTCTAACATTTTCCTTTAATAAATGTTAGTGGGTTGATGGCGACGGAGATCGGTATGATAATTGCTAATACATATTTAATAAAGACCAGTGGATTCATATTGCTTTATAATAGTCTTCAGTGTGGTTGATAGCCGAATTAAGGAGAATTCCTCGTACACCGATCTCAGCAAAGCGTTTGATGATGTTAATCACAATATTCTTGTGTCGAAACTTTTTAGAGTCGGGATGAATGGTGAGATTCTTCTACGGCTTTGTTCGTATGTATTTGGGAGAAATCAGAGGATCATCGTTTGTAATTAGTATCTACATCTATCTGCAGGAGTACCTAACTAAAATTTGCCGATTTTTGTAAAATATATAAAGTTTTTCTAAATTTAAAAAAGTGTAACGCTATTTCGTTCAACGAAAATTCGAACGTTTTGAATTTTAATTACTCAGCTGATTTCAAGGGCAAGAAAAGTTGGGAAAATATTTGACAGTAAATTAACATTTAGTTCTCATATCGATTATCTCTCTAAAATATGCTCTCGAATGCTAGAGTTCGTGACCAGAAACTGTAAGAATTTTATTTAGATCGGCGAGAGTTATAAATGCAGTTTATTTTCGATTTACTTTCAGTCTCCATCATTACGCATCTATAATTTGGAATCCCTTAAAGCAAATCTATAATTAAGCTTGAACCCATGCAGAGAAAATTTCTAATGTTTTTAAATTAATTAAATGAATAACATATATAATAATCTTAGTCATTACAGGTTCTCGAAAGAAATTTTGTATGACAACTCTAGAAACCCTTACGGTTAAATTGGATTTGATATTTATCTTTCAAGTAATTAAAAACATATATGATTCTTTTGATTTACTTTCTTTGAGTCCCTTTCACGTTTCATTAAGCAATGTTGCCTTCACTTACTTTCCTGTCTTACTAACTTGGGTAAAAATTATCCTATTTGCAGGATTATTTCCAATAAAAAATAAAAATAAAAATTTTAATACCTCTCTTCTGTCACTTAAAAATTATCTCGATTTAAATTGGGGAGATTAATGAACGGTGATTTGTTCTCCCGGATTTTATAATACAGGGCATGAAAATTTAATAAACAATTAATTAAGAAAGACGCGACAATATTTAAAGGGGTGATTCATCAGATCATTTTATGAAAATAGTTGCCTTAAATACAGGTCCAGAAATGCATTGCTAATTCAATTCAATTTGTTTGACGTGTGGTAGCGTGATTTCTAGTGACCTGGGGCTGATTTGACCCTAACTTTATAAAAATTTATTGATAAAAATGTACCCCACTGACTTTAATATAATTTAGGTACTTCCATAAGATAGAGCGACTAAAACTACTACTTTTTTGTATCTTGAACTTTTCTGACTTAATTTACAAGGTAAAAAATAAAACTATTTTTTTTAAACTTGTTATGCTCCGCTTCTTGATACGAAAGGGTGATGAAATGCAAAATTTTGCAATGACTGGGATCATGAAAACGGTTATATCGTAAAGTTTAGATGAATTGCAATGATAGTTTTTTAAATTTCCTTATTTCAGTTTTTAAGACCTGCACACCCCAAATCGTTCCTAAACTGGAGTCATATTAATTTTCATTCAAAGAAAGATGAATTTGGTGAATGAGAGTAAATTATACATGATTATAATTATAGAGCTGGGCAGATAAGTGAGATATTAAATAGTTAAATAGGGAGTAAATTATATAAGTAGAAGAACGAATACGAAAAATAATAAAGTGTAATAAATATTACTATAAAACCTAGTGTTCACAATACAACTTCATTTGTAAATTTTAATCATCTAGTTCCGAGTAATAATAACTATAGTCATTGAAGTTGAGAGAAACAGGGATTGGCTCGACAGCGTTTTCTAGCACGTTATCAGCTTCCCACATTCTTGTTTTAATTCAATAACATGGTCGACGCACCCCATTTTTCATAATCCACCATTTGCTTAAAAGTGGTGCTATGCTTTGCCTTTTTACTTATGCCCGTACCAGTGGACCATCCTTTTGGGAAAGTTTGCCTCGAGCTTTTTAAATTTCTATCGTGTCATGTATATCTTTCATCTAACCAAGCTTCGTCCAGATAATAGATATTCATATTTTCCCTATTTTAAGAACGAACTTTACCAAAAGTATCTCTCTCGCATTAGGAAACAGAATATAGAATAACAGATTTACCCACAGTGCGACGTTGCCGAGAGTTCGGGATAAATAAAATTTAAAATCGACGTACGCGCCACACCGTGACGTGTGCACGCGATCCGAAAGATAAGGAGGATTTTAATCCGCAATTACAAATATCGTCTCTGTAGTGGGAGATTTTCCTCTACACAAATTACATTAATAACAAAATCGCGTAATTGTTTAGTAGCCACACGGTTCGCGAGGTCGAAGCACGTCCGACGAAATCAGCGGCGGGTTCGCGCGGGTAATATCGGAATTCACGGTCGAACGGGATCACGGAACCGAAATTCGGTGATCGCACGTAATTAGAGGGAGACGTTTTGGACGAATCTTCTGGCGCGATATACCGGGTGTCGCAAAAATTCGATGCACTCGCCCGAATACAGATACCGTTATGGTTTACCGACCGTGACTACGCTTTGTTCTGAAAAAAATTGACGCATTCGATTTTTGGGTTAGTGATTCACGGTGAATAACAGGTTAGATTAGTGGCAAACAAAATGTTCTGAAAAACTGGTTATTTATAGTGCTTTCGCAAATAAATAGTTTGGCACGTTAAATAAGAACACAAATCTGTTGAGATTTTCACGAGATTATGTTTATTTGCAGCTGCTTCGAAAAGACCGTGTCTTTATCAAATGTATCCATTTAACTCTATCTGCAGTATATCCACGACCGACAAGTAGACAAGAGGGCAAATGGACTAAAATGGGAAAAATAGGGAAAAAACATTCTTTATCAAAGTTTTTGCTTGCTTTGCCTGGCAATTGTTTTTTGTTAATGTTAAATACTAATGTGACAAACTTATTAAGGGTGCACAAAATCGCCAATGCAATAGTAGGTAATAATGATTTTATTCAATGAAAAAAACTTTGCATATTGTATGATGCATGTTAAAATATAAAAAAATATAAATGCACATAATTTTATATTTTAAAAACTTCCCCTAAATACTCTACGCATTCTTCTTCTACTGCTTGTACTGTTCTCTGCTTCAAAACTGTTTTGTCATTTGTCGAGGCTCCTGGGCGGTCAGAATGCTATACTGAATGGATGATTCTTGTCTGATCATATGTACAAATAAAAATGTCTGTTGCATGTATTATTCCAGGTGAATTATTTAAATCTGCTTCATCATAGCCTTCAATAATTTGAATTTTCTGCTTTTTGATGCCACTTGCAATATTTCTAAATTGTCCTGAAAATTGTGTTTTTCATATTAAAATGGGTAGCGTAATTAGATACTAAACTTTTATTTTTGTATGCTCTCGTATATTCGTTGATACGTTTTCAAAGAAACCGCTTGTCCAATAAAAATGACAGGATTTGCACTTTAACCCATAGACTCCTAATTTTTAATTTTTTTTTATTTATTTTTTTTTTAATTTTTCAATTGTGTTGTCAGTTTTAAGTGTAATCTTTAGATCACACTTCGGTAGATGCTATGATACTTTCTTACTAGGTTCTGCTCTATATGTAACTGTGCACTTGATTTACAGTAAATGGACTTCAGGGCTATTTGATACTGTTCAAACAGTACTACCGAGAAATTAAGATTATATTTTAAACACCCAAGAAACGGACACATTCCTCTCTAATTATCTTTTCATATAATCATTTTAGCCCAATCCGTATTGTTGATAATGTAAACTTGTGACCGCAGGTAGCACCACTTTTTATGGCAGTGATTGGGCTATTTATCTGTGAAAGCACTATAAATTACCTATAGGACATATTTATGTCCCAAAGATATATTTAATAAAAAAATACTATTGGGATAAGTGTTTAATGTAAAATCTATACATTTTCCTGTTAATGGTTCATGTATGTATGAAAACTTAATATTTGTTACCCAAAAACCAAGGTGTCCCAGTAATGGTAACGACGTATGATTTTAGGGAGACGGATGTTCCTAAAAGTTTGAAAAAAAAATTATGAAGTAAATAGGCCAAGGCAAGATGCTGAAAATTGTTTTGGCGTTTTTAAAATGCTTACCAGGTGGCGTAATTATCTGTAATTTAAAAAAAAATGGTTATATTGATACTATATTAAAGCTGAAAAAAGTGCAAATATTTTTTATTTAATGCTGTTTGCTTTATTTCGTCAAGGAAAGCAGTAGGAAGTATTGGAATTGTTTTTTAAATAAATGTCAATCGTGCTATGAGTACGTTATTGCGATTGCAATTGCTTACTTTGCCACCAGGCGGAGTTTTCTGTCATAATCGCAAAAAAGAAAACATCTGGAGATAGTATATTATACAATAAGTGCGGTAAATGGCATTTAACTCACGAGCTTGTTTACCGAACCGTTAGTTTTTGGTTACATTTTCATGACATGACTGTCAGAATTGACAAACGTCAAAATTCAAAGCGTGGGAAATATCTCCGAAAATCCGTGCGGTAAAATCCCGGGAATGTCCGAAGTGGCTCGCATTCGTGGGAAACGAAACTGACGTGGTAAAGTGACGCTTCCCGCACACTAGATCGGAGTTGTCATTAGATAATCAAATAAGGGCATAACCGCTTAGCAAAAACGGCATCATATTATCTTATTATCTTTATATTATGACAAGGCAAGGATCACAATCGCGTCACTCCTAGCACCGTTGATATCCTGGGAAAAGTCTATTTTAACGACTGCAAGATTATTAAAATGAGTTAAGCCTTTTTGGAAATATGAACATTTATATAAAAAAAATATTCGAACAACTTCACCATTTTCCTTCCAGAAATAGAGCAAACAGCATTTAATAAAAAATATTTGAATTTGTCTCACATTTAAGATTGTACTCATTGTAGCTATGCCGAGTTTTGATTAAATTATTCCAGCATTTTGGTTTGGCCGATTTCTTTAATATATATTTTTTTAAATTTTAGGGTCATCCGTTTTCCTAATATCGCACCTCGTTTGCCTTACTGGGACACCCAGAATATTTGATAAAACGCTTATTTGAAAAAATAGTTTAAAACGTAAGTGTCGTTTACCGATCTCGTAAGAGTAATTATCTAATTATTGCCATGATCGCAGCTTTGCAGAATATTTGGGGTTTACTTCTACAGAGCTTAATTGAAACTGGTTTGCATAGGGGGCGAAACTAAAGGAAGGACATGACCATTGTCTTAGGTATTGGCGAAAGGTAAAGTCCTGAATTGCGGTTAAGATTGTTTCTTTCGTTAAAGGTTTCCATTGTTTTTCGGATTTCTCTATTTTTCTGTGGTAAAAGAATTGATTCCACGCAAGGATTTTAGTTTGGTCGAATAGGATTTGATGTACGACTTCATGATGTTCGGCCGCTTCTGATGAGTTTATTTGTGGCAGTGTTACGGCTCATTCATGTTCTTTTAGCATAGTTGATATTTTTCGCCTTGTCTCTCCAATGCATTCTTTGCTGCGTATGTCTCAAGCTGTCTCAAACGGAATTTTGAGTTTGATGAATCGAAGAGTTTTGGACAAGTGGTAAATCTGGTCTAAATTTTATATTTCTTAATATATGTTATCTTCTGCCTAGAATCATATTCACCAAGGTAAAAAATAATCGAAACACTGTGGTAAATGTATCATCGCACCAACTCTCTAACACTGAAAAATTACAACCATTAAAATTAAAATTGTTGAGCCTATCTTAAACAAAATCTTACTTAAACAGCTAATGAAATTCGACTTGAAATCACAACAATCCTTAAGAACCCCAAACCTCTTAAATCTAATATTCCAAAGCCTGAACGCATAGCACTAAAATCTTTAAAATATAATCCCGACATAGAAAATTTAAAAACAGATAAAAGATCATGAACACAACTGACTACCAAACAAACAAAATACTTTTCGCCATAAGAAAATGAGCGTGAAAGCACCCCCACACTTGGTACCGTGGCAATAGTCACATATCAAAAGTTCTTAAAAAATTTACTACCAAAAGAAAATCCCAGAAACCATCGAAATCTCTAAACAACCAAACAGTGTTAAGCGAGTCTTTAAGCGGTGAGGGAATCAGTCATCCGAGACAATGTTCCTTTTTTAGCTGCGCCTGCATCAAAGAATATATAAGCTGGCACAGAGGAGGGTGCAAACTAGTTTCAGTCAAACTCTCAAGAAGTCAACAGAATGATTGAGGGTTTCTTTGATAACTAACTAAACAAAAGTCGATAGGTCAGTTTTTAGGAACCAGGTACGGTATTCATTTTTACGTATTCTTTACATCAGGGACGAAAAATCGTTTAGAAAAACTTTAACTCAACAATGAATAGTACGGCCGTCCAAATTTCAAGCCCCTCCATTATCAAGTTCAACGCGTCAAAAGACGAAACTCAGAAAGCGAGTGCTAAAAATGAACGAGCTCAGCATTCGATAAAACCTGATCAACATCGGGCGGTACCCAAGCGTGTGATAAAATCGGACGTCGCTACGGTACCAGAAGAAAACCATTGCGATGACGACACCGACGAAGACGAGCCTCTGGAAATGAAACAGATCAGTCCCCAGGATGATTCCCGGACCTCTAAACCTTCCGAATACGTCAGCAGGAATCCCGCTGTAAGACCGACCGACTTGGGAGCGTCGTCTCCGCTGGGATCGGTCAGGAAACTCGTCAGGTCGAGGCAGGATCTCGTTCCGCTTTCTCTGGCTAGCAACGGCGGCACTTTAGCTTCGAGCTTGAGCAGTCCGAATTTTAAAAGGGAACACAGTATGAGATCCCTAAAGAACTATCATCATTTAATGAGCGATATACAGGGCGGACATCCTTCCAGCTTCGATTCGGGGTACAGTCAATCGAAGCCCTTGTCCGACGTCGGATCGGTCAGATCGTGGGCCTCGGTGGGGATGGGGTCGACGGATGGGAAAAAGATGATCGTCCGACGGGTTCCCACGTCACCCGTCGAGCTATTTAACATCGTCAATCCTCCAACGTGAGTAGAAAGCTTATGGTGCCGGTTTTTTGTAGCTTTTTTATCCCCCGAAAGTACGTGCGGTGTGTACTGTATGAAGGTAGGCAAATAATAAGGCAATTTAAAGTATATTTCAGAAAGACGTAGATCGATAAAATCTCATTAGGCATCCAAAGGAGCTACAGAGTGACCCAACTAATTATTATTATTATTATAAAGAATACTGATAGAAAGAATATCTAGAGATAGTGAACCGAAATGCCGTCCACACGACGTTTAAGTATAGACATGTTCGGCGCACAAACACCGTCTTCGGGTAAACTATTCCAACGGTCGAATGTCTTGTCATTTATAAAATGAAGGCGATGTGATGTCTTGAATTGTTCTTTTCTTACCTTAAATGAATAACCACGTGCTTATCAATGCTTGAGACTACCAAAAACTCATCAGATAGAAATTGGTTGTGCCCAAACCTATACATTTAGATAAGATTCTCCCGCAGCCGACATTGATTTAATTTTGGTCAACGCGTAACGGCTCGTTGCACCATCATAGAACATCGCAATAGCGCAACGGCCATATTCTCAGACGGGGAAAACAAATTCCAGAATGGGGCGAATGGAATTGATATAAAGTCGGCAAGCGAGGCAAAGATGGGTCTTTTAAAAGTACTGTTTTAATAAAAATTAAGCGAAATTCGCTTTCTTGGCAGTGTTTGATAAATGTAGAGATGTCGCAAGATCATTAGTTACTGTAACACCAAGGTCCAGTTGAGTGCAAAACGAGATTGTTCACACCACTTGAAAATAGTATTTAAGTATTTCAGCAATGATAAAAAACATTGCATTTTGGGAAAAAATGGAAAAAACACTTTACCAGTTTGTTATGTCAAAGTATTTCGAATTTACCAAATAAAACGCTAATTTATTATTTAGGATGCGAAATGGTATTTGAAATTAACATAAAATTTTGTTTTTTTCTGTTACTTTTTTTACAATACCTTTAGTTCGCACAAGATTCTGCAGTAGCTAACACTACTACTTTTTGATATCTTGATCTTGACAGGCATCAAATAACGACATGAAAGGTGCGTAGCGTTTGGTTAGATTATATAGCTGCTAGATATATAGCCGCCCTGCCTATGCCGATAATACAGGAACTTGTGAAGCAACTATGAAAATAAATTTTGAGAATGTCAATTCAACAAGCGCATGCGCCAGATTTAAAATCTCGTTTTTGACCAATCATCTTGCAGCATTCAATATCCAACATGGCCGGTGACAGATCGTCAATTTGCAATAGGCAATTTTACGACACTATTTTCTCAAAATATGCCTAGATCTCATTAAAACGTTCTGGCGAAACAAATTAAGTATGTAGAAATCGCTGTTTAGAAAGAAAACAGCGCAAAGTACAATGGGTGAAGTATAGAGGCATTCGCGGAATATTGCCTTCTCTACGGAAATATCAATTGGCGTGCGCACATTAATTTTTACCGTAATAGGGCCACTTTATTATCTAATAGCTTTATGAGCCAGATAACCGAATTTGTTTTCATTACGATGTTGATAATTAGAAATAAATCATTTGAATCAAATGGATGTTTCATTAATTTTATAAATGGTTTTTTTCTACATTTTAATACTTAAAAACGTGAATAATTAATAAAATTACGCCAACAACTAATTTTGTATAAAAAAATATGTAGTAATACTATAATACAAAAATAAAAATAATAATAATAGCATGTTAAAATGTATAAATCTCAGCCAAGGGGTAATTTATTAATTTTCAGAGGTGTTGTATAGAAAGTAATAAAGATAAAAATAGTAACACTTAACATTTATTTTAAATATAATATTAAAAAATGGAAATTTTTCCCAAAATCTATTTTTTTTATGTGAGGATAAAGATGTTTTAATTGGCTTGTTAGAACCTTATTTAGCTATCTAACGACAAAAAGTCATACCATTTATCATTCTTCGCAATCGCGTCACTCATAGCATCTTGGAGTAGCTTTATTATTTGAGACGCCTTTGAACCATTCAAGGCCACCAAGTTTTTTTTTATTTTTCAACTCAATCATAGAGCTGCATTATTAATGTGCTGTATTGTGTGAAACCCAAAACACAAATCTGCCCTCCAGAAGGTTCAAAAATCGCAAAGTACGCAAAACCTTTAACCGTAAAAGCGAGAAACAATAACAAGAATCGTGACAATAGCCTGTTTAGAATATAAATAAATATAATAAAGTAAACATAAACTTTTATATCCTTTTTTTTAAACGCTATGTTTCGGCTATAAGACACTATCTTCAGGTTACAATAACAAAGGTTTGTTGGTTGAGTTAAGCCACTGGTTAATTTTATTTTATATTGCTTAAATCAATCTGGCAAGGCACCCTCAAGAGTATATTTAAAATCCTTGTTCTTCGAAAACGGTCATCCTAGCTATAGCAATCAAGTGTACCCTTTTTTATTGCAGAATACAACTTTGCCGATTTTATAAGAAAAATCTGATTCGGCAATTCAAAATTACCAAAGCGCTAAAATGTCAAAATTTCCTCTTAACTAGTTTCGGAAATATTAATCACATATTTTCAGGTTCCTTCCTTTTAGGGTCTTTGGCTTCGTCCATATTTTTATATAGCAAATTGGGGGTTATTTTGGAAGTAGAATATGCTGCTATACTTTAGATCACTAATTTCGTGATACACTGTATATGTTTATTTGATGAAGAAAACCAAGGAAATCTCATATACCTTTAGGAATTTTACGGTCAGGAATAGGATATAGTTTCAAAGTTACCTTCGCAAACACGGGCTTGTGGAGCCCGGAAATCCGCAGTTAAATAAATAAGTTAATCCGAGATAAATTTGCCTTGGCGGGCAAGCAGACTCGCAATAAAAACTTTTAGCAATAAACATATTTGAGAAAGCGAATCGTCTAAGCAAGTAAAAAACGTACTTTTACCGAACTCATGACGAGATAAAATCTGCATTAGTGATACCGCGAATTTATTGCAGACAAGGTTAATTGTTACTCCAATAATTTTATCTGGTCGTAAAATTTCAATCCTCAAACATTTCCAGTGCGTTAGTTTCACCTTATTATAAGAGATATCGACAATGTGCCCGATATTGACTGTTTTTAAATGGAGGTGCCACGCAAAAAAAAACTTTTTTTAAAAATCATAAAATGAACACAAAAGTATTAATAATAGGTTCCCAAAAAGAGAGTAACTTTAGTGAGTCACTTATGGGGAGAAAAAATACAGAAAAGAGATTATAGGTTCAAATTCTTTAAAAAGACTCTCATGACATCGTCTCGCAGGCAGCTAAACATTTTTAATTTTTCAAAGAAACTTCCTGAACCCACTGTAATACTATTTACAAATCTTCTGGATTCATCCTGCGTCGTTCGTTGCCAATCGTCCTGTTTGTTTTGCATTCTACTCTGTACCTGCTGCTGAGGGAAGCTGAAGTGAAGAAGGAGGAAGGATATGAACATTGTCTCTGATGACTGATTCCTATATTTCTAAATGGTAAAAACTTGAGTCGCGGTGAGAATTGAATTGTTTGATTGTTTATTGATTTATTTGGATCCTCGGAGTTTTCTATGGTAGACGATTACATGCAAGAATTTCAGTTTGGTCGAGTAAGATTTTGTGTTCGGTTTCTTGATTATATTCGGCCACTACTGATGAGTTTATTTATAGTAGTCTTAAGGTTCTTTCATCATCTTTTAGCCTAGTTGATATTTTATTAATTATATATATATATATATATATATATATATATATATATATATATATATATATATATATATATATATATATATATATAATTATATTAATTATTATTAAAAAAAAAGAAATAACCTTAACTCAAGTGAAACCATTAAACTCTGACAACTTCAACTACCAAATATTGTAGTAACCGAGACTAAAAAATCAGTTCTTGCAAGGATTATTCCCACGTAAAGACGAAACCATTGCAAATGTCGAGTCTATCCTAAACAAAATGTTTATGTCCTTTTTGCCTAGTTAATATTTTTCGTTCGGTCTCTCATGGTGGCTGAAACGGAATTTTGTCTTCGATGAATCGAAGATGTTGAGAGATTTTTGGACAGGTGGTAACATTATTTAAAATTATATTTCTTAAGATCTTAGATATCTGCAATCAAACCTTCTCATCCTAATTGAAAAGGCTTGTATGGAACATATTTTTCTTGTAACGCTAAAATTTCAAACCAAATCCAACTAATCCCTCCGAAATTTTCTTAACCATTTAAACTCTATACAACCCTAACCCGTTTTACCATTGAATTAAAAAATAGTAATAATCTACCATTGTTATAGATTCTTATCAATAGAAAATCCGATCTAACATTGGGTTGTTTAGTTTACGGAAAACCTACGCCTGCAGACCAATACCTTGCACTCTTTCATGTATGAAATATTCCCAAAGATTCATAAGTGCTTCCATAAGTTGTTGACATTCCAGGCAGTTTCCCAAAGACTCGTCGATTTTAAATTAAACTTTGCACTCTGTACAAAGTGCAATAAACAAAAGTCTTTATGCAACGATTGGATCCACTCAAGCCTTCGTCGCTATCAAGCTTCATGGAGACTTATAATATTTGCGTTAATTTCTATTAGAAGTTTAAATGATTTTTTATTTTGTCAAAGGTAAAAAATCAAAATATACGTATTTTTAATTCTTGTTTTATTAGCATTAATCATTAACATATGAAGTTTGAAATGAAGTTGTTTTTCAAAGACTTATGTAGAACCAATTAATGCAGGACAGTTGTTATAGACTCTAGATTTGAGATAGCCCGATAAAATATCATCACATGGGTCTAAATCTGCCATAAGGAGCGTTTCGCATGCCGGTTTCCGTGAAACAAGGTCACATTCAGAAAGCTGTTGTGCAACTACCATTTAATAGGGATGAATGTGAAGGTTATCGTGAAGAATTCGGTGACATGAACGATCTGGCAACCGCAGCACAGCTGCTCGTTTTGAAGAACAGCGCCTAGGAGATGGCGTCAGTCAAACTGCTTCGATAGTTCTAACGTTCTAACGGTCCCTGTTGCTCTTCATTTCTTGCTGAGTACATTTGCAACTTCCGTAAAAAGCCTCTACCAAGGATAAGATAGATTTTTAAGCCTCTACCAAGGATAAGATGGATTTTTTTGGCAAGAACACAAGAACAGTACAGGTTGACGTAAAGCATGCTACACCGCGACGAACTACTGGCCTCGTAAAAAGTAGATTTCTATTGGTCTCTCACTCAAATCATTTTTACTACTGTGGACAATTAGGAGCACTATCGCGCCACAAATATGTCCAGTTTCGTCTAACGAAAAAAATGAAGGTGCAACACTGCATCTTGTACTTGTTTGACTTTTCATCAATCACTGATAATCACTGAAAATTTCCTATTTCTTGTCCGTATCTGATCACTTAACCGATACAAGCCAAAATATCTCTCCATCAGGAGTCAGTCTTGTTGCAGCAAGCTATTTTTTCTTCTCTTCTCTTAAATTTAACATAACATCAACAAATAGCTTTTCTGGATTATTTGTATTATTTTTTAATTGCTTTGATCTCTTTTTTGCAACTTGCGTATCGCCTACCATTATTAGCATTATTTTTTAAATTTAAATTTCGAAAAATTTAGAAAAATATTAATTAATTAAAATTAATCGAATCATAACTTGTCAACATATTACGATACGATACTTAGACATAGAACTCTGGAATAAAATCTTGTATTTTGTATACTCGCTAATTATATTCGCCTATAAAAGTTATTTAGTTACTTACCAATTGTTGTTGTCTAACTTACCGGGTTGGTTAATAAAGTTCTATTCTGTTATCCCTGTGTAATGTGTATTATTACTTGCAAAATTTTCATGAAACAGTGCCAAATTATTAATTTTTGCGAAATAAAACGCGGCAATAAATTTAAAACGAAGATGGGGCAAATATTTAGAGATGTTGGTTTCTTACCTTCGCCGTTTCCTCAATATACTTGGATTTTTGCTCAGGTAGCTATTTCGCGACAGTAAACCGCTAAATGTGTTTTCGGTTGTTTTAGTATCAAAAAATTGAACCATGGCTTCGAAAAGCAACTGGATTGAAAGTGCAAAAAATTCTCACCAACGCAACTTGTAAGTGTAAGAAGTCTGTAGTAGTTGTAGGTATAGAGGTTCTGAAATTTATAGAAATAATATGATACATAATAAATAACATACAATCAATAAAAAAACGTTTGAGAGGCCACTGCGTTTCCTACAGCACTTCTTTGATTTTGAAATTGACTTTCGGTCCTCGAAAATAAATTTCCTGGTTTTTCTTGCTGGTGATTTACTTTTTTTTTCAAATTTCTGTTGACCTTACCTTGTTGTCCTTACTGGGACAGCCAGTATATTAATGTTATATTTCGCACACTGATTTCATCAAATTAACGGCGATTCATTCATTTCGCATCCATTCAGCATAAAAAACGTCGCTAATGTTGGTCACACACCGTTTGAGCGTGAAAATTGATAAAATTGCATAATTATAAACACACATCATTCATAAGCAAATTGGCGGAATTGCTCTACACCGGCCAATTTGTCAATCCACGAGTCAATTAAGAAATTTGCGTGCGATACGAAAAAAATCAACCGAACTACTTGTGGCACAGCCGGCCAAGGTTAGCTGGGAATTGAGGCATCCTGAGAGGAAGTGGATATTTTAGATTGCACTCCAACCGTGTGCATATGATTTACGAAGCGTACAGGGTGTCTCACAAAAGGTAGCCCGTATAGTTTGTTCAAAACCTGTAATAGTTCAAGAATTTTTAAATACAAAAGTTCTTTGTATTTAAAGGAATTTGTACAGTATTTATTTTTGGATCATATAGGGTCGGTCAAATTCTTTGGTATCGACACCAATTTTGGAATTTTAAATCGAGCACCCTCTATGTTATTGCTGTTTTCCATTTAGTAGTAAAAACTTTCACTAGACCGATCGATTCGATTTCCGCACGGTTTAGGAAATATTCAAGGTTATGTGACTTTGTTATTGAGAAATCAGCATATTAAGAGAAGTTCGCAAAATACATATTATGCTAATTAATCATATTTGCAAAAGGAATATATACACACATTATTTCGATTTTAGAATTATACCGGACCTCTCTTATCGTTGTATAAATTCCTAAATTTGTACAGTTTACATTGTTTTAAAAGAATTGGATAAAATATGGAACAAATTCATTTAAAAATCAGGTATTGGGTGTCAAGGACAATAATCGCACAGTTTCATCACGTTTTGTTTAAATAGTACGGCAAATTTCTTCCATCAAAATCTTAATGGAGTCCGATATTTACAATTTCTTGAAAATCCAAATCAGCCTGATATTCAAGATAGACAGAATTGGTTTCAACAGGATGGTGTTCCGCCTCATCTTGTTTGACAAGTGGTAGAAGGGGATCAATGGAATGGAATGCAAGATCTTCAGATATTAGTCCATAAGATTTTTTCTTCTGGATATTTTCAAAATAATAAGTGTATAAGGAAAAACTAGAACATTTGGATGATTTAAAATTTCGAATTAGATTCGAAATAAGGTAAATTAATGAAAAATATTCTGAATAATATTTTGGAAAGTTTTTAAACCGATTAACATATTGTCCACAAGTTAGTGGTGAGCATTTTCAACACGTAATAAAATAATAATAATAATAAATTTTAACTTAATTTTACTCACTGTCAATATTCTCATGGGTCTTTTTGAATTCCAAACTTCTGGATAAAAACTAAATTTATCTGAGTTAATGTAATTGTAACAATTCAAGAACTATATTCGTTCTAGCTACTTACCTGTTCATTTCAAAATTAAATTTTTAATTGTTTGTATGGGATGGGTATATGTGAAATATAGGGTGTTCTGTTTATTCTATTTAAAGTGTATTATTTACTTTATAATTTTCTGAAATAAGCTTTAGTAGAAAAAAGTAAATCAGAACCGGCTCATTTCGATAAGATTTAAGGCGCGTTAAGTCGAGTTTTAGGGCAAATATGAGATATAATTAGCATGTCTCGCTAAAACAAAGTTACGTAGCTTGACGTATATCTTTTTATAAACAATGCGTTTTAAATATTTACCTATTTCGTTAGGCGTATATTAATTAGCGGGACATTGTACAATTTGACAGCAAATAATAAAATACGTTATAATAGAGCGACACGCTAATTCACGTGAATATATGAAAATTTTCCGCTAACAATGTAGCAAATCGTTGAATCAACATCGTAATAGACATACAGGGTGATCGAGCCTCCTTAAAAATTCGGGAGCACTAAAGGGGGAGACTTTTTGGAACTTAGTTTGTTTTGGAAATGTTTGTAAAAAATCTAATACTTTGCCAGCTGATCGCTGATCTAAATTAAGTGTTCATCATTGGTAACTTTGTTATGAATAGAGATTAATTTTAATAGGGTTCGGAAAAAATGAGAACAATGTACTCTTCTTAAATTGAACACCATTTTTTTACTCTAACTTTTGTAAATCACCAACAACCCATATTAGCTTAAAATTGAAAATGACGGAATTAATTGCACAGACCAGATGGCTATGAGTATAATAACTATAATAATAACACGATTTATTTATTGTAAAAATTTTTCGTCTCTTTGTAGCAAAAGCTTTTTCATTGTGTCCAAAGATTCGATAGAGGCTCAGAAAAAATTGTTCAAAGAATCCTAGGTTCACGAGTTGGTTTCAGCTTTAACGTTTGGTACGGTATAATTGGTTCTCGCATTGGTGGTTCATATTTTACCCATGGCACGCTGACCGGTGAGCGGTACATGGCAATTATAACTGAAATTCTGAATAGTCTTGTAGATAAGCTTGACCTCTTAATTGGGCAGAGTCTCCATTTCCAACAAGATTGTGCTCCAGGCACATATCATATTTTTGACTGTCCTTATCACCAGGTCACCAGATATAATCCTACTTATGATATTATTTAAAGAACGAAATTTATAAGCAAAGATACCGTTGACGTTTCAAAGGCTGCAATAAGAAAAAAAAGAAACCAGATAGATGGTCTAACAATAGTAACGGCTATTCGCTTAATAGTAAAATGTGCTCAAAATTGTATTGAAGTACAAGGTGCTGTTTTTGAACACTTCTTAAAAAATCATTAATAGTTATTCATAAATTAATTAGGTTTTTTTTCTATTTTCTTATTGCCATGTTTCTTACGCTCAAATAAAATAATACAAGAAAAATGGAGTTAGCAACCACTCATAGCCATCTAGTCTAAAAGAGAAATGTGCTGATAATTCGGTTATCTTCAATTTTAGGCTAATATTGCATATGACTTTGTTTGTTCTGTTGGTGATTCACAAAGGTTCGAGTAAAAAATATACCGAATTTTTTCTTGAAAAAGAGTACATTTTCCACATTTTTTCCTATTCCCTACAATTGTTTTTCTGTTTTCACCATCGTAATCAGTGAAACAAATGCTCCTATTTTGCTAATTTAATTACTTAACTACTCATAACAAGGTTTTGGTCAGCCTACTATATGCCATGGAAAAAGTAGCATAAATAGATCATCAGGTATGTTACTATATGTTTCGTTTCGCCACCAGTTTCTGGTTATTTTTGTATAATGCTGTATAATGTATAAACCTATCTTTAGCGGTTTTCGAGATTTTTTTCCCTATTTTTGGTTGAAAACTTAGCTCCAATAAAACTTTTATTGCAGCAGCCGTATTTGAATTCGTAAGGAGCCTAAATTTTGGCTATAGTTTACGAACGTTCAACTTTTTATTACACAGGGGCGCTCAAGGCGTGCGATTATACAGGTGGAAATAAAAATATCGCTTTACGACCTATCCTGGAAGATAATGAATTAATGTAAAAATTGGCATATTTGCCTAAGGTGGTCATAAAATTGGCTATCAATATGGGAATCCCCGAGTCATCCGAGACCCGCCACCCTCAGACACTATATAGGATATAAACAGACAAACCAGTTTCAATTCAGTTCTGAATCACTCAACAGGATGATTGGCGAAACGTTAGCAAGTTCGATTCGATCCGAGCAATTTGTAAATATTAACAGATCGATAATTTCGTGTTTTCTGTAAGATGAAATTGGAGTCTTCTCTATAAATTGTGAATGTTAGCTTGCGTTATTCAAAACTACTATCAACCAGTCTTCAAAAACGTTCGAATGAATTCATCGCCGGTAATCTCCAGTGTGACACGACTGAAAGACCATTATTAGTCTTTTCTCTTGTCCTGAAGGCTTTTTAATACTCGTTGAATTCACCTACACCTATGGCGGACACCGAGCTTTCATTTTGATTTCATTTATTAGCATGTTACAAACATAGAAAATGTATACAATCATTGCAATAAAATAATATTGAAAATCTACAATACATACAACATAAAGCATAATACATAACACATAAAGCGCTCTGTGGGGGGCATCTGGACATACATTGAAGCTGAACGAAGATTATCACAGAAACTTATCATCGAAAGCGGGGGGTCGAAGAGGTGCAATTATCTGGCTAGATATAGTTAATCATATCTTGATAAAAGATAAACTCCTCCAAGCTGTAAATTGATAGCTTTATTAAAAAATCTTGAACCTGTTTATTGGGAGGTGTTAACGGCCATAAGTTTATTAAACAAATGGGTGCAGTAGTAATTTGGGCCTAGCCTACTCGCATTAAGACGGAAGGTTGTCCCTATTCCGAGTTTTGTAGGGATGAACTTTATTCACATGTAAAAAATCTGTTTGATTCTCGTAAGCGTAAGCTAGAAACTTAAGTATATAAGCGCTTCGCAGTTAAAGGATTTTAAGCTCCGAAAATTTTGACCTGTATTTGAGGTTTATAATTATTCTAATTGTCCTACGTTGTAGGCTGCACCGGTAGCCTGGCTCCAGTTTATTAGACCATAAAGCAGGTGGGAGCCAATTAGAGCATGATATTTTCCAAAGAAACTTCCACACGCTACTGTAATACTATTTACAAAACTTTTGGATTTCTTCTGCGTCGGTGTTTGCCGAACTTGCTAAGATTTCGCCAATCATTCTGTTGGCTTCTTCAGAGCTTAACTGAAACCGAACTGAACAGTTTCAGTTAGCAGTTAACAGGAACAGTTTCAGTTAAACTCAGTTTGCTCAACACGATGATTGGCGAAACGTTAGCAAGCTCGACCCAACAAAAACCGACGCAGGACGATTCTAGAAGTTTGGTGAATAGTAAAGCTGTCAATAATATGTTACAATCTACAGTATTAGAAAGATTTTTTGAGATTTTTTTAGCCACTTGGTCTGTGTGGCGACACCAATTTAGTTTAGTTAGCTTCAGCAAGTGTTTCAGTAAGATTCTTTTTATTTATTCAGAAAGCAGTGTCGTCCACAAACAATCGTTCCAAAGGGCTTCAGGAAGGTTGTTGATATAAATGAGAAAGAGGGTACGTCTCATTCCTGAGCACTGCACAACCCCATTTCCCACTGGTAATGTACTTGTGGATCATTGTTATAAACAACGTATTGTTCCCTCTCAGCTAGAACTGAACCAACTAGGCTTCGACTCAAGATGTGAAAATTGTAATATTTCAATTTTTTTTATAGAGTCGAGTGGTCCACGCAGGACGAAATTTCCAGTTGTATTGCTCAACGCTTTTCTGAAATACCTTATCACAGAATATGTGGCTAGATCTATTGAACTGCATTAAAACTAATGAAACCAATTTGTTTTATTTTCAGACCACCCGAAGAGTATATATATGATGACGAAAGTGGTGACGCTACAGATGACGATGAAGATAGTGTTTACATTAAACCTAGACGGCAGCACTGGTCCAATAAACTACAGTTCGTTTTAGCCTGTGTAGGATACAGTGTTGGACTAGGTTCAATATGGAGGTTTCCCTATTTGTGTTACAAAAGTGGGGGAGGTAAATTTCCGATACCGCTAATAGATAAGTAACTATCAGACTACCACAAATCCGGTTTATAAGCATGACATCGGCATAATCGGTATTTCAAACAACATGGCCTACGTGCGCTTAGGCAGAGAGTCGTCATCCAAAAAAATGAAGAAAGTTCATGTAAATATAGGTCCGGGAGTCGAATATACACGTCGGAAATTGAGTAATGTGGACAAAATATCGACCAAAAATGCAGCGCCAATAATTCGAATTCAAAAATTGGTATAATGAAATTAAATGTAGAACTTAAACATACTAAGTTTTAAAATGTTACTTCTGGCGAGACTAAGTCATAAAGCATTTGTTGCCCAACCGCTTTCTGCTGCTGAAGAATCTAACTATTTTTTGGATGGAGTGTTTACATTAAACCTCACGAACGTCAATAATGGAACATTTCTCAGAAGAACATTTTATTGTCTCTCACGCCACTATTTTTATAATGCCCTCTTGTCTAGTTTGTGATATTTGAAGCCCATTGTGGACAAAACGTGCCAAAGCTTATTTGGGCTATCTCGTTAACAAACTGTTGTTTCAGACTTGACACTTGCTCTGTGTAAATGTCGTGAACTCTCCGCTTAAGTGCTTTCCAGAAAATTTTTACGATTCATTTTTCATATTTGGCACTATTCTTTCTACAGAAGCCCTAGCATTCGGTTCTCTGTTAAGTAAAGATTTCTAAACTGTTTTGATATAATGCGTGGCCTAGAGAGATAAATGTTTTTTGAAACACTGTATGAAGCAGTAGAAATGTCTTCCCACTGACGAAATATAAGATGATTCTTAATGCAAAAGAGTAATCTTTTATTTTCTTATGTTTTCAGATAATTCTTTCAGCCCTCCATTTCTGGTATACACCAATAGATTAAAGCACTATATGAAATTTTTCCTAGTCATAAAATTGGATTTGGTGGTTGCTGTGTATATTCTTTGTCCCTTTGTCTTGATTAATTTTAAATCTATGCTAAAACTGTAAGATGTAAGATGTATGTAGATGTTAAGTTAATTTCAAAATGTAGATAATCATCCATTACACTAGTACATCAAAGCCGGAAAAGTCTGATTTCCTAATGCCCCAGACTTTTTACTAACATCCTCAGCAATCGCTTTCAATTACAAATAATGTGTACCTTTTTCTTTGTTTCAGCTGTTTTTTTAATACCTTACGCCATTATAATGATATTTATTGGCGGACCTATGTTGTACATGGAATTAGCAGTAGGTCAATTTACAGGAAGGGGTCCGATAGGAGCGCTGGGACATTTGTGTCCATTATTTAAGGGTAATATTTGGTATAAAGATGACAAAATATTTTATCGCTGGCAAATGTCAACACAAATAGCAAAAATAGCAACGCGAAAGTAAAAAATGTGACAAGTTGGAAGTGCGAAAAAATGTTTTGTTATCTGCATAAATCTTCATATCTAAAACTTCTCTTTATTTAGGCTTAATTATTTGAAACTTCCAAATTGCAAGCGCTTATATGATAAGAAGAAGAAGATAACACCCAGCCCAAATAAGAATTCATATAAAAATAGCACCTGAAAAGTTTTGGGTACTTTTTATTTTTTTTTGAAATAATCAAAATCAATTTTTTATTTTAAATAGAACACGCTGTGTATTATGGCATTTTTGGATTCGCCGAGAATTTCTAGATATACTTCATACCTAGGTCTAACCTTTCTCGACCAATCTTGAATTTCATATCAAAAATGCCGTTTGCAGGCTCTAAAATAATTAACTTTAACCTTAATTATTTAATTTTGTTGTGAAAGAGAGTCTATTTTCATATATTGAGGTGATATTTTGAAGGTGCATGACCCTCATCTTCAGCGATACAAACAGTATATATCATTTTAATTTTCTAACATTCATTCAACAATTGTAGTAAACAATTTCACAATTATTAGATAGATTTTCGGCTTGATAGGTTTATCGGGCCACGAATTTCTCTAAAAAATTTATATCACTATCATTTTTTTCTTCCACTTTTTCTCTTATTGTTCTATCATTTTTAACCAGAAAACAAGTTAAATGTATAACAGTAGTTTATATCTATCAGATATTAAATGATTTTTTGAAAGAAATAAATTAAATCGTATAACACAGGAATGGCGGAAAAGAAATTTGATCGACGTTGCCAGCTTTCGAAATAATGAGGTTGCAATGTATTTCAAAATATGCATAAAAAAAATATCCAGGGTGTTTCAAAACAAATGCGAAAAATTGAAGTAGCTGATGCTTTGTTTCAAATAAAGAGTAATTTGTTATATAAACGTTCTATGTATTGTCGTTTTTGTGACAATAAATAAAAACATTATTTTTAGGCCACATTTTGTAGCCTAATAGCTGACTTTTGAACCAAAGTTTATATTAAGTGTTTGTTTTGTTTTTAAACACCCTGTATAACATTCATTAAAAAATTTAATCATTTTAGTTCAAATGAAATTTTATTGTATATTCCTTTCTCATTTCCCAATTTGTTGCAAACATATTAACATTGAAGAAATCTATCCGATATGGCATTTTCTAAATGTGATTTTTGGAGATTTTTTTTTTTAATTTCAGAATAATCCGTTTCATTTTCGGTTATTAATTACTATTTGAAAGGTGCTCGGATGGTGTAAAAATATTACCGATATTCTTGTGTCTGTGTGTGTTTGAAATAAATATACTCGAATGGAAAATTAAATAAGAAATTCGAATAATATAAACATATTTCAATTTTGATTTCAGGCGCCGGTTTGGGCAGTGTTGTGATTTCCTTCCTTATTTCCACGTACTATAGCGTAATAATCGCTTATGGGGTGTACTATTTTTTCACGTCGTTCCGGTCGAAGGAACCGTGGGACGATTGTTCTCATATCTGGAATACTCCGTACTGTTGGGTACCATCGAAATCGACCCAAAATATCACGAAACCGATGTACAGCCATTCGCCAGCAGAAGAATTTTACGAGTAAGCCACTTAGCATACGTATGCGTCCGAACTAACAATTTTCGCAGCTTAAGGTTTCATATAAGGCGACGGATATTTATAAGGGGTTGATAAGAAATTTTCGGATTTATAAGAGTTTTTGTAGTTTTATGAGAAAATTATTATTGTTGTAAGTTTTTTAAGACCTAAAATAAGTACCCAACCGTTTTCAGTTTTATAATATTTCCGTTACTTTATCTATAAAACCTTTGGTGTTGTTTACTTCAGGTTTTTTTAATAATGTTTCATGGAATTCTTAAAATTTTTATTATAAAATTTTTGTTCTTGAAGATTTATAGCTTACTCCGTAGAACCATTATAAATCTTACATACTACCTATTCTACAGCTAGCTACTATGAAAGCTAAAGAATGTTATACAACTTGTAGCTTAGTAACAAAGTTTTTCGTGTAACAGGAGACCGCTATGATGTCCAATAATTGTTTTCTAAGCAATTTTTAATATAGTGACAGCTTTTATAGAAAGTGTGCTAAAAATTTCACTGCTGTTTCAAGACATAATTTTTTGAAAAGCTCTGTGTTTACTTCGAAGCCAGTGTTTATGCTTCGCCAAATTGTTCGCAAGCTAACTATCAGGTCTTCAGCAGGAGGTATTATTTTTGCAGAAATATCCGAATGAACAAAAAAAGGTCTAGCCATATTGCTGGCAAATCCAGCAAATACATTAATTTTGTACTTGCCCTACTTTTTGCTAGTTTTTCACCACATCGCTAATATAAATCGTCTGAAGAAAGTAGTGACTAACGTACCCTAACAAAAACCGCCATTTTGAAAAAAATCTCCGAGAATTTCTGGGGTTTTGTTTTCTGAAAAATTTAAATATTGTTGAAAAGAAGGAAAAAATAAATACAAAACAATTGCCGAAGAAAAATGCCGATTTTTCAAGCGAAACTGCAAATTATCGCAGGATTTTTTAATCAAATCACTCTTGGAAATAATCGAATAAAAGTATTAATATTTTTTGGAACCTGAAAAACGCGTAACAACTTTTTCTCTACCCCGAAAAGTGAAAATCATTTTTTTTAAATTGTAAAGTAAAATTACCTGTTTCGACACTACTGTACCATATATAGATATAGATTTTTACCACTAGGCACCATTCTTCCAATATTTTTATAAGAAACTAAGCCAGAATAAATTATTACAATAAAATAACGGCATTTTCAAGAAATGCCAACTTTGAACTCACATATTTCTGAAAATGATCACAATAAATCTGTAACTAGGGTAGGGTATAATAGCCAAGTAAATATATAAATAAGGGCTAATGGAGTTAGCCTGAAATCCTTGCTATTTCTGATTTTTGGAGGGGATGTCTGCGAAATTAACCTCTGGTGACCCGATTGAATTCCAAAAATATATATTTCAAAGTAAAAGGGATTATGAAAAATTTCCTATTTTGCTTCTGAAACCGTTCAATCCGGAAGTTTAAAAAAAAAGTTATAGAGCGTGCCCACTTTCTTGTGTTACCCAGTATATTTGTGGACAAATAAAAACTTTCTTATTTTAATATAATAACGTATTTGGTTGTGAATCATATTTGAAGGGGTGAAATGTTCGTCAACGAATTAACCTAATCTTCTTAACTCTAATTATTTTTATTTACAATTTTACCTCTAATTTAAAACTAATCTTTCCGTAAACCTGCCACAAGCTTAATAATACTGGTACGTCATAATTTTCGTGACACATTTGGGAATTTGGTTTGCAAACAAATGTAATTAAAACGAGATTGATGTCAAGGGCTTCTCGACGTCGCTTTGTTTGTTTATATTATGTTAGCAACTTGTTCAATGTTAACCAAATGAACTACTATCTACAAATCTGTAAATAGTGCCTGGTTTGATTAGGTTTTGGCTAAAGCACAATAAAATGAACCTTTTCAAATTAGTAAATTAATTTTAGTAAATAGCTAGTAATTAATAACATGTAATAGTTTTAAATTATGGTGCCTAAACAAGTTGTTAAAAAACACTTTCATTGTTGATTATGTTTTAAAAAACTCGTGAGTTTTCAGAATATGTTTTGACGCTCTTAAACTGTTTATTTTATTGTGATACAACAAGCTTTTTAAATGGTCTTTAACTGTGCCCTTTGAAAATTAAACTAACCAAACATTTTTTACAAAAGTTTTGGATTCCTTCTGCGTCGGTTTTTGCTGACGTTTCGCCAATCATCCTGTTGACTTCTTCAGAGCTTGACTAAAACAGTTTTAGTCAAGCTCTGAAGAAGCCAACAGGATGATTGGCGAAAGATCGGCAATTTCGGCTCAGCAAAAACCGACGCAGGAGGAATCCAGAAGTTTTGTAAAAAGTATTACAGTAGCCTGTGGAAGTTTCTTTGAAAAAAAAATAACCTAACCAAAACTTTAAACAAAAAAGATTAAGGACGTTTTCATAGGATTTTAGGCTTTTAAAACCTATTGGCATTAAGGCTCTAAAAATACATCAATAAATATTGTGCTACAGTTAATCCCAAAATGAGAAATAAAATTGTAGAAGAAAAGTAGAATCTGCCCTTAAATTTGTTGCTCAACATTTCGATATATTTTTTTAAGGACCTAATAAAAGAACCAAGAAATATTTTAGAAAGTAAGTGTTTTAAATTCCTCAAACATAGATTATAATGTGTATCCAGTTCTTTTATACACCATATACCAGGTGCCCAAAAAATATAGTTACTGTGGAATATATGTATAATTACACAATTGGTCAAACAAACAAATAATGTAGAATATAGAATAAAAAACCATTTAATAGCAACAAATCTAACCCCCAAGCAACCCACTGGTGGCGAAGCGGAAGCAATATTGAATGAAAATTCCCGTTTTTTATTACAGATTTAACAGACGTTTTCTTTTGATTTCTCGACACATGACGTTGTATTCGCAAAAAAAAGCATTTATCCTATTTGTAAAGAAATACGTGGATCAATGTTTAGTGTTATGATAAAACTAGTAACTAGTAAATCAAGTTATATCGATTTTTTGCAAATCAGTACAACTAACCAAAACTGAAAAAAAAATCTTTTTCCCATAAAATTTTTCAATTTTTACAAAAATTATGTTATTTTTTAATATATATCAGTTTGAACAGGTAGAGGACAATTTTAAAAAACTTTTGCAAAAATTCATTAATGAAAAATGTAGTAAAACAGAAGTACAGGAAAAAAAGAAACTGTAATAAATGAGCCATCAGATAGATAATACACTTATGGATTTAAATAAATTGTGGAAAACTTTCAAGGTAATGAATTTTCATTCCGAAAAACTCAAAATAAAAAATCCCATTTGATAGAGAGATAAAAATTAGAAAAGCACGAGGTAAGTTTTCATGGAAGAATGTTCCTCTGGAATAAGAGCACGCCATATGATTCCTCCTAGGTCTGTTATACTGTTATAAATAATGCCAACTATCACACAAGAAAAGCCGAAAAAGTATCCACGTCTTCTTAGGAACAAATGACATTCATGACGTTATTTTAAATAAGAAGCAATGTACGAGAGATATGCCGAAAAAAGGGCTACTGCAGATTTTAAAATTGAATAAACCTTTTTGTACGACATTTCTTGTCAACGAAATTGGAATATGACGGTACTTCGCCTTTTGCCATCCCACTGTCAAAAATTTGAAAAAAAAAACTATAGTTCATCTGACTACTCAGAATATGATTATTAAAATTTACAAATGAAGTTGTACGGTAAATAATAAATTTTTTAAAAGTAATAACATTTATTATTCTTTCTTCTATATAGTTTTTATTTACTTGACCTTGGAATATTTAATATAGTAACGCGTTTGTCACATTACTACAACGACTATTACAAATTAGTGTGACCCTAACATAGGAACGATTGAATATTACTATTGACAAATCGTCTGGATTCCTCTAGCGTCTATTATTGATCAATACAACTTGGCTTAACTGAAACTGTAGTTCCAGTTGAGCTCTGAAAAAGCTAATTTGATGAATAGTGAAACCTTAGCAAGTTATATTGATCAAAAATCGACGCAGGAGAAATCCATAAGATTTGTAAATAGTGTGTGAAAGTTCCTTTCAAAAAATAAAATGTTAGTATAAAAAAAAACTTTCCATAATAAAAGTTACAAGGTTTTTTAGAAATGCACATTTTCCAAAAAAACTCTGAAACGGTATCTGGATATCCAAGTGCGGTTTTTACCATTAAGGATTTTATGAAAATTGAGCTCCAGGAACCGACATTACTGTTTATCTGGAGTTTTTTGTCATTTTTTGTCAATCTTAAAGTCATTTCAGGATAAACCGGCCCACCCTGTGCGTATCCTTGCTGTTGTTGCGTCAAACGTCCGGCTATCTTCTAACTGACTAACCAATACTATTTTCATTTCAGTCGTAAAGTCCTTCAGATCGGCAGAGGCATAGAAGATTTCGGGATCATCCGATGGGAGCTGATCACGTGTCTGATCTGCGCGTGGATTCTGATCTATTTCGGCATTTGGAAAAGTATAAAGTCGTCGGCAAAAGTCCGGTATTTCACGGCCACCTTCCCCTTCATCATCATTATCGTGTTATTGATAAAATCGCTCACGCTAGATGGAGCCGACAAAGGCATGAGATACTTTTTCAAACCCAAATTCGAATTGTTGTTGGATGCTAAGGTTAGTACATTTTTAAATAACATAATATTATTTTATTTCGACGCGTTAAGTTTGCTTCTATAATTATGCCACAGCTATTAGGTTATACTCTACTTCGTCATCCACCGTGTCGAGGTCGAAATCAACTATTTGTTGAATTTTCTTTCTTCGTGTTGTGAATTCAGGGTTTCCAATTCTTGCAATTGTTGTTCTTTGTTTTTTTATTTGTTTTTCCTCCCGTCTTAGTTGTCTCTCTTCTTCACCTTATCTGGTTTATTCATGCTGCGTGCATTCCTCGTCATAGTAGGGAGTCCATATCTCCTGTTATTTTTCTGTACTTATGGACTTCGTTAGCCACTTCCTCTATGGCACTACATTTACGCTGGTATTCGTCTGCATTTTCATTGGTTTTATATTTTCCTGCAGTTTCTCTTCTAGAGCTTGTTCAACATTTCTCTCGGTGTACTTTTAACCTGTAGTAGTATCTAACATATCACATCACTAAAGTGCCTTGGATCTTTTGCTACATGGTCGATTTGGTTGATCATATTTTTATTTGGGGCCACCCATGATCCCTTGTGTATATTTTTCCGATCACAACATGTACTGCTTATTACGATGCTCAACGCGGTAGCTAGATGTATGAATCTGTCACCATTATTATTAGATCTACCATGTAGACTACGAGTGCCGATGGTTGGTCTCTTTTTCTATCTTTGCGTCAAGTCGCTCAGAATAGTATATTATGCAACAAGTGCGGCATTTGACTCATAAGTTTGTTTGGCACGAGCGGAGCGAGTGTTTAATAAACGAGCGACTTAAAAAGTTTACCATACTTTTTCTACGACCGTTAGTTTTTGGGTACTTGCGGTAATATCTCCGAAAACATCCGATTGCTCCCAAACCCTTGCAGTAATATCCCGGAAATATTCGAAGTGACTCACATCCGAAGCGAAACTGGGGGAGTAAAATGACACTTTCTTAACGCTAGGTCGGTGTATAATTAGGAATTTTACAGAAGGGAGTAGAAAAATATCTTTATATCATTTCTTGGGCATGTTTTTGTGATTCTTTGTTGAGCCTCATAAAACTGGTCTTTTTCGTCCTCAAGCTTCTCTTCGGTGTTCAGTGGGAGCATGGACATTGATTATTGAGTATATTAAGAATTTACAAAGTATTTTGCGTAGACGTCTTTTGAATGCTACGAAGTCTATGACACGGACTTTACTGCTATAAATTCGGTTCTTAGCCTGTGTTACAAATGATACTACTAGAACATGGAGGGAGGGTTTGCCAGATCGCCAGATCGTCTTTGGTAGACTGCCAGCTTTTAACAGGGGTTTAAATGTGGTTTAAAATTAAGCATTCCTGATTACCCCCGAGGCTGCATATTGCTTTAACCCCAAATAAAAAAATAACCGTCTAACATATTCAATTCAAATATAATTCACGGAAAATTGCCAGTAGTTACAGTCCCATCAGATTTAATATCTTTGCTTTTGCCCACAACACGGCGATATCTAAATGTGCGCTTGGAGCTGTTTCCAAGTATCGTCCGCCACCTTTTAGAGGATTATAAATGTATGTCAAACACCAAATGTACTTCAATTGTATCTAAGCTCTCTTGCGAAATAAAATTATTTTTATAAGCAACATTTCAAGTTTCGATATCAAAATTCGGTTAAAAAATAACAGCAATTTTTATCTGATAAAAATACGTATTGCATCTATTGTAAGCGTCCTTTTTTACATATTTGATAGTCACTTTAACTGTAAATATTTATGACATTTATGCTAAGAGATAATTATTGCTAATAGAGAATTTATTTACAGGTATGGGTTAATGCCGCCAGTCAGACGTTCAACTCCATGGGCTGTGCGTTCGGTTCGATGATTTCATTTGCCAGTTATAATAAATACGACAACAATATAATGTACGATACCATAGCAGTTTGGCTAGTAAACGCGATAACGAGCCTTCTGGTTGGAATATTTGCTTTCGCAACGATTGGCAACATTGCACTCGAACAAGGCACTTCTATAGAAGACGTTATCGATGATGGTAGGTAACAACGCAACGCGCAATAGATTTTATCAGTGACTACATCCGAAGAAGACATACAGAAGACACGGTGTGCTGAATAAACTGATATGATCGTCATGACGTCTTCACAATTTTTAAGTGTACGTTTGTCACATACCTTAGTGTCACAATAGACATGTTGGTTCAAGTTACTTCGTCGACTCTACAGCATCTTCAAAACCCAATAGAGTTGAGTACAATATGGTGTTATAAAAAAGCAGTCTGTTAAGCACATTTAGTAACCTGTGTTTTTATTGTACCTAAGATTTTTTAAGCATTACTTGCACGTATTATAAATAATAAGAATAATTACCAAATTCGATAGAAGCACGCAAAATAATTCTTAACATACAAAAGTATCGCTGATATAAAAAATAACGCCAAGGCCTAATAACAAAGCCGATGAATACGCTATGAGGAATCTCAATGAAATGTAATAGAAATTCTGTTTTTTAAAGTCAAAAATTATCTTTGACAATATTTTCATATAATCTCATGCGGCGTATATAAGGAGAGTTAGAAAAGTTACTAGTTGTGAAAGCTGAGACACTGAAAATTGATCTGTTCCGAAGGATATGAGAGCTAGCATTAATAAGAATGTAGTTCACACAAAACTCCGAATCGATAAAATTATTTTTCTGTTCCCGTCTGTAAAATGCCTAATTACACACCGATCTAGCGTGCGGGAAGCGTCACTTTACCACGTCAGTTCCCACGGATCCGAGCCACTTCGGACATTTCCGGGATTTTACAGCACGGGTTTGGGAGTAATCGGATGTTTTCGGAGATATTTCCCACGCCTTAAATTTTAACGTTTGTCAATTCTGACGGTCATGTCAGTGAATGTATTCGTGTTGTTTTGCGAAAATGTACCCAAAAACTGTCGTAGAAAAAGTATAGTAAACTTTTTAAGCCACTCGTTTATTAAACACCAGATCCGCTCGTGATCAAATGCCGTTTACCGCACTTGTTGCATAATATACTATTACCATCTAATAAATAAAGAAAATGTTAAAACACTGCCTTCCGGTTTCAGTGATTGTAAGCGATAATAGTGAAAATTCTCATTATAACAGTGATAGTATCTTGGTCTACTGAAAGAAAAAGGGCAATAATAAATTTTACTTGGACACTCTTGGTTCGAACCACGTAATTGTGGACTCAGAACTGTTGACGAATACTCCAGAATTCTTCTTACCATACCGCAATAAAATATAATTAAGGAAGCTGGGTGCCTAAAGCCTTTAGTAGTTACATATTTTTTAAACCATCAACGCATACTCGGATTAAAAAACAAAGCAAAAGTTCAGATTCAGATTTCTTACACCCACAAAAGCTTTCATTCCAAATTTAGTAATAATAAATAATAATAATAAAGTCAATTTCTACAATCTACGGTTATTCTATGACCACCATTACGGATCGCCCTGGAATTTTTTTATCTTTCTTCGACGAGCTAATAAGGTACTTCTTGTTGATATTATTTAAAGTGAAACAAATCGATTTATCTATATTTCTGTCTTACAGGTCCCGGGTTGATTTTCGTGGTCTATCCCCAGACGATGGCAAAAATGCCTTCTTCGCAACTCTGGGCAGTGTTTTTCTTCTTCATGTTGATCTGCCTCGCCTTGAACAGTCAAGTAATAACGAATTTCGTAAAAGTGATCCTGTTAGATTACCATCTGATTCAGATTTTTGTAGTTCGCGATCGTCGAAGTTGTGCTGACGTCGATTCAAGATGGTTTTCCGGCGTGGATTAAACGAAACTTGATGTGCCACGAAGTGCTTGCGCTCATCATATGCTTCATTTCGTTCTTGTGCGGGATTCCGAATGTCACGCAAGTAAGTGTCTTGATTTGGATCATCGAAGACGCATTGTTATTCAGGTTCTTTAAAAAAAAAGCGAAAAACTTAAGGGGCTAGTTTCCTGTCTAAAGCCAACCACATAATGTTTTTTTTATTAATCCATTATTTATTATTTATTTAAGTATTTATTTTAGGTATTACTATTATAAAGACACACTTTTTCTATTTTTTTTTAATTTTTAAAAATGGATGGTGTTTATTATTTTATTACTTATTATTTATTTAGGTATTTATTTTAAGTATTGCCATTATAAAAACACACTTTCTTGAATTGAATTAAATCATGCCCATCATTCTTCTGAAGTAAAATTAAGGAAAAACTTACGGACTGTTTATGCTTTATTTAGAAACTTTTTAGTCTCCTGTCAAAAAACTTACAATCAAGATATCTAAGAAAAAACAAAAACTCCATTTATATAATATGTGTTGAAAATGCGATATAATACATGCATTTATCCTATGCATCATTGATTTCCCAATATGTTGAATTTTTTCTTATGACATTACAATACGCAATTATCCGATTTCTTAGATCTTCGACATCCTGTATTGTAGTGATGTATACTTCAGATACAATAAAAAAGATTTAATCCTGGGGACCGAGACGGCCAATGATAAAGCGCACCTTTTCCCATCCAGCAGTTATCAAACATTCGATTTACAAACTGTCGTACGTTTAGGCTGAAATATGCCGTGGCAGCATCATGCTTATAATACATGTTTGTTGTAATTAATTATACATTTTCTATCATAGGACGTAATTAATCTTGAATAAAACTAAAATACGCCTTACCATTTAATGAGTTAAAGGAAGAAAATGTGGATGAATTAAATGATTATGGATAATTCCTAACCAAACCTTAGCGATAAACTGATATTGATCCGAAAAGAGAATTTTTGAATGTAAAAAAGGATCATGGGTATTCATTCGGAGAAACCATTAGGAAAAAATCTTAATATCATGGTAACAGAACTTGAACCCTTGGTGCATGCTATGGATATAACTGTTGTTTTCCTGGTAATTTTGAATCATATTTAGCACAACAACTTCTAATCCAGGTGTTCGAACTTCACGGTATCCGTCGCCATCAAAACTCCTTTTTTCCAAACTTCTTGATTCATGTGGCATGGTAAATAAGATCTGATGAGGCCTGCGATTAGGATACGCTCGAGTATAAAGACGACAAGCTTCCAAGGAACTTCCGTTTCTACGCCTCTATATATAAAATGTCTATCAGCTATTTCTGTATTAGTGACTCTTATTATTGAACAATCAAAGGAATAGATAACAAATTTTTGATTAAATTAGTCGTATTTTGTACTCAAATTAACTGAGCAGTAATAAGAAATGCCTTACAAAGCGGCAGCCGTCTAAATTTTTTGTATCCAATAAACTATTTTCTCACTTTATCCATTGCTTTCGATTTTATTTTTTATTTTAAAGTGGTAAGTCTTAGAAAAGTATGACTTAGAATATGCTGTTATAGCGTGACCCACTATTTTTAAAATGTATTGGCCTGGTTTCTTTACGTAGCTGATCGTTAGTAGTTTTTGAGGTTAGGAAAAACTTCATTTCCTTTCATTTATTTACAGCTGCATAAAAAGGCTTGTTAGGTATTAATGTCTCCCTCATTTTCAGGGCGGTATATATTTTTTCCAATTGATAGATCATTACGCGGCCTCGATATCCATCATGTATCTGGCGTTCTTCGAATGCGTAGCAATAACGTGGTTCTACGGCACGTTCAGGCTGTGCAGGAACGTCAAAACCATGACGGGCAGACATCCCGGCTGGTTCCTCAAGATCTGCTGGTTGGTGATAACGCCGCTAATGATTTTTGCGCTCTGGGTCTTCTTGATCATTGATTACGAACCACCGACTTACAATAATGGAAACTATCATTATCCCGGATGGGCTATAGCGATCGGATGGATCATAGCTTCGTTGTCGATATTGTGCATACCCGCATACATGATTGTGATATTTGTTAGGTCTCCCGGGTCCACGTTTTTAGTGGTAAGTTTTCGAAATCAAAATCGAATTATTGGATCGTAGATGATAGAGCTTAAAGTAATGCACGATACTGAGCGATTTAAAAGGGGAAGGGAATCTAGAAACTATACTGTGGTGACCTATTGTTGATACTTTTACGACGTATAGTCTGTCTCATTCTTCTTCGTGTTGACTTTCGAAGGACCCTCCCCAATCAAAACTTTAGCGATGTTATCACCTATTGTTATTGGGTAAAGCCATTAACAAAAAATGTATTCTTACTTGAGTGACAAGGCAGGGGTGGACCCTACAGGTATATTTGTTTATTTCTGGTATATTTCTTGAGTGTTGGCTATTTGTGGCAGTGTTGAATAATCGTTTTCACTGTGCGTTTGGAAAAAAAACAATTGTCGCTTGATGCAAAACAGGTTGTGAAAAATGTGTATGAAACTTTAATCAGTAGAGGACTTCAACAAGAAGCTTTAAAAAACCTGTCTACTTACAAATACGCATATATAGTCGATAAGGGATATTATTAATAGTGGGGAATTGAAGAAAATGAATAAACGTAGTGATTTTCAAACTCACCGTATACACAGTAGTGATCAGGACATAATAAGAAAGAAAATATAGTGCGTATCAAAGCGAAGTTGTTTCAACTTTGGATAAACTAAAAAAGAAGCTAGAAGAAGATGAAAGCAATATAAATATAACCCGTGCCATCCTTGATAAAATTGTTTGTAAAATGTTATTTAAGTTCCGCAAAATGGACAAACGGCAAGTAGTACTGGAATCACATAGATTATGCACAACAGATCTATAATTTACCTTGATGAAACCTGGTTCGATACACACGGCACTGTATCCAAAGGATGGGTTGACTCCACTCAAAACTGTTAGATAAAAGCACCTCTAAACTGCTTGCTGTTATCTGAACATTAAGGATTCTAGCTCTGATTGTCATAATGTTATAAGTGCCGAACTTTTTAAAAATTGGGATCAAAACAATCTTTTCAAAAATATTTCCAATAACAGTGTTATTATCATGGATAAGGCAAGCTACCACAGCCGTCTGCTACGCAAAGCGCCAGTCTCATCGAGTTCAAAAACTGAAATCCAGGAATATTTAGACATTAGATATTTAGAGAGAATGTTAGATTTAAACATTTAAAAATAAAATGTAATTATGTATAGATATTCCTAGCTATGATTTTATTGTATATATTTATTGTCATTGTTTTTCTTAGTGTAGTTTAATTAGATTATACCCACTTAAATAGACAAAAAAACATATTACCAAAACCTTTGAGAGTCCGTCCCAAATGTTCTGTCTTATACTACCTACGGAACCCGAGTTTTATTGCCGTCGACAGAGGTAACTTCCATAATTGCGGGCAAAAGAGAGCACGCTGAAGCTTGAGACAGACTATACCTCGCTTATCAGTGAAACTAGATTTTATGTCAAAAATCTGTAAACAAAAGGTTTACTATGTTTTCTATGTAAATTTGGACGAGGAAGCCGAATCCATGATTGAGCACGATGATGCCTGTTAAATCTCAGAGATACAACGGCATGTTGGTATGTATATGAACCACTGTAGATTTTTAGAGCTCCCTGAACAGATCTTTGTATTCTGAATTAAAAAATATAAGGTTATGGATACTTTTAAGAATTCATTTGGGATATAAAGGGGGTTTAGTTCGTTAATAGCCAAGAATCATTTAAATTGTCTCTCTCGAAACTGAATCTTTGCAATTTTGCTATTTTCAAATTTTAAAAGACGTTTTCCATGAATATTCTGGTATTCTGAATTCAAAAATATACAAGTTCCTTTGGCTTTGAATTTAAAAATTGGATTTATTATTATTATTATTATTATTACAACATACACAAGAAGCAAATTCGTTTAGAAAAATCATGTTTTGTATAATCACTTATATGGTAATAAATAACTATCGTGAAATTTTTAATTTAATAAGTCTCAGTTTAATAATAAATTATAAATAATAACAAGTTTTATCCAACAGGTGCCGCAAAAAGTTTACCAAACGTGTTGTGTACTCTACTTTTTCTACATCCATTTTTGGGTACATTTTTGCACAAATACATTTACTGACATGACCGCCAGAATTGACAAACGTTAAAATTCAAGTCGCGGGTAATATTTCAGAAAATTGCTCTCAAACCCGTGTGGTAATATTCTGTAAAAGTGCCTGGCAGCCGTGGGTAACGAAACTGACGTCGTAAAATGACACTTTCCCCACGCTAGATCGGTATCTAAATGGCTATTTTACGTTTATTACGAACTCGCTCCACTCCTGCCAGATAAACTCGTGACTTAAACGCCATTTAACAACTTGTCCCGTAATATACTATTATTGCACAAAATTTATCTACGCTTGACACCGAAATCAAATGGAACTGGGTGGAATTTTCAATTTAATTTCTCTGAAATAGGCATGGATCAATGTTTTTAATTCAATCTGATTTCGGCATGATATGTTATTAAAATTTACAACAAAAAGTCTAATTCTATCCTTTCATTAAACATTCAAATTACCTATATTACACAAACAGCACATTTGTTCATTTTGTAGTTTTGTACTGTTTAATTAGCTTTAAATCTTAATCGATCGGCAACCAGAAATCATTCCTTTGCCTTCCAGAAATTAAAAAACTCGTTGAAATCCGACCTGGACGATAAGTGCCCCAAAGGTTGCGAATCGGACTGCGACTGTGCACTGAAAGAGGAAGACTGCAACCCTATGTTGGTAATGCAAGGTCCGGCGGATCTTAGAGACGATAGAAACCTCCAAAGCACTATGTATACCGCTTTAGGGCAGACAGACATCGTTACGAATAACAGAGATAACGGAAGCGGAAATCCCAATGCCGTATCCGGCGTTTCGGATGATGTCAGTGAATACGACAACGTAAATAATCGGCCGAGTAATTACCATTCCAATCACCATTCTGGTGTTAAGTGAACTCGAGTGTCGAAACATTATTTTTCAGCACCTTGTAGGTTGCCGACGTAATGTAACCGAAGACTAGAGATTTAGGCGTTTTGTAGTTCTAAATAATAAATACAAGTTTTCGAAGACTTTGTTTAAATTAGACCATAACCTTTAACCAAACGTGACGTGTATTGAAAAATCCAAGGTGGTAATTTTGCAGCTAATGTTATTGAGTATATTATGCCAGCAGCTATTACGACAATTTTACACTAAATGCTCAATTACCTTTTATTTATTTATTTTGTTAAATATATAGTAACACAAGCGTTATTTTACTGTTTAAACATAGCTCGCTGATATTTTTTGGTAAAACTACCCTGGCATTGCTGCAGTTTTACTTATTTCTTTCAAAAACTAAACAAAATTCAAAAAGTATTTGCGGTATTTGTTTCAAAACCTTGCAAAAATATGCATGGCTATTTAGGACTAATTTTTGATAACAAATATCAACAAGGGCTATTAAGGATTTCTTTAAAAATAAAGTGTCGACGAATTCTTATTCAGGACCACTTAAAACTTAACTATACTAATTCGAAGTTCGAATACAGGGTGCTCGAAATATCGCGGGCGCCTCGCTTAAGCATTACTCCTGTAGAATGTTTGTTTATGAAAGACACTAACCACTTTCTTAAAATGAAATATGATTAGAGAGGATTATATATGAACTAAACAGACTTTACAACGGTGTATTTTTTTAATTAAAAAGGATTTTGCCATGTAGAAGCGAATATTCGACTGTCAAATTCACTAGCTAATTCATATTTTAATTTTGTTTACCTTATACCTCTTGAATAATAATGAGCTTGTTTTAAGATGATATTTAAAAAGAAATGTTCCTTAAAATGTCTTTTTTATTATTATTTTTGAAATTTCTATAATGAAAATTTGGTAAACCTTTATTTTCTTAATACATTAAAAATGTTGGTTGTTGGTATAGTTACTTTTAGGTAGGTAGGTAGTACTTTCTCGATTTTCCGCTTCAAAAAATTGTGTCAATTAGCCATGACTTTAGTCAATGCTATATGAAAAACATTTTCATTTCTCTTTAGTAAGATCTATCCAGTAAGAAATATTTATCAAAAGCTATAAACAATAAATTTCAGGGAAATTAGTATGGTTAGGTTATATGTAGTCCTGAATAAGACTATTATTCTTAAAGAAATCCTTAATAGCCATCTCGATCTTTGACATAAAAAATTAGTACCAGTCGGCCATGACTTTATGTTGATGTAAAAAGAAACATAAGGTTTTAGTGCGTTTAATAAATTAATAATAAAATAAATTATAAATAAAGATTTTATAACGATGTACAGTCTTAAGCGGGACTTAAACGATATTTCAAACACCCATTAGTACCAGTAAAATTTATGTGGGCTGTCTGAATTTTTAAAGCTTATTTGTAAGTGAAATGACTTTCTTTTTTGAAGAGTCCACCTTATCAGATTATGCTCCACTGTCGGGATGACCTTGTAAAATGTAAAACTGTATCATTTCTAGGTTAGCACCCATTGCCTTTGGAAATAATATCCCGAATTCATTTCGATCTATCATTTGCTGCTCTGTTGCCACAAAATACAGTTTGTCCCCATTTTATCATTATCTCGCAAGAATTTGTTGACTCTTCGTTAGTCGTGCCTAGGTCTGGTGGGCATATAAAATATTGGGTTGTAATTTCGACTGTTTCTGAGTCATTACTATGGTAATGGAGCAATTTAGGTCCATCAGACCCATCTGGATCACATGACGGTCTAATTCATAGCACTGTCGAATGTGATAGACTGTTCTGATTTGAACATGAAAGAAACTGATATTTTTGTCTTGCATCCTAGTTCTTCAAAACTTATGCAAGTGTGAGCGTACCACTTTTTGATAATTAAGTTTTTAGTAGTGGACTTTGGCTAATTTTTAATGAAATAATAAAATTCAAGAATGCCGCATAAAAGTTTAACCGCGGCTGAAATGCAAACAAAATTTTATATTCCGCACAGGCCCGCCGGAGAAACAGTTACATTTGAAGAACCTCGAAGACGTGTGTCAACGGGATATATCCACGCGGTCTTTCGAAAAGTATATACGGGCAATTCGAAGAGCGCAAAGTCGGGGAAGAGTTAAGGAAAGGTGGAAGAGAAAAATGAACGATCGTTTTGTGCCACTTTCGTAGCATACTTGATAAAATTAAGTGTTTTATCACTGTCATAATGAATTCGTTTGGTTTGTGTGTGATTTTAGTGATTTATTATATCAATAGTAAGTATTGATTGATATATTCCTTTAGAATCCTACTTAAACATTAAAAGTATAATCCAAGTATATGTTTCTGAGACTATTGGATAATTTGACTGCCCAGTGTAGACATTTAAGAGGTGCTTATAGGGTTGTGTTATATAAGAGTATGTACCGGGTGGGCACGTTTATTATGGAGATAAGACTTTATCTCAGAACCTATAAAAATATTTACACAAAAAGCTGTTTAGATGCACTATAAATATTAATGTAGGCACTTAGAAACAAAGCACTGTAAAAGAATAGAGATAAAAATAAGCCATTTTGTCTCCTCTTGTACATAAACCCATGTATCGAAAATTACCAAAGTAAGTAGCTTTACTAACTTCAGCGAACTGCATTCAATTTTTATTGTTCCGATTCTGTCGAAGATTCTCAAATATAACAGTCCAAATAGTAAAATTTTTAGGGGTGAATAAAATAATTACAGAAGAACGATCTGTTTTTCGTACAGACTACATCTGCGCTATTGCCTTTTTTTGATGAAACAGGCGATATTTTCAAGACTGTAGATAGTAACAGTGCTTGTCCTCTAATATTAGTTTATTTCCCAAAAAGCTTTTGATTTTGTAAATCATACAATTCTTACATCTATATTATAGTACGTTGGTTTCACACACAGCTTAACCTCAACCTTGTTCTATCATTTCTATCGGAGAGAAAACAGACGATGGTTGTTTACGGGCATGCGCCCACTGCTCTTGACGTCGTTTCTGGAGTGCCTCAGAGTAGTGTATGTTCATTTCAACCCATCTGAAACTGAGCGTGCCAGGACTGCATTAACACCGATTTATTTGATTTTCTTCGAGTTACTCAAGACCACCTTTTAAAGGTGGTCCGCCGCTGTAAAATTAAATTAAATTCATTGTAGTTTTATATTTATCGCGACATTTATTATTATTATTATTGTTATTATTATTATTGTGGTAGTATTATTATTACTAATGGATTTAAGATACATTATTATATATACCATATGAACTCGGACAAGTAACAAATTTCCCATTTTAAATAGAACACTCTGCATAATTTAAAATTTATCTCAAAAGTGTTATTTAAAGGTATAAATAAATCTATCGATTTATCGATTCCGACTGAAAATGTTTGTTATATATATGTAGTGGGAAAACTATAAAAAAGGTCTCTGAGATATTTAACATTTTATGTCAAAGATGGCATTCGCAGACCAACAATATCTGTAAATTGTGGCACACGGAAATTCTATTCATTTCCCCTATGAAAAATAGTCTATTGAACAAATTGAATTAGTAATTCAATTATTAGAAACGACGAATAGAGGAACAAAATTATAAAATTTCGTATATACGTAATTTTTGACACTGAACTCCCAATAGATATTTCTGTAGGACGACTTCTCGACCAATGAAATATAACTATTTAATCATCTGCCTCTGCGATATCATTATTCAAAACATTTTCGGTTTTCGAAAAAGTTTGTCAAAAACAGAATTGGACAACTTTATCTCTGATTATTATTCTCGTTGCAGGAGTGGTAATTTCTCAAGTTACGTTGCCCGGTCAGCCTGTGAAGGATGCCCTCTTTCTGCACAATTTCGTACCAAGCAATAATACCCTCAAAGACTGTGTTTTTCGTCCGTCGAACGATAAAGATCTGTGTCCCGATCCCGACGTAAGGTAATCAAGAATTTCAACTATATTACTCCCATATATTTAGGCCCCGTCTGTGCTGATAACGCAAAAATTATTGAAGCGGCGATGAAAAAAAATTAAGATGAGCCATTTAATATGCGCATTAGCGGTTATTTCAAATCTCGACATCGCGCTCTGGCTGGTTATTTGTCTTTAAAGAGTCTCTAAACGGCATCTTGATGATGACGTGATGACTGTGTATTTTTCAGTTAATCGAGAATATGCTTGTTTTTTAAGACACCTCACGAAACTTAAGATAGCACAACTATTATCGTTTTTCAGTACTCAGTTTTGTAATGACTTCATCATTTGAAGGTCCGAATGGAAAATCTTAAGATATTAACGAAAACTAACCAAATACTTATTTCTACAGAATAAAATGCAGAAACCCAACAGCAACAATGGACCACTGTCAAACGCTTAATTGCTTCTCAGTTCAGTTCAATAGATTTCACTTTATCATTTAAAATATGCACGGATCTCGTTAAAGGTGGTGATGAAATTTAGATTCCTAGGCGGCAGATCGATTAAATCTCGAAGCATATCAATTTTTGCCGTACAAGACCATTATATTATTACTTAATAATGGTGTCAAAAAATGCAGTAAATTTCTGGCGTTTGTCAAGATCTACACAAAAATTTTAAAATTTTCGGGTATATTTAAGGTTTGTTTTGTATACCAACGACAAGCGACAACCCGTGGACCAAGGTCAAACCGATTGGTTACGACAAAGTGTGTGGGACCCATTGAAAGAAAATATTCTTTTAATACATGGATACGCTGGTGGAGAAGATACACTTCCCATAAATGTGGTTAGAGACGGTAAGTTGAAGCAAAGTTGATTAATATGGAATACTTTTTTTTTAATCAAAAAAACTATCGAAATGTTTAAGCTTGTTTTTGCAGGCATTTTAAGTAAATCTAGGTTCATAGATTTATAACGTGGAATACCATTGTTATACATATATTTTATTTCAAAAAACAGATATATTTACATTTTACTACAATTAACTTTAAGAGTCACAAACATAAACGTCTTTATCAGGATTACTTCTTTCTAGAAGAAATTCTTCGTCGCCGGAAGATTGGTGGTTAGAAATGCATAATGAAGCTTTCTTCGTGAGGTCACTACTTCTCCCAGCCGAACTAGAGCCTGTATTGTCAAAAATATTTTCTTTTTTACTTCGATATTGTTTTTATTAGCCACTGCCTTTATACCTTTTACTGTAATATAGATTGTTCCAGGTCTGCGTTATTGAGTCGATAAGTAATTATTAATTAATGAAATTGGGTATTGGTGAAACGAGTAGTGAAGTTTCTGTTTTTCTGTTTTCATTTTCTTTTTCTTGCTCAATGACTTCATTTTCGTCTGGAATGGGATTCAGACAAATGGATAATTTATTTTCATGATATTTTTTGATTAGAATTAGGTCTTAATTATTCACATAGTGTGATCTTCAATATACAGGGTGTACTAAATTCAAAGGACTATTGGGATCTCGAACATACGAAGTCGGCAAAGCTGCGTATTTTGGTGCTTAATTCAAAAAGATTTCAAAAAGATTTTTCTATTTTTCTATATACTTTAAATCATTAATTGTAATACATGTTTTTTAGAATGACGAGTTTCTTCTCGTACTTAAAACAATGAAGTAACTTAACATTTTATAATCGCAACTTGTAAAGAAGAAAAGCTTGTAATGAGAAAATGTCATATGTTTTCTTCTTCTTTTTTTTTAGTTAGCGCCGGGAAAAAAATCGCATATTTTTGTTTTTTTTTTCGGATATCTCCAGGATTAATAGGAATTTTCTCGAATATGAAAATGAGCAATTTTGCGTTCCATTTAACCGACTTCGTAGTTCTTACGTTTTTTGCTTATCCTTTCGCAAAGGCTTCAGTGCGCTCATATCAAATTGTCAAGGCCTAAAATTTATGCCATTTCTAGCATATATGAGAAATGGAAGTTACAACATCTGGATGGTCGACTGGGGAGCGTTGGGTGAGCCGCCTTGCTACAGGGCGTCGGTGCACAATATGCGCGCGGTTGCCAGATGTACAGGAGAATTCATATCTTCGCTGAGAATAGCCGGATTACCCACAGAAAAGCTGACCTGCGTCGGACACTCGTTAGGTATGGTTTACGGTCGTTTTCTTTTCTATATTTGTTTTAATTGGGTAAATGATTCGTTTGTTTGAAGGCGCTCACGTCTGCGGTCTTATCTCTCAGTTCGTCCTGTTCAGGATGCACAGAATCGTGGCATTGGATCCGGCAAGACCGTTAATCACGAACAACGTGAGACTGACGAATGGAGCTGCAAATGCGGTTCACGTTCTACATACCAACGCCGGCCATTATGGGGAAAGCGGTAGAACGGGACACGTGGATTTCTGTATAAACGGCGGTCGAATACAGCCTTATTGCGAAGGGGCGGATAGTAAGTAATAGTATATTATGCAACAAGTGCGGTAAACGGCATTTGACTCACGAGTTTATTTGACAGGAGCGGAGCGAGTGTTTAATAAACGAGTGAGTTAAAAAGTTTACCGAACGTGTTAGTTAAGGTTTTCTAACGAAGGATCTCGTTTTTAAAAAACACTTTTTTATTTTACAAATAGAACTACGAGGTTTTCTTTAACCCGCTACAAGGAGAACTGGACGCAAAGCACAAAGTTGTTATATATATAAAGTTTTTATGCAAGCGTCGCGTCGCAGATACTGGGAATACTGAAGCTAGCATTTCATCAGCATATTCTATCACATAATTCCTCCCTCCGAAGTGGAAAACAACAGGGACGAAGGGTTGTTTTCGGAAGACTGGTCGTTCTTGGTTTTCTTGGAATCTTGCAGCAAATGGCTCTTGTAGATTTTCCATGCTATAACTATTAACAAGATTAAAATAAACATCATTCCTGTTGAAGTGGCGAGACTCCAAGTGACTGGATGAATTTCATAACCAATGTCGGGGATCGATGATTTCGCAGCTTCTCGTAGTTTTTTGATCGTATTGGGATCAATCGATTGTAGTTGGAGTGGCTGGTACTTCACATCGTGATGTTCCATATTTTCAATTTTAATGGGTGGCAGTGAGAATGGGTTTGCTTTAAAAATTTCTTCTTTATTCCAAAGCTCGGTATTTTGGGTACTTATACCACAATTATATGGAACATTGATTAGGCAGGCTTCTTCAATAAAAGCTATTTCTTTGTTTTGACAATTCATTTGTAATTTAAGTTTCTGTTCCGATGGTATTATCAAAACAAATCTACTAGTGATTGGTCGTATTATATGCGTTGAAACATTTACATTGACTACGTGGCAATTTTTGTTTTCGGCATATTTAATGAGGGTTGTCACACAATCACCGATGGGCTGGGTAAGTTGATTTTCGCAAACGTAGGTGTCTTCAATGATTGGGCAGATTGATTCTTGATATTGTTGCATGTCAGTGCCCAATATTGGGTAGGGTGAATTAGGTATAATTAAGGAGTGATTCACAGGTACTGGGAACAGGTGGAATATTTCAAAAATATCTTTAAGAAAAATCGGAATATGGACGGCAAAAATTATTTTATCTTTTGTAAATTTAACTTGTAAGTTTGCTAACTGATAATAATTATTTTGATTTTCAAAAATTAGAATTTGATTATCACCATAGAGAACAGTCAATTTAAAAATTATTTGTTCTAATTCGGCCGCCGATATTACTACAGGATGTAATGTATTTAATTTCGCAAATGTAATGGTATTTTCTAAATTATCCAAAAAAGTTATAAAACTTTGGCAATTTAGAATAATTTGCATTAGTGTATTTTGAGCTTTAATGAAAGTAGTTATGTCAGTAATAGTTTTATTTGAATTATATTCAAAAATGTCTATATATTTTTTAATAGCTTCTTGACTTTTCTGTAGAAGTGTTATAGTATCATTATAGTTGTCAATCAGCTGTTGAATCAACGAGGTTTGCTTTTTTAGTTGGATGTCCATCCTCTGAATCGAGAGTGCCAAAAAGCCATTTCGATAATTTACCTACAACATTTATTAAACCTCTTTTTGTACGGTTATTAGGTTTTATGTTACCAAGTTTAAATTTTATTTGAGTAATTAAATATCAAACATTATTAAGTAAATTATTTCCATTAATATAGTGTACATTCTGATAATTATGTTTATTTGTATAGTTTAATGATTTTGAGATTACAGCGTAAGCGTATTCTAAATTACGTAATTGATTAAAAAGTTGAGATGTTTCTACAAAATGCAAAAATGTATGTTGATGTTGAATTATTCGAGCATTTCCTAAGCGGAAGGGGAGAAGTGGTGTTTTAATTGGGATAACTTCAATATCATTATTCGCTATCACTAATAACAGCGTAGCTGCAAGAAGGAACAGGGTTGTCCGGTTCATTAACCTGCGAAGAAGAAAAAGCTTTAGGTTTTTGGATCTGAGATTTATGAATTATTTTTTTATTTTTTGTAATAATTTTATTCCCAATATCTTGATCTATAATAACAGGTTTTCTTCGGGGTTTGTCCTTACTACGTTTTGCTGTTTTGTCAGTAACGTAAATCTTTGTATTTTGTTTCATTTCAGGTGGATTTTCTCGTTTTTCGTTTTGTTTTTCATTTAAACGTATTTTTGTTTCTAACGATGTTTCGTAAATTTGTTGATAGATAGTTTTTAGTCTTTCACGTCTATCTGTGATATAATTATTTACAATGATTTCATCCGTTAAATCAAAGGGATCTAAACCGTTTACTTTTCCATTAATAACGTCAAAAGGTTTTTGTTTTGTTACGCTATGCATTGATGAATTATAACCTATAATGGCGTATTTTATTAAATTTTTAGGGGCTTCTTTAGGTTCTTTTAATTTTAGTACCCTATATAGTTCAACAAGAGTAGAGTGAAATCTCTCTATTGGACTATTACTATTAGAATTGCCGGGAGTTGTAAAATGAATTGCATTGCAATTTTATGCAATTTACAGAAATCTAAAAGCAAAGACGTTTTAAATTCCGTACCATTATCACACGTTATTTGTTGAGGTAGGCCGTGATGACTTATAAAGGTCGCTAAACCGTCTAAGATAGCAATTGCTGTGCAAGCGGGTTCTAACGGATAAGCTTGGGCGTACCGTGAAAATACGTCTATAATTGTAAGAAATTTTACGTTACATATTTGAAAAGTATCCATATGGATGGATTCTAATGGTTCAGAAGGGGTCGGTGTCAACATAAACTTTAATTTTGGTGGATGTCGATCATATTTTGTTTGTTGGCACGTGTCACAATTATTAATATATTCAGTTAGATCAGTTTTCATATTTGGCCAATAATAGAGCCTTTTTAATGCTATTAGGCTTTCATTAATTCCTCGATGACAGGTTTTTTCATGATGATATGCAATTAGGTCTTTTTGTTTTGTCCTGTCAGTGACGTCAGTTAAAAGAGTTTTCGATATTACCAACTTGTAAGCACGGTTTTTAAATGTATTTGGTAACAAAACAGATAGTTCTCGATTTAAATCTATTTCGGTGTTTTGTACATAAAGGCAGTACATTTTTGTTGGATCCAAATAATCTAAAAAGAATTTAATTATTTCATTTTGATAGTTTTGACTTAAATAAACAGAAAATCTAGATTTATTTTGGAATGGGTAACTCCTAATCACGTGATAACGACCGTTTGTTTTTTGGTTAAATATTATTTGATTAGAGTAAGTATTTAAAATATTTTCGGTAATTGGTATATTTAATATTGGATCTTCAGCTGCTGAGTGTACTGTCTTACCAGTATTAGGAATATTTGGCGGTTTAATTTGAATGTCCGAGATGATATTAATTTTTGGAGTGTTTACATTTTCTAGAGGGTTAAACACGTCTTCAATTTGTTCCAATTGTTCAAGGCTTATATTTTGATCTTCTTCATGTATGTATTTATCGATGTCTTCATTAATATCTCCAGGACTTCCAAAAAGTGACTCTTTATCTATCATATTTAGTTCAAAATTTTCTTTATGAAAGTCCGGAAAAGATAAAACTTTTAGAGGTTGTGGGAAATTTAACGTTATATTTTTCTCAGTGTAATTAAAAACTTCTGTTTGCGCAAAACCGTGTTTTGCAGTAGTAAGTGTTTCTGGAAAATAGAGACCTTCAATGACTTGCTCGGGAATAATAACATCATTGTTTTGTGTTACTGTTATTCTTACGTTAACAATTTCGTGTGCATTCACAGTAATACAATATATTTCGTTTTGTGGTTGTCTAAATAAAATTGGTATATTAGTTGTATTATTCCTTAATTGTTTATTGACAAGATCGATAGAAAAATTAAAACGTTTTAGGTCGTTTAATCCTATTATACCGTCAAAGAATTTATGAAAGTCAAAAAGAATAAAAGATAGGTTGGTATTAGATTTTAATTCTGGGAAAGCCGGAATATCTGCTTTAAATAGAGTTTCCTTTTCACCAGTTCCTGTTTTAATAATAGTTGGGGAATGATATATTTTTTCATAATAAAATTTTTCTGCAATGGAAAGTCGAAGAATCGAGTGAAAACAACCAGTATCAATTAAAAGTTTAATTGCGGGTTCTTTAATCTGGATGTACGGTAAACTATTATTAATTTCGGTATACATTTCTAATGTCATTTCGTTGAGTCGCATTGGCTCGTTATTGTAAAATTTTGAGAGATTTGATTTTCAATTTCAGGGTGTTCGTCAAAATTTTGAGTGTCATTAAAGTATTCAGTTTGATTTGAAAATTCAATTTCAGAGTATTCGTCTTGGTGAATATTTTCATTTTGAAATACCGCAGATGTTGCATCTGTTTGTACCGCGTTACTTTCGTCGATTTGGTATAATTCTTGAGAAATAAAATTTCTAGGGCCAGTAGGTTTGAAATGGTTAATTTGATTATTTTGACGTGGTATAGTATAGTTTGTTCTTGTTGACATAGGTTCGGGTTTATTGTTAGGTACCTGACCTGTCGGTTTAAATACGTTTTTAGGTGGGCCAAAAACTTGCCTATTTGTAGGAAAATTTCTTGGAACTTCGCGTGGTTGAGGCATATTAATTGGACCTCTGGGAAAACTATTAGTCTGGGGAGTAAACTGATTTTGATCATGCCTAATTCTAAAATTTTGATTATGGTGATTATTGTTTTGAAAATAATTTGTAGGGCGAATCGGTTGTACATAATTAAAATTTTGGTTACTAAAATAATTTGGATTTTGTGAAAATTGTTTAACGGGTTCGATAGAAGTATTAGGCAAGACTTTTGATTGAATTGGAGTTCTGAAGATATTTTGTGTATATTGAAAATTTTCCTCTTCAATAATTTGGGTCATAGCTAATTCTATACAGCTCGGATTTTTAAGTCTTATAATACTTTGTAATTGTCCTGGTAATCCTCTAATAAACGTCCTTAAACAAATTTGATCGTATTGACGTAAATGAATTACTTTGCTTGCATTATCCATAGTATCGGCAGGAAATGCATTAATTTTTTGAGCAAGGATACTTCTTAAAACTTGTAATCTTTTCCCAAAATCTAAAGAATATTCATTTTTAAACGGGGTGGCCATAAACAAATCCTGTTCTAAACATTCTAGGTTTCGTCTATCGCCAAAACAATTTAACAAAGCTACTTTAATATTGTCCCACGTTACTAACTCCATTCTACAGCCTACTAGAATTTGTGCGCGATCAACAAGTTTCATTCTTATAGTTCTTAACAAATATTGTTTTAAAATTTCGTCGTTTCCTTGACCATATGTATCAAAAAGGAAATCTCCAGCTGATAGAAAACTATTTAAAGTGTTGGAATCACCATTATATGGCAGAATACTATCTATAAACATTTTTAACAAAGTGTAATTTACACCTGAATTCGACGATTGATTAGAATTCATTTTCAAATTGATTTGACTGTTCTCTACTTTCTGTTCCACTAAATTTAACGAAGTAAAAAACGCACTTAAATTGTCGACGTCTTTATCTTCGTTCATAAATTTAATTGATTTTGAAATTTCTTAAAATTGAACTTAAAACTAAGAATCCTTAAAATTATTTCCACCGTCCTAACCAGGGAAGATGAAAGGAGAACAATAGGAATTTTGGGCACTAACCTTGATTTCTCTTAGTCGTCAGCCTGTTCTTCCTATTGGAATTTTCCTTGCGTAGCACTGCTTGCGGGGGTGATTTCTTGCGTTCCTTGCCCTCAGTCGAACTCAATAACGTTGGGTTTGTCAGACACTCTATCACTGGTTCGTTTTGGAGTCTAAGGGTTGAAACCCACGTTTCGCGATCAAATCGTCCCGATGACGTGGCTTTGACCGAAAACTACCCCAAATCCGTCACGACTGCGCCAGTTAAGGTTTTCTAACGAAGGATCTCGTTTTTAAAAAACACTTTTTTATTTTACAAATAGAACTACGAGGTTTTCTTTAACCCGCTACAAGGAGAACTGGACGCAAAGCACAAAGTTGTTATATATATAAAGTTTTTATGCAAGCGTCGAGTCGCAGATACTGGGAATACTGAAGCTAGCATTTCATCAGCATATTCTATCACATAATTTGTTGCATAGTATACTTTTTCTACGACCGTTAGTTTTTGAGTACATTTTCGTAAAACACCACGAGTACATTCACTGACATGCCCGTCAGAATTGACAAACGTCAAAATTCAAAGCATGGGAAATATCTCCGAAAACATCCGATTGCTCCCAAATCCGTGCGGTAATGTCCCGGAAATGTCCGAAGTGGCTCGGATTCGTGGGAAAGGAAACTGACGTGGTAAAGTGACGCGTAATGGTGATACGAGTCATAAGTAACTTTTTTATAGTCGAAATAGCCATAAAACGTTATGGACATTGGACCTATAATGAATATCAAGGGTCCCGATAGTTGCAGGAAGACCGGCTTATGCTTCAGTGTTTAAAATTAGCATTATAAAATGAAAAAAGATCCACCTATGGGTAAGAAGCAATTGTGGAAAGTGGAAAATCTCTTTTAATATATAAAGAGTAGTTAGGGAGATTCGAAGGGAAAACACTAAAATCTGGACATAACTTGGGGAAATATATTATTGGTAAAACATAGAAGCATAAAAATTAAAAAAACGCAAAAATGCATTTCTTGGTAGTGGCTCACTAGTATTTCAACACAGATTGGACACTATCATGAAGATATAAATGCTGACGCTTTTGAATAGTGCTTTCAGCAAATGCTAGATCTTATTTGTTCTGAGTCTATTAAAGACATGGCTAACAAAAAAAAATCTTGGAAGAAAAATGACATCATTCATGGCTTACTTAAAATAAAAACAAAAATGGGATTCTAAATTTAAATAAACCTGTTTATAGGAAACTTGGTGTCGACGAAATCGCTTCAAAACGAAATATAACGGTACTTCGCCTTCCGTCATATAACCGTGAATTGAAGCCCACAGAATGAGTATTGGCGCAAGTAAAAAGCAAGGCCCAACACCATTTTTAAAGTGTGGAAGATTGAAACCCTCTTGCAAAAGTTTGTAAAAAAAAATGGGATGCTGAGAACATTCTAGAAAATACTGTAGGGCCCCCTTATTATTTCTCTCGGCTCCAACGACGATAGTTTATCGGACTATAGGAACATGATGAGTAAAATTTGCAAATAAACTTGTATTGTAAATAGGTATTTGAAAATAATAATATTTATTACAATTTATCTATTTTCATATTATTCTTACTTCTAAATAAATTTTTATTTATTTATTTAAAATCTCTTCAGATTCCCATCATGTTTCCGTCATAATTCGAGAAATAAAAAGAAAAAATCCTTCCATTTATCTAAATAACATAATAAATCTAGCGGCCCCTAGGAGCAATATCCCAATAAATTCGTAAAACCTAAAACTGACAGTATAAAAACTTAAATTAATGAAAAAATTCATAATAAAATGTGATAAAAGTGATATCATTATCATAATATTTTAGTATCTAGTACATGCAGTGTAGAGATTGGCCATTCATTATGAATTACCTTTTGTATGTGATGTTTTGATTCGCAATGTCAGAAATTCTGACTTGTTTTCCAGAAATTTTTATTTTTATTCTTCTGTCTGAAATTCTGACTTATTCTTCAAAACTTTGCCTAATTAAGCTAAAACCATTATTTTATTTGTGGTAGTCTTTCAGCTCTTTTGGCGTTTCCCATTGTTTTAACGTTGTGAACAAAAAGCTTCTAAAAACCTAAAAATAACACTAAGAGCGTTGTTCTCACCGGTACCTACCTTTTCCTTTATAGTTGATGCGCAGTTATGTAGTCACGTGTGGGCAGTTTGTTACATGGCCGAAAGTTTAATGCCATCCTTGCGGAGAAAGGCGGAGCCTTGTTCTAGAAGGTGTCCATCGGCCCCTAGACCTGGAGTTAACAGGGTTGGAATACCAGTTTTAATGGGACAGGGAACTCCGTTAACGTAAGTATCATGTTTTTATTAAATAATGATGAAAGAAGACAGAAATGAAGGTTACTCGAAAACGAGTAACGATTTAGTATACAGGGTGTTGTGGAATTCATATCATTTAATTTAATGGGGGAATTTGGATCATTTCCTGATAGCGACTTAACTTTGAGAGCTTTGAGATCCTTACCATTCCGAATATTTGCGAACTGTTTCAGAGCTTCCGGCTCGTATTGCGTACACGACGATTATCCGCCATATTGTCCGCGTAAACAGGGCGACATCGGCGATCCGAGATGTTGTTTGAAGGCACCGGAAATTGTCCAGCCCGCTATTGAGTCTATGGACCCTCAAGAAAGAACAACTTCAAATGCTGTTTAAGCGTCAATCTCTACTGCATTTTTCTATTTTTGTACTTCGTATTTGTGACATATCAATAAAATGTTAAATTAGTGGACGGACATCAATTTTCTACCAACGACCTTATCTGTGAACTTAACTTAAAAACCAAAGTTGTTTGCATTGTTGGATGTTTTTATTTTTCGTGGTCAAGTCGAATCCAACAAAAGAGAACGACAGTTTTGGCAGCAATACTATATCAGCGGCAGCCAATTTCTCCTCAACAGGGCTGTGAAAACAAATCCGCACAAAACCTGGCTGGCCCGTCACATCTTTAAAGATATAAAAAGGACGCGTTCTTCTACCAACAATCTGTACATAGAAAATTCCATAAACACCATCGAATTCACCTTAGAAAAAGTCCAGGACGCTATCTGGGTCCTAAAAATTACTCATCTACTGGCGACGATGATATTCTACTAGCGTTCTTGAAAAAATGCGTCTATATCTTTTGTAGGTGACTGTCAATAGCAATGACAAAAACACTGTCGACAGGCTATATACGCAATGGCCTGGACCTACTCAGTTGTCACCCCCATGTATAAAAAGAGGGACTGCTGCTAACCTGGAAACTACAGACCCATTGGCTTAATATCGACTCTGCCCAAATGCTTGGAGAAAATAATTGTCAGGGAACTTCTTCGTGTACGCATTCTCTCGTGTTTCAATGACTAGAATACTTTACAGAACGGTGGAAAACCAGTGGATGTCATATATCTTGATTTCGAAAAGGCGTTTAACAGAGTCCCTTTCCAACGACTGCTCCATAAACTCTATCATTATGGTGTTCGAGATCCCCTTCTGTCCTGGATTGGCAGCTTCATCATTAAAGGCAAGGTGAAGAGAAAAGAAATAGCAGAATCTGTTTTTTCGGTAATGTTACTAAGTTGTATTGTAGTAGAGTTTGGTTAAGATCTCTGAATGTCGAAAAGTGCAGAATACTTCACATTGGTTCGAAAAACCCGAAAACTCAATACAAACTTTTGAAAAAGCCTTCAAATTGATTGACCACCAAAAACACCTTGGACTTCTACTATTGACTAGGAAAGTATTCTTGTTTTTCCAGCCTGTCACTGTTGAAGTAACGACAAGGACCAGATGTGTGTCAACATTTATTATTATTATTTATTTTTCCTCTCTTGTTCATATATTTGTTTTGCTATATGGTTTGCATTAGAGTAGGAGCCTAATATATATGGTTGAAAGATCATGTATAGACGATTTCTGTTCAACAATTATGAAGATATATAAAGCATACATAAGATCGATTGTTAGACGATATTCAATCGAATCCAAACTGAAAAACAGAACCAAAAACGCAATAATTTTTCTATTGCTTGTATTTAAGCGAAAAATTTATAATGATCTGACAAAATAACTAGACATAAAATAACCAGGGTGATCAAAAAGTAGCATTAAAAATGTAAATGAAAAATGTGACTTTGTATTATTTTGCCTATTCGAAAAACGTAGATTTCGAAACATTAGCACGTTTTTCTATTGTAAAAATGTTATACTGACATCAACTGGCTAAGAATATAACGTCGAAACAGAATAAAAAGCCTCTACAGTAATGGCGTTTAGGTACCGTCGTTTAATAATTTTTACAGAAATCTTAGTTTACTTTTTAAGAATAGAACAAAATATATTTTAATTTCTTTTATTTACTCTTAGTATTTTATACTTTTTTGTAGAGAAACGTCTAGCATGAGATAATTTTTTTGTAATAAAATAACAATAACAATACAAAATGATCAAAGTTATGTGGCATAGAACTGCTAAATAACAAATACAGCCAAAAAAGCAAAGCAAATTTTAAGGCTGACAATTGGCTTTTAAAAATTTATATTCATATCATATTCATAGTCATAGTCATATTCCTAACGGTAGATATACCGGGTGTGTGAAGATAGAGTTAGGAATAGTTTTCGGAACACTGTGTTATTGTTTCGAGAAACAAAAGATGCAGGATGCATGAACTTTAGCAGCTCTTTTGATATTTGACAGGATGTTTTTGGAAGCTTTTCTTGCGTAAATCGGTAAAGCTTAATAGAAAAGTAAAAAAATCTTTTCATTTTTTTACTCAGAATTCAGTGGCATACTCAGATTTTTTCTATCGTCGATTAATTTCGAGATTTAAACCTGTAATGTTGAAATTTTAAAAAAAACATCATTTATGTTAGTTGACCATGACGGGTTATTTTAAAAACAAAATAACGCAGTAATGTTATATTCATAAATCATTGAGTTTCTGTCTGAATTCTGCGGATTGTATTTTTTTAATTTGTGTTACAAATTTTAATTACAAGGTCAAAACTAGCTATTTTTTTAAAAATTAAAATCAAATTGAATTCAACCTGAATCATTTTATATAATAATAATAAACTTAGAGCCTTTAAAAAGGGCTTTTCATAGGCTATCAATCGTGCTATGAGTGACGCGATTGCGAGTGCTTACTTTGCCACCAGGTGTAACATAAATGCAAAAAAAATGTGAAGGAAGAAAGAATGCAAATATATGATTTTATACGTCAATTTGCCGGTATTTGAATCTCGTCAAACTCAATTGATTGCGTAGGAACGAAGAATAATATTAATTATTTGAATACACATTTTGTTAATATCAATAATTCAATAATTCTTCAACAATTTATTATTAACTAAACCTAATTATTACTGAAAAAATTAGTGATGATAAATTAATTGAAAACGAGCAAGCATATCAAACCGAATTAATATGAGTTAGTGGGTAATTTTGTTATTAATTAATTAACGTTTGATTTGGTAAATTCTGAATAATTAGACATTAATGACAATCTCTGAAGTGGAAAATTTTACCAAAATTCAATTTCTTTTGGACGTTTATTCATATTTTAGGTAGGCAAAGTACGCAAGGTAAGCCAGTTGCGTTACTCATAGCGCGATTGATGAAAAGCCTGCTGAGATAGAGCAAACACCTATAAACAAAAAAGATTTAAATTTGTTAAAGCAATGCTCTCTTTAACTGTGAAGAACTGTTAGAAGTTTCTGCAGAAACCGAGTTTTAAAATTCAAGATAGCAATTACGCCGCTTGGCGGCCATTTCAGAAACTAGAATATAATTTCCAGAATGTACTCTTAGCCGATTTACTTTTTTTTCAAACTTCTAGGACGGCCTCTTTCTCTAACACTGTACCGTAGGTCATCACTCTTACTGGAACACTCTGTATATGATAATACAGAATGTGAATCCAAAAAACAATAACATATAGGGTATATCCGGATGTGTCAAAATATTTTAGCTGTATTGCCTATACCGTTCAATTTAAAATTTTCAAATTCTTGCTATCTATAGTATTTCTATAATAGATACAGGGTGCAATTTGAAATAAAAATTGTCGTCCCCTACACACGAGGGTAATACAAATAACTCTAATGATAGAGTAGAACAAAATAAATATTGCATGACTCCCATTGCATTGGTTCGGGTCAACAAACTCCAAATCAATGCGATTCGTCACGGTTTTTAGGAGCAAGATTGATTTTGGAACTGCGAGAACCGTCTAAATTCATTAAGTATTTCAAAAAAATTACGGTATTCCGAACAAAATTAAAAATATATTTTGTTATTCTCAACGGAGCTCGGATTGACGACTATGTGAAAGAGCGACTTTTCCGTAGATGTTTCGGGAAATAACAGTACAACTAAGACCTGCTTTTATACTCAACCGCATTGAATTTTAATTAAATGTCCGCGTTTTTCTGTCATTAAATATTTAGTAAAACGTGCGTTACTGGCGTAGGGGGTCGCTATCTTTTCGAAAATGAAAACCGGTGTCCATTTCTGAAATTGAAATGCAAAATGCAGAAAATATTTTGTGCGCTTTTTCTTTTAAGCGTAACATGTGAGTATTACGTATTATACAGAGTACTACCAATAAGATGTGGGTGATATTTGATGTAAAATTGGAATAGCTTCAATATGAACTCAATTTGCAAATTTATAACATACAATAGCGAACAATGGGACATTTGTTGTTATACAGGACGACAAGAAAATTAAACTAAAATTTGTCAAAAATCAGAAAATCAATTTTGTTAAAACTCTAGCATTTCAAAACTCTCGACCTGATTCCGAAATATTAATAAAAAAACATTTTCTAAAGTTGATTTTGGACGAACAATATGCTGCTTTAGTTTGGCCCCCTTATTTTGGGACACCCTGTATTTACGCTATGATGATTATTAACTGGCTATTGTTTTAGATTATTCCAGTGGTCAAATCATATCTGCAAATTTTGCAATATCAAGACAGGTAAATAATAAACAATATCTGCTGACTATAGGTTCCTGCAGGATAGTTATAAATCCGTAAGTAATATTTAGTAATCGTTTCAAATCAAATAAAATATAGCAGGAATTATTTTGCCTTCCTATTTATAACTTCCTCTATTTTACAGAAAATTTAATTTTATTGACATCCTTTCTTAACTTACATTGACCCTATATTATAGATGTTTTGAAAAACTTATTGTCTGCATTTTGATACGTCATTATTCTTTTTAGACAATGCCCAGATCCGGATATAAAATTTTTTATGTACTCCAAAATGCATCCAGAAAATCCAGAGGAAATTCGAGTAGCTTCGACATTAAGAGAGACGAATTTAGTGAAAACGGCGTTTGATCCGTTTAAACCGACCAAAATAATTATCCATGGATATAATTCGGATATGTTTTTAAATGCACTGACAGAATTAAGGAAAGGTAAGGCAACTACGCAAAATCGTGTATTGGTTTAAAAGAAATATGATAGGTACGCTATTAAGAAGTCTGAAATTATTATATTATTATATATAGTGACACCTCTCACTTCCCTTCAAAAGGATATTTTTTGGAACGAAATATTTGCCTACCCTTTTACCTGTAAAACAAACTCCTTTAACTGGACACTCCATTAAACTGACGCAAACAACACCGTCTTGACTTAAAAAAAATACCTCTCTTAAACAAACGTGAACCTCCAATAACAGGACAACGCAATGCTAAAATATTGAGGAATTACCTTTTTCCTAATCCTATAGGGGAATTACCTTTTTCATTTTTAATATCATATTGTATTATTCATTACGCCGTGACTTGCAGTTTTATTTTGCAAGCAAATGCCGTAAGTGGATTCCACAATTTTTAAAAACTTCTTACTTTGCGCGAAAAAATTGAAATTATTAACGGAAAAGAAAAATATGTCACTGCGGAAGCTCGCAGAAAAATTTTAAAATCGGGAAAACTCAAGCGGCGGAAATTGATAAAAAAAATTGTGAAAACTGGGGGTTGCGAGGTCAAAACATTCCAATATCGGGGCCAAGGCGCAAGAAATATCCGAAAAATTTAATGTTCGAAATTTTAAAGCCTCCAATGGATGGCTGGATAAGTGGTGCAGGAGATATGCGATAAGTGTATCTCTGGCAGATGTGAGTCAAGAAAATGTAAAACGGTTTAAAGATAAGTTGCCCACACTACTCATCGGATATCAGCCACACGTTGTTTACAATGCCAATGAGATTAGCCTTTTCTTTCGAGTCTTACCTAACAAAAACACTTGCTTTGAAATCCGAAAAATTTAGTGGTGGAAAGCTTTCCAAGGAGAGGCTTACAACTTTATTTTGTGCTAATATAGCAGAACAAAAAAGAGAGTTGCTCCTGATTGGAACGGCTGCCCGACCGCGGGCATTTAAAAATGTAGCAATTAAAAATTTACCGGCAATATGGAAATTTAATAAGAAAGCTTCGATGACATGAGACATTATGCATGAATGTTGGTTACAATTTGATAGAAAAATGACTCAACAAAAGAGAAAATTTTATTATTCTTGGCTAACGCAGCATCGCACACCGTAAGGTAAAATTATAAAACATAAAAATTATCTTCTTGCCTCCAAATACGATATCAGTATGTCAACCTCTAGATCAGGTATCATACAGAATGTTAATTTCTGTTATCCTGAACTCAAAGCACGTTTTATCAAAGATGCCTGGTTTGGAATGGGATCCAGAAGAAAATATCCCAGTATTTACGATACTTGAAATGGAACGATGAACATAACGCAAGAAACTCTTGGAAACATGTTGGAATCGACAATATTAGGGCGACTGAGGAGACTAATTTGAACACAATGCAATGAAGACAAGAAAGAACCTGAACCGAAAGAAGACGACGATCAAGAATATGATAGTGGGGAACCTAGCACAATTAACAGTTATAATTAAGCTTTAAAAATAATTACCGATGTAAAAGTTTTCGCATTTCAACACCTTAAAAATTTAGAAGATCATTTTCAGTCAAGTTTGTTAAGGCAAAAAACCATATATCTTAGAGTATCTTAGAGTTTATAAATAAATAATTACCTACCTACATTTACGATTTATGTTGTATTCTTTCATGCACCTCTAATAAGCGGACAAACCTAGAGGAACCGTGAGTGTCCGGTTATGAAAGTTTTCACTGCATATTATATTATATTATTATATATAAATTCGGTTCAGTTCTGTTCAATTTCGCTATCGGCCATAAGCATAGGTAAACTTTGTTCAATTAAATTAATTTAAATCCCTATTGTAATAATAATAACAATATTAATAATAATAATAATGGTAAAGGTCTTTATCGAACTATCGAAATATGTCAATCTTAAACGTGCCTTTTGAAGCATACAATTTTCTAACAAACATAAAATCAACCATATTTGATACAAGAAATATAAAGCTATGGACAGGTATTTCGTATTTTGTTTGCAAGGGGGGCATTGTGAGATTTACCATTTCAAATTTTTATAGCATTCAAGATTTTAAAATTTCGATCAGTTTTTGAGATATCCGGTTTGACATTAATATTTAAAACTTTTTTTACAAATCCTGGAACACGTCAATTGATTTTTAAATTAATCCACAATTTGGCTATTTTTGTTGATAATTCCCTCTTCAGGAAGTGAGATTCACCCTTAACACTCAATTAGAAAATGTGGGCCAAGTGGCACGGTATACATAAAAACAGTTATTGGGCAAGGATACTTGGCAACCGCAAAATTGGACCAATTTTTATCCCAGATAATCTTAACGGAAAAATGAATTTACAGTTTTTGGAAATGTGAAATAAACAACCTAATAACTGAAACGATTGCGAATGATCCCCAGCATAATATCCATAACCTACATTTCGAGAAAGATGCTGGCTGCTTTTGTGTGAGAATTTAATAGATATCCCCGGCGGTTGATTGGAAGATCGAATGGTTCGCACAATCTCCAGATTTACAACCCATTAGACTTTTTATGGGGATATTTAATAAGTAGTGTTCCTAACTAGACCAAGATCTCTGTCAGAGCTGCGCGAATGAATAGCAGATGAATGCAGCAATGCTCTACGACTTTGATCATTTGATCTTAATTGGTGATTACTTCTGTAAAAAAAGTTAAATTAAATTATTTAAAAAATATATATTTCAGTGAACTTATTTGGAACAAGTATCGAGCTAATTAAAGCAGTGTTCGCCCCACTTTATTTAAAATTATAAATATATCATTTCCCTTTATCAAGAAAAAAATAAAAATCTGGCCCTTTATGCATGTTTTTACATATCACATTTAGTACACAGTAAAAACAAAATGCACACAAAATTTTATTTGGGGGATTTGCCATTTGCATAGTATTGTATTGCAATATATTTTCAGAATATTTAAAAACAAAAGATTACAACATCTTCACCGTTGATTGGAGTCCGTTAAACCAATCGCCGTGTTACGTAGGAGCGGTGTGGAACGCCAGACATGTCGGAGCGTGTACGGCCCAATTAGTTCAACGGATCAGGGATATGGCTGCGGAGGACATTCACGTGATCGGATTCAGCTTGGGTAAATAAAGGATGCGTTATAAAAACAGACTTTATTATTCACAATATAATTCGCAACATGAAAAAATATATTATCTCTTACGAAAATATACATATACATATAGATAGAGTAAAGTCGCCTAATGTGGTATAGGTTCCAAATGTGAAATACTCAGCGATTTGTAGAAATGCAGGCGAGATCTACTTGCAATCCTGCACATCATGCGTCTTTCTTACAACTCTTTCCTATAGAGGTTGATTTTACCTTCCTAGTTGTGCAGTAGTGCATTTTTGGGAACGCAAACTAGAAGTGTTGTAACTTATTTATCTGCAAATTTAAGGTAAGATATTTTATAAGCACAAATGCAAGTGCCAAATAAGACCACTATTTTATGAAGTAAAATTCTCGTATGGTAGGATAGGACAGGGTATCTAAATGTGAGATATTCCACATTAGGAAACCATTTACAAAACATAATTGTTGCTTCCAAAAAACATTAAAGAGCACAAAAGTAAAGAAGATGATATGAAGTCTGTGGTAGCTCTCAAATGGGCAATCTAATAGCACTCACACTTCTCAGGGTGCCTCGTGCAAGGTGCAAAAGAAAAAAACCTTTGAAAACTAATACTTCCTCCAGACGAAGAAACTACCCTTGCGAAGTACATTCTTAGGATGGAGCGATAATTTTTTGATTTGACAGAAAGACACGCGCCATTGCATTTCAGTTGGACATGCGATGCAAAATAATATTCCGAATATTACTTCAATAATCTGCGGGAAAGAAATGGCTGAAGGGATTTTGAGAAGATCGATGGAAATATCAATTCTAAGATGAGACGGATATAATAAGAGAAATATATGTGCATTGTTTGACTTGCTTCAAACTGCTATGGAAGAAAAAAACATTTGCTCACAGGAAAATTTTTAATGTGGACTGATCTGGCATATGCGTAGCATAATCCAAATGCCCGCCAAATTTGGCACAAATAGAGACATTACTATCTTCAAAATAGAGACATTACTATCTTCAGAACTTGGATCGGTAATAACCGTTTACATATGAATGAGCGCAGGAGTATTTGTGCCCCCAATATCATATTCATTTATTTAATGTTTACCAATCAGGATGGATCCAAATGGATCTCGTCACTGCCTGGTTCGCCTGGCACTTCACCTGAACGCAACTCTGTTTCGTTACTCTTTTTGTCTGTACCGCCAAACATTCTGCATAAAATGCAACCGTTTGACAAAATAGTAGGAGCGGCGTTGAAAGCATTTTATAATTAAAAAAAAAGGATTGATGTGTGCGAAATCTTTCGAGCCGTCAATAGATTCACCACGACAGGCAAGATTTTATGGTTGTTGAAAACCAAGCAGGTGGTGATCGCAGATAGTCCCATTCCAGCAAATGAAAACAGAAACTTCACTAGTCGTTTCTACAAAAGGCACCAATACCCTTAACTAATAACTTTATCGGTAAAAAGGAATTCGTTTCTGCAGAAGACACCAATACCCTTAACTAATAACTTTATCAGAAAAAGGGAATTGGAGGAAAAAACCGGGAAGCGCAAAAATAACTACTTCCATACCTAATAAAGAAAAGCTGGAACATTAAAGTAAAGAACATAGAAGTGAAAAATTAAATATTTTCTGACAATCCAGGCTGTAATTCATAGCGAAAACCAAACCACGAAGCAGGAAGGATTCAACTTCATCAATCTCAATTTGTAAAGAAAGGAAAGGGTGTTTCATATTAGGCACATAGATATTCCACATTAGAAATTTAAAAGGCGTTTTTTTAGCATTTTTTTTTCCTCTTTTTTCTTAAGCCATGAACTTTTATCTCTTATAATAAATCTACATTCACTTAAAATATCTACAAAAAAACATACTATGGATCGCTTTTTGATTAAATTAAAGTGATATTCCAGATTAGGCGGTTTTACTCTAATTGTTTAAGATTTACCTACCATACGTTTAAAATATGCGAAGCAGTTTTACAATTTTAGGAGCGCACATATCGAATTATCTTTCGGTTAAACTGCGTCCATATAAATTGCTGAGAATAACGGGTTTGGATCCGGCCTTGCCCGGATATATAACACCGAATATGGATGAGAAATTAGACAAGAGCGACGCCGAATTTGTGGACGTTTATCACACGAACGCGTTTGCGCAGGGAAAGATCGAGGAAAGTGGTCATGTTGACTATTATTTCAACGGTGGCGCCATTCAACCCGGATGTTGGGGAGAGCCAAGTAAGCAAGATGATTGGTTAATTTCAACAAAATATAAATGTGTTGAATTTTCTTTTTTTAAAAAAATCAAAAATGATGCATAAACAAGCGAAGCACCAGCATTAGTTTTCTTTGCTGCATTTTCGATGCACTTTGTGTTCTTAGGTTTATCCGTATAGGAACTACTGTATAAAGGCCCTTACCTATGGTCAATTTTGAAGGTACAAAGAAATAGAATCAAACGACGATAGAATTGACTTCTTTAGTTGTCAATGCATTAGGGGTATTGTAAAATACACAACAAAAAAAACAAAAACTAACTATATTAACGCATTGAGGCTACCCTTTACGAAATTTAATTTTCAGGTTTCATTTCTTGCAATCATCATCGGGCTCCCCTTTATTTCGCGGAAGCGATTAACAGCGAAATAGGCTTCTGGGGCTGGCGGTGTCCCAATTACTTCAGCTATATCCTAGGCCGTTGCCTCCCGGGCGATATTAAAAAAGTTATGGGCGCGCACGTCGCGGAAAGGTTCGAAGGTGTTTTTATCGTTTTGACTGGAGCTACGCCACCATTTGCTATTGGAAGCTATGCCATACCACCTACTGTTAGCAAACTCAAGAGACCTGAAGTGCTGCAAGTGTATGAACAAGCCCTGGCGGAACGATTGGAAAGTCAACTGTTTTATAGCGACAGTGAAGTGACCTTAGAGGATTTTTTATAACAAATAATTTCTGGTGTTAAATAAAAATCTAGCTGGTGTTGTGTGTACTTAAGTTTAAGGTTCGTACATTCCTGAAACTTGATTCAGGGTTTAAAACGTAAACTGAAACCGGTGATTGACCTCATCGTTTTGAGCAAAAATATCTCACTCACTGTTCAATTTGAAATTCGGGCCAGTTAATACTTCTAATAAGATCAACATTTTAACCATTTTAAAGAATTTAAAAATTGTCCATTCTCTTCTATCTAGTCACGGTCTTGTATATGTCGACCTTCCATTGTCTGAAACACAGGAACACAGATGGGAAAGCCGCGACCTTCCCCTTTTTCCATAGTACTGGTTTCCAGTTCCAGAGCTTTAGAGGCCATTATTCATCTGGCGTTCTTCTTAAATATCCAAAACCAATTTAGATATTGACCTTCAATAGTACCATTATATTCACCACGGATATATTGGTTTATCACTGTGTCCATTTTCAAGACGCTACAGCGAAAAATCCATTTTATTTCCCATATTTCTGCAGCATAGAGTATTATACTTTCCACTATTATCCTATATATTCTTTTTTTTACGTTATTTGTGATATTCTTGTTCCACAGTATTCAATGTCGGCCTTTTAAGGCCACACTTTCCTTAGTTATCCTTTGTTGAATGTCTAAGTTGCTTCTACCCTGATTTGAAACGATACTTACAAGTTTGACAAATTGTTACTACAATACTCGTTTTCATATTCTTCGTGCAGCCTTCCCAATATATAGAAAGCGAAGTCTCTATATTCAGCGAAAAGGTTTGGGGCTAGACAACAAATTGCCTTAGACCCTTATTCTTTATAGATCAGATGTGTTTCTAGGTTATGAGAGAGTCTCTTGCCTGGCATCTGTTTAATAATAAGTATATTATCCACAAATGCTCGGAATATACTCTGTTCTTCTGACTCTGTCATATCTCTTTCAAGTCTGTTCTTTATGATATTTGTATTAATTCTTTCAATGGAGCTGAACACTGTTATCAATCGTCAATTGGTCAAATCATGTCTTTTTTCCCTTCTTGTATATGTCACTTATTATATCCTCTTTAAATTGTTCCGCCATCTGATACCCAATAAAACATAAGTTAAAAAGACTCAAATAGTATTCTGGGCGCGGATATCAGCAGTTCAATAGTCAGTCCTGCAGGGCCAGGAGTAATTATTAAAACATAACAAAGCACTTAATCGATCGGGAAGAATGTGCGGCACTCACTCGACTTTATTGATGAAACGACTCCAGATATCTCCATTTATGTAAATTATGGTAGTTTAATACCACAGTTCTGGTAAATATAGCTTCGTCAGCCCACAATACATTTTGTTTTTTAATTATTCGTCATTGATAACCACAAGAAATATAGATAAAATTTTCATAACTAAATTCTAAGTAGCTAAATTAAACAAACTTGACAGAAGATAAGTAAACTACGAAACGAGTCTACGATTTGTCTACATGCATATGAAGTGACAGCGCCGAATTCAAACCGCCAAGTTCATTACAAACTTCAAAATATTGCGGCCGTTTTGGTTTCAGTCTTTGTAACAGCTATATCCAAAAACACCTTTTCATATTCAAAAAGTCACTTTTCTCACGAAAAATAAGCGAATGCAGACGTAGTACATGAAGACCGTGAAATCCAAGCGTAGGCGTTTATTGGTTGTCACATTCAAAAAAAATATTACTTTACGGGTAATTAACAAATTATTGGCAAGAAATTTTGTTGACGTATTTTGACTTAATTCCTAATTTACACATGCTTTTGAATTCGTGAAAATATTTTTTTGTAGTTTATAGTGCGTATGGTTTATTGGTAAAAAACATCGGCGATGTCCAACACTGGCATCATTGCCTTATCCCTTCAGAATATCACGATAAAATGGAAGCAATTCCATCTTCCTGGATTATATATCTATCGCTCATACCAAATAAACTTTCGTCATCGATGACGCGATTCCTAAAAACGAACGTTGCCAACCACGGAAATATTCGGCTGCGGACTGAATTAAATGAAACTTAAATTTCCCGCTTGCGATTGGGTTGGTAGCAGTACTCCAAAAACGTGAAGTTGCCAAATTTATTTGTTGATATACTTAATTGCGTTTGTTGCATTAGTTGAATTACGAGTGTTGGTTTAGGTGAATTTTGTGCTTTTTTAATCCTAACATTATGTACTTAAGTCGAAAATTGTTTTGTTTAAACAACTTGTAGTGGAAATGCCGAAACAACGTAACAGTCATTGCAATGAAAGAAAAAAATTTCAACCTTTGATCTTCATGAGCTATATGCTTATATGCGGTTTGTTCCTTCAAAAAATTTAAAACCAAAAAAAGCCTCTAAGTTGAACGAACCACCCAATTTGGTAAGTGGAAGCTGTCAGAAGCCTCTACGCCAAAAATATAATATTCAAAAATCTTTAACATGCCTCAAATGAGATAGCATTCACGTTTATATAAACTGATTTCGTTAAAATTATGAGATCAATTAACTGTTTCAGTTTGTGCTTTAAATCCCGAATCACTCTGTACAAGCCGGGACGAACACACAACCGACATAAGAGTGAAACGTTTCTGATTGTCAACTAATTTTCAATGCGACAAGGGAAGAGGAATGAGGTCGTTCAATATATCTCGCACCTCAACCATACTAGGTCTTTTCTTTTTTTCTTCAAGGCACTTTTGGGCCAGTTCATACAATTTCTGTCCGTAATTTATATCGTTTTCCTGCCAACTCCCAACGCTGGTGTCCAACAAAGGCGTTATACTCTCGTCACAGTGGTCCTCCACATGCGTCACCTTAAAGGCAATAAACATGTCGAATAATTCGCGTTCTATTGAAATACAGGGTGATTAGCGCTGGATGGCGGGTTAGGCGTTCATGGTAACCGGGACGTTGGTACTATAGTAACTGTCAAATTTTCTAAATTTCTAATCGAATTGACTAGCAGTTACGTGGCTACTTAGGTAAAAGAACGGAACGACCCACGCTTCTTATGCAAAATGGCTATCGCTCAAATTAAAAAAAAAAATAGTATGCTGTCCTCCTTAACGTTCTGAACAAAAGTGTTCATGGGCCCAATTTGATCGTTCGATCGTTTGATCGTAGTTTTCGAGATATTGGTGCTCAAAGTTGCACAAAAGGAAATTTTATTAATTTTCCTATAATTTTAACAATAATAAATGAAATGTCACTTTTTTGACAAAATTGTCATACGAGAATTTTGATTATTGTATGGTCCTTTAAATGTGACATGACCGAAAGCTATTTTGCATAAGAAAAGTGAGAGGTCGTTTTTACACAAAATTGCTTTTATTTCGGGATACTTTATATACTTTTATACTAGAGGTATTAGAGAAGAAGTTTTTAATTGTCTTCCAAAATAGTTGACAAAGTATAGGATTATCAGTATTCAAGGTCAACCAACTATGGTCTATTTCCCAAAGGCAGGGAGCAATAGATCATCGCAAATGCTTGTCGCCATAGACATGCAATGGTCATAATTCTTATAAGGAACTATTTGGTATTCACATATTTTGTAAACTTGTCAAGTAATCTTTAGTTAAAATCTAGAACAAATATCTTTAAAAGATTAAAAGGGAAAACTGAGTTTTAATTGTTATGCAGATATGCTTGTGGTTGGAAAATCAACAATTTATCGGCCGCTAAATGAAGACGAATAAGGAATTGCCCACGGTGGATGAAATTCCCACTTTTAACACACAGTGTAGAGAAACTATGAAAACGGTGGCTCATAAAAGGAAAAAAAAACTACTAGAGGGGTATATAAGAAGCGTCGGCTAATGGTAAGTTACATTGGAAGCGTACATGATTTGATATGTTTTCGTTGTTCTAGTCTGAATTTCAGTTTTGTGACTAAGTATTCTATTTATACGTGAAAAGCCTTAAATTCCACTAATTTAAACACTGTGTTATGAGATTTTACTTCAGAATTGAACACGTTGCAATGAAAACCCTTGCTAAATTGTTTTGGCAAGAGGTCAGGTCTATCGGTGGTTTTCGGCATTTCAGAAGAATGAAGTGAATCAACCCCAAAGCGAATGAACCGATGAAGATGCCGACAGTATCCGAATCTTGTGCGATGAGATCGTCGGTTGACAATCAGTGTAATTGTTCATCAGATTTCAACCAATTATGGAATGAGAAAAATTTGAGGTTCTTTGACATTTTTGAATTCTGGTGAAACTAACTTGACACACTTCAACCTCTCCAAGGCTCAAAAACAATGATAAGGAAGTCGAAGATCAAATGCACACTGATTTGTTTTCTCCATATTCACGGAATCGTTCATAAAGAGTTTCTACCTCAAGAACCTTATCCAGCGCTGTCTGCAATATAATGATAATTATATTCCATTAATTTACATACCTCTTGTTAGAGTGCTATAAGAATATTGTTGAGCTCCCGGTATTGGTTTTGCATAAATAATTGAGCTGTTATTGTTCTCTGCTTTTAAAAAATAGACCAATGAACGGACGTTTATCAAAGCACTTACAATATCGTATCCTTGTCGATTGTAATCGATTGGGGGCAAGGAAGTTAGTAGTTCTAAAAGAACGACCCCGAAACTGAACGTGTCCAATTTAACGGAAATATCGCCTCTGTGAGCTTCAGGGGACATGTACGCTGAGGTTCCATACGCAGCAGTGTGCGTATTCGTTTTTTGACTAGGAAGAAGTTTTACAAGTCCAAAGTCACACAACTGAAAAATTCAGAAAAACACTCTACTTGCGAACAATGTTTGATTTGCTTCGATTGTGTTTTGTTTTAATAAAATGTTCAGATAAGCGGTCAATAAATGGTGCTGATTCTTTATTTACACTTAGTTTACATTAATATTTAATTATTTATATATTTAATTATATATTGAGTTCACAGTGATACTTCTTCAACAACAATTCGATCGACAATCATATCGAACGTTTATGCATTGATATTTAAAATGTAGATAAGCCGTTTCATCAGATTTTTTATTGAACACCCTCTTTTTTCAAAGTTATAACTTTATATAAAAAAGCACTCCAATGTGTTTACTACATATTTTTATTTCTTTTTCAGATTAATCCAATTAACCAAAATCAATTTTAATTTATTTTGAGTTTTAGTCGAACTTAATGGGTTCTTTTTCAAGTTGCAGAGTTTGAAAAGAATATAAATACTTAAACTAGGTTTATTCCACGTTAATGGAATGAATAATTGTATTCTCGGCTCTATAACAACCAAATCTCTCGAGTTTTGTCAAAATGAGCAAATAGGGTTTCTGACGCGGATGAAACTAACCAAAAACCAAAGTATAAATAAAACATGTACAAACCTTAGCATTGTCTTCCGAATCTAGCAGAATGTTGGCGGTTTTAATGTCCCTATGAATCAAAGAAGTCGAAAAACCCGTATGCAGATACGAGACGGCGCTAGCGGTTCCTAATGCAATATTTAACCTTTCCTTCCACATGAGCCTCCAACTGGGATCCTACAGTGACAAAAAGAATGATCCAAAGGCTTAGGAGAGCTATAGAGCAAGCTTTAAAAAAAACTATATTGTTATATGAGCCTTTAGTAACATTAACACACTTTGGAAACGTTTACACTTAGGATTCTTATAGCAATATTGCTCTTGCTGTGCCATATTTTCTTCATCACACCAAAAACGTATTATTATTTTTTCTAATTTATTTTAATTAATTTAGAACAATATATTATGATAATAATTTACAACTGTTTTTCAACACTTTTTTTACCTTGCACTGCTGAAAAGATTTTGTTGGCAATAAAGAAATTTATTTATTTACTATTTAGTATTTTTACTAATGGTGGAAGTGTTACTGTAACCTGCTTTAGTGACTTTTTTTCAACGGTTTGTTGTAATAATAATTGTGAATATTTTAATGTGGCTAAGTCGTTATCTAGAAGTACTTATGATATTAATGACAATGATGTCTACAATGCAGTTTTTAACTTTTAAGACCACTTATCTTCTAGACCTGATGACACATCCGTGATATTTTTGAAATATTGGAAAAAATCTTTTGTAACCAATATATTTAAAGTAGGCGAAAAAAGTGAAAGTTTGTCACTACAAGACACTAAGCAAAATGTATGTAATAGAAAAACTGTTTGAGATTATTATAGATTCTACAGCCAACATGGTTTCATTGCTAGAACATTGTCACTGTTTATCAAGAATTTTTAAACAGTTCTGTACAGAATGGTAAGCAAATAAATTCTATCTGCATGAACTTTTCAAACGCTTTCGACAAGGTTAAAAACGCCGTGCTTTTGAAGAAGTTTGGGAATCATGTTCTAATTGTAAATCTCTTGCAATGGTTTCATAGTTTGTGACCAAGAGAAAAAGCAGGTAAAACCTTTATTTCTAAAGAGAGGTGTTCAGCGAGATCCACATTTAGGTCCACTTTTAATTAATATTTTTATCAATGTAATGTAATGTAACATAGTGCTTGAGATATTACAAATAACTTTTGTGGAGATCTAAAGATTTTACGAATCAATAAAAATTTGAGTGATTGTTTCAAAATCCAAGAAGAACACAGAAAAAATTTGGCATTTTGAAATATTGCCTAGATAATACTTCACTTAAAAGTAACTTAACTTCAACTTTCATATTAATTATATAACTAATAAAGCACTATAATGACTAAGTTTGGATAAAAGAACTTTAAAAGGTTTTAATAATATTGATTGGTTTAAAAGGCTCTTATATAAGGTGGGGAATAGTCTTGTCAGATTTGATCTTTTTACTATAGTCAGAATCTTCAACCGGTTGAAAGAGTTCATAACTTTGTGAAATTCGTCAGGTTTAACATTGGTATAAAAAATGTGGATATTGTATATGAAGAACTACTCCATCCCCTTAATCTGACAACTCTTATCAAAAGGAGAAAACATGTGGATATAGATAAATTAATTAATATTTTTTTTAGAATTGTTGTCTTTGATAGAACCTGATATGCCACAGCTCCCAGAAGGGTTAACCACAGAACAAATTATGTTATATTTTCATCTCTCATCTCTGACCCGCTTTATGGATAGTGCAAATAAATTGCTTACCAACAGTAATGTAGACATCTTTGATGATTCTTTTAATGTGTTTAGCCCATAAATAAAAAATGTCGTGTGATATAAACTAAGTTTATTCTTGTATCTTGCATTTCTTGTCTTCAACTTTGGAAAGAATCTTAGTTATGTTGTGGATTGTAACAATTTTTTATACTGAGTTTACTATATGTCTGGATGCTATTGTATGATTCTTATATTTAGTATTAATCCAATCTCTGTAAATCGTTGGTCAGTTAAAAGAACATTATTGTAATTATTATTACTAGCTGTTAAGCTATAATTTACTCGCCTTTTATAAATCACCTAGACTAAACAATGTCAGAAATTTTGTTAACATTCTACGAGAGTATGAAAAACTTACAGCATTAACGAAACTTGTCATTCATTTCTTATAAATGAACGCCTTATAATTAAAGCCGAAATTGAGCACATACCTGAAGTCTGTCTTTGAGTGCGCCGCCAGACACATACTCGTACACCAGACAATAGGTGCAGCCGTCGCACGAGTACCCCAATAGCGACACCAAGTTCTCGTGCTTGTATTTGCATAGGACCTCGACCTCGTTACGGAACTGTTTGGTCACGGCATCGTCCTCGTTCACGGATTCCGCGTTCTCCAAGAAGATTTTCTTCACGGCGACGGGCCGATCGATCAACTTGGGGGCCAAGAAAACTGACCCGAACGCGCCGGAACCCAAAAACCGACCCGCGTTGTCCACGTTCGTGTAGGCCTCTTCGTTGAAGTTATTTGTAGCGGCCGCTAGCTCGCCGTAGGTGAAATGAGGTAGCTCGGTGTTGAGGTACAAATTTGGCAGAGGCGACGAGCACTTGGAAGTCAAAAAATCTACGGGCGACGACAACATACCTGCTTTCATGCTTACGACTCTTGTATATGGTGTCCGAAATAAGGTTCCCTATCCGTTTAACTCAGAAACTACAAACGATAGGAAAAAAAAGTTAAATAGAAAAGCTTCATCACCTATTTGTGTTCCGTTCACCTAAGGCAAAAACCAACTTTCTTTTTTTTTCTTTTTTCTTTCTACTATTACATTTTTGAATATTATAAATATATTTCATGTACATTGTCCTATACGTGAGTCTAACCATTTTCGACAAATCTTGAATTTGATGTCAAAAATAACGTTTGAAGGGCCTAAAATAATTAACAATTTTTCCTATAAGAGAACCTTAATTATTTAATGTTGGAAACATTCCTTGTCATAGTCGTTGTCAGTGAACATTTTGGATGTACATTAATACAGCAAAAATGAAGTACAAGAAAGAATTAATTAAAAAAAGGTAGTCAGTTTTTAGAAATGGAAACCCTCTATTTTTATAACTTTTGTTCGATTTGGAATTAAAATTTAAGGTGACTTTGATAGTTTCCAATTCAGGAAATTTATAGTTTCTGAAATAATTGACAATTTATAGTATATTATGCAAGAAGTGCGGTAAACGGCATTTGACTTATGAGTTTATTTGACACGAGCGGAGCGAGTGTTTAATAAACGAGTGAGTTAAAAAATTTACCGAACGTGTTGGTAAAACAAATACAGTTATACAGTTATAATACTATAATGCGGTTGTTAAGTTTTGTTATTAGTTGACCATGATACTGATACTGAAAAAAAAATTGGAACAAAGATCACTTTCTAAATCAAAGTGGAAGGAATAGGAAAAAGGAACAGTTATAGATTCTACGCAAGAAACGTAGGTTTTGTTCAGTTTTCTCTACTATCTATGTCATACTGTCATCGAAATAAAAAATAACTTCTTGGATTATTAAGTAATTCAGTACTTTAAAACACGTTCAATTCTTTCAAAAATTGCTTTAACAGAAATTCTTATTTGTCGATATTTTGTCTGATATTTAGTTGCAGTAAAAGCGATACTTTTGTTGTTCTTAATATAACAATTATATAGATCCAATTTTTTAGTTTCTGAATACATTTTAATGGAAAAAATCAAGCAATTAATTAATGACAGGGAACTCGTGTGTGTTTTATACAGTAACATATCTATGCTGCCCGATTGTCTACTTTTCTAATAGCAACTAATAACCAAACTTAACAGCATTATTACAATAAGAAAATGTTAAATTTTCAATTATTTCAGAAACTATAAGTTTGAGGAATAGAGAACCTTATACAAAGTCACCTTAATTTTTAATGCCAACCCGCATAAAATTATAAAAATAGAGTTTTCATTTGAAAAATATATTAATCAATCTAGAATTGATGGAATTGGAAAAATTGTTAACTATATTATTTTCGACATAAAATTCAAAACGGAAAATTTTAAAAAACAGCAATTACCCCAGATGAACGAAATATCCTGTAAATATGGACAATTAAAATTTAAGAAATCTAGATGAAACTAAGCAACTTTTCAATTTAATTTTTTTTCATGGTTCGTAGTTTCTTAGTTAGAGGGTAGGGAAACCAAAATAGATAATTATCACTCAGAATTATCGCAGTTTTTTGGGGAATAAATCAACAACAACAAATCTTGTTTTCTCTGAGTACGCTTCTGACGCAATTATTGTGACTGTGAGAAGTTTTTAACAAAAGTTAGTCGATCTTTTTCTGAAAGTGTTGTTAGTGTTGTAGTTTATGAGCTCTTACTTGAGGCTAAGGAAGTTAAAATAGGAAAGGGTGTCTGTTCTGTCTGCTGGTTATATGTGGAACGCATACTTCATGTTGTGGTCCTAATCGTCGGCGTTTTGGGGGGAATGAGAGACACATTCTTGAGGGATTAAAGAGAATACCGGCATGTCGTGAACCCTGAAGAAAGTGTAAGGAACCAGTAAAGAATGGGAAACGAAATACTAACAGCTGTTCATAAACCGACAACTAGTAACACATACCCAAGTTTGATAGATAATCAAGGCGACAGCAGCCGCAACTCGATGATCTGATCAGAACTCGCAACTTTCAAGCAACAATTCAAAAGCACAAGCACCTAGAGTCATGCAAGACATGCAAAATTTGTGTAAGACCCCAAATGATAATGGATGAATATCATCGAGTTCGTAAGTTTGTTGTTGGGGGTAACAACCAGCAGCCTAATATAGTAACAGTACCAAAATTCGTCTTGTTCCATGTTACAAGAACGGGTCATCTACTTAAGGACTTAAGACTATAAAAGTGCCTGATATGAAGTGTAAAGAGTTTGAATCAATAAGGCTTTACTAACGAGAATTTGAAATGGTTAATCATAAAATCTTAAAACGTAACCTTATTAAATGTGAAGTGCGGGGGGCCATGAGTCGCGTGTAGTTGAAAGAGATGTACCATATGGCCTGGGGCAGCTCCTTTTTCTAATCTTTATTAATGATATGAAAAATAGTCCATTCAATATATTGGCCAAGACACTTGTGAAAAGTTCTGATATTCATCAGTTGAGTGGCTCCGCATCTGATTGTGATAGGAAGATGCGGTCCTTTAGTGATGAGAGTAACCTACCTTTGAATTTTACTAAAACAGAGTCAGAAAACCGGAAAGAAGTAAGAAGGGGTCTATTCAGCAGAGTAAAGTAGTAAAATTCTTGGACATAAACTTAGATTTTAGCCTACCTTGGAAAAGCCATATCAACAATCACTTACTAAGAAAATAAGTACTCTTTTATGTTGTGGAAATTGAGAAATTCTGTAAATAGAGAGATTAAGTTATCCTTCTATTATACAAATGTTAATTCCACACTATTACATGGTATGGTCACCTGGGTTGTGCGCATTGTTGAAGTAATGACTGCCAAATAAAAAATTATTAGAGCAATAACATCTACAAAGAGTACCTTTTCCTGTGTAGGCCGTTTTAGGGAGCTACTGTGCTTTCATTATATTTATAGTATGTGCTACTTATGTATGAAAAAAGAATTGAAACTTTTTAACATCTGCTAAAGTTCACAGTTATATTACTATTATTACTATTACTACCTAATTATTTGCGAATTGCACAGCATGGTTTGAGTCGTACAATGAGAAGCAGCTATGTGATGCCTAGTAATTGACAGACTCTATTAAATGAAACCACCTACCAATGAAAGAAGATTTAAAAGTTAAATAAAAAAATTATTATTGCAGGACTTTTTTGGGATCAACTGGGAGAATGGGTAATTGATTGCTGAGGAAATATGGTGAAGGAATTTCCACAGATTACTACAATCTCCTGGATTCCTCCTACGTCGGTTGTTGATAAATCATCTAGCTCTAGAGAAGCCAACAGGCTTCTCTAGAGCTTAATTAAAACTGCTTCGCCCATCAGCCTGTTGGCTTCATCAGAGCAGTTAAGCTCTGAAGAAGCAGTTGGATTTATCAACAACCGAGGCAGAAGAATTGTAAATAGTATTGTTCTGTATTATATTGGTTTGCAGGTCTTTTTTGACTGGGTGCCAATGTTGGTGTGAAGCTGAATAAAAAATAAATTTCAATGAATAAAATAAATAAATAAATAACATTTCAAAAAACTTCAGGATTGAACTTGAACTTGCTAAAGTTTCGCCAATCATCCTGTTGGCTTTTGCAGTTTCACTCAAGCTCTGAAGAAGCCAACAGGATGATTGGCGAAATGTTAGTAAATTCGACTCAACAAAAACTGACGCGGGAGGAATCCATAACTTTTGTAAACAGTATTACAGTAGCCTGTGGAAATTTCTTTCAAAAATAAATAACTGTTTGTTAATACCTTCACTCAACAAAATGATGAATAAGTGTAATATTGTTGTACAAAAACATAATGTGGACTTGGTTTTTTACGAATATACAATGTTTTGACTTCTTTTCGTCTCGGTAGCATGTAAGTTTTAGTGTGTAACTGTTACATTAATATTTAATTACCCATTGTTGGTGTTTGCGAAGAGAAATCAAATAAATAAATATATACGAACCCGTTCCGTTCGATACGTTGAAAGAGCTTCTTGATTGCAGAGACGAGTTCGAAGAATGCATTTGCTCTTCGCTCGCTTGCAGCATTTCGAAGTTCGGTATGCCTTCGGATACAGGATTAAGGGCGCTCAAGGCCGGGATGAAGTTTAAGTCACTTTCACTACATTCGGGTGCCAACAAATCGGCGATAGGGGGCGCGAACGAACCTGTTAGGCCCTTGAAAGAAGACGAACTTAATTCGTTACTTTCCGAGCTATCTACGGTGGATTCGGAAGCCTCTTTTGGTCCTGGCGACTCTAGTAGCGACGAAATCTCGGGAATTATCCCGCTTTCTAGCTCGTTGGTGACATCTTCAGATGCGGAAGAAGAAAACTTCATCATGTCAGATACGGGTTTCGATTTTACTTTAACGATGGGCACCTCGATTATATCAGATGGAGTGACATCAATCACTTCGCTTATCACTATATCTGGGATTACATTTTTCGAAGGTTGGTGATTCGTGAAGTGATGATGTAGAGCAACGTTACTGGGTACTATTGATGCCGCAGGTTCTACTGGCCCAATTTTATCAAAACCGCTGTTTTTTTTAATTTCCGTCAAATCTGTAGTGACCAAAGCGGCAGGGCCGAAGCTCGGTCTTTCCGGAGGTTCCTCGCGCAATAATTCCACGGCCACATAGTCAGCCGCTCTGAAAAGTTCAGCCTTCGCTAGCAAATATTTCAAGTGTCCCAGGGTGGGCCTTATCTTGCCGGACGTTCCCCATTCGTCGAATAATATCTCAGTGCAGGACCGTTTATATTTTAGGGATGCGTTTTCGATTATCCTAAAAATAATATCCGGTTGTGACGTCCCTACGAGTCATAGGGGGAACCAGGTAGCCATTAAATTATATCACATAGCTATCGATCATATATGCCGATAATATAGGAACTTGTAAAGCAACAATGAAAAACATTTTTAGAAAGTACATGAGCATGTGCTAGATTTTAAATCTTAAATAAGAAATTTCTGTTGTAAAAATTTTCATTGATTGAATGGACCGTCTCAAGATTTTTGTTCATAGCGGCTTCATAAGTTCTCGTGTTATAAATATTAGGCAAAGCCTCTATATGTCTAGTAGCTATATGGGGGAAGGCAATGAGTCATTCTTAAATACGACATACGGTTATTAAACTAAATAGATGTGAAATGGTTTTTGCTTCATTACATAGAAAGGATAAAATTGAGATTTCAAAATCTTCATAAGATCACTACTTTTAATGACGTTCACGACTAGTCAATGTTTTAAAATGTCTCAACTACGATAAATTCATTTTATTTTGCAAAATGTAACCATTGTTTAGCACACGGGTCAAATTCAAGATCACATCTTTATATTAACCAGTTAAAATGTACAATATCTGTTAAAATTAGGTTTATTCCAAAGTTTTTAGTTTCACCTGGTTAGTTAGTAGAAAGTTTACAATCGCTATCTAGGAATAACCTCTGAATATTTACAACAAAATATTTCCCATTTTCACATATTATATTTGCTGCCACAAAATGAGAAAAATGTTGACTTTAGCACAGAGAATATTTAGAATCCAAAATGACAGACTCGTAGGACTTGCATAAAATGCAAATGTAATATTAGATAATAATGGTTGTATTCAACAAAAAACATTTTGTTTAATGAATGATTGATATATTGATGCCTATTGAAATAGAAAAAGATAAGTGGAAATAATTTTACATTTCAAAAATTTCCCTTGCATAGTCTTGAGGATATTTGCTAAGACTCTATATTTCTTTCAGCGAAATAGATTCTACTGCTTCCACTATTCTCTCTGCTTTAAAATTTCTTGATCATTTTTAACTTTGATATGTGAGTTGTTTAAGGCGTCCAAATCGGGGTTGCCAGATGGTCACAAAAATTGCTCATTTGCGGCCAATCCATCGATTTTAAAATTTGAAATTGAATAATTCTTGCATATCTGCAGTACAATCAGCCAGACAAACGTCATGGTGAAAATACATATTTTGGCGAAAATAAAGGAACAAAGGGACAACTCTTTTAAATTGTTTATATATAAATAAATATGATTGCAGCAAGTTTACATTTCTATTTAGAATTTCTTTCCGATCCCCATATATCCAAGTGCTTGCTAGTGCCCTCATCTTCCAAGGTGTGGGTAGTTTTGGTTAGTAATTTGTTCAGTCTGTGAACATCACTTTTGAGACAAAATGTTAAATATCTCAGAGACGATGAAAATTAGGTATAATATATCCTACACAAAATATGGTTAAGAATTACCCAGGCAATCCAAACAAGCAATGATATATAGAGTCTCATCCACTTCAGGTATAACCAGAAACATGACATGAAAATATGACCTGATTATTCTACTAAAAAAAAAAAATAATATTATGTATACAAGGTGTTTCTACAGATTGCCTGATAGCATCCAAAATTATCTTCATATTTAAAAAGGGCTGACATATTATCAGATCGACTTTAGAAAACTTAGGCCAACAGTGTAAAGCTACCTGCAGTCTTACGGAGGGCCTTGAAGAGAAAGTGTTCGTAGGGATGACACTAATCATGGATTACCCAGGGGTCAATGCTTTCATCCTTGTTGTTCTTAATATATCTTGGTATGACCATGTTCTGTTACAACAAACTTGTCTAATAGGAATAGTATTGAAAGGCAAATAATGGATGGTATTGTTTGAATACGAAGGCTTAATGAAGTTATGTTATAGTTAGTTGATGCAAGTTCAACTTTGTATTTGAATTCCAATAGCTTTTGCATTTACCTCTCCTATCGAAACATGAAACAATAAATGTAACAATTCCCTACAACAATCACACGTTCTCATACTTACTTAAAGTGTTCCGAATTATACTTTGGCAAGTTGTCTATCTTTATATCGCAGACGAATGTGTTTGATCCTAAATGATTGGGGATTATGGCCATTAAACGTTTCCAGGATTCAGCGTACTCTAAAATTTGAGCCAGTTCTCTTACATAACCTGGCTGTAGCTTTCTAATTTCTAATGATGAATTCATTTGGGTGAACATAAATCAAATTGTGAGAAAAAACAAATTAAAACATAACAAACCGAAACTTAACCTAATTATCACATAATCTTCTACTTTTTTTGACTGTGATTAAGGGTCAACTGCCAGCTTAATACACTGTCCGTTGGGCACCAAACATATTAAACGAATTTCAACAGTTAATCTCTATAATCTGGGTATTTAGACGATCATAGATAAACAATTTTGTTTTTAACCCCTATTTAGCTTTAATAGCGTTATCCATCCCAGTATGATCGGTAAACTAGTAACAAACAACTAGTAACATGGCGGTGACATCACGCATCCTCATCAACAGCGCATTAGATCATTTGAAAAAATTGTCAGATTACATTTCACATTTTAATTTTCAATAATTCCTCTGCATTTTTAAAAGAAATAAATCTTTGTCTTTCCGGTTTGCGGTTCCAACACATTGAAATTTGTTTGACAAATGTAAACAAATGAAACTTTTGGATATCTCTAAAATGGTTAAATGAAAAATAAATAAGATAGAAATATAGAGATCCAAGAAATATAAACACACCCCAAAATATCATACCTAGAGCCCCTTAAATAACCCTGTGGATACTTTTAGTAACAGTGGATCATTATCGTAGGAATTATTATAGTAATTATCTAATGTCCTCATTATTTCCCCTAAAACACCTATGTGAGTGCTCTTATTTAGATTGAATCCATGAGGTATAACCGGGATTGCTGGCCTATACAGCACAGAAAGTTCGATGGGTGCTTTTTGTCTACTTTAAGTATATATGTAATGCCAATCCTATTAGAAAAACACCTTCCACTGTTCGTACTTTTGAGACTAAATTATTTCCAATTTAATAAATTAAATTAGATATTTTTTTATAAATGCTAAAATTTACTTTTTTAATCGATTTTTATTTATTCATTTAAATTAAACGTAATATGGGCATCCATATATACATTGTATGCAATTTAATGTCGCTTCGACGCCCGTAAATGTATTGATGTTTTGAATGTATTGAATAAACTAAATTGTTCACTCCAATATCGACATACGATTAGAGGAACACCTTGTAGATTGGCACTAATCGGCTGCGGCCGTTTGTTTGATGCAAAAAATGAATTCTCTCAACAACTAATAAGTTAGAATTATAATACGTAGTTTATTGTTTATTATGTTTTTAAATTTTCATGTGTTTCGAACATCTGTTCCTTAGTGCGATGTAGGTATAGTATGGCAATATTCTTGACCAATAACAGAGAGAGTGCGTGTATAAGTTCTGCACGCTACATCCGGTTTTAGCTTCGAGTCGAAGGCACAGCAAACGTAATGGTCTGCGTCGAATTTGGGTCAATTTAAAAATAAAAGAGTTTCTAATGGAATTTTGGTGTAAGAAGTTCGAACCCTCGGCAAACTTTCGATAAGTAAAACTAAGGAAGAATTCGAATTGCGAAAGTTTACTTCACTAGTTATGTAAAGAGGCTACAGAGTGACCCACCTTTGGCCTTGATTTTATTGCAGTACCACTCGGTTTTGGGTAATGGTGGGATACCCCTATGAAGAAACGAATTTAGATTTTTTAGATTTTGAAAATTTTACATTTACCTTTGCAGGTCAGTTATGTGTAAACTTATCAATAATCTGAAAACTGACCTGGATAGCCTTTTTTACGTAGGTTCCAGTGCCGCAATCAGATAAATTTGGGTATATAAATTAAACCTCTATGAATGTTAATAATTTTATTAGGTCTCTGATTAGGTTTTTTAAAATATATAAAACATAACAAAATTTATTTTGCTTATAAATACGTCAAGTACAATAGAGTTTTATTTAAATAAATTACTATTATTATAAAAATTAAATTTTTACACTCCACGCTTTAAGGTAGGACGCGGTATGGTTCACATTAGAAATTATTGTAGAAAACCGACTTTTAAAATTCAAGATAATAATTCCGAATTCTGGTGGCTATTTACAGCTTTTTGTCTTGGCTAATTCATTCAGTAAATTTATTTTCAAATTTACAGAACCGTCCGATTTCCAAATAGTAAAGACTTTATGCAAAAAACGGTCAGAAAATATTATGAATGCTCATCATTTTGATTACATGAGCGAATATTTGCCACTTGACGAGACTTGCGAGTTATGTACCATGATTTCCACATAAAAAGGATAGGACACCGTGAGATCTACGATGTCAGCATTTGACCACGATGGTACTATGAAGAGACCGTGAGATTCACATTGTCAGCTTTTCGGATACGAACCCATAAAGTCTTAGTTTTAAGCAATATGAAGGATTCTTGTTGTAAGTGCTGCTGCAGAAACTCTTAATTTTCGATTGTATTTTGAAAATAAAATTTTTTAAAAAGTCATCTCTTTCTTATCTTCTGTAAATGTATTATTACAATAAAAACACTCATCTGTACTGCTTTTTTTTTAGTCATTTTCTTGAATTTTATTCATTTTTTTTTTATCTTGCGAGACAGTGATCAAACCATTCGTCATGTACATTTAACCTATTTTTTGTGCAATGGTTAATGTTCCAGGTTGCGAGCCTTCCAGAAATTGAGACTTCATGCACGCTATAAGTAACGAATAAGTAACATGGAAAGTACAAAAATACCACTTGCACCTGCTGCCACGCTCTGCATCTGTTCAGAGTGTCCACTTTTTTTCGGCCGCTTGCAGCAGTGACTGTCGATGGAAGACCTTGCACAGTGGTTATTCCCGTTTCGCCAACGTTATATATCCTTGAAAAATTAACTCGTCGTGCACAGGTTACAAAATCTCAAAAAATGCTGTTACTGTTGTCAGATGACGCTTCAGTTAAGCGAAAACATAAATTATTAAGTTTTAAAAAGGAATGAAACCAATCCCAACCAGCCATTTCCTGTTCTCTGTTGAAGTAGGCCTTTTAAATATCCGTTTTGTACATTGACTCTTCCGTCCGGTCCGGTAGAACTTTTATATTGTTTATGCATCTGCACAAAGTATAAACTATTACTATTACTCAAAAAACAACTGTTGCGGTAAAAAAAAACCTTTGTATTTGTTTCACATTTTCTTTACATAGTAATAAATATTTATTATAAATTAAAGTCAAAAATGTAAGTTAATATAAATACTTGACACAAGGTTAATAATGATCAAAGGTATACAAATATATCAAATCATTACAAAAAGTTAATATTTACTTTTGAGTATATAGATTTGATCGCTACTAATAACTGACAGCAAGAATTGCAGCGACATAATGGAAAAATAAAAATCCTAAACTCATAGTGAAAATTCAGGAAACATATATACAGTGTGCGATAAAACAAGGCTTGTTAATGTTACAGAGGAATAAGTCCCGTTTTAACCAAGTATCCCAAAATAATATCTTTTACCATGAACTTTATTTATAAAAATGATTTTTTTATCGCGTACTCTAAACAGCGAAAAGAATCGGGGTGACTTTTCTTCCCCTTAAATTACCACAGTCACGGACGTTAATTCGAAGTATAAATCGGTTAAGGGAAAGTTTGGAGGGGAAGCCTTTCTTATTGGCCAAGATTTCTGCAATTTTCCGCCACCCGCTTCTTGGAACAGATTTTCCGTTTCAACTTCCCAGTTACGTACGTGCTGCGGCCCATTATGCGGGGAACCGGATTTTGTTGTTTGCGCGCGTTTGTTAAAAACAAAGCAACTGAGTTTTATTAGACAAAAATGTAAACTAATTTAAAAATCGGCTGCGGGGATGTGGACTTAGCCGGTCCTGGTTGAGTTTAAAAAATTATATATATCGAAATAATTTATATCAAATAACGCGAACATGTCTCAACCGGGGGGCAAAAGGGGAGGTGGGAAAGGACCACCCAAAGACAAGAACGAAGACTCTAAAGATAATCAACAAGGTAAATATAAATTTGCAAATAAAAATAACAACAAAGTATTGATAATATTTTTCGAAACGCTGTTTGTTATTAACATTAATATCATCATTATTATTATTATTATTATTATTATTATTATTATTATTATTATTACTATTATTATTATTATATTATAATAGATATTTCAGAGTACAATATGAATTCAAAAACTACTCATTTATTTTATTTATTTGCTGTGCTTACAATTTACCAAAAATTTGAATTCTTAATACCTACATATGAAATGTAAATAATTGTTTATTAATAATTTAAGTTTCCATCGAAAATACTTAATGTTTATTTATTTATTTTTTAATTCCTAAAACCCAATCGAAACAACATTAAAAATTACTAATAAGGAAACTGAAAAAGAAAAACTAAATGTAATATTTTAGTTTTCAAAGAAATAATATAAAGATTAGCTTAATCACTTTTTTTCTTTTAAATGTCATTTTAATTTTTTTAGTTTTAGTCTTCATTTGTTATAAAAAAATCACTTTTTCTTTGAAACAATAAATATATGGATTTCTGATTTATTAATAATTCATTGCGAATTTTGTTAATATGAAAAAATTTTGGATAGTATGCGTTATTGCCAATTCTATAAATATGATGGCGAATTTCTTCTTATTTCTAAAATTACTTAGAAAATTAGAGCAATCGATACTAAGAACGAGTCATTTATAAACAGTGACTCAAATCTAACTTTGCATTCTTTTCAAGAAGTTCATGGTTCAATTGGAAAATTTTATGTGACAGTCTATAAATCAATAAGGCAAAGCAGTGAATGCATTGGAAAGAAACTAAGTATAAAAGGAGTTGAACTTACTTATTTAAAAAATAATTTGGAGTTTGGTCATAAATAATAATATTTTGCAGAACTTTATCACTTCATCTATATCGCGTATGAATCGAAACTTTATCGAACTCTGGCACATTGATATTAAATTCAATTCAATTCAAAACACATTTTAGGGGATATACCATATAGCAAATAAATACTGTTTATATCACATATTAATAGAATTACAATTCAACAATTAAAAAAATATGTTATAACAAAAACCAACAATTCAGTTTCTAGGACAAAGCAGGTCTCCCATATATCGATATAAATTTTTCAAAAATTGAACTGAGGTGGCTTTTACTTGATGAAAATCCATTTATCAAAATAAATGAGAACTAAAAGTTCAGATTTTGACGAAATTATATGTTTTAACACGACAATTGTTTCGACAACACCGCGTCTTTATCAAATGTACACATTTGTAAAAATCTGAACTTTTAGTTCTTATTCATTTTGATATTTTTTTCGGATTATTCCTAAAAGATTTAGCAGACGGACATGCTGCTGTAGATCTTATTATACACTCAAATAGCTTTATTTGTGAATCATCTCTAAAACGTAGTTGTATGGTGCTTAGGAATCTGATTCATGTACCATGTATCACGTTGATGGATGTTGAATCCGTTTATTAATTTGGTAAATAACTACGAAGTTTTTGCGCATTATTAAATTTTATAAACTACAGTTGCAAGGTAACTTAGATTGTTTCAGAGAGTAAGAAATGTGATCATAGTTTCCAGATATGATCAGTTTTTTTGCAGAGATACTTTATTTTTTAAAGTAAGACATTGATAACTCAAGTTTGACAATATTAGACTACCACATGATTTTAGTCTAATCTCTGCCGTAATAATGTTCTAGAACATATACGGGATAACCAGCAATTAGTATAATAGCATATTCTAGGTCCAAAATAAGCGCTACTTTTCTATATAGCACCCGAACGGAGGCACATGCTATAAAATGAATGGACCAGAAAATAGTGTTAATATTTCCGAAACAGGCTGAGAGAAAGTTTTTAAATCTTAGCAATTTGGTAATAATGCTGAATATAAAAATTCTGAAATTAAAAAATAGGCTTTGAAGCAGAATTGATAGGATTGTTGTTTTGTTGCCAGTTTGACATTGTTTCAGACGTTTTTTTTATTTGATTTTGAAGTATGGAGATCGGAGGGGATTTTATAACATACAAAAAAATCTAGCACAACGTGTATGGTTTAGTCGATCTCGGAGGCAAGAAAGGCCTATGGGAAATTATAATTACAAGGGACCGCACCAAGCAGAATTGAGGAAAATCTTGAAATAGCATTAAGATTGTAAATTTGCTGATATGAGGTTTCAATCTCTTCACGTCGATATTTTTCTATAAATTCTATGAAAAGCAAAACTTTTCCCGCTATTTTCTCGTTTGAATGAATTAATCTTTACTTTGGAAGAATGGCCCAAATAAAAGGATTACATTCCATCCTAAAAATTTAAGTATTTTCCAATCTTCTGGATCGGTTGTTGATGAATCGAACTGGTGACGTTCCATTAATTACTCGGTTGGCTTTTTCAGAGCTTAACTGAAACTGGCTCGCATTCTACTTTGTTTATTATTCAAAAAGCTAAAAGAGGGGTATGAACATTGTGTCGGATGACTGATACCTATATTGGAGAAAAGTAAAGACCTGAGTCGCAGTTAAGATTATTTTGTTGCTTTTATTCTATATAAAACTCGGATTTTTCTCTGGTAGATTAATTCATTAAATTCAAGAATTTTAGTTTCATCGAATAAAATTATATGTCCGGTTTCGTGATTATGTTCGACAACTGCTGATTAGTTTATTAGTGTTAAGGCTGTTTCATATTCTTTGAGCATAGTTGATATTTTTCTTCCATTGTCTCCAATGTATTCTTTGTCTCATATGCATAGAATGCTGTAAACTCCTGGTATTTCAAATTGAATTTTGTCTTTGACGGGTCGAAGAAGTTGAGATATTTTTGGACAAGTGGTTTTGACGTTAAAATCTGGAACTAAACCTTCTCATCATTTTTGAAGAAACATCGGGAACAGCTATGGGTTCTCCATTATCACGAGAGATCGTGAATATATTTAAAAGAGAAGAAAGAGCTCTAGACCATCTATAATAATATTAATCTATAACCAAAATAATATGTAATCTATAACCAAAATTATGAAAACGCTACGTTGATGATACTTTTGTTATTTGACCTCGTGGTCAAGAATCCCTCCAACGTTTTACCATTGAATTAGAAACTAATAATAATTTCTCATTATTAGATATTATTAATAGAAAATCAGACCTAACATATGTCATTCTGTTTGCAGTCCCTTAAGTCCACCTAAATTCAGAATATGACAATTTTAAACAAACCAAAGACTGATAAATATAAGAAAAAGAAAAAAAGGAAAAACATAGACACTGGAAAAAAGCAAGGACAATATTCAAAAACGACTAAAAGAAAAACAATAAGAAAAAAAAGGAGTTCAGCCTCTCCTTAATCTCACCAGATCTTTTGATTTCATTTTAAATGTAATGAACAAGTAGTAAATGTGAAAGAGCTCTAAAACGTACAATGCTTGGGAACATAGAATTACGGTTACGGTGACGAGTTGCCCTATTGTATATATATATATATATATATATATATATATATATATATATATATATATATATATATATATATATATATATATATATATATCACTATAAATGCCATTTACCCCAATCTAACGTAAACAGATGCACAAAATACCTTTCAGACAGATTTAACTACTCAGAATCCTTGAGTACCGGCGTTATATGACCAAATTTACGGAAACTATAGCTGTATCTCAGGCAGACACTTAGAGCCGGCTAGTATACAAAGAACGCACATCTTAATAGAGAAAGTATAAGAGGGTCACACAATTTAAGTCTAATCTCAGTAGATAAGTAGTCTTTATACATGTAAAGTACCCTCAGTTTACCGTAGGACTTCTGCAGTAAATAAGACAAGTGAGAATTAAAAAGCTCCTAAGTTTTTACATTTCTCGACAAATTCAAGCGGAATACCATTCAAGGAAAGTTTCAGATTATTGTACTGGATAATTTCCTCTTTTTCATTGCCAAACAGAAAAACCTGAGTCTTGGAATCGTTTAATTTCAGACCATGGGCTTTGGAGATTCTAGAAATCACTTCAAGATCAAGACAAAGCGACATGGTTGACCGAGAAAGATAAATATATTTGCCTATCATCAGCATACTGATGAGAATAACATTTATTTAGCTGCCTAAGGAGTCAGTGGTGTAAATAAAGAACAATAAAGATTCCAAAATGCTGCCTTGCGGAATTGCCGACGACCTGTCAAGTAACTTTTCATAAAAGTAGTAACGGTGTCGGTTAAACTGAAGAACTTTAATTTTAAAATAAGAAGATTATGATTTAAGGTATCGAAGGCAATCCAAAAAAACAAGCAAGTATTTCTTTACATATTCTGAGCCCTAAAAAGGTCATCAGTGACATTAAGCAGTGCTGTGGTCGTACTGTACCCGGACCTAAACCCAGATTGGGAGGCAGGCCAAATATTCGAATGAAAAACATGAACAATGAACACAGAGCAAGCTAATAGGGCGAAAATATGAGATTTCAGATGGTGAATTTATCTTAGGAAGAGGTATTATATTAGCCTTCTTCCAAAATGAGGGAAATTTGCTGGTAGCAATACATTGTTACAGTTGCAAAGTTAAGGACGTACTAGTTATTCTAGTAGGCTGTGTTACTAATTAATAGAGGTAGTATTTGTCCAGAAAACGGCTAAGATGCTTATAACTATTACTAGCTACATTAATAAAATCAACATTAAAGTCTGCCCCAAAACATAAACAATCAAACTGCGGCATCAAAATTGGTATATATGGTATAAGCAAGTACATTAATAAAATCAACATTCAAGTCTGCCCCAAAACATAAAAAATCAAACTGCGGCATCAAAATGGTCATATATGTTATAAGCAAGTACAGCGTAGAACGCGAGCCAGTTTCAGTAAAGCTCTAAAAAAGCCAACAGGATGATTGGCGAAATGTCAGCAAGTTCGATTCGTCAACGCAAGAGGAGTCCAGAAGAGTTTTAAATAGTATTATAGTAGCCTGTGGAACTTTCTTTGAAAAATATACAGAATTTAAGACCCGAAGACTTTCCAAATTGTTTAGAATTTTGGCAGTGGATTCTCAACCATTACGATATTTTGGACAAAATTATGTGGTCTTACGAGGCAATATGTGACAACATTTTTCTCTAAAATTAGGTATATCATTCAAGTGTACGTTTCGGAAATATTGATAAAAACAAAAACATTTTCAGGGCCATGATTGAAGCCTATATTCTGTGCGTATTAAATCAAAGCTTTTAGAAAATAAAAACAATAACTAAAGTTTCCCGTCTCACTTTTCCGCACTACTTAAGAGCGCCTCGTATTAAGAGTGTGTCAAAAAGCATGGGCCTACCATTCCAGGCTTATACCGTATTACTTCAGCCTAGATATCTATAATCTGCCTCGAATCTTCTAGTGTTAATAAAAGTTTTGTACACTAGATTTTAAACTCGGCTCATAAAACAATATGAACAATTTGAGATTAGTGGATTTTGCAAGCCGTTGTTGCAGTCCTCATTGAATTATCCTAAATGATTTCGTACAAATACACTGAAATAAGTAGTCGTGCTATTGTACATTGTACATACATATGCAATGCAATTGGCACACATGATTATCATTGCAAATTGGAATGGCATTCTTAGAAAAAATTGCTACATATCTGAACACAATTTGACAACTCGAGGCCTATCTTTATTGAATTCTCATTTTCGGTAAGGCATCGGTATTAGAAGAAAAATATTCATGAAGAAAAAAATTAATTCAACCCAACATTAAAAATCAAATAAACATCAAGTTAAGACGATTTTAAAGTTATTTTAAATCAATAAAGATTTACTGAATATGTGTCTTGAAAAATTAGTCGAATTATCTGACAAAGAGACGCAATTAGATTAGAATATCCCAAGAAATTATTTACATAAAAAAATGTCAGTGACGTACTATATGTTCTACACCTGACAATTCATCTTGATGCATATACCAATTTTCACAAACAATATTATATAAATAAATATTAACAAAAATATATATAAAAAAGATTTATTTTCCTGAAAACTTTATCTCTTTTCAATTTCCCGTGTGACAGACTAATTCCGTTGATAACTAGAAGACTTTTACGGACCAGTTTAAAAAATATGAAAAGCGATGACGTTGTTTGCTGGCGAAGCAGTACACTAGAGAGTCTCGATAAGACTAGTAAAGAAACATAGTGAAAGTGTACTGAATACACCGCCCGCCATATCATTACGAACTAAATCCTAAAGAACTTTTACGGCGCAATTATATCTCTTTTCTTTGTTGTTATTATTTTACTTTATTGCAATATATTATAATGTTACAATATTTCAATTTTAAAGCATTAGCATATTATTTATCAGTTTGTAACAATTTAATCTCAAATAAAATTAGAATACTAAAAAATTAGATAACATTAAAAAATAATCATACTTACCAAGAAGTGTGATTGTTATGGTTGATTAGTAGTTGAATGTATTCATGATAAACAATGTACTAACATTGCAAATGTGCGTACAACAAAGTAACGCAGTAGAATAAAACTTTTAAACATAATTTTAAATATTACATTTTATATTGTGCCAATGATTGGGGTAGTTCACTATATCATTTTAAAAAAACCAAAAAATATGTGGAAAGTGTGTTTTGTAATAGTAATATTTCCATAATATTTTATTGTTCTACCTATTTTGTCTTGCTTATATAAGAAACTACGCATTATTTTAAACAAAGAATCGCCTCCTTAAGCTTTTCGCATTTGTTTTGTAACATCCTGTATATAAATTAAGCAATAAATGCTGTAATACAGTTCTCTGTGCCATGCACATATTCACAAAACTTTGGTCATTCAAAAAGTCACTATTTTCGTATATTGAGTCCTGTCTGTTAGACAGTGTCTAAAAAAATCACCAACAACGCCCCGGATTCCATATTTTACAAGAATTTCTGCTAAGCGTGCGAACGTAGAAGTTTAAAACTAGACTCAAATATCATTCCAATTATATGACATATAGGATCAACAATATCTAAGTGTAAAAATCTTAACATTTGGTAATTAATTTTATCATTTCCTGAAGCTCAATGGATTTTGAAAGTATTTATGTGTTTGATTGTCTTAATTTGCAGTAACTTAAATTGAAAATATCGACCGTACACTTTTTTGTTTTATCATGACTGGAGAGATGGGCAATACTATCTTAGCAGCCAAGATCTTAGCCATTTCTTTTTTATTATTTGTTAAAATATCATGTCTTTTTTAAGGATGTGTTTCCATTAAGTCAGTTTTTGTTTTCACTGGTGGATTCATTAATTAGTATCTGAAATATACTAGAATAGCTTCATGATTAAGACTGATAAATCTTGTGGAGTTAAAGCTGAAGCTTGATTCGGCCGCTGCGTCATTAAAATGCAACTATCTTAAAAATCTCGAGTAATTACGAATATTTTTAATAGGATCAAAAGAGAAGGATGAGACCGGAAGTAATCCCGAAGGTGACGACACGCCAAGTTCGAAGCCTCAAAGTGCGGGCGCGAATGTCAGAGACGCGGCTCAAAGGATATTGACGCTCTGCCAAAAGGGCGAATGGGGTCCTGTTGATCAAGTCCTAAAATCAATGGAGAAAGCAATGGCCAGTGCGGGAGAGGACGCCAATACGATACCGTTGGCGGGAGTAGCGGACTTGGTAAGAATTGCCATTTTCTTGTTGAACGGATCCAACTAAAAAGTCAATTTACATTTTTTAAATGTAAGTGCCAACCTTTTTGTGAGAAACCATCTTCATCTTTATCATTGGTTAGCTTGAAAAAAGAAAATACGAATGGCGGAAGGCAATACATTTTTGAAATGTTTTATAAAAAAATATAAAAAAGTTATAAAATATGGTTCGTCGCCGTTTAATATCTTGAGAACAGTTGGAAAAAGAGAAAAAATAGTAGCTGCATGAGACACATGTATGTACAGGATGTCCGATAAATGTGTAAGAAAGTAAAGTTATGTTAGATGTTTGTTCACATTTGAATTCGATAGATAACTTGAAACAAATTTTGTATAAGATATGCTATGCTAATTGCTTAAATATTTGTGATTTTTCAAAAACTATAAGAAGTGCGAGGCCTTTTATTCGTGAATTTTATGAGTATCGCTGACTCTGAAATGTAATTGCTTAAATTAACAGAGCTACTCAGCCCTATGAGGAATGTCTCGATCAGTGGGGAGAAACATCATATTTGAATTTGTTTAAATGGAAAACTAATGTTTTTGCCTTTTATCTTAAAAACCAAAATACTTACAACAATAAAATATTAGGGCAGTATTACTATTATGAAAACACTCGATAGAAATAGACTACCCTATCATTCCTAGCTAAATTACAAAAAAAAACATAAACAATAGACGCCTTTATTAAAAATTCCTTCAATTTTTCCAGAAAAATCAATCCCGCCAGTTTCCAATTAAAAATAATAAAACGTAAATAATTTATATGGGTGCTACCAAATAGTTGTATTTTGGATCGATATTTATCAACCCTATTTTAAAAATAATTTATTAATAATCATTTCTGGAAGACGCATAAGGCAAAATAAAAACAAAATTTTTGAAGTAAGTGTTAAAAGGCCTCCCTTGCGATATAATTCGTGCATTTTTTCTACGCATCATTCAGTCCCTGCATTGCAAAAATGCAAATATTTAATTATTTATTGAAGTAGTGCAAACTTATTCTTTTAGATACCCCCAGATACAATAATCCAAGGAATTTAAATATGAGACAGTCCACCTCTTCCTATCCAGCAGTTTTCACAAATAATATTTCTAGTTAGCATGGGTCTATTTTCTGAAAAAGAACGTTATTCTTCTTATACTTAAAAAATGTGGCACAATTAAATGATAGATAATTAATTAATAAATTACTAACACTAGAATCAGTTTTTATAGGTTGAATTTTTAAGGGCCGGTATCTCAGCTCTTTTTACGAAAAAGTGTTTTAATACAAGTAGCAGTAATGGCCAGTTCTTCCTGCGATAACTATAAAACAAAATAAATTAAATTATCTTAGTCCTTATAATCGGTGTTCTTATCGTTCAAACTTTAAAACTGACCAGTGACCAGTGACAGGTTATAGTTATTTTCTAAATTAAGAACAAATCAATGTCACTTCTTTCGTTTAATTATGATTGGGGCATAACTTTAATATTATTATTGTCAACAATGTATAAAGGAATAATGTTTTCAGTTAAAAAATTCTAATTATCGTTGTATATAAAAAAATGATAAAAATGCAAATATATTATAAAAACAATATATAGATAATAAAAATATACTATACCACACTAACTGATTGAATATGAATGTTGCTCTGAACGTTGAAAATGTCCGGCATTTTCCTAAAAATACAGGTCGATTCTTAACTTATCCAAAGCTTTAATTATACAGTCAGCATAAAAACACTAATTATTTGTTTCGTTCATAATTAATTTTTCTATACTGTCGTCTATATTGCGCAAAATAAATTTCACTGTTGGAATATCGCTACAAGAAGTTACTTGGAAGAGTAAGATCCAAGTTACTGACTTATCATAATATTGTATTTTTTTTTTGTATATTGTGTATTATTGAAATATTTTGTCACTGAAGCAACATTATGAAAAGGACACGATTTTAATATTTTCTAAAATCTCTTGAATGTTATTTTGCATTTTTATCATTTATTATATACAAAGACAATATTTTGAATTATTCGGAAAGTGAAAATATTCTTTTATGGTATTTTGATCAATAGTAATTTTCAAGGTGTCTGTCATGAGCGTGTCGATTTTATTTTCGGCAAATTCCAGCCTAGTAAAATATTTTTGATATCAGCGCAAAATTACCTTTCTTTTTATGAAAGGTTATACAGGGCTTCCGATTTTCTAAAAAATATTAGTTTGATATACTCTGTTTTTGCTGTATTTGCTGCCTTGCGTGTACGGCCAGATAACCTTTTCTTAATCTTATACGTCATCTTATTTATTTTTTTTAGGCAACCGGAATGACCCCTTTAATGTACGCGGTCAAGGATAACAAAACAGCCTTGGTAGATAAGTTGATAGATTTGGGATCTGATGTTTGCGCAAGAAACAATGTAAGTACTGTGATTTTATTTTGCTTACAAATACACTGAGAGAAATAAATTTTGCCCAAAAATTAAGTTCCGTTGTTTATGCCTAATTAAACGTTGTATACTAAACACTTGAACTTATTGCATTACAGAGCACCAGGGAGGGCATTTTAATGTGTTTTAAACAAGTTAAAAATACGAAAATTATTCGTTATGTTATATTTATTTAGGTATAATAAAGTCAACTATTCGTTAGAAGTTTTTCGGCTTACGAAAAACTTTGATGTTTCAAATTTTCCGACTTACACCGGAAGTAACCATTAACAGCCATATTTTAAATGGAAGACAGTGTATATTATTTTACTTTTGGATTTCTGAGGAAAGTGTCTGAGTTTCATTAAGTTTCCTATTTATTTTAAACTGTTTCTCAAATATTTTGTTTTTTTTTTAACATTCTTACAGTTTTATCCCTATTTTTAACGGTGATTTTTTTATCAATTTTTGATTGGTGCTTCTGCAACAATGTATTTCGTGTTTTATGCGTTTTAATTTCAACTTGACAAGGTGTCAATGCTATTTAAAACAGTTTATTATTTTCGTTTTCAGTTCACTTTATTGTCTTCGCTTTTGTAACAAATAACTGCTATTTGAAAAATGGTGTTTAGCAAAACATTTCGCCTCCTGGAAAAGTGTGATTTGTGGCTTCTTTTACCAGATATGTTTACTTAATTGAATTAGAGAACACTAGAGACCTATATGATTTAGCAATTTTACCAATCATCATCTATTAAAAATCAAAAATTGTAGACGAAGTTTGTCGTTTGATCAAGATTTCTCTTAAGCAAATTTGAGTTATCCACTTTTTTTGGTTAGTTTTGGTTAGTGAGTGTGTTTTGGGTGATAATCCTGAGTCAGGCGTTCTCTCCCTAATTGAAGAAACTAACTGAACTAAAGATTCACCAAAACCTAGTAATGAAATATGGCAAGCACAAGTTGGCAATTAATGTGGATATTAATAAATATGCATTTTAAAAATCGTCTTTCCATTATTTTAGCCAATTTAATATTTGGGTAACGGATTAATCACTTTTTTTTAATGCCCAATATATTTCTGACCATCATCTCGAATCAATAGTAGTGATTGGTGTTTCGGCAAAATTTTTGAAATGTTTCGGTGTGCATTTACAATAAATAATGAATTCTTGTCTAAATATTTATAATATATAAGTATTCGCCGAGAATCATATGTATCATATAATGCGCGCTAATGGTCGAAAACCTCATCAAGTTGCATTTGCGAGGTTTATCGATCACCCGTTGGTTGCTATTAACGGGGGAATTTGAAATAAGATCGTTTACATGCTGAATATTTAGGAACTCGTTGCTTTTTACTGGGGCTGGTTGGGGCCAGAAACGTAGAATTTGCATATCAATAAGGGAAAGAAATCGTAAATAAGAGTAAATATATAACTAAATGTCTCCTTGCAATGTTTAGAGTCGATGTTCCCGCAATACATAAATCTTCCTCACGAATTTAGATTTTAAATCTGCAATTGTTCAAAATCATATTTGGGGCCCAGATAAAGAAACACTAAAGCTTTATTACATTCGACGAAGCTTAAACCGAATACTGTACATTTCTTAAATTACATGTTAAACTGTGATGTCTTTTTGATTATATCGATTCGAGTTGTTTCAATGAAAACTTTAACCCAGAATCCCCATTTTTAACACTTTGACGTGCTATCCCACTCACCTCTAAAGATAGGGTTTTCGCAATAGTTTGCTAAACTATCTTTCCTAACGCGAGAGAGTGATAAACTTTAAATTAAAAAAAAACAGGAATCATTAAAGAAAGTGCACAATTTAAACCTTATATTGTAAAGATTATGATATAGAAAATTCACATCCCGAAATTTTATGTTATATTTTCATTTAACAGCTTATGTTCGATAAATATGAATATAATCCAAATTTGAAAATGTAAAACTTCCTTGTATTTTAATTTTTGTATCAAATCAAAATAAGTCACTTCACGGCAAAAATTTAGTAATTTAGAAAAACACATAAAACAATAATTAAAAATGTACATTTACCATCAAATAGGTTTCATCATCTCTCTTGTGAATCGATCAACTTCCTCTCGAGTTAATAGCTTAGATTTCCTAAGATGATTTCCAAAAGACGATGGTAAAGATCATTCCAAAGTGAACAGCGATTGAGAATTTCTAGGAATCATCAAGAATTGCTGGACAAGTTATTTCGGACATGTATTCAGAGGCACAAGATACGAGTTTTTAAGATAAGTTATAAAGGGCAAGAATGAGGTACACGAATTAAATAATTATATTATTTATGCTTGAAAAATGCCGACGAAGTCTAACCGTCTATTAGAAAGCGGCACCTCAAGAAAATGAAAAAGAAGTGAATTAAACTGCCTCAGTATAATGTTTTGAAGTTTACTGTGCCATATTTTTTAATCTCCCATTGTTTACATTCTAAAACATTTGTTAATGTGTTTTGTGACGATTATCTTAATGCGACAAATAAAAATTTTCTACTCCCATTTGCAAAATACCTCATTACCTGCCGACCTAGCGTGCGGAAAGCGTCAGTTTATCACTTGAGTTTTATTTCCCGCGGATCCGAGCAACTTCGGACATTTCCGGGATTTTATCGCACGGGTTTGGGAGCAACCGGATGATTTCGTAGAAATTTCCCACTCCTTGAATTTCGACGTTTGTCAATTCTGTGAATGTATTCGTGTTGTTTGGTGAAAATGTACCCAAAAACTAACGGTCGCAGAAAAAGTATAGTATACAACACGTTCGGTAAACTTTTTAACTCACTCGTTTATTAAACACCCGCTCCGCAGTGCCGCTAGTGCCAAATAAACTCGTGAGTCAAATGCAGTTTACCGCACTTGTTGCATAATTTTGGCAATATAAAATTTTTTCAATAGTTTAATGTGTTTAATATATTATCATTGTTATGGATTAATATATCTTTTGTTAATCTGAGGATTACCAATAATAAAGACTATAAAATGTAGCTATCAGGAGCTACCTACTCATTTCCTATGACTTTTTCTAATTCGTGAGGCTATAATTTGGACATACTTTTTTTATACGTAATGGCCGTGTCATATACAGGGTGGATTTTAGATTAGTCGTGAAAATAATGATGTTATGCCAAATACGCTTTAGTAAAATGGCGCCCTTTAGAGAGATACAGCGTGGTAAGTTCTCGAAATTGTTATATTTTTATAGCTCAAACTGTTTTTAAGATATCGACATTAACTTTTACTCGAGGTTTATAGAGATGAGGAATATGATTACTTACTATTTTTTCCCATAGTACGTATTGGGTGCCAGAAACATTCTATAATCTCCCTATTTTATTCCATAACTTTTTTTTAATTGTTTTTGCAAAAAAATATGATGTAAGTAAAAAAGATCTACGTTTCGAGACGTTTGCAATGCAATACACTGATCCCTACAAAAAACTGACCACTGATACTGCTTCCAATTTTAAAGTTATATATGTAAATTCAGTTTTGCCACACTGTATAATAATGGTAATATAATAACTTGCCTATTAGATGAGACTTAAAAATATGCTTGCATTTAATTTTCTTTTCCTTTTTCTTTAGTTACTTTTCCCTATAAGATAATACATGTATTAGTGGAGTGTGTGTACTCTTTTAGTTTTATTAGCGCCTAGCGGAATATTTTTTAATGCACTGTTCTAACGACATTAGCTTCTTTTTACTGGATAGTCTGCAGAAGAACACGTTATTCTGGTTGGCTCTTTTATATTTATAATTATCTGCATTTTATTTTACTTTTAAAGCTAAAACCGACAAACAATCTTCTTATCAAACACTGATTGCATTTTCTGAATATAAAAATTGCCGCACCCATTTTAGTAAACAGCAGAAAAATCAGATGGACACATCTGCTATTTACAAATATGCAATGCGGTCGGTACTTCTTTCGGCAGAACGTTTGACACCTTTCCGCAGTTTATGCAGACCGCAATACATCTACATCGATAAATTTTAATCAAATTTAGTGGCACGCCCCGCTAAGTTTATCAAACTTGCACCCCGGCTTTAATCGTAACGATGCAGAAGGGTAGCACGTGATTAATATTTCGAACTACTTTAAAAAATTGATCCGGTTCTATTTTCGGACTAAATGGATCAAAAATAATACCGGTAAATGATGGAAGTTTGTTTACGATAATTACGTCGGCGAGAATAGTAAAACGCTCTGAGCCAGGGGAAATTTCGGAACGAATGATTAAGTCACTTTCATTGTTTGGCATTCATTTCATTGCAAAATTTTTTCTTGCTGATGCTTGTAAAAAGAAAAAGATATTATTATATACTTTTTGAGAGAATTGAAGGTAAAATCCTTTACGGACGCCCTGCGTGGCAAGGCGTGGGACTCTCTGGTGAGATGTGCACTCCAGATTTAGCCACTAAAACACCCCAATCTACAGCATCGACTGCTAGGGTCCTTAGCTGTCAATTTCTATTGCATTCACACATATGTCCCTCGTCTAATTATAATATTTTCTATATATTATTACATATGTTAATGTCTTTGAAATATAACAGCGTGTGTTTCATCTGTTCCTTCTTCAAAAAGGTGTTAAATCCAGTTTTGACTGATTTTTCGCTAACCAATTGTCTGAACTATTTTCTCCTTGCTACCAAGTTATTTGCAATTGCGATGTCATCGTCATCTATCAATTTCCTTGCTAGATTAACCCCAATTTCTTCTACTGGAGTAACCATGTACATCGGAGAATACGAATTCATTGTTTGAGTTTTTTGGATATGTTTTTATAGTCATTTGATGGCATTAATTGAGATTCACAGTTCTTGGAAAGGCATCCAAGCGAAGCCTAATTCGCATATTTTGAACGCGATCTAGTAAACCAAGTAAGCTTTTTCTCGCAGATGAATATACGATACTGCCAAAGTCAATTTTTGAGAGAATGAGGGCCTTGTATATTTGTATTGGGCGAGATTTTTAATTTAGCTAATAAATCTAAATTGATATCAAAACCTACTGATACCAAGTGTTCTCTTTTTTTGTAGGCTTTCTGCATGTTCAAGTAATACTAGATAATCTATAGTGGATCGTTTCTTTCCATACCCTACTTGGTAACAGACAAAGATGTTGTTACTTTCTAGGTAGCTCTGAAGTCTGTTGTTCACCATTTTCCAGGTGAACCTAATTGGGGATATTATTACAACAGAAACGAGCAAGCGAAAATGTTGGAAAGTATTGTTCAATTCTTCACTTAATATTCTTGTTTTCTGAGAAAAAAAACTATATTACACATAGCTAAAATCGAGAACATTGTAATAATTTGATTCCTTTTCGTTGAATAGTTTTTCCCTATCTTTTAAGGGAACGTCATCTGAATGCTCGAACCTTTTCGGAAATAATGCTAAACTTGGGGTCGTTGAAAAGAGCTCTTCTTAGGTCCTTAGTGGATTAATGTCGATTACTTGTATCACCACTAGAAGGCGTTTTGCTAAAAAAAATCAATACAAAGAATATCTACCATTAATAATTCCTAAAATTTTCTTCTATTAACAAAATTACTGTTAAAACTTTAGAATATAAATATTGCAATATTGCAATATTGAAAAACAATAACACAGATACAACATGCGTTTTGATGTGGGATATTCCATCGCATAAATTCAGAAACAGATACATGTATTTTCAATGTTCTGAAAATAAACGCGAAATATATCAAGCTCTTCTGCAGGTATATAAAACTTTTTTTTACAGTTACAGGCACCCAAAATACACTATGTATATACACCATTATAATTTTTGCTCTTTTGTTTTCCAAAATACGCAATTTAGAATTTAGTGTAGACAGATGGGCAATATTCATTTTTTTTTTTTTTTGAAAGAAACTTGTACAAGCGTCGGTTATTGATGAATCGAACTGGCTCACGTTTCACTAATCATAATGTTGGCTTCTTCAGAGCTTATCTGAAACCAGAAAGAACCAACCCGTTTCAGTTAAGCTTTGACCAAAGCGAGAGGATGATTGGGGAAACGTCATCAAGTTCAATTCATCAACAACTGAAGCAGGAGGACTCCAGAAAATTTGTAAATCATATTCAATCATAATGAGCAAATGTTAATTATTAATAACATTTTAATTATAACTTTTGCATTTTAGCAGTAAATTTGTACATATTTTGCTGACAATATTCCAAAATCTCATCTGATTATAACACTCTGAATCGTGAAATTGCTTACATCTTGTCCCGAGTTCAGTTTTTCAAACATGATTTATGACAAAACTGAAAATTTACGTTTATTTTTTTCCTAGAATCAATCAAAAATGTTAAAAACTAACCTGAACCTCAAAATTATGAAAATTCTTCTCAATTAGTCAAACACTGTGGTAAATGTAGCATCGCGCCAACTTTCTGAGACGCAAAAATCAATTCTTGCAAAAGGTTCCAACTTCGTCTCTGCTTCACGTAGTACCCCTAAAGAGGAAATCCTAAGCAAAGTGCCATCTCAAACAGCTCTAAAATCTCTAAAATGTATTCTCAACATAGCAATTGTAAAAGCAGATAAACGAAATGCTACGTTAATCATGATCAGGACTATCTGGAAACTACTAAAGCTTTTATTAGAATCCGCGAAAGAATCTGTTACCCTTCATGACTCCAAAATTCTACTTACTCCCTAATATTCGTAATCCAAGATTGCCCCTTCGACTTATCTTTGGTTTGGATAATTTTGTGCCATCCACACTTTCGATCTAAACTAACCAAAATTATGGAACGGCTATATTGATGATACTTCTGTTATTGGGCCTTCGAGATTTTCTTAACCACTTAAACTTTATACACCCTAGCATACGTTTAACCATTTAATTATCGGTTTTCAACTCTGTTATTTACAGAGCTTTAAAACTGTCTTCACCCGAATCACTGAATCCAGAATTAAAACACTTAATATCTGCAAAAAATACATTGGGGAAACAAGACTAATAACTAGTCTAAAAGAACAAGAAACTTAATATAACGACAAATAAAATCATCAGCAGTTGCCAAACATAATCATGAAACGGGGCATCAAACCTAATTCGACCAAACTAACATTCTTCCTTGTAACAAGTTCTTCTATCAAAGAAAAATACGAGAATTCATAAAAAAATCTAGACAGCCAAACAATATTAACCGCAGCCCAGGTCTTTACTTTTCACCAATAAATCAATCATCCGGGACAATATTCATGTCCCTCCTTTAGCTCCGCCCCTCTTAAACAGTATATAAGCAGGACCGGAGTAGAATGCATGCCAGTTTCAGTTAAACTTGGAAGAAGCCAAGGCAAAACGTCAGCAACTTTGTTTTATCAACATAAGGCGCAAAAATAATCCAGAATATTTGTAGATAGTAATATACCTCTGATCTAGAAATATAGTCGTAATCATCTTTAACTTTTATTAGAATTTGCTTCAGTATAATATTTATTATAAACGCTCTAGATAAATTCCTACTTTTCAACGACTTAGCCAATTATAATGGAAATCTCCATTTTGGGGGTTTTGATTTTATTATATGATGTGACAATTTGGTTTTGTTGGCGAATTTGTAATTGTGTAATTGTATTGATAGGACGAAGTGAATGCAATTTGTCTAATCGTAACCAATTAAATGTTTCCTTTGAAAGCGAAATGTTAAAAAACTTATAGAACAAATACTAAAGCGAGTCAAATTTATGAGAATGGGGACACTTCTAGATGTGGACTTTCTAGAATCTAGATCGAGAAACGGTGCATAAATTTTCTCACGTATAGGATTGATAAACGCGTCTCTTGGATGTTATTCCAGACAATGCAGATACCTATTATTTATGTGGATAATTGACTGTCCATAATTTTTTCTCATAAATATTTCAAAGGCAATAGGTATAAAAAATAGTAGCGACTTTACAACTTTTGCCAAAGTTGGCAATAAAAAACTAGGTAAATCAATGGACTGTGCTACACTCAGGAAGTTTTTGACCTAGAATCAACAGAGCGTTGCCTGGAATTGGCAATATTCTCGAAGTAATTAGTCAAATGAATTTTTGGTAGAATAAATGGATTGAAAGCAAATTCTACGTCTAAGAAGTATGTTAAGCCATGAAGCTAGGTTATAACAAATATCACTGTGGGTCGAGTGTATATTACTGAGTCCACATAATTTTTGAAGTTGTCAAGCTTTACCTAACTTCTTTATATTTTTTATATATATAAAAAAGAGTTACTAGCATCCTTGTTAATCTGGTGAAAATTATTCCCAAAAAGCCCATAAACATATCCACTTATGTCGTCCTCTCCATTTTAACCTGATAAGAGCCCTTGGTAACCAGATATCTTTAATTTTACTCAACAACGATGTCAAGTGAGCGCGTTTGCAACGAGCAGAGGTAAAATTGTTATGTATGGTTGAATTAAGCAAACTGATTATTTCAGAGCTCAAGATATTTTTATCAGAAATATCTGTAGACCGCATAATATTTTTAGCCTCTATGACAAAAGTCTCTTCAATGTGGTGACGATTATTGTATAAAAAATTATATTTCAGTGAACGATAGTTGGCGTTATTTATAATTACTACTGGCATATTATCATTAAAGCCTATTTCTTAGTTCAATGAATAGTGATATTTTTTCAGGACAACTACAATGTTCTACATATAGCATCGATGCATTCCAGAGAAGACGTGGTGAAATTACTACTTGGAAAAAAGGGCGTAGATCCTTATTCGACCGGCGGTGTAAGTATGTGGATTTCAATTAATTGTTTTAAAGAAATTTCGCAATCGGGCTGACGTGACTTTTACAGGTAACTCTGAACTCTATCTATCCAATATTAAACACCAAACCCAAAATTTATAACAATAAAATACGTAGGAGAACCTAGCAATATCGAAACATCCATCTAAATTTGGTCTTAATATTGCTTTTAAAACTGAAAACACCATAGGGTACTTAGAAAAAAAAACAATAACACTAAATTACGAAAATCTGAAAAATTCGGAGTCCACAAATTGAAATGTGGATCGTGTTCCAAAAGTTATATCGTACAAACAGGTAGAACATTTATGAAACGCATTAACGAACATAAAGGGGCGTATAAAATTAAAAGTTCGGATTCTAACTATGCAATTCATTTAAATTCATAAATGTACAGCTTTGCCGATAAATTTGATATTTTACATAATCAATCAAAATGCAAAAAACTAAATTTGTTGGAAGCTATGGAGATTAACAACATGAGATATTCGAATCTATTACTTAATGATCAAATGGATTTAAATTCTTCTCCCTTGTTAAATTTAAATTTATAACCCTATGCCGGTAATTTATTGTCATATTTTGTATTGATAAAGGCCGAAACAGCTGTCATATATCATTAAAAACTGTGAAAATCTGAACATTTTTTGTTCTAATTTAATTGTGAACTATCGCGATAATAACGCAAAGTTCACGTTCTCTAAACGAGAAAAGAACAATTATTTAAAATTGAAATGTAATTTTTGTTTTTTCTATTCTGTTTTCATTAATAATTAAACAAATAATCCCAATTAATTCTTGCTAGTTTTAGTTCTGTTTTTCAATTTTCAAAGTTTTTTTAGCTTGGCAAATCAATCAAATCAAAATATTAACGTCAATTTATTTTAAACGGTTTGGTGTAAATTTCCATTATTTTAGCTAAGGGCTAAAGGTATATAACATGACACCAATATATCTGATACTGTAGATTAAGTTTTTTTTTCGTATTTCATGGATTGTGTTAAATTGTGTCCCCCATACGTACATATATTTTAGTTTTTTATTTTTTAAAATTTGGTCCTATCATTTTAAATTAAAGTAATTAAAGGCAGATGAGATTTATATTCCAAAAGGATAGCACAAGAAATGAAAAAGTAGCAAAATAATACCGACAAAATATGAAGGCTAACAAACCCCGCAAGTCGGGTTTACCAATCTGTAAATTAAAAAAAACATTGCTTTTGGCTTTATATACCTGGTCCACCAGTTGTTTTAAACTTCAGAAGCAGATAGGTTTTCAATTGATTTACTTTTTGATGAAAATACATAAAGTTTAGTTAATCTATAGACAAATCTAACAAAATAATTTTTTATTTTGTTTAAATTTTAGAGCAGGAACCAAACAGCAGTGCATTTAGTAGCATCTAGACAGACGGGCACTGCCACTGCGATATTGCGAGCACTACTTCAAGGGGCTGGCAAAGATATCCGGTTGAAAACTGACGGTGTGAGTATTTGCATATAGGAATGAAATAGAAAAAATGCTGCCGATTTTTGAGTATCATATTTCTTAGTAAATCGGTAGTCCGCTTTGTCTGTAATACTCTTTAATCCTTCTAAGTCTACTTAGCAATTCATCATAACGAAATTTCTTTATAATTTCGGAATTATTCGTCTTGCCCTGAAACTTGTTCATTAACTGGTTAATGAACTCATCTTTAAGGGTTTCCGAAATTTTAATAAGTTGTCCAGTTAAAAAAATGAAGTAAGTACCTATATTAAAGTTTTGCAAAAAATATTAAAAACATTTTATAACAGAACTTACCTGACATATTTTTTTAGTTAGTTTGCAAATGTATAAAAATAATTATAAATGACCCATCTTGGTCATTGATCATTAATTATTATATTATTATATATTAGCTTGTAATTATAAAGTTTAAAGGAAAGGAAAGAAAAACTTTGTTAACCGTTTAACAGAGATTAGTTTTGGTTAATTCGTTTCATTAACATTTACCCTTGTCTATATCCTTCAATCATTTACATTTTAGTTATAATTAAAATGATAATGTTAATAATATTTATTTAACTCCACTTTTCAAAATATTAAAATAAATAAAAAAACAATAGAGTATATTAAGAACATTTTATTTATTATTATTATTTATTTATTATTAAAGTGTTAAACTTAGTCATCTTCTATATCAGACTACATTAAATAGGAAGCAATCTCAGATAAATGTGCTGAAAAAAGAGCTACTGGAGATTGTAAATTTGAATAAACTTCTTTAAACGGAATTGGTTTTCGACGAAATCGCTTCAAATTGAAATATTTCGCCTTCCGCCATGTATTGTAAATTAAACGGCATAGGATTGGTATTGACCCAAGACGTTGAAACCCGCTTGCAATAGAGAGTAAAGACAGTGGATTATGAAAAACTGAATAAGTGCGTCGAACATATGATTGAAATAGAAGAAAGAATGTGGGAAGTTGATAATATGCTAGAAAACACTGTGCAGACTCTTTTGATGATAATATAAATAATAGTTTTTTTAATAATAATATTTATTTCAATTTATCCATTTTCGTATTGTTGTTACTTCTATACAAGTTTTTATTTACCTAATAAATATCTCAATTATCGGCCCAACTCTACAATTATAATCATGTAAAGTAATTATTATATTTGTTATGCTAATAACTGCTTTCATTAACCAAACTCGTCGTTCTATTGTATGAAACTTAGTGTGAAATTAATTTAGGAATGTTTCGGGGCAGAAGTTTGAAAAATTTACGATATAACCTATAAGTTGTTCACTCTGTTTAGTGTTCCCTATCATTGAAATCTTACATTTTATAACTCTCTTGCATTAAGAAACAGAGTATAGCAATTTGTCAGACCACTTCACAAGCCACAATATTTTATTGATGGATGGATGGATGGATGGATGGATTAAATTTGAAAATTTGGAATATACAAGATCATAGGAAAATATTTTTCTTAGAAATATTTTATATTTTTCCTATTATAAATTTTTCCCATTATAAATAGGCAAATATATAACGCGTTTCATTTAAAAGTATGTATTTTGTTATTGCCAGTTTTTTTTATAATACACAATGCAGTTGAGAATATTTTCAAAATATTTATCTGTTAATTATTAAAGTATATTTTTTTAAATAGTTATAAATAAAGGAGTGCTTTGCCTCCTTATACCACCCTGTATGCAATGAAAATAGGTCCGAACATAACAACTGGCGAACTTAAAGTCCATGTTTTGGATTATATATATATAATTCTTATTTTAACCTTTTAAATAGAAAATTTAGGAGATACGGCTTACCATTGTCGAAATATCCGGATCTCGACACCCTGTATAACCCAATTAGACTAGTTATTTCATAAAACTTAATCCACTGCTGTGCCTTTTCACGAACTGTAAGGTCCTAAAAATTTGCGTGTCATTCGAGCGCGCCTGGCACGGCCCTATAAAGCACCTACGATTTTCTCAATGGAACTTTTCCGAAATATGATTTGTATATTTATCGAACCAACTCGGCCGCACATGAAACTTAACCTCGATCACTATTTATACACGAGACGATCTTGTTTGATGGGATGAAAAAGTCGGGTCTTAAGCAAAACACTATTGAACCTTAACTCAAATTATGGATTATTTTACTGGGTATTTTACTTATGTTTAAATTAACCGTAGTATTCTTCTAATTGTATGCGAAACAAAAGCTTGTATGAATGGAATTTTAAATTTTAGACACCAAACTAACCAAAACTGTTGCTGATAGACTAACAGCAATAAGTGCAACTACAATTCAAAATAAGAAAAAAATGTAAAATGTTATCCTTTAAAGTTAAAGTAGATTTTCAAAAAATTATAATAAAAAGGTAAGGTAAAAAGGCGAAGGTAATTGTTAAATTAGTTTCTTTAATAAACAATCTAAAAATTGTGCATATTTAGTAATATAGTCTATTATTAAATTAGTAAGGTAAAAATAATAATTATTGTGCAAGTTTAATGATAACCGCTTCAAGTAACTTTCACATTGATTATTTTACAATGATTACTTTTTTATTTTAAGTTAATTTTACTTTCAGTTACTTATTCAGGATTATTACTAGTATCAATTAGTCGTTTTCAAAAATACTGTTATTTTGAGCAATATTTACCTTTCATGTTTGCGTACATTTGTCATATAGGGTTAATAAAACAAATCTAAACATCTAAGAAATTTATACGTTGTTGAACATAGGAAACTTTAGAAGTGAAAAGCGACCAGTATTATAAATATCTTCGCACAATCTGACACCATTGCATTTTTGAAATCTGCATGTCCAAAACCCCCAGATATTGAACTTTATGATTCCAGCTTTGGCAATCTTGGAGATATTGAAGCGTTAGAGGCTTCTCCTATGCCTGGTGAGCGATAACTTGCGTTATGCATAACTGCTGCTGACTCTACCGAAAGGCATTTTATCATTTCATTATATTAGCCTTCAAAAAATAATCTTTTAAACATCGCCCTTCACTTCCAATATTCAATTCATTCATTTCGGTACTGCTTCATACTTTAGTATTTTTGTCGCTAGCAAACAATTTCATCACTTGAAGTTTACGTACGCCTATTACACAGAAATTGAGCGGAACTGGACGAAATTTCCAATTTTTTTGCTACACACCTTTCTGTGTGTGATTTTCAAAACAGTAAAGCTTTTGAATAAAATACATAAAGAAAATGCAGATGCGAGTGACAATATTTTCTTTCTTCCAGAGGGAAAAAATTCCACTTCTTTTAGCAGTCGAAGCCGGAAACCAGTCGATGTGTAGAGAGCTGCTAAGCGCCCTCACTTCCGAACAATTAAAAGCATGCGCAGCAAACGGCGATACTGCGCTCCATCTCGCCGTTAGAAGAAAAGACATTGATATGGTAAGCACGGCATTTTTCTGTCATTCATTCATTGGGTAAATCTTAAGATGGTTTTTCATTTTTTGTAACACAATAACACAACACCAAGCATTTTAAAAAGTTACATAATATATAATTACAAGCAAACAGTAAGAAAAGAGAAATGACACATGAACTGAGGTTAAGGTAAAATGAGATATATTCTTGGTCAAGTTATAGATAATTAGATAAATAGATAATTATTATCTTGTAGCTAACAACAGCAACATTTATAAATCGTCTGGTTTCCTCCTGCGTAGATCGTTTATAAATCAAACTATCGGACGTTTTGCTAATCATCCTGATGGCTTCATCAGACCCTAATCGAAACTAGGTTGCATTCTACTCTTTGCTGGTTATATGCCGTTTGAACGGCGCGGAGCTAAAAGATTAACATGAAAATTATCTCGAATGACACCATGTTGGTGAAAGGTTGGAGCTGGGTCGCGATTAATGTGGTTTGGTTGTTTGGAGATTTCTACGGATTCTAGGATTTTTCTATGGCAGAAGAATCGATTGCTTGCAAGAATTTTAGTTTTATTTGCATTTTTTTATTTTATTTGCCGAAGTATTAAGAGTAAATACAGCATTTTAGCACGGATTTTCTGCGAAGGTTCGGATATTGGTCGACTATGGTACCAACGTTGACATCCGCAACGGCGAGGGACAAACACCGCTTCACATCGCAGCCGCAGAAGGCGACGAAGTATTGGTGAAATACTTCTACGGAGTACGAGCGTCCGCTAGCATCACCGACAACCAAGATCGCACACCGATGCACCTGGCGGCCGAAAATGGCCACGCCAATATTATCGAGCTGCTGGCGGACAAATTCAAAGCCAGTATTTTCGAACGGACGAAAGACGGATCGACTTTGATGCATATCGCGTCCTTAAACGGACATGCCGATTGTGCGATGATGCTCTTTAAGAAGGGAGTTTATCTGCACATGCCCAATAAGGTTAGTGAAATGTAATGCTGAATTTCCTTCTTCGGTTGGCCCGGCAAATTATTTAAAGCGCATTCAATTTTATTCAGAATAATATTATTCACGTGTGCTATAAGTAGCTATAGCCTATCGCAGAACGGCATAGAATAATAAACCTTAGTAGGTGTGCCAATGAACTACAGAGCAACCCAATGAATACTTAAGCCACTTTCATTGTTTGGCGTCGATTTCATTGCGAAATTTTTTCTTTTTATAGAGTGCTGGTGGTACCACCCAGGTTTGGCTCAATTTATGAATTTTACCTATTATCATATATTTACCGAATTCAACGATAGTGGAAATGGCGTCCCGGGAAAATGCAATGGAAATAATTTTATTCTTCTTATTATTAACCGGATAAAAATTAGGGTTAGTTGCCATAGTATTAGGTATAGCCAAAACCAGTCTTAACGTTCAGGACTTGCGATTTGTCAACGACAAACTTTCATTTTTGTTTTTCTTTTAACTTTTGCCTTTTATAATATACTATACTATATTCTGTACCACGATATGTATACTATACGTATCGAAATTTGAAATTTTCGCAGTTTAATTAGATGTTTTGTATTTTTTATTGCGTAACAAGTTAATTTTCTTATAAGCTGCTAGGCTAAGTGCCAAAAAATAGTTTGAACTTGTTTATGAGAAAAAACAGAATATCCCAAAATACCAAAATAAAACCAGTATTTTTTAATTTAGGAATTTCATCTGTTCATAAATTTGGTGCATTTTTTCTCAGACACATTAATTTTAAGAATATATACATTATATCTGTATCTGTCAAACATAACAAAGAGTAATATGTCTTTAAGAAGATGTGCTATACTGTGTACAATCCTGATTTTCAATCAGTTCCTCTGTTAGTAGTTCATTTGGTGCAGTGGCTTTCCAAGTTTTTATGTCCTTGATGGTGTGCTCTATTTCGCCCCTAGTTATCTTTAGTCCCGTGTACATACCAATTATTTCCTTATTCTTTTTGGTAATCAAACAGCCTAGCCACACATTTTTTTTGTTAATTTCAGCTTTTCTATATATATTGTTTCCATTTTCATTCATCAGTATGCTATGATTGTTGTTCTCTAGCTAATTATTTTATTATTAATTATTTAATTCCCTTGTGTCCATTAAAATTATCATACTTACTTTGCAAATTTTCAATTTCCTCGCACTTGTCCTTATACCAGTTCTCTTTGGATTCTGGATTTTCTTTTGTAAATCACGGTATTTTTGTTTATACGCTTTCATATGAGTTTTAACATTTCAGTTTTCATCCATTTCTTTTTGGCTCCTTGTTTAGTTGCTCTTTACATGGTCTTAGTATTGTCCTTTTAAGACGGATCCAGTTGTTGTTTATATTTCCTTCGGTGTTTTCTTCTAGACATTCCATGCCTCATTCACTTCATTTTTCACTTTCTCTTATTTCTGGGTTGCACAACTTGATGGTGTCAATTGTATCTTTCTTTGTTTTATGGTTAATCCTTCTAATTTTATTCTTGCCTTGGCACTATCTTTCATTGATCATCAGGTTATCTTGTGAGATATCCTGGAGGATATGTAATGTAGCAGGTTTTCCTTGCCTTCTACATTCCAATGCCGTTGACTGTTTTGGTTAGTTTCTTCCGCTATGCACAAATTATTTCCTTAACAAAGCATTTTGAAAGCTTGAATAAACTAAATTATACACAAAATTGAATCAATCTCTTTTTTGGAGATTGTTGTCGTCTTGCATTTATAATAAAATAACACACAACACTCCAATTGAACCTTTCAAAATCAACGCGCTAGGGGGTAGTTTCGCGCGTGATTTATCACGCACAAAAATAAATCCAGAAGTAATATGACTCACAAGGTGATACGCAGTGCGGCACTGAATAATCTGAAATCGTTTGAAGTTCAAAATTTAGCACGATCACGGTTCAGCAGGAAACAAGTTCTTTAATATTCATGTGCGACCGTTATCACTCTGTTCGTTGCAAACGATGACATTTATTTTAATAAATATTTATATTCACTGCGGGGAGTGCTCCATGTTAATTCACTTGATGGTGCAATTTTAAGGAATGAAGAAAAAGTTATTATTATAAATGTGACGCCGTAAGACAATTTTTTTATGTGTTTAGAAATGTAGCAGGGATTGCTCACTTGTGTAAAAGTAAAAGCCTTAAATAAAAAGGAAACTCAAACTATTTGCCCCTCTAAAGACTAGACTTTTAGCTGTTGTTATTTACTTGTTGATTTTCAATTCAAGAGTGGAAAAAAATCATCAATTAGAAACAAACAATATGGAATCTTTATGAAAAATCCAATCAAGACAAAGAGGTCTCTTTTATAAGCAGAGAAGAGGGCCGAGAACTACAAAATCGAAACTGCCCTAATACTAACTACATTTTTAATTTGTCAGCGGAAGATGCCTTAATTGTTAAGTCCATGTTTAAAAGTTGACGAAAACATTAGCTTAATAATAGAAACCAATTTGTCACCCTTTTGTTTTTGAATAAAAAAGTTTGGCTTTTTAAATGAGAGTAAACCATGTCTGTGGTGTTTCTAGACATTGGGAAAACGATTGATTGAGCAAATAAAAGTTATTTGGAAGACGGCCTTTAGTTGGTTAAGGTTGGCAATATCCAACAACCGTAGAACTTGGCGTTTCCCAGGGACTATTTTAAAGGTCACTAGTGTTCGTGATCTGTTTAAAAGTCTTATTCGAAATTATGGTAGATTTTCCAATTGCGATGATCTAGCTCAAAACTGTATCTCCATGCGGGATTTCCAGTATTAGCTAGCTAGTTTCTTCAAGTATAACAACGCTGAAAACTGTGGTGCCATTTCTATGGTGAATTCTCGCCTGGCATATAATTTAATTAAATGAATTTTGGATTTAATTTTATTAATTAAATTCCTTTAACACAAGAAAGACCTAAATTTCATATAGAATCGCATGTAGTATAAATAGAAAACGCAACTCCAAATGTAGACAACAAATCCTCTAAAATATGGTATATGAATACCTAGGACCCAAAATATCCGAAATGTGCAGAATCATCATAAAAGATGTAGGTCGCAATTCAATTTTTTTTAATTTAGTCCGGCAAAAAAGTAAGTTTATAGTATTTTCTACCTTTCTACCACAAACAGGAGAAACAAATTACAGATTAAAGCTCTGCGGACTACAGATTGCGTATAGAGTCTGCTTATGAAAAAAAAATGCATTTTTCAGGATGGCGCGAGAAGTATCCATACGGCGGCAAGATATGGACACGTGGGGATTATCAATACATTGTTGCAAAAGGGAGAGAAAGTAGACGTTACGACAAACGTAAGTAAACAACTTTGAATTGTTTTTTTTGCACAGAAACTTCCACAGGCTGTGGCTTGTTGTTGCACTTCTTCTGGATTTCTCCTGCGTCGGGTATTAACTCGTTGACAGAGCGGTCTCTGAAACTGAAGAAACCAGCAGCATATTTGGCGAAATATCAGCAAGACCGAGTCCATACGCAACAGCCATTTTGGTGCATACGATTTTTCAACTGTTCCCGTGTAATTTTTGGACGCAGAATCTAAAGGAACCCTCAGATTTTGCCTATCAGATCTAGCTTTTGAGATAGGTTAAAAACATGCAGATTTAAGTAATTATTACAAAAAATGCATTTACATTGATCAAGTTGCAATCCTATCGTGCTTGATAACGGTCTTCAATGGTTCTATTGTCCTGATTGCATTTTTAACCCTGTTCTTTACTTCTATCAGTTACGTTTTTTTCATATCAATTTAAGTGCCTGTGGAGATATATCATCATATTATGTTGCAAACGAGAATATGAAAATTTCCCATAATTTATGATTACCAACAAAAGTTTATGCCACTTGAACAAATGAACACCAAGCGCTTATTGATGTCTGGATGATAAACAAATGGTCGTTTTATTATTCCTTGTTTTAAGTGACAAGTACTCAAAACAATGTCCCCTTCAATTTAAATCCCACATGAATTGCTTCATCAGCCTCAGCATGATATGACGGAAGTAAGATTTTTTTCTCAAAATCAAAGGTCAATTTTTGTTGTTCATTTTTGCTATTCCAAAGGCACAAAAACAAGGATATTTTGTATAGGTCCTCTACTGTCCAAATGCCCATTAATTTTTTTCTTATTAATTTTTTTTTAAAACTGGTAAGGCCGATATATTTAGTAGGTAGATTGGGCCATGTACAATTGCAGGTATATATTTGACTAATTAAATCTAATTTTAAGTAATCAATTTCTATTTTGATCACTAAGTATATATTCAGTTCTTAATTTTTTTCAGCGCAAATATAATATTATCTGCATCTCAAAACTGGGACTGAAAGAAAAAAATTGGTGACACTTTTGGAATCAGCGCAATAAAATCAATTAAAATCAGTTGTATTTTTGATATCAGTTTTTTGTTTTTTTATTTTCTTACTCTGTGTACTTGACGCAGGAGCAATCCAGACTAAGTGTACCTACAACTTTCAACATTTCACCCAGTCCTTAAAAACGATTTCAACATATAGGAAAACTACACCGCTCTGCACATTGCGGTTGAATCTTGCAAACCGCTAGTGGTGGAAACGCTCTTGGGTTTTGGGGCCGATGTCCATATTAGAGGTAAATTATGTAGTAATAGAAATATAAGCATTTATTTATTATTTATTATTCTCAGACAAAATCATCCTCAAAGGTGTATTTATGGCACTGTGTATAAATATTTTTTATTTCATTTATTCTAATATTATTTTATATTATATATTACACCACATACAACATAATATTTTTTTGCTATTTTTGCTATTTTCTGTAAAAAACAAAAATTATTGCTGATTGCCATTTTTGCAACAGACATTATTCGGGAGGTAGGAATCTTCTAGAAGCTTCTAAAGAAAAAAAGCATATGCGCTACTTTATTCGTCCAGTTTCCCACAAAAAAAAAAACAATTACTGCCCTTCTAAATTTCTCATTGTTATCAATTATTTGAATATCGGATCTCTGGTAAGCTTATAAGTTTCTACTAAGGAGCCAGTTTGTTATTTTAGGCAGGCGTCACAAAATTCTGAGTATTTACTTTAAAATTCGTTCGTCATTTAAATATTATCTTCGATGGCTTTCGCTACTAAGCCTCAAACTTTTCACAAGAGGCTAGAGCAAATAATTGTGTTGCCTAGAGTGACGTGAAGGGAGCTAACGTGCTAAGCAATGGGAATAGAACAGTTATTTAGTTTTATGTAGTGAGTTTCAGATTTGCATTAAGGTTAAGCTCATTAATTGCTTGAAAACCATATGGATTTACTTGCGTTGGAGAACAATCACCGTTGTTCTAGGAACTACAAATATCCTTTAATATAATATACGATCCAGGTTAGGTTTGAGTAGCCGAGACGAGACTGTACAACTCATTCCCTGCGAATGTAACAATCTCTCATTTAGGCGTGAAGATATTAATTAAGGGGCTGGAGCTGTCACCGCCTACGTGAAGTCACTTGGCTTGATGTAAAGCTTACTCTCCGTTCAGGAGGAAGTACAGTGGGGCTGCTGTAGCCTAAGCCTATCCTCCTTAGAGAAATAATTAGATAACATTAGTTTACTTTGTTATGATCCTCTATGTGATTTCAAAAAAAGAGCAGCACGTTCCTGAAGAGGCTAAACCCTGTAAAGGCCTAGATAGTGACTTTATAAGCTGATATCTTCAGACAATGAAAAAATTATAATTTCGTTTAAATGTCATCATATGTGCGATCAGTTAAGAGCAAATGAAAGAAAAATTGATTATGATAACCGGATTATAAACCGTAGAATTTCCAACTTAATTTGTGTTTTCTATTAGGTGGAAAACTTAAGGAAACCGCGTTACATATCGCGGCGAGAGTGAAGGATGGCGAGAAGTGTGCCTTAATGCTTCTCAAGTCCGGAGCGGGACCTAACCTCGCTACTCACGACGGCAACACACCGGTTCACGTTGCGGCAAAATACGGAAACCTGCAAACACTGTTGTTACTGTTAGCAGATGGTGGTGATCCTGTGTACAAAAATAAGGTGAATGATGGAATGCCTTGTTTCATTATACCTGGCGTTCGATCCTGTACGCCCTGGATTTTAAAAATATTCATAAACAACAATTATAAATAATATTGCTTTATGAAGCATTTTTTGAGGAGGTTTCAAGTATACTGGATTCAAGACTTATATGGACAATAATGAATTTATAGTCTTGCTCCCAGATACCCAAACTTTGCAATTTTAAATGAAAAAGGTACGTTTTTATTTAACAAATTTGAAATGGAAAATTGACCTCAAAAAATAAACTATAGGCTTGGCAATATTGCTCATATTAAATTTAGAAAAATGTCCTAAATGTAACAAAATATTGATAAAGTATGCTGTAGTATAAATAATAAAATAAATAATAAATAAAAAAATAAGGTAATGTAAGCCACGAAAGAAACATATTAATTAACTAAACACTAGCAATAATATGCAATTTGCAATTGTATTTTCATGAAGAAATTTATTTTGTTTTTGTGACTTATAATTTAGTCCCAGTCTGAGGCAGATGCGTCTTATTCTGAATTGCTAAGATTACATAAATTTTATAACTTTGCGAACTTCAATAGAGTTTCTCAAATTTCTTTGATCATAAAATTTGTTTCTCTAAAAGAACAGCTCACATGAAGGAAAGAGGAAGAAGGAAAGAGAGAAAAAATATGAAATACTTGTTGAAACTTCGAAGATATTGGACCAAATATTTTCTATTCTGACCAGAGAGGAACAGAAAGTAGCAGTTCATTTTATTACTATAAAAAGAACAGGTTTAATGAGTGATAAGTATTTTGTTTGAACTTATCTGAATTAGGGAAAATAGTTTAAAATTCTCTGTTAAAGTCATATTTCATGTTTTCTACGTTATTTTAAACTTCTCCAATACTAAATCAAAACAGCTATTTCTGGTCCTTCATCTTAAGTCAAGACCCAGTTTGTATATAAAAGAGACACCGTATCGAATATAAATAATAAATAAAGTAATATCTTTAACGTACTACAACTAGTTACTAATATATTGTTTCGACGTGTTAGTTACGTCTATTTTTAAAATCCACTTTTATCCACAGTTTTATGGTGTTAAGGCCCTACGAAAACTATTTTTTCACTTCAGAGCGCCCTTGAATGCATATCGGTAACGTTGTGGTCATTTTAATTTTCAGAAAGGCGAAACTCCTTTACATTTGGCCAGTAGAAACTGCAAACCTGACGTAGTAAACCATTTAATAAATTACGTGAAAGAACATAAGGGTGAAGATAAAGCTTCCGCTTACGTGAACGAGACCACTGAAAACGATGAAAGTGCCTTACATTACGTCTGCATTGTAACAAAAGATGAAGTAGCCACGCCTCATTCGGACAGGTAGTTAATTTTAAAATGTTCGGCTTAATCGTCATACATATGCTAAACTGTTCCTTTCGTTTAATCACCCAACTTATCGCGATTATACCTCAACTAATAAATGTTTTTTTCTACTCCCGTCTGTAAAATGCCTAATTAACCACCGATCTAGCGTGCGGGAAGCGTCACTTTACCACGTCAGTTTCGTTTCCCATGAATCCGGTCCACTTCCGATACTTGCAGGATTTTACCGCACGGATTTGGGAGCAATCGAATGTTTTCGGAGATATTTCCCACGCTTTGAATTTTGACGTATGTCAATTCTGACGGTCATGTCAGTGAATGTATTCGTGTTGTTTTGCGAAAATGTACCCAAAAACTAACAGTCGTGGAAAAAGTATAGCATTCAACACGTTCGATAAACTTTTTAACTCACTCGTTTATTAAAAACTCGCTCTGCTGCGCTCCGCTCGTGTCAAATAAACTCATAAGTTAAATGCCGTTTACCGCACTTGTTGCATAATATACTATTGTTTCAGAGAAGTGGTGAAATTACTTCTTGAAAATGGCGCAGATATAAGACTCCAAACGAAGCAATACGAGACTGCGTTCCACCGGGTTGCCTCGGCCGGTAACAACGAAGTTCTCATGGAAATGATTGCCCATATGACGCCTACTGACGCTCAAAAGGCCCTCAACAGGCAAAACGCGAACGGATGGACCCCTTTACTAATCGCGTCACACAAAGGTCGGTTTTCGTTAGTTAAGATCACGGCTCGTGATATTAATTCTTCATTTTTTTTTAACAAAAGCGACGTTTACGGGCCCTAAAATCATTAAAAATGTTTCTTGTAAGGCAGGTTTAATTATTTAATTTAGTTAGTTAATTATTGAAGAGCGCATTGTCATATATTGAGTGCATATTTTGGTTGTAAATTAATGCAGAGGAGACAAAAATGATGTACTAATACAAAAATTTGAAAAATAAAAAGTAATGTATGAGGTTGTCTATTCCGGACATTTATAGTTGCCGAAATAATTTAAGTATTGCAAAACTGCTTTAATACGGCTGTAAATTTTTTTACTAGTTGTCCATGTGGGATGCGCGCGAAAAGTAGAAAATCGAGTAGCACAGAAACGTCACTTTTCAAAATATATCAGTTATCTGTCATTGATTTATTATTTCAGTTAAATAATCTGATTTTTTTAATATCTTTCCATATACTCTGCTAATTGAACTTGTTGACTTGATGGACCATATGTATGCCACCTTCCATTGACTAGGAACTTCCTGAACATTCAGGCACTTTTTAAAGATCTGTGTTAACGCTGTCATTAATTTCTCAGTGCCACGTTGTAATAATTCTGAGTATATTCCCTCTGGACTCTCCATGTTTCAGTTTCGTAACCGCAATTAGTGTTTATTCTTCTATTTGTACTTTTCTCCTTCAATATTAACTGGCATCTCATCTTTTTTGTTTCTGCCAACTGCTAACTTTATAGTGTTGTATCCACTGTTGTTCTGATATATTCTGAAAGGACACTTTTTTTGTACCTGATGATTGACTCTATTAATGAATCGCCCTGCTTCTGTGTACCTTTTTCCATCAATGTATCTATCTATTTCGTAACATTTTCTATCCCACATTTCATTTTTTTAGTGATTTATTTTATTCGTGCTTCTCGGTCAGCTCTTTGTCTTCTATGGATTTAGTATTTCACCAATTCAGGTACAGTTTCTATTTCTATTTCTATTTTCAGCTGTTGTTGTTTCATGCCCATTGCTTCCTGTGCCGCTTTATGCATCAATCATTCATTCAGACGTCTTTGGTTAGTGGTGCATGCTGAGGAGACTGTCCAATTTATATTTCAGATAATTTATGAGACCATCTCCGCCCTCACAATGATTATTTTGATTTTTTAAGGTCGTAGTCCATCTTGGAATATATATTTTAGCTCGTAACAAGTAATGATCGGTTCCACATATGACTGCTCTCTGAACTCTAACCCCCTGTAGGTGTGTTGATTGCGTTGTAATAATTATCGACTTTACTTTTCTAGTTTGTTGTTCCCAGGTATATTTATGGATCAATTTTTGCTTGAATCGTCATTCGTGCCCCATTATCTTTTATCTTCATAGTAGTAACCGAATACATCATCATCGAGTTTCTTACCTCTCCGACTGTTGAAATCGCCGAGAATTATGATTTCTCTTGTGTCTATTTTTAGTTTGTCCACTTCTGGCACTATCTCTGGTATTTTCCCTGGGCTTCCTTGAACATTCCATATACTTCAAATCATATTCCTTTCCTTAGATTTTTTCGTATTCCATTTAATCCGTCCGAGGTTCCCAGGCATCGCCTAGATTTTTTGGTGATTTGGATTTTTTCCGAATGATGAAGGACCAGTCCATCGCTTTAACCTCCAACCTAGAGAACCAGGTAATTTGTGATCCGAATTGTCTTCTCCTAGCCTTTAATAACCCAACATCGATAGCTATAAGGCAGTAGGTTCGCCTGTACCCAGGGCCAGATGAACACTGGTTTTTTAGCGAGGTATTACTCTTCGATCACTCCTCCTTCCTTACCTCCTGAATGGTAAGGCTCAGGCTTGTGACTGGCATATCGGAGTCATGAACAACTAATAACAAAACTTAGCAGCCCTATTATGACATAATCATTACAGAAAAATGTTAGATTATCCATTATTTCCATAGACAACCTTGTAGCGGGTCATTAAAAATTGAAATGCCGAATCGGATAAAATTATTAAAAAAGGAGGTTTCCATTTCAAAAAAATCTCTTTTTACGTTTTTTATAATCTAATTTTTGGTACCTCATTTTCCCATTTATAAGGATTCCATCCAAAATTAAATATTAAAGGTTTCCTTATATGAGCGCCACGGCTGGCGCAAATATAGTGTAATCTGAACGTCCAATTTTCGATGACTTTTTCCAACATTTGTGGCCGTATATCGGCAATAACACGGCGAATGTTGTCTTTCGAATGGTCAAGCGTTTGTGGCTTATCCGCATAGACCAATGGCTTTACATAGCCCGACAGAAAGTAGTCTAGCCGTGTTAAATCACAAGATCTTGGAGGCCAATTCAAAGGTCCAAAACGTGAAATTAGGCGGTCACCAAACGTGTCTTTCAATAAATCGATTGTGGCAGGAGCTGTGTGACATGTTGCGCCGTCTGGTTGAAACCACATCTCCTGGAAATAATGGTTATTCAATTCAGGAATGAAAGAGTTAGTAATCATAGCAATGATTCCACCAGACCATAAAGCGCACCAAACAGTCAGTTTTTCTGGATGTAACGGTGTTTCGACATACACTTGAGGATTAGCTTCGCTCCAAATGCGGCATTTTTGTTTGTTGACGTAGCCATTCAACCAGAAGTGCTAAACAAAATTCGCTTATGAAAATCGGGAACAACGGCAATCTCGTTTTGGGCCCATTCGACGAATCTACACCTTACTTGATGAACGTTTGGCTTCAATTCTTGCACGAGTTGGATTTTGTAAGCACGTAAACCAAGATCCTTCCGCAAAATCTTCCATAAAGTGGATGGACACAGATCCAATTCCTGTGCTCGATGGCGGATGGACTCATTCGGGTCTTCCTCAATATTACGCTCTACAGCAGCAATAGCTTCTTCTGTACGCACCGTACGGCGTCTCTGGGGATGCGAGTTATCAATAAGAGTAAACGTGGTGCGAAAACGTTCCATGGTTAATCGAATTAACTGCTCTGATGGACGATTTTGTCGACGATAAAATGGACGTATTGCGCGATACGTATTGCAGTATTTGCAAGCGTTGTTCGGGCGTGAGTCTATTCATGATGAATTGCCAAACCAAATTGAGAATAAATCACTTGACAGCTGTTAAATCGGTCGCCATATTGAACAGTAATGCCAACTTAAAGTTCTATACATCGAAAATAATAACCCTATATATAGAGTATTCTAAAAATGAAAGGTGATATTTCCCGCGCCCTATATATATATATATGAAAATTAGAAACTATAAAATCTAAATGAAATTATCGAAGATTTTCTTTTATTCCTAGATTCTGAGTTAGGACTATAGGGAACATTATTTCAGCCACCCTATACATAGTGTTAATTGTATGAGAAACCTAATGAAGAAACATTCCGCGCAATTGCAGAATTAGAGGAATTAGAACCACCATATTTTAAATTTTAGCACCCCTTGTCTCATATAGTAGGATTGACCTATACAAGATTTTTTTCTATTCTGATAAGCGTAGCAAAAACAACTTAACAGTAAAAAAGGAAACCTACAGTGGGTAAAATAATTACTGAAATGGAAATGTATTATTTCATTGCACCCATGGCTAAGAAAAAATTGCGGAAATCATCAAAGGAAATGATTTTTCGTTATGAAAAGCTAAAACATTAATAATTACATACATTGGATTTTTCATCGACTTAATTTCAATGAATTCTTGGAAAAAAACATTATTTTATAAATTATTAAAGATTTCATATCACTGTGCTTTAGAATTTGCATGGAAGCAAGTAAATGCGTTGGTAACATGGCATTAAACACTACCTTTAAAATGAGGAACCGACTTGCAAGAGAAAATAAAGACAATGGTTTGTAAAAAATGAAGTAAACGCAACGAACATGTGATTGAAATAGAAGAAAGAAATTTATAAATGAAGTAGTAACGTAAATTGTAGAATTTTTTGAATAATAATTCTTATAATTGATATATTTTTATATTATTCTTAATTCTATATAACTTTTTATTTACTTGATCTTAGAATAAATATTATCTCAATTATCTGCCCAACTCTATAATTATAATCATGTACTGTCATTGTTATATTTATGCTGCTAATAAACTACCTGTTCCAGCGCCGCAGTCATATTGCGTTCATTCGCCAAAATCGCCTTTCTATTGCGTGCAAATTAGTATGACACCTTTAAGTTGTCCGCCCTGTTTAATGATCCCTGTCATTGAATACGTACATTTATGACTCTCTCGCATTAAGTTAGTAGTTCTTTTTAATAAAGTACTATTTTATTTTGTCTAATTTAGTTGTCTAAAATTCTTGAGAAGATTGTTCCAGTGCTCTTAGTTTTATGTTTTGAACAAGGCAATAAACCGAAAACGCCAACCACATCAGAATTTGATTTTCAGGGCCAACTAACCAAAACCCATCAATTGTTTAATATTATCATTTTGATATAAGTAATATGTATAATATTATATTTCGCTATTTTAGGCCACATAGATTTGGTGAACAACCTATTAGCGAACCACGCGAGGGTTGACGTATTCGATTTGGAGGGTCGCTCGGCGCTCCACCTGGCTGCCGAACACGGTTTCCTCCACGTCTGCGATTCCCTGTTGACCAACAAGGCGTTCATCAATTCGAAATCGCGCAATGGAAGAACGGCGTTGCATTTGGCAGCCATGAACGGTTACGTTCACTTAGTGGAGTTTTTAATAAAAGACCATAACGCCGTAATAGATATCTTGACACTCAAGAAACAAACCCCTCTACATTTGGCAGCCGCTGCGGGTCAAATAGAGGTAACGTCTTTAAAGATAGGAACATACGGTTTTCGCAATGCAAAGTGCTTCCTTTTTTAACCAAAATGGCAACAATAGAATTTCCTTAACCTTTTTCTCACCCGCATTCGTTAATTGGTGATTTCATGGTAAAAAAAATGGGGTATACTTTAAATGTCCCACCTACCGGCATTTACGGAAATACCTAACTTTAGAATAAAGCCAAAAAGAAGTTTTTCAAAGCTACTGTTGAAAATTGCGTTCTCGCTCTTATTCGTAGCCTGTAATCTATTAAAATTAAATACACCTAAATAAGTATTTTAAAAAAATTATAAAATATAAGTAAATGAAATGAAGTTTCTGAAACGGTCATAATCATAGTTACAGTTACTATCTTAGAGCTGAGAAAAATTCAGATCTTTTTAGATCATGTTTACTTAAGAAGTTGGACATTTTTCCCCCGGAGTAACTTTTTATCTGTTGAATTAGAGCCATAAATCCAACATTAGCTGAGATTTTCGTGGATTCTTTACAGCAAAAATATCTAAAGATCAATTTTCGATGACATTTCAACTTGCTTCACTGGTAAAATTTACAATAGAAGAAAAAGTTAGTAATGCAATTAACTCTCCAGGTCTGACCATTAAAATGAAAATAGTTTTCACACGTTTTCATTTTTCATAAATCCTCCACTATTTTTACAACTATTCCAATTTTTTCTTGGCTTCCATAGTATAATACTTAATACCTTAAGTGCGACAGATTTTACAACTGAATTGGATACCATCAAACAAATACCTCGCAACAACAGGTATTTGCCAAAAATCATAGATAGAATTGTAAAGAATAAACGATACTCTAATTGTTTAAAAATGATAATCTTCTATATAATATAAAAATAATATATAATAATATAATATTTTATCATATTTCGAAGACTCCAGTGAGAAAAGAAAAAAGAGGAAATATCATAATTGTTAAAAAAAAACTCACAATACTTTAGGAACATTAATTAAAAATAATTCAATTCTACCAAATAAAATCAAAATATCAGAGAAAATAAAAATTAATTTTCATGATTTTTAAGTAATATCAACCTTGAACACCGTCATTTCAAAGGAACTTTCTCACGTGGACAGAATATTCTTCATTAAACGTCATTTTTGTTTAATTTTAATTCTGTACAACTATTTCGCAGTTGTTTCGGCATCCGGTTTAATTATAATAATCTAATCTTAGGTTTTACTAAGTCCATTCTGTCTATGTACGCAAGTTTCTTTAAAAATCATGAGAATTAACTTTCATTTCAAAGACGGTAATAAATAGGTATAGGTAAATTTAAACAAAATTTGGGTTAGTTCCTTTCCTAGAATTTGAAACTGAAAGAATATACATCTTCCAAGACAATATTTATGTCCATCACATTAACGTTGTTAGGTTTTTGACTTATGACTTAAAAAGAAAGTGTTATCGTTACATTAATTTTTTTTGTCAGATTTTTTTTTTTGGAAAATGCCACCTGGTAGTACAGTAAAAAATCGCCATCGCGTAACTCATAGCAAGAATGATAGTTAGCCTCGGAAAATCCCCTTTTAACAACTTCTAAACTAGACATTAGTAAAAGAAATAAAAGATAGAGGAAACACCATTAAAAAAAATGAATTTTCATCGGCTCTATTTTGGCCAACTCATAAACTCAAAAATAATTGTCAGCAGTTTCTCTTGACCCATTAACTTCTCTTTCTGTAAATTCTAGGACGGTCCGTTGTCTAATATCATTTTCCTTACTGGGCCGCACGGTAAATAAAATGAAAAATAATTTTAAAAATTAAGTTTTCGAAATCCTACTACTGTTGTTGAATAATAATACCTCACGCCATCTTGGTGAACCCATCGGATATTCAGGTCGATGTTTCCTCCAAAGGTATGCAAGCTGCTACTAGAGCTGGGAGCCGACATAGACGCTACCGACGAAGACGGCCAGAAACCCATTCACGCCGCTTGTCAAAACAACTTCTCGGAAGTCGCCAAATTGTTCCTCCAACACCACCCGAGTCTCGTCATGGCAACGACCAAAGACGGAAACACGTGCGCCCACATCGCCGCCGCTCAAGGCAGCGTCACCGTCATCGAAGAACTCATGAAATTCGACAAGCAAGGGGTCATAAGCGCCCGCAACAAAATAACCGACGCGACCCCTTTGCAAATGGCGGCGGAAGGCGGTCACGCTGAAGTCGTGAAAGCTTTGGTGCGCGCTGGAGCTTCCGTGGTCGAAGAAAATAAAGGCGGGTTTACGGCGGTTCATTTGGCAGCCCAACACGGTCACCTGCAGGTGCTGGAAGTGCTCAGGTCGTCAAACAACTTGAGGGTCATCAGTAAAAAGCTGGGTGTCACTCCTCTACATGTGGCCGCTTATTTCGGACAAGCGGACACCGTGAGGGAGTTGTTGACTCACGTCCCCGGCACAGTCAAGTCGGAACAGCCCAACGGGGCCTCTCTGGTGCCGGCATTGGGCAACGAATCTGGCATGACGCCGTTGCATTTAGCGTCGTTTTCGGGGAACGAGAATGTCGTCAGACTGTTGCTGAACTCGGCAGGAGTACAAGTAGACGCAGCTACCCACGAGAACGTAAGTGTGTCGAAGGAAATTCGAATAATAATAATATTAACAATAATAATAATAATACCAATAATAATAATAATAATAATAAAGTGTCCTTATTGAAAATCAAAATATTAAAAAATAAGTAATAATACAAGAGTGGCGACATTGCTAAATTGCTCTCTTCCATGTAACCAGAAGAACAGCACCAACACCATAATTGTCACCAAAATACATGCCCGTATATACATCGTAAATACAAGAAATAGAGGCACATCATAAACTTATACGCTCTTGCTATATACTGGCGGGCCTAATAAACAATAATAACGCTTTTTTGAAGGACTTTATAGCTAAAAGATCTCTGGAAAGTTACCGACGTGTGTCTAGGAAGGCGATATCTTAAACAGTGGCGGGTGTCTCGATTGTGAATATAATTTTCTCTACAAAGTTTATCTAAGAAGTACGATAGGGTAGAATTTAGTAAAAAAACAAAAGTGGCTAACTGAAATCCCGAATCAGAGAGGCACTGTGAAATATGGTCATACTTTCTGAGATTGTAACCAAAACGAATACAAGCATTCTGAAATCGTTGGAGTCTCTCCTTATCTCGATTAAGTATAGCTGGCCAATAGACAATACTGCAATAAGCTACATGGGATAAAACACACACACACACAAAAGAATTATTTTTATACCAATATTGTCCGAGCAAGAGGCGTTAATTTTAATACTAATCAAAGTTTTATTAACTTCCTCAGGGTAAACTTTAGCAAAACGGAATGAATTAGGACCAAATTGTTTATTACTATAATTTTCAGACACAAACCCCGGATCAATGCCACCAATAGCTCCAAAAGAAGCAAAAGCAACATTAAAACTATTAGGTTGGCCTAAATTGTTTTCAAACGTTAAAGTAAGATTTCTGTGTGCTTAAAGTCTCCTCAAAGTACGCCAAAATTTTTTATAATCAGCCTTAATTGCAAATATGACCTTTTCTCGTAATTCTCTATACTCGTTTAAAGCAATATCTGACTTAAGTCGTTTGTATCTTAAACGTGAGCTATTTTTAAGTTTTATTAAGTAAGTAAGTAAGCCAAGGGGCTGAGGGTCTCTTAATTCTAACTGTTTTTGAAGGAGCGTGAATATCAAATAAATAATTCATATTTTTCGTAAAAAAGTCAACTTGTACGTTTATATCATCAAAAGAGTATTAAAGATCCCAGTTAATTGCTCTAAGACAAACAATATAAACAATTCATTATCAAATTGTTTATATCGTTTCATATCGAATGCCAAAAAATCCAAGAAGGTTCGCAAAAGGGTTGGATGACGGTCTTTCTGCAGATTGAGATTACATGAGATATACCCATGGATACAACTTGTAAATATATAGTGATGTGCAACAGAAATACAGTTTCTTTACTGTACTGCCGATATGATTTTTAGTGTGAACTAAATTTTACCGCCAAAACATGAATTCGCAGGATAACTTAAGCTATACCTATGAAGATGTATTTTATTAACAAATTTTACATAATTTTTTAGGATTTTAGGAAACTCTCTTTTCAAAAATACCTATCTACCTATCTCTAAGCCTTGGAATAAAGGTAACAAGTCAATACATGATTTTCTTTTCTATTCCCATTTTGAGCAAGTTTCTGCCTGCCTCTGCCTACTCTTGAACGCCACTCTTACGTCTGTAATATGGGCCTCTCTTGTTAACCTACGTGTAGCGTCGTTTTGTTTCTTGGGAAGTTTAAGTAAATCTCAATAATAATATTTTTGCGGAAGAAATATGAAATTATTTAAAATAAAGCAGCAAATATTTGTTTTGAAATACGCTTCGTCACAGCATAGGATTAGGAAATTGGGGTCCATGTCGCTCCATCAACGGTAATTCTGGGAACATACCGAATGTTACCTCGTCACTTAATAAAATTCTCCTGGAAAACAAAATGTAACCTTCTCGTTGAAGCCGAGCACAGTACACGAAACACGATTCCATATCTCATGGTTTGAACTTGTGCACAAATGTTGGCTTATACGGATAAAATTTGTTTGTTCTAAACACCTTACTGGCAGAAGCTCTTGACCCGTTACATTAAAAACTGTATTCTTTATTCCCTCCAATGAAATGTTTTGATTTTCTTCAGTAAGTCAATTTAGTGACGACGCGACGTTGTGGACAGTAACCTAGCTAATATGTTTACAGACAGCGTTTTTTTGATTCGGTCGTATAATGGTGTATCCAAGTTTTATCTACAGTAATTATTCGGCTTCAAAACTCGGATTTATTGCACCTAAACTGCGCTAACGGAGTGTTGGAATCGTTCATTCGAAAACGTTTTTGGTTTAACGTGAGTAAACGGGCACCCAACGCGCGGACAGCTTTCTCATGCCTAAATCTTTATTTAAATTGTAACAAGCACTTTCTTTGGATATTTTAATAAACTCGGCTATTTCTCTCAGTTTAATTCAATGGTCGTTTAACATCATTTGATAAACTTTAGCAAAATTTTCATCGATAGTAAACAGTTTTTGTACCTCCTGAACGTTCATCATCTCCTAAGCTCTTACGGTCACGTTTAAATTCAGCTGCTCAAAATTTCACTGTTGTAAATGACAGTGCAGAGTCCCCATGCACAGAATCCAACTCAACTATAATTTCGGTATGTGTATTGCCTTTCAAAAACAAAAATTTTATAACAGCTCTATACCATTTTCACGAAAACACTCAAACTACTCTCAACTAAAAACCAAAATGGCTGAAAGTTCGGTAGGTATTTATCAAGAAGTGCACAACTACGGCCACTAACTTTTAATAACTACTGCCGCCATCTTCAGGGTGAACTCGGAAACTCTTCAAGTGACCCTTGTATATCTAAGGTATTCATTACGAAAATGGTAGTAGAGTTTATTAAGTATAAGGAGTAAGCGTATTTTTGAAAAAAAGTTGTAATAGGAGATTCAATTAAATGTCGTTTTTAACTAATAAGATCTAGTGGCGTTGAACATCCAAGATGACAGTTCGTCAATTAAAAAGGTTTCAGTTTAGATGTAGCTTCTTTACCGCACCTTTTTCTTTAAAAATGTTCTAGGAAAAGGAGTTAAGTATGTGGATATTGCTTTTTAGAACGTTGACGTTCCTCCAATCATCCTGTTGGCTTCTTCAGAGCTTAACTGAAACTGGTACTGTTAAAAAAAGGCAAAACTGGTAAAACGGTACAAAATTTTTTAAAAACTACCACCCGAAAAAAATTTAAATTGCTATGCAAACTTATTACGCTAGTTTGTTGTGTTAACCTATTGAAAAGCTGTGCAGCCTTCATCTGCCGTTGCTGCTTGTCGTATTCAATAGTTGAAAATATGCAAATAACTCCTGCAGGGGTACAATCCTATCCACTTGGCGTGTTATGGAGGGCACGTGACAGTCGTCGGTCTTTTGCTAAGTAGATCGGCCGAGCTCTTGGAAAGCAAAGACAAGCATGGTAAAACGGGTCTTCATATAGCAGCGACGCACGGCCACTACCAAATGGTCGAAGTGCTGTTGGGTAAGCGAGTGTCTCTTAAGTTTACACGAGTACTGAGAGTGAGGACGTCGTTATTTTGCAGGTCAGGGCGCGGAAATCAACGCCCCCGACAAAAACGGCTGGACACCGCTGCACTGCGCGTCAAGAGCGGGATGTTTCGAAGTGGTAAAATTACTGGTCGAATCGGGGGCCTCTCCTAAATCGGAAACTAACCTGGGAGCGGTTCCCATTTGGTTTGCCGCGTCGGAAGGACATTATGGAGTACTCGAATACCTTATGACTAAGGAACACGACACCTACACTCTAATGGAAGATAGAAGGTTTGTATTAATAACAGGTAATATGAAACTGGTGCGGAAGATAGGGAAACACATTTATACCCACCATCCATGGGGGAAGCTGTAAAAATGGTGATTCACGGAGGATAGACAAATTGCTGCCGCTGTGCTGCCAACGTGATTAGAGTGTGGGAAAACTTTAGCGCAAAATGGACCGTTAACGCAATATATGTATAAAAATAAGTAACATTTTCGTCATTTGTATGAGTATGAGAAGATATTGTTTAGATTTATTTATTTCAATAATTGAATAACACAGTTTCAACTAGCGTTGTGTAATTGAACTGTCAATTTTTTTTTGTGTCAATTGATCAGTCAATTGACCGAATTTTTTTTGAAAATACAATGAAATGTATACTTATTTATTTATATTTAGTGCGTTACGTCGCCGTTGCGTCGTTCTGAGAACTAAATGGAGTTGATATTTTTATTGGGACTCCCCGAATCGCCAAGTATCCTATTCGGCTATACCCTTGAGAGTGTTAGAGGCAAATTCGATATAACAGAAGCATAATAATTTATTATAAAATACATATTATTATAGCAGAATGGTAAATAGATAACACTCTATAATTGCAAGATATTATTTAAAACATTTTGATCGAATTTGACTAGTCAATTAAAAAATAGTAAATTGACGGTCAATTGACCAGCCCCAACACGGGTGTTAATGAGTTATTTACTATTTAATAGTTAAAATTTCGGTATAGGTGATTATATACAAAATATGTCAGGTAATTCAAAAATGCCATAATATCCAGGGTGTTTCTGTTTAAATTAAGAAAGGTGTCACTTGTTCAGGAAAATCGAAATACACACGCAGAGTGTCGCGAAGCCATGCTTTCCCCTAACAATAAATGGATTTTTATTAATATTTCCGAAATGGGTGGGGAGAAAATTCTGAAATTTTAGGGTTTTAGTCATTTTGGCATGCTGAATCTGAATCTATAATTATAAGTGTAAAATTTTTGCCAGGGGCGTAACTTTTGAGTAGTAGATGTAACAAAAACTGCAATAAATTTATCAAAATAAATAAGAATTAAAAGTTCAGATTTCCACGAAATTATATATTTTTACATGAAAATTGCTTCGACAACACCGTGTCTTTATCAAATCAGAAAACTTTTAGTTCTTATTTATTTTGATAAATGGATTTTCATCAGTTCAATGCAATAAATTGTCTGTTTTTTAAACGTTTTTCTTATTAACTCAGAAAAGTTGTGTTCTGTTACGAGTTACGAGATATCGCTACTATGGATTTAAGGATAAACGGGAAAATGGATTTCAAAAATACGTTATTTAGCATGCCCATCTTATTTATCTTTTTTGTTATTTGTTAATTTTCATTTAACGACTCACTAGCCGTACATTTTTTTGGAAAATAAAATGACATTAACCAGTAAGATTAGTTCATAATTTCGGATTGAATGGCTAACAACGAAAAATCACTAATTTACATTAAGTTCGCAAATAAATTTCCATTACTTTAAATACATAACCGCGATCTTATTCGAATATTTTCAGATGTACAGATACCTATTATTACATCACAGATAATATTCCAGTAAGTTAAGTTAGTCGAGGGAGCTGGCCAATTTACTGGACCAGATCGACCTATCCATTGGTAGGTAAAATTTCCAACCCTTGAAAAAGTGATTGCAGTTTTTGTAGTCACTATCTCTGAAAAGTTACGCCCTTATTAAAATTTTTTTTAATAATTTTAATTTTTTCATTTTAATTCAAACGTATGTTAGGAGGCGTATATTTTTATATAGAAAACTAGGCCTTATTTTAGACATAGTTTATAGTTTGGCCCACTAATTGCGAGACACCCCAGCATAAGAAAATACCCAGTACACTTTTAGGTTTGTCTACAATTTAATGGTTTGTTCGAAAAATCACAACAACCGGCCGATAGAGGAATTCGTGTTGGTATCGCCGGCTCCGGTCGACACGGCTGCCAAACTGTCAAATATTTTGATTGTGCTGTCGAACAAAGAGAAAGAGAGGGCGAAGGATTTGATTGCGGCGGGCAAATTTTGCGAGGCTATGGCCACCGAGCTTCTCGCTTTGGCTGCGGGGGCGGACTCTGCGGGGAAAATACTAACCGCCACCGATAGAAGAAGCGTGGAATTTCTCGACGTCCTCATCGAGAACGAGCAAAAGGAAGTCATAGCTCATACGGTGGTGCAGCGATATCTCCAGGTAATTACAATTCATAGTTATCCTAAATTTCATTTGGGTTAGTCTTACTCCAATAATTGCTTTATTTTATTTATGCCGAATTGTTCAAGGATAAAATTTTGTTTGAATAATCGCAGAGTTATAATTATTTCACGGTTTAAACGGTTTTTGTATGTTGAATGCAAGAAAACGACATGGATTGCGCACAACCAGTTCAGGTTCGGTGTTCAGATAGAGAGGTTAGTGCTCTTAATTCTCTCTCTCCCACTAACACGTGTTCCTATTTTACGGGTGAGTTATATTAACTAACTAATCAGCATACAAATTACAATCCATTAAAGAGAATTGTCCAAATGGACGTCTTTGGTGAGGATATCACCCCCCAACAAATTAAAATAATTATAGGAGATGGCTCTCAAATTAATGAACTAGTTGAAAAGGAAATTATTTTGTATGAAAACGAAGATAGTCTATATTGAATCCGCGGAGAAATCTGATCGTAATATAGGTAGATTTAACAATCTTAAAATAGCAAGAGAAATTTTTAACCTTCATCTCAAGGACTTTAAAAAAATTCACACCAAAGGTAAAAACCGTATAGCGATAGAGTTTTTTAGATATGAAGCAGCCAACAATCTCCTAAAAAACCAACATATTTTAGACAAAGGTTTTAAGGTCTTCATTCCATTTAATTTTGTCACAAGTAAAGGTGTTGTAAGGAACGTAGATATAGATGAAGATATCGAAAAAAATTTTGAAAATATATGCAAATCTTCAGCAAAGATAATTCAAGCCAAAAGACTTAATCGTAAAATAATTGTAGATAACAAGATAACAAATTGCAAAGGAAGGGAAAAATGTTTTAATTGCGCAGACAATCCACATCAAGAAACCGACAGCTCAGACTTCCCCACTCAATACTCGTGTACCCAGAAATGTCATTTTTGCAGAAATGAACACAGAACTACTTTGAAAAGCTGCCCCGAATTCAAACGACATCAAAACATTAAACGGATTATGACGTACGAAAACTTAACCTTCTATGATGCCAACAAACTATGCGCTAAAACCTACAATAATAATAATGAAGTATTTTCATACCAACCAAACGAATTCCCTTCTTTAAGAAATAATACGGTTAACAAGAATGAGAATTACCCATACAGGAACACTATATCCCCTTCCCAAAGACGGCTAGCAGACTTCACCAACAAAACTAAGAGAACCTACCAACAAACGGTCTCAGGGGAACCCAACAAAAAAAGACTGATCCACAAAAGCTATGACAGACAGTCCCATGACGACAATATTTACTTTCCTAATTCTAGACCGGAAAGAACACACGCTACAAATTCCCCTATATTTGACGACCCAATCTACAATCAACATTCCAGAACTACCAAAGAAATTAATGCCTCAAGTAAAGACATCAAGACACCCCTCTGAACTTACCCTCGACCAGTACATCTAATTTAAAACGATATGATGATAACGCTACTTATAGATCTATTAAGGAACTAGTCCTAAATTTACCAGAAGAAAAACAGCATGAAATTAAAAACTTTATCCTTAACTATATGAACCTAAGTAATTATACGGATCTTGACGACCCTTGTTTTAATTAAATTTTAATATAACTAAATAAAATTCAATTCAAAAAAAAATACTTCAGTGGAACCTAAGAAGTATCAATTCAAACAGAACGGAACTAATCTCATTAATCAGTTGCCCTATAAATGAGATACCCGATCTTGATATCTACAATTCTTTTATAAATTCTTTTATAAAAAGATTACAGATATCATAATTTCCTTTTTAAACTTTAATAAAATTAAACTGTAACGTTATATCTATCATTAATATTTTCAGAATCCATTATCTCCAACAAATCCAACCTCTATGCCCTCTTCCCCCCATATGTTTGTATTACTAACAGATACCTCCCTTACCGAGTAATTTACTCTTTATTGAGCAAAGTAAATAATATAAAACATCTAAGGGTAAAAGTAGATAGGAGTTCCCAGGAACTCTGCTCGTCAAGCTGAGGACTCCCCTAATGAGCTGGCAGACTGCCTAGTTGCAAAGCCAAAATATTGACAAGAAGAAAAAGAAGAAGAAGAAGATTGCGCACAATGGTCCGGAATGTGGGAATAAAGGAAAAAACCCCTTATGTTGAAAAATGATCAACGTATCAAGTCGGGACCGGTATTATTTATACGAGATTTTTCTTAAAATATATTAGACTAAGTTTAAATAAATGGGCTTCCATCTTAATCTTGGAGACAAAGTTGGTTGGATCAACCATAAGAAATGTTGAGTTTTAAGATAATTCAACATATTATAACTGTGTTGTCTACACCGTCATACTATTATGAACTAAATCCTATAGAACTTATAAGGGCATATACGAAAAGATTTGAGCTATTTGATCAAGCTGTTGTGAGAAGTAAGATCAAACAAACTAGTGAAAATCAGTTCAGTATTAATTGATTCCTTTTATGTCAGTTGTTGGTAAAACGAAGTTGCTGACGTATTGCTTTATCGGAGCTTAACAGGTTTGCATTTTACTCTGCACCTGGCTTGAAGGGGGCGGATGTACAGGAGGGACATGATTGTCTCGGATTACCGATTCCCACATTGGAACCTAAGTCACGTTTAAGATTGGTTGTTTAGAGATTTCTATTGTTTCTCAGATTTTTCTTTGTTAGAACAATTGATTAATAATATTTGATAATGAACCTGCAAAAATTCATAAAATATCCAAACTTCCGAAATCTAATATTCCAAAGCCTGAGCGCATAACTCTAAAACTCTAAAATATAATCCCGATATGCTAACTTTGAAAACAGATACTGATGAACACAATTGACTAACAAAAAAATATTCATGATATTCTTACAGACGGATCCTATAGTCACCTTAAAAAAGATGTTAAGTTAACGCAACCTTAATTCTGCTAATAAAACTTGCTCCCTATTAGAATCCCGGAAAAAATCACCCCACGCGACTCTAAATTCGGTATCGCCGACGTCATATCATAGATCGCTAAGCTATAGCGGCACTGGGCTGGTCATGGTGTCAATTGGATGTAGAGCGCTCATGACAGGAGACAGTGGGGAGGCCTACATCCAGCAATGATGATGACTAACTTTTATTCTGTTACAATAAACCCAAACCCGGGTGACACTGCCTGCGCTAGATAAAAAGAACGATTAATTATTCGTTGATGAAATAGATTTAAAAACCCCAATATAATTAAACTCTTCCTTTTCAACACTGACCCTTTGGTTTCAGGAACTTTGGAGGGGAGCCCTCAACTGGACGGCCTGGCGGATCTTACTCCTTTTCGTTCTGTTTATCATTTGTCCCCCAGTGTGGATCGCGTTCACCCTGCCATTAGGACACAAATACTACAAAGTGCCTATTATAAAGTTTATGTCGTATCTAACTTCGCATATCTACCTTATGATTTTACTATTATTTGTCGGTATCACACCCCCCAACCCAAGCATATACAGAACTAGCATGTTCCCCCAGTGGTACGAGTGGATTTTGCTGATATGGCTGAGTGGTCTTTTGCTATTCGAACTCACGAATCCCAGCGACAAGTCGGGATTGGGTTGGATCAAAATTTCGGTACTTTTGTTTAGCATATTTGGCGTTGGGGTTCACATGCTCGGATTCGCCAGAATAGTTGCGCAGCCATATTGGCCGACGTTGATGTACTGCCGGAACCAATTGTTTGCTTTGAGTTTTCTATTAGCGTGCGTGCAGATACTGGACTTTCTGTCGTTTCACCATTTGTTCGGTCCGTGGGCCATTATCATCGGAAACTTGATGAAAGACCTAGCGAGGTTCCTCGCCGTGTTGGCGATATTCGTGTTCGGGTTCTCGATGATGTTCGTGGCATTGAACCAGCCGTTTGAAAATAACCCACCGAGGAGCAAATCGAAGCAAGTTTTGTTTGTTGATGGTAAGTCCTTTCTAGAGAGATTTTTCCCGTAGTAAGTAGGGCGTTCTGGGTCATGTAAGCTGTAGTTATCTCGCCTATTCTTTTTCTACCGCTTCAAACATGTTAATTTGATCGATTTAATATACTGAGGAGCGCGCCGAACCCAATTTCACTTCACCTCGCATTAAAGTTATATCAAGCTTAAAATTTTAAACACGAGATTCTCTCCAAATAATGTAAGAAAATAAGACTTTTTAGAAGAAGTAAGCTATAAAGTTTTGAAATGTTAGTACTCAACTCGCATGGATTTTGAATATCTCCACAGATTTGAGAATTTCTATTCAACATTATAACGTTCAACCGGAAGTAGTATCAAGACTCTAAATATTTAAAAAAGCAAACAAACGTGTTTAAAGCTGTAAAAAAAGATAAGAGATATCTACATCTGGTATCACCCTGTACATAATTATTTTCGTTTCCCTCAAAAAGAGGTTAACCACAAAAACGTGCTTTTACCAAGAAATCAGGTTGCATTTGTTTTTTATTTTCTCAAATATTTTTTGAGTTTGCGCTAACCAATGGCAAGAATTTCAAGAAAAAAAGTTTTGTCCTTGATTTTCCTTTCTATAAATAATAGATAAATGATCATACGTTTTTTTCAAACTCCGCCTGGCGCGTTGTATTGGAAAAAATATTCAAAATGTTTTTTAATAAGATTCATCAAATGGTTACTCCATTTTTTTCTAATTTGCAAAATGGTGTTTTTTATAAATAAGTATGAATACTAGTTTTTACTGCTGTGAACAGGGTGTTTTAAGATTCAAGACAAAGATTTGAATGTTATTTTTATAAGTCAAAAAGCGTCTGTTTAATTTCTTATTAATCACTCACTCGGATGTTTTGAAGGTTTAGTAATTTCGTTAAATCGAAACTTTTCTTTGTTTGTACGGATATAACAGATTTAACTAATAATTTGCGGATTCTTATGTATTACGGATTTACAAATTGATGTAATAAAAGTGTCTTACCAAGATTCCGGAAAAATATCACTGGTAGGAGAGGGAAGAAAGAATTTTCGTAAGTTTTCCTTATCCCTATGGGCCGTTTAGATTCGTTGGTTCAATTGGCAAACTAAACTAATTTCAAAGAACTCACTTTTCTAATAAAAAATAAAATAGCTTTCGGACAATTTTTTAAAAAGTGCTTGTCTTTACCTATGACCAGTTTTAGTAATAATTTAGGTGATCCAACACAATCCTTTATCAGTTTTGTCAAAATATACAGAATACGCTATGTGCAAATTATTTTTAATGATTAACGTTGCTAAAATATATTTTGTGCCATCCTATAGGTCAATAATTAAAAAATTATATTCTACTAAAATATGAAAAATTAGTATGCTTTCAAAATCGTCTCAAAATGAAGTGCGATAATAACCTATATATAAATATTTTGGTTCAAAAATAAGGTTTTTACTTATAATGAGCAATTGTTAAAATTATTGTTTTTTTTTTCAATTTCAGTTCTGTAGCATAATTACAAAACATTCTGCTTTGTTATTGAGTTTTTTATATGGCTGTATTTACTGATATCTCCAGATATAAAACTTGATGTGATATAAATATCTCTAAGATTCCAGAAAAATATCATTGTCAAGAGAAAGAACAGAGCAAATCGCTGAAACACTATCCAGACTGGGATTTTGCAGTTATTGACAACCACAATAGTCGACTTTACATTTCTGTAATTTTTTGTTTTATCGTTATGCAAAACAAATAGGGAGGTAATTTAGACTGTTATAATCACTACTAGCTAAGTGGTGTGACGCATAGTTGCGTTTCTTGGTGAAATCACGTATCCACTCATCTATCAAATTTTCATTGAATTTTTTCTTTAAGTTAATGAAAACCATCAATGCGGTGTTGTTTGCAGTGTCTTTACTACTTTTGATACGCTAAAAAAAGTGCATGTCGTATTTTTAAAATAAATTTAGAAATTGCGTCATTAAACGAAGATACAGAGTGGATTACGCCACATTCCGCTGCGAACGAGCGAAAGGCCGGAGTAAGAAAAAAACGCCCCCCTCTAGAAATTGATACACCCGAAGGGAGTAAGTCTCGCAGTTTTGTGTGAGGCTTTATATATATGATATTTGAGGCCAAGAATATTTGAGAGATTTAGGGGAGTTCCCTCTCCTAGTCGCTTACAGTGTTGCCAGTATTCGAAGGTGTCATCAACCCTCATAACGAGTCACACTAGAATGTGAGAACACCCTGTAAAGTATAAACGGTTTGAGGTGGCGATTTCAATTCACCCGGTATATAGCTGGTGCCTTAAACTGCGTCGAAGCAAGTTATTTACGGTGTTCTCAAATTGTGGTTGGTTATTGAAAGGTGAATTATCTTGATAATGAAGATTTGTGACCTTCGATTTCTCATTTTACGAAAGACAAGTTCTTATATACCTCCTGAATCATAGTTACTTTCAAATTTCAAGGATTCATACAATTCATAGACATCTGTCCTAAGCTTGTCAAATGCCTTAGTTCCGTCTGAGTATTTAAAGCATTTATCGTAATAGAATTTCTCCATTTTTCAAAGAAATTTCTGCAGGCTGTGGAAGTTGTACACATCTTCTCGGTCGTTTGTTGACTCTACCTAGCTGACGTTTTGCCAAACATGGCAGACAGGAAGAAACCTTTGTCGTGTTTACATTATTTGGGGGTTTGATTATTTGGTTAGTATGTGTTGCGTCGTGACAATGGTCGCATTCAGCGGACGTAGCAAAGTGCTCCCGATACGTGGCGGTAGCGATTGGGAACGTGTCAAGTCATTTGCCGTTTGTGTGTTAATTAAGTGGAAACGTCTTTGTACCTACTAACGAAACCAAACGAAATGACAGAGCACAATTTGGTCAGGGTGGTAGGTGTCCAATACCAAAAAATCAGAAGTATTACGAAAAGTGTAAGGAGCTATGAAGGGAACTTATTCCTAGAATATTTTCGAGGCCTATGTTTGTAAACTTATTATAAGAAGTTTATTTTAAAATTTACCACCACATCTAGCACGTTTCGGAGCAGCGAGATATTTGCTATGTTTACACCGAGAAGTAGATATTGCAGATGAGGGTGGAAATGAGGAAAGGAACCAAATAGCAAATATGCTTTTAAATTGTCGCTTTTTGTTTTTGTAACTCACATAATAAGTGCAAAATTTGATTTCTTTCCTCCTGGATTTTCTTGCTTCTTTCAATGGTGTTTCGTAAGAGGTTAATTTCTTGTACTCAAGCTTCCTCGATATTTGTCACCCTTCTTCGTAGATAAAACATTCCACGCTTTGACTCCCTAGTCTTGGTACTTCTAAAATGAAAACATGTTATAAGCATTTAACTTGAAACTTAACCTACACGGTGCATACTGAAAAAATTGTTTTTGTATATTTTATAAATACTAACAATAATATAAATAATAAAAATTAAAATGTATTTATGATGCAGGAATTTCATACTCGCCATCACTATCCAATACACCTTGATCAAATTCACCTCTTTCAAGACCAAATTCTGCCATTACCGATCGCTTCGTTACCACTACCTAGCACAAAATAAACTAGCTACTAAAAATGGCGTCCGCCCCACAACATGTTGGCTTTATAAGTTCAAGTGTCCAACACTCTGAATGCAACCAATGTTCAGAACCGCTGATGTAGGTATTTGTTGAAATCTCACTCATCTCTGGTATTCTTTTAGTTCTTTAGTCTATTTCCCCGATGCCACAGCTGCACAGTGTGTTGCACACCTGCTGTCTCTAGAGGAATTTTATCCTTTACCGTTCGTAGATGTTGGGAAGTTTTCGGACAAGCAGAGAATTTTAGTTTTGGTTATTTTATCAAATAATTTAAATATAATCATTTTTATATTGTGATACTTATTTATATCAAAAATTCTGAAAACCAAAACATCAAAACTTCTCAAAATTCTCTGCTTGTCCTAAAATCTCCAAAAATTAGAAGATGTCAAATGTAATCAATAAGATTAGAGCTATCGAATTTGATTTACCGCCTTTTTCACAAATCGCCATATCTCTGAGCAACTAATCAAAATTTGACAACACCGCTAAAAAATATTCAATGCCCCCCGTTTAAACTGACTCACAATGTCGTCGCTATTGAAAACACCCTGTAGATATAACAACAGAACAAGGGCTTGAATTTAAAGTATCATCGACGTAACCTTCGGAAGCGAATAAATTATTCTTGGCCACTAAATGTTGCCTTAGAAAAATGTGTTTAGCGGTTTGTGCTGGCCATGAAAGTGTTGTCGTCTATAGACCTTTATAACCTGTGTTTTTTGTCTGTTTACATTGTCTTTTCTGTGTGGATTTGGCGTTAATATGTGTCTGCATTGTCTTCGCTATTCTTGGACGTCCGACCGCGTTTTGTCTTCGTTTGTAAATGTCCCACTATTATTTAGACTAAGTATAGAGTGTTTCTGCAAATGAAGCAACGACGCGACATATAGTATTTACAAAAAATTTTAAAGCATGTTGCATGTTAGGAAAACTTAGGACAAGAGTAGTTTAAAATATTATTATATGTACAGGGTGTGTTTTCGCAAACCAAATAAGAACTTACTCATTTTAAATAAAACAAACTGTATTTTAGTGGTCTGTATTGTTATTTAAAAAACAAATAAATACAAGGTGATCGAAAACTATCATTTAAAATTTAAATAAAAAATTCCTAAGAATTTTTTATAAGTTTATCTTAATTAGTAGTTTAAAAAAATGGTAACTTTCCATTGTGAAAACATAATAGAAAGGTTTGGCTTGCTGTGAGTTTGGAAATCAATGTTTTATACCCCTTCACTAATCTCCATTAATCATTTTTATTTTTACTTTATTTTATTGTAAAAAAAATATCGCATGCCTTTACAACGGTTAAAAAAAAGCGATATTACTAATATTCAATAAAACCAATTAAAAGGATAGTTTATTATTTTCAAAATTTAAAAAAATATATACAGTTTCAAATAAAAAAAGAAAATGTAAATCTGTCGGAAAAAAATTGAAAAATAATTGAGTTGGATTCTGTAAAACAGTTCTATTTTGTACCAATATTTATCAGTTACCAGTACCAATCTTTGTCAATTATCTATCTAGATTTTAAAAATAATTTATTAATAAACTTTATAAAGACCACAAGCTTCCAAGGAAACTTGATTTTCAAGTCCATGCTTAAAATGCATATCTGCATTAGTGTAATTCACTATTATTGAATTAAAAATCTTATTATTGAACAAATAAAATTAAATATTTTTGATTAAATTAATGGTACTGGTAATGTATTCGAACTATCTATAATATAAAAACCTTTCCCATCGGATATTGAAACTATGAATAATAAAATCAAAGAAGCCTTAAAAGTTACACAAGAACAGTATTGTGTTAAGGCTGGCATGACAGAAGAAAAACTAGGTGAAAAAACTCTACAGCTAATAAAAGAAAGAAAAATTAAGGAGACTCAGTTGAACTTAGACGCATTACTAGAGAAATCTCGAAAGCAATACATGAAGATCAAAGTGGTAATTGTAATAGCTTTTAAGATTAAAAAAACATTGTTTCTCCACTAAATAGTTAGCTTTTAAAACGTTTATATCACAGCCTATTTTTTTTTATTTTAAATAATATTTATTTTGAAACACCCTGTATATAACGTTTTCCTTTAAAAAATAAGTGAATAAATTACTAATAGTAAATGCAACTAATTAAAACCAATTAAGAAGATAATTTATTATTCGCAACATTCAGAGAAATAGCATAAAAATGAGATTTTTAATATAATAATAACTGCCTAACTTTAAAACTTTAAAAATTTTCTGTTGTTCGTTTAAAATTGTTTTGTTTAGTTTTTTGTCCGTGTAATCTATCCATTTTTAATAAAATATTCTTAGAAACTAAACAAATTTAAAGAATTTTTGCTGAATTTTAGTTGAAAAATTGAAGTTTTTTCTTCAACCTTGAGGCACACCTAATTAGACAATGATTCGTCAGACATTCGTGCAGACCATGTATCTAATTTATCTTATAATTTGCCACTTCTTAGTTCAAGAGCAAAATTAACAAAGGATTAGAATTTTATCCAAAATTATACTGACGCCACTCCTGAAACAATAAGCGAAACACCCTATAATATTATCTTTGTCGTTTGAACAGATTATTTATTTAAGATGGACATGCTTTAACATTTTTTGACGAAAACTATTTTGCTTGACTGAAAAGCATCCCGCTGTTATAGTCTGGTACCGAAACAATTCCTTGTGTTCGGGGGTATAAATTTGCATTCTCATTTTTGAATCAATATCTTCAAGACATGAATTCTTTCAAAAAAAAAAGATATGGAAAAAGGTTGAATTCACAGAAAAATGTTTTATTTGACTATATTTTATTCTATTTTCCAAATTGTTCCAAGTTAAAAAGTTCACTACTTAGTACTACAGTAAATTGAAAATATTGTTCTCCAAAATTGGTTCTGTTAAGTTTTCCCAAGAGCACAAAAATGTCATTAATACATTCAGGTTCGATATTTCGATGTATTCAAAGTGTGACTAAGTTAATATCTAAATTAGAAAAACCTTATGTTAAGATCTGTCGAGGCAAATATTGATAACATCATAGTGATGACCATTTCAGTGATTGATACAATATACCGAAGTCTCAATGGCAAATACAAATTAATACACAATATACATTGCATTGCATTTAAAATATTAAAGTTAGCTGTCGTGGGTCTTATAAGATATCCAGTATACTGAAAATTGAGCGCATTTAAAATTTTAGTTTTTACTTGAATTTTTTGTGGTAAAATTTACAACTTACTTACTAAATTACTTATGGAGATATATTTGTCTATTTGTATATATATATATATATATATATATATATATATATATATATATATATATATATATATATATATATATATATATATATATATATATATATATATATTCAAACGTATTGATTCACGGATGGAAAAATGTGATGACACTATATTCCGGGATATCATCCGTTCGCTCGTTGAACTCCGACTGGAATCCTGCATCTCGTCGAACACTTCGAAGTGTTTTCGGAGCGCGAGCATTGAAGATGCCAAGTGAGATTTTGGCGAAACGTCTGCAGGATTCCAGTCGGATGCAGGATTTGCAGGATTCCAGTCGGAGTTCAACGAACGAACGGATGATATCCCGGAATATAGTGTCATCATTATATATATATATATATATATATATATATATATATATATATATATATATATATATATATATATATATATATATATATATATATATATATATATATATTCTCACGTATTGATTCACGGATGGAAAAATGTGATGACACTATATTCCGGGATATCATCCGTTCGCTCGTTGAACTCCGACTGGAATCCTGCATCCGACTGGAATCCTGCAAATCCTGCATCCGACTGGAATCCTGCAGACGTTTCGCCAAAATCTCACTTGGCATCTTCAATGCTCGCGCTCCGAAAACACTTCGAACACTCGATGCCAAGTGAGATTTTGGCGAAACGTCTGCAGGATTCCAGTCGGATGCAGGATTTGCAGGATTCCAGTCGGAGTTCAACGAGCGAACGGATGATATCCCGGAATATAGTGTCATCATATATATATATATATATATATATATATATATATATATATATATATATATATATATATATATATATATATATATATATATATATATATATATATATATATATATATATATATATATATATATTTCTTGTTGACAAATTTACATCGATCAGATATTCATTACTCATTGATGTCGTTTTAGGAGCTTTGGAAGGTGAAAGTTCAAAATATCTTCCATTTTGTGATTTATTTAAGTCCGGTTCCTGCCGAAAAAGAATTATTCCTTAATAAAATTGAATTTATTCATTACTTTATGGCAGTTGTTTCGACAACACCGTGCCTTTGCGTCAAGTGCAAAAAATGATTTTATGTTTTATCAAATAGAAATATAATATTCAAATCAAATAGAAAATTAATATTTTAATAATACTTTATTTTGTACGGGTTCTGAGGTGATTTGTACTCCCATAATAAACGGTTCATTCGGTACAAATTTACAAAATTTCTTCACGTATTTATAGACGTAGGCTGGTAAAACAAATAAAACAATTTCTTTTACAAATTTCATCCAGCAGACAATTTGAATAAAAAGCTTATTTTAGAAAATTTACCTGCATTGCTAAAGAGTTAAAACTAGAAAACAAATTGTAGTGATTTTCATAACCTTTCCAGATTTGCAGTTTTGATTTTTTTATTTTACATTTTTTGACTGTTAAATTATTTGTTTACAATTTTCATTAAATGTAAGTGTTTTCGAATCAAAACTTATTCATGACAACTACTTTGAATTAATTTGTCATAGTCTCTATCAAGACGAAACAAAGTAATAAATAACTGTGAACATCTGAACCCATTTTGTTCTAATTTAGTTGTTAATAATCTACTATTGCTATTCAGAGCCTTCTACTTTGTATACGACGTGCAGTCAAATAATTTTTCAATTTTTTTGGGTACCACTTAACTTCTAAAGAGACCTACCCGTACATCGCTTTTGTCCAAACCTAACATCCATAATTTCAGAAACTAGACATAGAAAGCACCAAATCGGACATTTCAAAAAATTTATTAGGAGGTTGCTTGAAATGGCCAACCAGACAACAAAACCTTTAAATTTGTGCAAATTTCAAAATTCAAATTTGTCACAAAAAAAGTGCCCCTATTATTTAAAAAAAATCATATGTTAATATCAATCAGAATTATCTACAGATTCCTATTATCCTATGATTTTGATAATAGCTAATTGCTTCCAAAAAATATATTGTTAAAGTAAAAAAAAAAAAGTTAAAAAAAAGCGCCTTCAAGACTTTTTCTCAGTTCGTCAACTCACAACCCTGGATTTCTTAACGAACCAATTTCGGATACACCCCGTATATACACGTTTCGGTACGAGAAGTGTCCGCGCGTCGATTAGTGCATGCGCGACTGTCCAGTGTCCCGTCCGGTAGCGCGAGCCCGCAGCCCTCCGTCCACTGACCACCGCAATAATTTCCCCTGCAGTTATCATGAATCCCCTGTATGCGTTCGAACTACTGTTTTTCGCCGTCTTCGGCCAAACGACCTACGACGAGCTTACAGTCAAAGCGAGACCGGGACAGCCGCTCTTCCGACCCAAATGGACCGATAATCTATTCAAGATACTTTTCGGGATATACATGCTTGTTTCCGTGGTGGTACTCATCAATCTACTGATTGCCATGATGTCGGATACATATCAACGCATCCAGGTAATGAGCGTTTACTCGTTTTCTTTCCAGTCCATAAGAATCCGATCAGTGCTTTCGAGCTGCTGTTTTTCGCGGTGTTCGGCCAGACCACGACTGACCTCCTCAAAATACCCGGATACAATAAAAACAATCACAATAACCAGCCCGAATGGACCGAGGTGCTTTTTAAGGTTGTGTTCGGAGTGTACATGTTAGTGTCAGTCGTCGTCCTGATCAACCTGCTCATCGCTATGATGACAGACACGTATCAGCGCATTCAGGTAACGGTCGATAGAGGGCCGCCTCGTTTTGAGGCTGCGTTGCTGCCGCGTGCCGTTGAGGTTGCTGCTATATATCATCCGTTTAGAAGCTTTAGACACGACGCGGACGGTTGATTTTTCGGTTTCCCTTTCGATCGGGTCTTTGGCTTTTTACTGCGGTCGCGATGTAGTTACTAGATTTATCTTAATGATATGTTACCTATAGAGCTAGTCAAGCCACATAGCACAGGATTTTGTAGCCAAAATATACGATTTTTGCAAATTTTTACTTTTGGAATATACGAAAGCCTGTTATGTACAAACTTTACAATTTACCAAGTACATATAAATAATCTATTACCATTGCTACGAAATCATTGAAATAAAACTTTAATGAACTATTAACCAAATAAGTAAAAAAAGAACAGGAAATGAAAGTATGATTAATTATTATTTGTGAAATATGTCTATGTGACTGAGGTAGTTATTGTAGTTCTTTTGCATTTGATTGATTGGAAGAGGAATTATGTTCTGACTATAAAAGCGACTTTAATCCCAAAGTTGGGCAGAGAACTTGATAATGGATGTTGGCTTGGCAGATCGTAATGAAAGGGGAGATACTTTAAAACAATTTTTGCAGGAAGAAAATCCGTTTGTAGCAAACACATAAACCAGATCACGCCCTGAGAAGCGGAGTAATAATATTAAACTGAGCAGAATATTTAAGAAGAAAATGTAAATAATTTGAAGACCTACCAAGAGACAAGAGTGGATGCAAAAGAGAAAATAAATGAAGCAGTCATCAACTTAAGGAATTCATCTGGGTAACCAGTTGGTGTAGAAAAATGCTGGAATTCTTTAAGAATCACTATACCCGCTGGTTGACATCCTAAGACGCATTGAGAAAGAGAAGGAATTGTTGCAAACATAAAAAGAAGTTAGGTCACATATTCAGAAATATTAAATACCAATTCCTGAAATTTATCATGAAAGGACAAATTGAAGGGAAGCCAGGCATCGGGAGGAAAAAACAATACCCATACGCTATTTAGAGCCGCGCAAACCTCGACAATGGAGGAATTTACTGCATGATTGGTATTAAAGTCAAAATGAGATGAAATTGAGTTTTCTAAAAATACAACGTAATGTTTAAGAATATGCAATTATTAGAAAATAATTTGTATACAAATAGATGGTTTGAATTCGATCTCACATTTATTAATTGAAGGCGCTTTCTTCGTCCTGAACGTAATTTGGGTTTGAATAGAATTTAAATACAAGATATAACGTATAAAATTGTTTTCAATGTTTCCTATTTTGTTTGTGTATTTAAAATACGTTGGATTCAACGCGTATTTCAAGTTTGACCTGAGATGTGTGTTATATAAAATAATATCTAATATATTTTAAGTTTCATTATGTTTCGCAAACAATAATATGGAGTGTAACATTACCCTGAAATCTTTGGCATAGGACGTTTTATCAAGAAACACATTATTTAAGATGTGACTAAAATCAATATTATCATCAATCAAATAATCAATATCAATATTGTATTTTTTTTTTTTTTTCACAGTATTTGATAAAACTACTTGAGTCTGATTCTAGCAGTATTTTAAAAAAAATTTTTTAATTATTTTCACAAGAACATTGTTCCAAAAACGTTAAAAGTATCAAAGTTATCCTTTTTTTTAAATAGAACTAGGTTCATATTATAGCATTGTTGGGCTCTACGATCAAAATAAAAGTCCGTTTCAGGTTTATCAAAATGTAATCTAATTTTAGTTTCTCAATACACTGAGGTATCGAAATTACCAGCCGTATTTTATAATTGAATTATAAAAAGTTTCTTGTCTTATATAATCTGGCCAAAAAATTATCTAATCTAATAATCTAATAATAACTTTAACTGGATTAATTTAAATGGATCGCATATTTTATAACTTGCCAGGGAATGTTAATTAAACAATGATTTATCGACTTATCGTATATGGGTATTACTTTTTGTTATTGTTGTTATTATTTATCTTATGGCTGTACAAGTGCTATATAATAGGTTACAAACAAAATTCTTATGAAAGGTAGGTATAAATGACAATTAATACAAGTAATGTAAAACACAGTAATACACATTAAATATGACACACACAGTACATATAACAGGTGCATGCGAGCAACCTAGCGGTATGGGAAAATCAAATCTACAGGTCCAAATCCAGTTCGGATAACCATGCAATGGCAGCGGGGCTTGCATCAGTAAAGTCTTTCCATTGTCCAGTAAATCTTCTCAGTGGGCAGTCTTGGACTATATGTGTTAATGTTTGCTCTTCAGCTCCACAGTCACATGCTGGATTGTCGGCAATTCCCCATTTGTGCATCGCTGATCTCGTTTTTGCATGTCCAGTTCTAACTCTATTTAATAGGGACCATGTTTTACGAGGTAGTTACATCCCTGGGAGCTGTTTATTAGGATCTTCTATGTTGTGTTGATTGACATTGCTGTTATTCCATACGGATGTCCATGATTCAGAAGCGTCGTAGGTTTTTCCTGGAGCAAGTGCTTCCAAGTTCCATATTGGGGCCCTTGATTTCAGTCGATTCACACAGGGTTCATCGATTACCTTGTGAATAGGCCACGTTCTTGGCTGGTCTGGGTGATTTATCTTTTGCCATTCTTGGAATGTAGCCTGTTGTCTTCGGATTCCTGGGAGAGCGATATTTGATAGTACGTGGAGCCATGGTAAAGGAGTCGACTTCAGTGTCCCTGTTACTACTCTCATGGCTTCATTAAGTTGGGTGTCAATCTTATTTACATGAGAGCTTCTGCCCCATACAGGAGCGCAATACTCCGCTACAGAGTACACAAGTGATTGTGATTGTGTTGCAGTGCGTTTGCTCCCCATGTGGTGCCTGCCAATTTACGTATGATGTTGTTTCGGGTTTTAAGTTTCTGGCATGTCAATTCAAGGTGCTTTTTAAAGGTGAGAGACCTATCGAGGACTACGCCTAGATATTTGGGGTGTTTGTTGTGTTTGACTGGTTCTCCACAAAACGTGACATTTAGTTCTCTGTGCGCCATCCTGTTATTTAAGTGGAAGGCACATGTCTCTGTTTTATTTGGGTTCGGGCGCAGTCTCCATTTTTGGAAGTATTGGTTTAAGGTTTCTAAGTTGGCTGTTATGGTTGTTTTTCCTTCTTCAAGGTGTTTATTTTGAGTGGCTATAGCCAGTCTGCGTAACAAAACTTACGTGACGTAGTATTTGGGGTGTCACTTATGTAAACATTAAAAAGTAGTGGAGCCAGTACTGAGCCTTGGGGGAGACCGTTTTTAATGTTTCTTGATTTGCTACTTGATGTGCCTAAAGTGACCTTGAAATAGCGACCTTTCAGCATTCTTTCCAGTAATCTGGTTAGTTTCATGCAAGGGATCATTTTCATGAGTTTCAGGATCAGCCCATCTATCCACACTGTGTCGTATGCTGCGCTAAGATCGACAAAGGCCACTGATGTTTTTAGGCCTTTCTGAAACCCTGCTTCTATGTAAGAGGTGAGGGCCAGTACTTGTTCGCAGCAACTACGGTTTGGTCTGAATCCTGCTTGCTCATGCGGTAGATGTTCATTTATGATAGGGCATATTCTGTTGTAGATCATCCGTTCCAATAGTTTATAACAGATGCACAGCAAGGCTATAGGGCGGTAGTTTGCTGGGTTTTCAGGACTTTTTCCCGGTTTGAGGATAGCGAGAGTGTGAGACATTTTAAATTCATTTGGAAGCCGTGCTGTATTCAGTATGTCGATAAAGAAGTTTTTAATCCATGTTCTTGCTTTTGGGCCTAGGTGTTTAATAAATTCAGGGAAAATGTTGTCGACGCCAGCTGCTTTCCTTAATTTAAGGCTTTTTATAGCAGTGTTCACCTCGTCGTTAGTAAAAGGGGTTGAAAACTGTGCGTCTTATTGTAATGTATTCCTCTTCTGATCTAGTTCGTTTTGTACTGATGTCATGTCCTCTTTGGTTATGGTTACGCACTCGGCTCTTTCTTTGATGTGTATCGCAATCTCATTTGGCGATACTGCTGGTTTGGGGATTGGTATGTGGGTTGCAGCCCCCAGTCGTCTCAATAGGGACCAGCTTTTTCGACTTGAGTGGGTAAAATTCAGGTTTTCTGTAGTTTCTTCCCATCTTTTCCTTCTTTGTTGATTTAGAGATTCCAGCAGTCGACTCCCCACTTGAGGATTATTTGTTTCCTTGTACTCTTGATATAAGTTTTCTGTATCGGAATTCCAGCATGGTATGTAGTGTTTTCTATGTCCCCTGGGAATATTTCTCTTGGCCGACGCAATCATGAGGCCAACAAACCTGGTGTAGTTTCCGACTTTAGGTTGAACAAACCGTATATTTGATTTCATTTCTCTTTTGTATGTAGGCCAGTCCGCTTTCCTGAAGTTCCATCTTGGCTTTTGGACTGATTCTATCAGTGGGACCTGTATACCGGCACTGGACGGTGTTGAGTACGAGGGAAACTAGGAAGCACCCTCCTCATATGTGGCAAGGGGGTTCGTTCCTCATCAGTGGAGACAATACATAAGTCAGGGTTGGTATCTGTCTGCCATCGTGCTGAGCGGAAGGTTTTCAGGTCTTTAGCGTCATAAATGAGATATAGATCTTGTTCTTCAATCCATTACATCAAGGTTTCTCCATTGTCGTCATTAGTATTGTATCCCCAGCTGGTGTGGTGGCTATTGAAATCCCCGAGAAAAATT